CGATGGCCAGGCATTTTCGCACCTTCTCCAGGGCGCACGAGTAGCTGATGGCGATAGGCCTCAGTATGGCCTGCTTGCGGCAGCTGCCCAAGCGACAGAATAGAGGCTGGTGGGGCAGATGCTTGCCAGCGGTGAGGAACCGCTGCACCAGCTCGACGGGACAGGTGGTTAGCCCAGATCTGGCAATATACACCTGGTGGCCTTTGCGAAACTGGTCGTTCTTCCTCTGCTGCAGCGAGATCACCATGTGGGTGTCTGTAAAACTGATGTCGGAAGGCGTCAGGCGGTGCAGCTCGTCCCATCGCAGCATTGCGGAGAAGCCCAAGACAATGAGGGTGATTGTCTGCAGGTCATCCAGGGAAGTGGACGAGTCGGAGTAGTGCTCGATGATGCGCTGCACTTCCGTGGACACGAGTGCCTTCTTCGGCTTGACAGGGCGCGCAAGCAATCTCTGCACAGCCCGATGGCACTGAGCGACACATGCGTGTCGGGTGGGGTCTGGGAGCGTTGCTTTCTGGTGCACCCAGGAGATGCTTGCAACAGCGGTGGCAACGGGTGCCGGTGATGAGGATGACAGCAGTAGGTGGACAAGGTAGAGGCCAACGTGAAGACCGTCGGCGGGAAATGCGGTGAGGGAGGCTGATGATGCGAACGCATGCCAGCGATTGAAGCCTCTGGCGTACGTCTGAACGGTCGAGGGTGCGTGCCCGCACAGCATCACTTTCGGCAGAAGGTGCATCAGCTTGCCGATAGCGCTGTCCTCCTTCGCTAGTTGCTCCAGTGCCGTCCAACCCGGGATATGTTGTGGGGCTGTAGGGAAGAAGCATAAGACCAGAAGAAGGGACAAGGACAGGGGAAGGGGCGGCCACCACGCCGACAGGTTTGCCGGCATGGTAGTTACCAACATTGGGAGCGTAAGTTAGAATAAGTATCCAGCGAGCAGCAGCACTATACAGCCCCCGTAATGTGGCTTGCGCCGGTTTAGACTTGGAAAAGGAGCGCCCTGCATCGCTGACATTGTGTAGCTACCCTTTTGTGCCAGCGGCAGCCCAGACTCCGTCTACCCCGTTTCACGGTAGTTCAGGGTGGTACGCTGTCTGACCGTGTATGCTATCACACCAACTACCTCGTGTGCAGAAATATTTGACGGAAATCTCGCCTTGCGGTTGTATTGCTCTGGGTAGAAATAGATCGGCCTATATGGCCGGAATTAGTGCGTAAGGGGGGATGGGGGTTGCTGCTAAACAAAAACAGAGAAGTTGAACATGAGACACGAAAATGTATCAGATTGCATGATTGGCAGCATCACCACAGTGAGGATGTGAGTTTACACTGCTGAATGACGCTGACCGCTGACTGATGCTGACCGCTGACTGATGCTGACTGCTGAATGACGCTGACTGCTGACTGACGCTGACCGCTGGCTGGTGCTGACCGCTGACTGATGCTGACTGCTGGCTGATGCTGACTGACGCTGACCGCTGGCTGATGCTGACCGCTGACTGATGCTGGCCGCTGACTGATGCTGGCCGCTGACTGATGCTGACTGCTGGCTGATGCTGACTGCTGACTGATGCTGACTGCTGGGTGACGCTGACAGTTGACTGACGCTGCCCGCTGAACGATGCTGGCTTCCGGCCGCTGTTCTTCCGGGTTGTTGTTCGGGATTAAGGCGGCCCTTGCCTGGGGCGGTTGGGCTTGTGCCGGCCGCATCCGCAGACTCTTACAGCGAGTACTTCGCATGTTGGGCTATCGCTGCCGAAGAGGTTCCACTTACACTCACCCGAGATGAAAAGGTTCTCCCGAGGCGGGATGACCATATGATCGACCACCATATCTCGGAAGCCCGCTGGAGACCATAGCAGTGGCCACCATGTGGCCGAAGGCCAGAAAGGGAGGATCAGAGTGCCGTCTGCGTGGCAAGCTTGCATGTGGCGAATCGTGCGACCGATGAGGTGGATTGGAGGTTCGATCCAATTGTTCTCGTCGTTCCAGCTCACGGAGAATGCGTCCACAGACGTGCAGCCTGGGGACCACCATCTACTGCAGAAGCGCTGCATCTGAGCGTTCTGCGGAGTAGCGAAGCGGTCGATTGTATGTGGGCCCCATTTCCGGTCAAGCATTAGGAAGACGTCTGGCGCAAGCTGCCAATCGTCCTGGTCCTTCACCTTTGAGAAGAAGTCAGCTCTCTCATTCTCTTCCCGAGGTATCCACTCTGCCCGGAACGTGATACCTTGTCGGATGCAGATACGGAAGAGTGCCAGGGCTTCGTCGTGAAGATGGGGGTGTTTGCTGCCAGATGCGATTATCGCGACTGCCGCCTGATTATCTGATCGGTGGATCACTTCGCATCCTGACAAGACTGGTAATAGAGATAGTATCACGTATCTAACGGCAATGAGCTCACGGAGAGTGCTGCTTGTTTCACGTACCTCTGGTGGAAGCGGTCCTCTGGCAACGCAGGTGCCGAGCTTTGAAACGGAGTATCCGCCCCACCCAGTTTCGCTGGCATCTGACCAAGTGAGAACTGCAGACGCTGCTACGAGGGGCCTCAGCGGGCGGCCGTGGAATTTATGGAAGCTTTCCGACCAAAACGTGATTTCATTGCGGAGCTGGGGAGTCGCATGTACAATCTCCTCCCACGAGGCGGCTGTGGAGATAGCCTCATACATTGCTCTAGTTTGTAGCCGTGTTACCGTACCGAAAGCTGGGCTCATTGAGATGATGGAGCCTGCGATTTTGGCTACTTCTCTGGCTGTGGCATGATCAAGGTTTGTTGTGGTCAGGAGGTGCGAGAGTTTCTCTACGCGCGCTTCGGTCACCTTGATGGTGCCCTGGGCCAGGTCAACATGGAAGCCCAGCATGTCTCCCTGTTGTGATGGTGTGAATCGGCTTTTCTCACTGAGAATAAAACCTGATTTCAGGATGTCTGCCCGAACAATATCAGCAAGCTTACTAGCAGCAGTCTGTGACGATTCTGCCCCCGCACCGTCGTCTAGATACATGAACAATTTGTGACCATTGCGTCTCCACCAGTGCACCAGATCTCTGGTGATTTTCGTAAATACATGTGGTGCGGTGCAGAGTCCGAAAGGTAACACTGTAAATGTGTAGAGCTCTCCTCGCCATTTGAATCCCAAATATTTGTGATACCTGGGATCAATGTCGATATGGTGGTAAGCGGACTTCAGGTCGAACGAGAAAAAATACTCCCCCGTTTCAAACATGGTTCGAAGGGTGCTGATATCCTCGTATTTGAACCTAGGTGCCAGGAGGTGCTTGTTGAGATATCGCAGGTCTAGGATCAGCCTCAGCTTTTTCTGCTCAACTACACCTAGAGGGCTACAAATGCTGATCTTGTCAGCAGTGGTTTTCTCTATGCATTTTGCAGATAGTAAACTGACGATAGCTTCGGACACAAATGATACATGTTTGAAACAGCTTGAGTGATTTTTTGCAGCATAGGGTGTGGGAGTGGTTGTGAACGGTAGATAGTAACCATTACTTAATACATTGAATGTGAAGGACGAGCAGCCAATAGATGACCAAAAACTTAAACAATTACGAAGGCGACCGCTGAGTACAACATTACACGACGAGGATGATTCACAATAAAAATCATTGGCAGAATGCATAGGATAGATCAACTCAGCAATATTACATTGAGGATACGATTGAGGATACGCGTGATTCAAGTGATAATTCTCTGGCTCATCGAGCTCTCCTAGCGTTTCCAGAGGCTGCGTCTGGGCAAAGCTTGGCCCAGTGGCCAGGTTTTCCGCAGGCGAAGCATACGACTTTCGCCGACGGGGCAGCAGACGACTGCTGGTCGGTTCGCGGAGCTGGAGGGACCCTGGAGCTCCGCGGCGAATATGGCTCGTAGTGAGGACGAAAACTAGAACTGGGCCTCACTGATCGGCTCTGTCGCCTGGTCTTCTCCACTTCAGTCTCAGCCCTCTTGATCCTTTTCGCGTCCTCGTCATCGTCGGCAATGTCATGCTCGCCTTTGTACTGGATCGCCGTGGCCCAGTCATATTTGTCGGCGATTTTTATAATTTTCTTCCTTTTGTCGCATAAGGACATACCTTCCATGATGGCGGTTTTGGCAGGTCCATCCGGGATGGTCCGGGCCGCGTCCTCCAGCTTCGCCTCCACCTGGTCCACGAAGTCGTGATGCTCCTTGCAGCTCTCCTTACGAAAGGAGTAAGTAGTTGTTTGCTTTGCTTTGAGGCGATGCAACTCCGCAGTGGCAGTTTCCAGTTGCTTCTTGCATGCCTCCATTTCAGAGACAGACTTCTCTGCTAGAGCATGCTGCTCTTTGACAAGTTGTGTCAGGTTCGTTGCCCAGTCTGGCGTGGCGGACGAAGCTGAAGCGGGAGCAGATGCGTTCTCAGCCATGCTGGTGAGAGAAAAAATTGGATAAAATGTCTGTTGGAAAGACGAAAAAGAACGTGGTGTCGAAAAGGCTACCTCAAGACGACTGGCCAGTCGTGCTCATGCGCAGCGGTTTAGAGGACATGTGAAGATGTACGAGTAAAAAAGAAATTGATCAGATGACTGCTCACTTGTGAGAAAAAAACACGAGAAAAAACCGCTGTGACGAGAAAATACTTCTCGCCTCTGTCGCTGCGCTCTGCCGTCGAGAAGATACCATTTTCGTAGTTTGCACGCGCCAAGTGCACGTACGACATGACCCAATCTCACGAAACTTCCTACGAAAGTTCATTTCGCGTTCCCTGCAAGTTTCGCGTCCAAAGTTGCGAAAGTTCGTGCGAAGTTTCTCACTTCGTGACGTAGAGCGAAAGTTCGTACACATTTTCGTTTTGCAGAACCTCTCTATTGGTGGAACCATTCTGTTTGACCTTTGTTGTACCAAGAGTATAATAACCCCGGGGCCGGGGGCGGGGGTCTCTTGATTGTACAAATATGCAAATGCAGGGCCGAGGGCCTAGGGCTAGGGGGTCGTAAAAATACGAGTTGATCCCCCCCCCTCCCCTTCCCGCACTCCCCTTCCCGCACTGCACTGTTGTTTTGCTTTGTGGTCACGAAGCTCAAATCTGGAATTTTTCAGCTTCTGTTTGAGTTGAGGAGGCGGATGATCAACTGACTGGCCTTTCGTCATTTGTTGTGCCAGTGAGCACTATTTCAAAGAGCTTTCATTACCACTTGCCCAAGTGAGGAATATTTTAGTGCCTGAGGATGTCGCAGGCAGTCGTAATAATGCGGAAAACGGTGGAACAGCTACAGGCGGAAGTGAGCATAAACAGGATCAAGATCTCCGAGGCATCAAGGGAGTAAGTGAAAGCCGTTATCACTGGATTTGTTGAGGCAACGTTCGCCTCCGTAGACGCACTTTTACTTACTAGGTATTCTTGAGAACCTACCCAGTCTCTGTTGGTGGCTCCTAGGAGTCCTATGAACTTCTCCCGCAAGTAGATTTGGCATGAAACAAACTTAGTTTCAATGACCAGTATGGTGCACATTCATGTTGCTCTTGTCGCTGCACTTTGTCAAAATATTTAGGACATGCTTGTGACCTGAGTAGCTGGCACATGCATGCTGAGCCTCCGGATTACAGGATGCGAGCATTTTCCACAGGCCATTGCAAGGCAACATCAATGAAACGATTACATAATAATAATTATTATTATGTGATCCGAATCATATGACTGAACAGTCGTGTAGCAATCAGCTGAGGAAGCCCATTTTGGATCACACCTGTGTTACCATGCTAGCTGATGAGATGTATTGTTGCGTTTGAAGGATGTACAACACATTTCATTTCTATCATTCTACAAATTCAAGCATTGCCTTCATTGCAATGGATGTGAGAACTGCCATGAAATCATCGTCTTCAATAGGGATCTCGGTGCGTGCAATGGCAGGGTGTTTGCGCATACATTGCGTCATGAGTGCAGCTTGCGGACACAGCTACAAAATGGCGACGGTTGGTTTTAGAAAAAAATGGTTACGATCGACACTAGCGGAGTCGTCATCTTCATTGTCGTTCGATCATTGTCGTTCGAACACATTGTGGTTCCCGCCAAAGGACAAATTCAGACGTTTTCCCCGGTTAGATCGTCCTAACTTCGATTTTCAGTACATCAGCCATCATGAACATCGCCGCCATTATCACGCAGAGACAAGACATCACGCTCAGAGGAAGAGGTGTTCACGCTGCGTCCAAGAGTAAAATATTGTGCTCTTTGACCCTCCATAGTTCCTCTGAGAGAGTGTCTGGGAGATAGATAGCATGGAGATGGCTGTAGAATGTGATTTCCTGGACGCAACAAGCAGCCATTTCTACTGTCTTCTTCAACTTGATTTATTTCAAAACAATGTTCTTTTTCACGGTTTCTGCACTGGACGCGTTTGGGATCGAAAATCTCACCTGCGCAAACTGGCTGCGCAGTCAATCCCTATCTTCAAACAAGCTACCTAACTAGACAAGCTTGCAGTGCATTTCGCAGTCATGGGAGAAATTGTTGACTACAGGTCAGCTTGGTTCACCTGTCACCGCTGAATGGATTCGAACTGATAGAAACGTCTTTGCAAAACAAAACTTGCGCCTGATAATCGTATTGCAAAGACGTTTCAATCAGTTCGATTAACACACATGATGACCTAGCGGGATTCACAGAAGCATTTTTGAGATGCGAGGGCCCCGAAACCGGGAAATCCCCAAATCGCAGCCATCTCGCACCCCACGCAACTGCTGCAACTGGGCCATCGCAGAAGTTGAGCTGGGCTCAAATTTAATTTCGCGATGCCACAAGCGATTTGGTGTACGATTTTGACCTTTCTACAGCAAAGTTGTACAAAGGTTCAAGAGTTGCCTGTGAATTTGTACAAGTTGTACCAAGCCACGCGAATACCATGGTGACGTACCCACCTGCATTGAACTTCGCGCCAAATCCGCAAGGTGCCGTCGCATCACTGACTTCTTCTGTGAATGGTATTTGTGTGTGTGTTTGTTTCTGACGTCGGGCATGCCTGGCGCTATCCTGTACATGTCAGCTACCGTTGTTGGTTGATAGCATGTGACAAGGCGGAGGACCACTGTGTTCGGAAACAGTGCCCCTTACTTCAACCATCCACGGTTGGCGGAGCCCCGGTCTTGCGACCATTTGAACCATATGGGTGTTAGCCCTGGTTCTGACCCTCATTATACTAAGTAGTTGTCAGCTGACAGGCTGAGAGAGGGATGCCATGGGCAGAAGTGGGAGAAATAACAAGGGCGTCGGAACCGCACCGGCCGGGGCGGCCATGGCCGCCCCACTTTTTCGGCCGTTTTTTTTTTATTTTTTTATTTTTTTTTAGCACACTGCAACAAAGCGCGATGATCTCAGCGCAAACGTGGCAAATCCTTGTCCCTGATCGTGGTTTGTTGTAGAATCAAAAGTCCATGTACACTGAAATGGCACCAAATGCCTGGGAATGCTTGCAATTGGCTTCAATTTTTGAATTGTTTCCCGGGGGAGGGTAATGCTTGTCCCCGATCGTAGCATCTTCAGTGTTTTTTTGCAGAATCAAAAAGTCTTTCATTGTAGTTACCGTACACTGAAATGGCACCAAATGCCCGGAAATGCTTGCAATTGGCTTTAATTTTTGAAATTTTTTCCCGGGGGAGGACCCCCGCACCCCCCTTCCATGGCCGCCCCACTTCCAAAGTCGTTCCGACGCGCCTGAATAAAGAAGAGAGTATAAAAAGAAAGAAAGAAGAACGATCCAGAACAAATGTTACAAAGTTTAACGAGCGAAGAATACACGACTGACAGCACAATAACAAAAAAAAACAAGAAGACTCAAACAACTCCCTAGTATAATGAGGGTGAGAGCTAGGGCTAACACCCGTATGGTTCAGGTGGTCGCAAGACCGGGGCTCTGCTGGGCCAATCAAATTTTTATACTTGGCCTAACATGGGATTTGAAAAGAGAACTGACTGACTGCACTGGCGAAAGAAGGTGGCGAAGAGACAAGAAACGTCGAGCTGTCTCGCGGTCAAGCATCATCATCAGCTGCACCTTTCAGGTTTGCGTCTTGCGGACTCGGATTAAAATCGCAGTTGTAGGTAACCCTGAGGAAGCTTCCCGGTTTGACTGCCAATTTTCGACGGATTCATCAGCATCATTCACCGCACTGCACCAAAAATGAAACAGTGAAGGAATTCCGCTGAGCGGGCCTCTAAACTGGGACAGATCAGGAGTTGCACACTCTTGGGGGTCATGGACTTTCGCCATTATTGTACCAATACTTTTTTAGCACACGAAGAGACGAAGCCAGTTGAAAATCTGATGAGGCTTTTCGTACCATTACTACTCAAATCAGTACATGCTGATAATGTGACGAAGCACAACGATGTCAATTTATACAGCATATTGGCGGAAAAAATGTGATGAAACGTACATTGATTTGAGAAGTAATAGTACGAAAGGCCTCATCAGATTTTCAACTGGCTTCGTTTCTTCGTGTGCCAATATGTTTCCCTCCGAATAAGTCTCTATTCAACACTTTTTTCTGCATATTCTCACTTGACCATGTGGGTTTTGTACAAATTGTCTTGAAAACGGATGAAAGTAAAAGAGCGCAGAAAATCGTGCGTCCAAGGAATCTCTCTCTCTCTCACTCTCTCTCTCTCTTCCTCTCTCTCTCTCTCTCTCTCTCTCTCTCTCTCTCTCTCTCTCTCTCTCTCTCACACACACACACACACTGTCTTTCTTTCTCACTGTCTCTCTCTCTCTCTCTCTCTCTCTCTCTCTCTCTCTCTCTCTCTCACTGTCTCTCTCTCACTGTCTCTCTCCCACTGTCTCTCACTGTCTCTCTCACTGTCTCACTCGCTGTCTCTCTTTGGCTTTTTTGCACAGCCTGATGCAGTACTGCCATGACCATCAAGCAGAGGACGGCCTGGTCACCGGTGTACCCAATGCTGAGAACCCCTTCAAGGAGAAGAGCCTGTGTATCATTTTATAAAGACATCCTTCTTGCCTTTTTCCTTTTCTATGCCCGCTCTGCTTTCCCATCTCTCTCTCTCTCTCTCTCTCTCTCTCTCTCTCTCTCTCTCTCTCTCTCTCTCTCTCTCTCTCTCATATTGTTCCTCTAGTGGATTCTTCTTCATAATTTTCATGTCTTCCTTGCACTGTGGTAGCTGATATATTTGCCGCTGCTTATTCAGTATGTTTCAGCATGTCAAGCTTCAGTCAAGGGCCACAAAATTCCAAAATTCAGTCATGATATGGTGAATCATGATATTGTTCTTCAGCAACTTTCCTGATGTACGTGTAACTATAGCCCATCTTGGCCATGTAGATTGAGCTTACAGCATAGTTACTCAAGCTATTTGCCATCTATCCTAATGTTTGCATGCATCTAATCCCCTCACGTTTTTACCGAGCACCACAGCTCTTTATGTTGCGCTAACTATTGGCCGCATAAAATGCCAGGTGTCTGCTTCTTATCCCTCATTGCTGAACTATTGTATACAGCTCAGCATGTTTGTTAGGTCATGAATTTATCACTGTTCATTGGGAAACATTCTTCGCATATCTCATCTTCTTCTTCTTCACTCGTTCCGGTACTGAGTTTACCATCTGCTTTGTGGAAACAGCCTATTACCTGGCAGTGATGTGGAAAATGTGTGTCTGCGTGTGTGTGTGTGTGTGTGTGCAAGGCAGCTGGCGTGGATTCCTGGTTTCAGAATGCCCAAGACCGGCAGAACTGGAGGATGTTCCTTGCTGAGCCACCACCGCACACAGATGATTCGCCACCTTTGCGCTGCTTGCTGTGTGCCAGAGACTTCCGCCGCCGTAACCATGGTAACGACATGGCCCGACACAAGTGCATTGCCCAGCGGAAGTTGCCTGTGTCACAACAGAAGGGTGCCAGGCAATGTATGAAGTGCATGCGGTGGTTGAGGAGCGCTGGAGGACTGGCTGTGCATCACTGTCCTGTGTCCACGGATGTCCCTACTGTATCTATTCGCCATGAATCTGACTCTTTTCGATGTGATGTTTGTCACCGATCTTTCCGCTCCCGTTCTGGTTTGAGCCGTCATCACTGTGACCGTGCGAAACGGATGTCACGTGCAGCCAGGAACAACTGCCGTCATGAATGCGAGCATTGCGAAAGACGGTTCTCAAGGCCACAGGACTTGCAACGCCATGCCAAATACTGTTGACTTTGCGATTTCTCTCTCTTCTCTTCTTGTCGTTGTCTCCCGCTTCTGGGAGCGGCGTGGTAGTAGTAGTAGTGTGTGTGGGGGGGGGGGGGGGGGGGCACCGAAGGACTTTCACTGCGCATGCGGCAGAGCGTTTAGGAGAAGTGGCGATTTTTGTTCAAATGTGTGTAATGAATCCTTCCCTATATTTGGGGCCTGTGAAAATCACACCCATTCGTTCCCATTTATGTCGCAAAACAAAGTTACTTGAAAAAAACCTACTTTTACAAACAGGAGTTTGCTTTTCATTTGTTTCTATGAGGCGGGCTTGTACAGTTAAAACAGTGGGTAAATGAGTCCAATGGCCTAACATCATTTTGACACAACTTTATGATACTGACGTAGTGTGATGCAACTAGCAAGAAAAGCTCTATCATTTTCGGGCCAATTTTGCAAAACTTAACTAAGTTTTCAAAGCATTTTGCACCTTTTCGAATCGGGGTTCGGAACACCAGTGGCAGTTTCGTCTCCTCACACAGAAGCCTGTACTTTCAACCAGTGTATTTTTGGCACTTTTTGCTGATAAACCTCCGCTGACATGTTCTATACCGTATGGGAATTACTGACATGATTACAAGAAGCAACAGATGAAGGTTGGAAGCATTTTGCTGTCACTAAAAAAAACCTGTCTCTTTCTTAAGAGAACGCCTTGTTTGGGCTTCTTCGAGTGACCATAACGGTTAAACCCCTCCAAAGTGCCCAAAGACATCCCCTGATATATTGATTTTCTCATTTTGGACATCCCTAGCATTGCAAAAAAGGTGTCAAACTGGTGAATTTTCGGAAAAAGTATTTCGGCATGAGCTACCTTAAGGCCCTTGGGGCGCGATTTTTTAGGATATCAAGAATACTCAGGCGAATATTCGATCGGAGAAAATCAGAGTACTCGAACTCGGGATCTCAGTGCCAACTTTCACCCCTAAGTTAATTAATTATTTCTGGCTGTAGATTGACTCTCAGAGTCAATCTACAGCCATCAGTGGTGCTGGTGAAGCCTATATCAGATTCACTCTGATTTAGCCACCCACACTAAGCTAGTACATGTAGCAAAAATCATCTTCACTGGGGGGGGGGGGGGGGGGGGGCAGGGGTAAATGTAGTTGGATCCTGGGACGGATACCCTGATGCCCCCTGGATCTCAGCTAGACCAACCCACGCACAGAGGTATAAATGTGTATGACTCGGCGAAAGAGTAACCGTATCCCGTGCCAGCCCATTAGGTGCTGCATCTGCCACTGGGTTTACCGGATGTTAGCGGCCGTCGTGAGTTCCCTTTTGGACCGGATGTTAGCGGCCGTCGTGAGTTCCCTTTTGGGAACGGACACGATAATTTACATATTTTTAACTAGCCCTTGGCGGGTATTGGTCGAAAATAGGCAGATTCTGCTCAAGCATATCCTCTTGAATCCTGCTCCTCCTTTTGTCCATAATATTATTGATACCAAACAAGAATGTAAGATACCAGAAAAGCACCAACTTCTCCCGGCATTATCCGCCATGGGCTAGTACCAACATGCCCAAATCTGGGATGTTGTGTAGATTATTTACCTGTGCAGGCGTTTCCGACAATCGATCGTTCAGATAGTTGGACGTCCGGATAACCGGCATTCTTCAGTCATGGCCAAAGAAATCCAGTCCGTGAGCTGAATGCAGCCTTTGGCTGTTTTGTTTTTTAACCGTATATGATGTAATCTAAACGGAAATGTGCTGCTACTTTTGCCTCGTGGGTCGTATTTCGGGGGTCTTTGAAGAGAGTCACCAGTCAGCCATGCAAATCTGAGCAGGAAGCAAACTGTGAAGTGTCCGGCGCGGCGCATGCGCCTTCTGGGTTAACTTATTTTTGCGCGCTCGCAAAAATTCATATACTATTGCACAGAGGAACACGGACTATCCGAAGTTCCGAACTCTCCGGGGTAGACAGCATTCAGAAGGGTCCGGATGAGAGAATGTTCGGATAATGAGAGTCACAGATACGCGTGGAGCAGGACCGGCGGAAGCAGTTTTTGATTGGTCGGGCCATACCCTCGCCTTCCATACAGTTTGTGTATGATATGGACGGTATTATACTGGTACACAGTACACAGTACCTCTCAGCAGTAAACACACGTTGGTGGCCAAAAAGTTGGTCCGGCCATGGCTTGACCAACCGATCTGGTTCTGCTGGGCCTGTGGAGTATAGGGCCCATACACTTTACATGCATGTAATTTCATCATCGAAAATGTTTACAAGATCATCTACTCGTAGGTCTACCATGCATTAACGGGCATGCAAGCAGTGTCCCGGCCATTCTGGATAACCGTGAGTTAGTACATACTCGATTGTTCGGATAATCGATCGTCCGGATAATCAATGCTCTATCATGTGTAGGGAAGCAACGGTTTTACTAACTGCGGTTTAACAGTTATTCACTGTGCCAAGAAAGACAACCATGGCATCAGTCCCTGGGATAGCAGGGTATGTACAAAAAAGGACTGATCTACTGCCTAGACTACTGAAAGTATTACTAAGTACTTGTCTTGATAGATGTGGATCTGCAGTCATCATGTACTAGTGTAAGACATGTAATTATAACGAGGAAGTAAATCTAACGTTTTAACGGATGACATTTCTTCGTTATAATAAGATCTGTTGAGGCCGTACTGCTTCATTATAATTATTATGTTGTGTGTGGATATGCCGGAATACTGCAAGATCGTTAACATATCTTCTCGTTAACCTACCTGGCACATACGAATACGTGGACTTACTGTTGACGTAAACGCGGACGTGCGTATAATATAATAATAATAATAACCTACAGATTTTGGACAATCGTTAAATTTGCGACTCGTTATAATAACAAGTCATGTCCGAGGCTTACAGTACATGACATTGTGTAGATCTCACTAAGCTATTAGTACTACAGTATTACAGTCATGACCAGGGAGTCGTAAAAGCCTGGGCAAGTAAGTATTAGTTTACGACTCCCTTGTCATGACCGTACCGTCATGTACACGTAGATCTACCATTACCAATGACTTGTACTTGTTAAAGGGGAAGTTATTAGGGGCCATCCATAATTAAAGAGTTGGTGGACAAGCCGTTGATTATTCACTCTCATTGTAATATCAAAAAGTATTCTTTCTAGACCAAAGAGTGGTATATTTGATAACATTTAATAACGATAGAAATTTTTACGATACTTCTCCAGACGTTTCGTTGTTCTGAACAACATCGTCAGTCGTCAGTTATCCACTGACGATGTTGTTCAGAACAACGAAACGTCTGGAGAAGTATCGTAAAAATTTCTATCGTTATTAAATGTTATCAAATATACCACTCTTTGGTCTAGAAAGAATACTTTTTGCCATCCATAATTATCGATCTTTTTCACGAAACGAAAAAGTTTCGTTTATGGGTGGGTGGGTAGCGACCGGTTTCGTTTTGAAAAAACATCGAAAGCGGAAAAATCAACGCTCACTGCATGCATTGATCCATGCATACATAATCATTGTGTACATCGAAGTAGATCGACAGTAGACTCTAGTCCACGTCGCGCGGCCAAGCAAGTGCTGCATGGATGCAGTGATACCTCTCTGTACTCAGTGCAGTGAGTTCCTTTCGTCCTCGGATGACTTCTCCGACGAGGACCTAGCAGTCATCATGATCATTCACTCTGGGACCGACGACAGATAGATAAATACTTCGTTCCAGCCGCCGATGCAAGAGAATTTCAAATTACGGAGCGGGGCGCACGCCAAGTAAATTCTCACGCAAATATGGGGAGCGCCAGCCGCTGAAGACGATGTCGTCGTAATGTACCTGGAAGAATCTGATCGTGCTTGTGGTGGGGAAGCCATGGAGAGTGATCCCCGTGTCGACAGTCTTCCAGAGACGGAAAATTAGGCCATCGACTTTCTACGTACCTGATTGACGGCAGCGCAGCGCGACGTGCGTGCGACCTTAGGGAGCTTTCAGACAGCGATTCTGGGGCGATGCTGCTCTCATTTGCGAGCGAGGCACGACCACTGAAGTCTGTGATAGCTATGGCTTTTGTTTCCGCTCCGAAGTCGACTTGTTTTGGCAGTATCATGTCAATGTCGGAACTCTGACGATTTGCAAGTGTACAATTCCCGTGTTTAGACGTAGAGGTGCCAGCAGCGTATGTGTGTGGTAGGTGAATATAAATGTTTCCACGGTCAAGAAGTAGTACCAGACTTCCAAGAAAACATAACTAACGTTGTTACTTACTTGCACAATCACACAAAATGTGGCCTCGCTGTGTTGTAACAGCCAATCAAGATCATTTTCTGCACAAAGTCCCAAGTCAATTAATTTTTTCGTTTCAGGGGGGTGGGTGGGTGGGGGTGGGTCATAACTAAACTTTTTCGTTTCGTGAAAAAGATCGATAATTACGGATGGCCCCTAAGGCAAAAATTAAAATATTAATTTCACCAGTTGTAGTCTTCGGGGTGCTGAGTCGAATGGTCTTGGTCCGAGGAAGCTGAGACGCTCCCTTCCTACCTGAATCCCAATCGAACTCGCGCACTTCCACCGAAACTGGGTGACTGCGCCCTACTAGATGGGGATTTGTATGCAAAATATCACTAAAAGCGCCATTTCGTTCTTATAAAAGCACGGATGACCGCGATTGGCCCATATGTTGTAGTCTTTTGGACGCTGAGTCGACTGGTTTTGGTCCGAAAAGGCTGCGATGCGGCGTTCCTCCTTTATTCCCAATCGAACATGGTTGAAGAAGCGGTCACGTGCTCCTGCGTACACCAGTCACCTGGTCACCGTGCCTGCAGGGTACAACTTACTAGCTTGTTTGACCTTTTTTGGGTGCAGTCCTGTCACTCGAGTTGAACTCGAGTTGAACCTTGGTGTGAAAGTTGTCACCTGCTGGCGTGGTGACCAGGTGATTTGGGCACCCAGGACCACGTGACCGCTTCTTCAACCATGTTCGATTGGGAATAAAGGAGGAACGCTGCATCGCAGCCTTTTCGGACCAAAACCAGTCGACTCAGCGTCCAAAAGACTACAACATATGGGCCAATCGCGGTCATCCGTGCTTTTATAAGAACGAAATGGCGCTTTTAGTGACATTTTGCATACAAATCCCCATCTAGTAGGGCGCAGTCACCCAGTTTCGGTGGAAGTGCGCGAGTTCGATTGGGATTCAGGTAGGAAGGGAGCGTCTCAGCTTCCTCGGACCAAGACCATTCGACTCAGCACCCCGAAGACTGACTGGTGAAATTTTAATTTTTGCCTTAACTTCCCCTTTAAACTACTTAGCCAATGTAGGCCATGGCATGGGCATGGTACTTGGTAGACCTACCGTGTGTGTCACTCCTGACCTCAGCCAGTGGAGTGTCTTTTTCACTGCTTCAAGTTCAAGTGCTTGATTTAGATGCCACTCAGCACTGAGATTCAAACTCAATCAAGGAGACCGCGCTGTATGCCAAGAGTTCTATGCACAACAAAAAGATCATCGCTAGTACAAGTACTACAACACACAGTACAAGGCAAGAAATAATTGAAGAATACTGTACTCACTTGTAGTCGTTCTAAAAAGCTCCAGTTAGACCGGTTATTTTGCTAGCAACGTCGCTGACCATCGTAGTTGAGCCAAAGCGACTTGAAACAGCTTCTGCAAGTTTTACTGTACTCTGTAGCTCTTGTTCTGCTCTAGCTCGGCCAGGAACTGACTCAGGTAGCGGTGGTTATTGGCTGCAAGGTAAGCGAAATGTGCAGAAGAGCGAGTTTTGCCCGACGAAGGCCAGCCGGCCAAGTGGGGCCACTGCTGTATGTTATTGTTAGCGAGTTGTCGGCTTGTGGCATGATGAGCTAGTGCGGTCATTGACGTCGTACCGTATTCATGGTATTCGGTAGAGAAAAGGAAGGTTTCAAATAAGCTTCCCTTGGCACGCGCACCCCCTCGCGCCCCCAATGACTGACAACAACGGGATGGTATGTAGAGCGGGAGGGTGGTGCACTTGTAAAGTTAGTTGTAGCCAAACGCAGCAAGAGAATAGAATAATAGTCATGGAGAGAACCATGGGTCACCGAAAAATGAGAGAAGAAGCGAGCAAACGCGTGAACGTGTACGGAAGTTCACGCAGTCCGAGTCAGGGTGGTCAGATGTAACAAATAATTCAATATGGGATTTTCATGAGGTTTGATTGGATGCAAGTACTCAGTGTACGATCTATTTTATGAAAGAAATTCAGTCCAAAAATGTCTGTTTTATTCACCTTTCATCTCAGCGCTTGGTAAATTGTAGTTTGTATTTCAAGCTTGAGGTACTGCATGGTCACAAAGGAGCTTGGTTATAATGACAGCTAATCATTCTTTCTTTTTGACTGCGGCAGTCATGACGGATGATGTCATGTCGATGATATCGACTTGGGTACGTATCGAGCACGAGTTACCCTTTTCTCTCGACACAGGCATACCAAGGGTTTGACCATGATTTGAGTGCTAGTGCCGTAGTGGTGAACCGGCTTGCGCGATTGGGCGACCGAATGAGGAGTGTCTGGTCTGGCTCATAGGGCATAGCCTGACCATTTTTCTGCCTCAGGTTAAATAGTCAAGCGGATCGAAAACTGTGTATTGTTGTTCATTCTATTCGTCTTGACAAAGCCCCGCCACACTTGCGTAAATATAACTGGTTTCTTCCCACTCGTCCTACGCGCAATCCCTGCACTTTACCTAAAGCCCGAGCCTTACCAGATCTCCGTTTTTCGCTGCCTATTCTCTCTGGCTGGCCCTGCCTCTATCAGTAAAATCGTCTTGTACGCTAAAGGATTTCAAGGCCAACATGAAGCCCGTGTTCTAATAACTGCTAATTCTTTATCCAGATTTGTTTCTCTTTGCCTCCAGTAATGTGTAATATTTATTTATTTTTGCTTTGTTTTTGTTTACTGCCATGGCTGGCTACCGCCCCCCCCCCCCCCCCCTCCCTCCATATTGGCCTATATTCTCTGGCCACGGGAAGGTGAAATAAATAAATAAATAAAAACCATGCCGTATCACTGTGAAGTACAGCGCTATTGTGTTTTGGTGCATTTAGTCCTGCATGGGCTGTTGAGCTAGCTGGGGGGGGGGGGGGGGGGGGCTGGCTTGACCCGTGATGCTGCAATTGTTTCTGACGGCGGGCTATCTTGTATGGGAGTTGGGAGTTCCTACACGTACATGTGATGCAAGTGGCCGTGAAGTTGCAAGTCCACCTTGCACCTTGAACATGCTGCGAATTCATGGTACCTGGTCGTGGCTTACACTTTCGTAGAGCGGTATTTTTCCGCACATTGGTTAGGTATCCTGACTTGCCGCTAGGGTCGAGGATAGACAATTACTAGTACCGTAAAATACCGTTGATCCCCCCCCCCCCCCCACGCCATGTCGCTTCCCAGCTGGGTTTTCGGCAGGGGGCGGGAATTAGATCAAGGCTGTCAAGTGCAGTACGATGTACATGTACAACAACATGGAAGTTCAGACTCGATGAGCTGGGTTGTGCACATTTTCATCCTGCACTGGCACATATTGTGTACAGCAGTGCATGCGTCGGTTCAACATCCGTCATCGTATTTTGTTGTATACGCCGAAGTCGCTTCACAGGCAGGACATCGACAGGGGGCGGCAATTAGAGAGGGGGCGGATCAACGGTACTTTACAGTATGTGTGTTACATGGCTACTCAATACGGTGTATGTGGGCAGTACATACTGATACTGTACTGGTTAAGTGGACTCACCAGCACGGCACAGAGAAATGGGGCCAACCTGGGAGAAATGAATAGCTTTCTTGAAGTCTGAATCCTGTTTAGCAGTTAGACGGGTGCCTGTCCTCAAAGTGATCATGCTGCTGCTGCTGCTGCTCTGATTGGTGTTGCTGGTGCTGCTAACTCCCAATCTGTCTAAAACTAAAATCATGCTCTTTCCTTCTCAGCCCGATGTTCCGCCCCTCCTCCATCCCACTTTCCCCCAGCCTATAGACATAGTCTCCAGCCATAAGCATCTTGGCATTTTCATTGACTCTAACCTTTCATGGGAACCCCACATCGATTACATATGTAAACGATCAAGTTCATCTTTAGGAATCCTCTCTTCTCACTGTTACCATCTCCCAATCTCTTGTAAACTCCTCTTTTACTCAGCTTACCTACGCCCCATTTTTGATTATGCAGATACTGCTTGGGCTGGAATTTCCACAACCCGTGCTGCCAAGCTCGAAATTCACCACAAAAAAGTTCTCAAAATCCTCCTCCGAAAACCCCGCATGCTCCCATCTTCCACCCTTTATGCCCTTGCTGACTACCCCTTTGTCTAAGAGACGTAATTCACATCTTGTCACCCTTATCCATTCTCTCAAACTCACTCTGTGTCCACCTCACCTGCACTGTTTCAACTGGTTCTCTTCCCGTAGCACGAGAAACTCCTTTCCCTTCCGAAACCTAAGTCCTCCTTTCTACTTCACTCTCCCTTTTTCACTGCGTACTCTGCGTGGCTGGCACTTCCCCAAGAAGCTAAGGACCTTTCTTCCCTCCGCCTTTTTAAGAGCCTTGTCGCACCTTGACTTTGATTTTGTGCTTCTCATTCTGTTGCAATCACTGCTTATCCACGCCGGTTCCTTTTTTCTTCTCCTCCCCTTCTCCCTTCCTTGCCGTGGTTGGCTAACACCCTCTCTCTTTGTATTGGCCGGTGTTCTCACTGTGCTATGAGATGCTGTAATAAATAAATAAATAAATAATAAATAAATAACTCACTGCACGTCTATCGCTGTTATTGGTGGTGTTGTTGCTGCTATTGCCATTATTGTCGCCGTTGGTGCTGCCGCCGCTTCTGCCACAGCAGCTAGTGGTGTGACAATTGCTGGCAGCGCTGTGAACATAATTTAAATTGTAAAGTACCGGTAACACTTCTCTCTTGCTCTGTTTTGCATCAAGGAGAGAACTTTGGTTTGCCTTGAAGATGTCGGAGACAATTGCATCAACACGAATGAAGCAAGCCTGAACAGAATGAAAGTTTCGGAGGCATCAATGGAGTAAGTACGGCATGGCAAGCAGTCTATCTATGTAAACCGATGATAGCGTGCTTCTTGTTCTATCCACACTACAATCGGACTGGAATTCCTGTTTGTAGCCAGAATTGGCCCTGTTTGTTGTTCGTGCTGGACCGTTGATGCATTGACCTTTGGGTTTCGTGTATGGTAGTGGCCAATGTGTCATAGGTACTCTGTGTTCCTTGTATCCTTCTTTCCCAGCTTGATCCAGTATTGCATAGACAATCAAGCGGAGGACTGGTTTGTGTCCACTGTAATGACCGTCGAGAACCCCTTCAAGTCGATGAAGGGCCAGTGTGTTGTGCTATGAACACTCCACTCGGTGGCAGCCCGTTTTATGTGCCATGGGATCACCAATGCACAGCATCAGCTACAGACAGGCTCTGCTCACAGGCACTTCACTCGCTGATGCTGCGTTCTGTAGCGTGTTTGTTTATCTGTTTGTCCCCCCCCCCCCAAACTATGGGACTGTGATGCCAAGTCATATCAACAGAGCGGCCCAATAGAGATGCTATATCTGACATAGAAATCTGACACACTTTGTTTTTATTTTGGTCTACTTGCAACTGGATTAGATGCATACTGGTTGGCACCCTGACAATATAATTGTTATACTGTAAGGTCGAATCAGAACCTCTCTCCCTCTCTCTCTGTCATTGCAGACATGCACAGTGATGTCGACCTTTTCTTTTGCTCCTAAAACCAATCATTCCGAAAAGAAAGTTTTGCCGTTCTGTTTTTGTGTTTTCCACATCGCTGTTGTTTGATCAATCCATTAGCACATTTTGGTGGGCAAATGTAATATATTAGCCAGTGCTACGTATTACCTCTGTACATTCACTGTGCATCTATAGTCATTCTATAACTAGAACAGTAGAACTAGATGTGTATACCTCAGCGTATATGAGTCAGTGTACTGCTATGTGTGTGTGTGTGTGTGTGTGTGTGTGTGTGTGTGTGTGTGTGTGTGTGTGTGTGTGTGTGTGTGTGTGTGTGTGTGTGTGTGTGTGTGTGTGTGTGTGTGTGTGTGTGTGTGTGTGTGTGTGTGTGTGTGTGTGTGTGTGTGTGTGTGTGTGTGTGTGTGTGTGTGTGTGTGTGTGTGTGTGTGTGTGTGTGTGTGTGTGTGTGTGTGTGTGTGTGTGTGTGTGTGTGTGTGTGTGTGTGTGTGTGTGTGTGTGTGTGTGTGTGTGTGTGTGTGTGTGTGTGTGTGTGTGTGTGTGTGTGTGTGTGTGTGTGTGTGTGTGTGTGTGTGTGTGTGTGTGTGTGTGTGTGTGTGTGTGTGTGTGTGTGTGTGTGTGTGTGTGTGTGTGTGTGTGTGTGTGTGTGTGTGTGTGTGTGTGTGTGTGTGTGTGTGTGTGTGTGTGTGTGTGTGTGTGTGTGTGTGTGTGTGTGTGTGTGTGTGTGTGTGTGTGTGTGTGTGTGTGTGTGTGTGTGTGTGTGTGTGTGTGTGTGTGTGTGTGTGTGTGTGTGTGTGTGTGTGTGTGTGTGTGTGTGTGTGTGTGTGTGTGTGTGTGTGTGTGTGTGTGTGTGTGTGTGTGTGTGTGTGTGTGTGTGTGTGTGTGTGTGTGTGTGTGTGTGTGTGTGTGTGTGTGTGTGTGTGTGTGTGTGTGTGTGTGTGTGTGTGTGTGTGTGTGTGTGTGTGTGTGTGTGTGTGTGTGTGTGTGTGTGTGTGTGTGTGTGTGTGTGTGTGTGTGTGTGTGTGTGTGTGTGTGTGTGTGTGTGTGTGTGTGTGTGTGTGTGTGTGTGTGTGTGTGTGTGTGTGTGTGTGTGTGTGTGTGTGTGTGTGTGTGTGTGTGTGTGTGTGTGTGTGTGTGTGTGTGTGTGTGTGTGTGTGTGTGTGTGTGTGTGTGTGTGTGTGTGTGTGTGTGTGTGTGTGTGTGTGTGTGTGTGTGTGTGTGTGTGTGTGTGTGTGTGTGTGTGTGTGTGTGTGTGTGTGTGTGTGTGTGTGTGTGTGTGTGTGTGTGTGTGTGTGTGTGTGTGTGTGTGTGTGTGTGTGTGTGTGTGTGTGTGTGTGTGTGTGTGTGTGTGTGTGTGTGTGTGTGTGTGTGTGTGTGTGTGTGTGTGTGTGTGTGTGTGTGTGTGTGTGTGTGTGTGTGTGTGTCACGTGTGCATGGTGTGTGTGTGTGTGTGTGCGTGTGGTGTGTGTGTGTGTGTGTGTGTGTGTGTGTGTGTGTGTGTGTGTGTGTGTGTGTGTGTGTGTATCTTCCTGTGGCTATGCTGAGCTGAGGGAAAGGGAGACTGATACAACTCGTACATGTATTATGATTGTGTGTTTTCAGTCTCGGACATTCAAAGTGCACGACAGGTCTGTTAGTTCGAAATTTGGGAAGTCGTTCAGACAAGAAATAATTGAAAGATATCAAAAATCAAAAATGCCTTGTACTGGTAGTACTGGTTACTGTTATTCCGTATTCGGCACTGATTGGTTTCTGCGAGGTTTTCACTCATGCAAATGCCTCCTGGGGACTGTCCCAGGCTTCGATTTTCATTGCCAAGTTCCAAACCAAGGGCAAGGTCGAGGTCATCATGGTCAAACTACATGATTGTACACGTATGTCCTGGGCAGAGTCGTGCATGTGCTGGGTATGGAGTCTTGCAGTCCTGGGCCTCCTGACCCGATGTAGTTCTACTAGTACTAGTACTAATACAGTGGTCCCTCTATAATCCGGCACCATTTGTGCCACGAAAATCTGCTGGATTAGGGAGGGTGCTGGATTAACAAATCTGATATCTGATTTACTGCTGCAATGTGCATGAAGAGGACATTTTGGCTACTGAAAATTGTGCTGGTTTATCGAGGGTGCTGGATTATAAAGTGCCGGATTAGAGAGGGACGACTGTACTATCTAATCAGTATTACTAATAGTATTGCTATCTGCATTCCGATTCGAGTCAAGAAGGCCAGGATGACCCCCCCCCCCCGCTGTTGTTTGAGTTTGCTAAGCACCGAAATCCGTGTTTGCCAAGACATTACATGTACCAGCTCAAAAAAGACTAAAGTCAAGACAAAGTGCAAGACGGAAATGAACTCAAAACTCGACCGAGAGGCGGCGAGACCCGAGAGGCGCTCAATCAAGGGTGTTGACATGGCCATGGGAAGTGCCACTGGCACTGGCACAGGATCTGCGCCGAGCACTAGCGCTGGAGCCGTGGAGGCTTGAGCAGTTGAGGCTGTCACTACTAGTACGAGTACGAGTAGATCTACTGCAGTCTGCATGCACGTAACAGTGGATGAATGTGGCATCTGCGGAAACGACAAGACACTGCTCGTACTGACGGTTGCTGTTTACCAGCTGTGCGGGCGCTTGTGTGAACGCTCGACTCTGGTGCGAATTGTTGTTCGAATCGTAGTCCGGAACGTGGCGGAGAGATTGAACTCTACCGTCGCTTCATCTTTAGATGGTCGAGGATCAGAGGATAACTCGGTACAGGTAGTTGCCTCATGCTCAGCATCAGATTTTTATTTTTAAATGCCGATACAGGCGTGGGCCCAGCACTGCCACTACTAGGCCACTAGCACTGCTGCTAAGACAAGCTAACGGTCGGGAATGGCGGTGGCGGGCAAGGTATGATTCCAGTGCATTCTTATTCAGTCTGGCTAGACTAGGGACAAACGTGGCCCATTTGTGCTTGTTCTGTGTTGGTGGGCCAGTCGATGGTGTGTCAGGTCGGAATGCCTACTGTTGAATTGGGAAACTAACCTTGCATATTTTTCGTTACTTTCTTGATGTTTCAAGAATATTTGTTGCACCACTCATATCAGTGCAGTAAGCCGCAACAGCAGATGCTAGACATTACTGATCAGTGTATTAAAAGTAGAAAACCATCTACTCGTACCATTTAAATTATGTAATGCAGTCACTTTGCACATATGATATGAATTATTTCAAGATTGTCTCATAAACAACACTTCACTTGAAACAGCATACTTCGGCATGTAGATCTACTGAGCGTTGGCAGTTTCCAAACGTGTGAGATCGCATGCTGACATGAACACCCGGGTGACAATTATACTTGAAAGAATCATGGAAGATCACACACCAAAGCAAAACGCTAGACATCCGTATGTCGATTGTTCGTTGTGCGAGGATGTCGGGCCATCACAAAAAATAAACGGCCTGGCCGGCTCAAATGAATACACGAATTTCGACTGTGGCAAACAACGGCAGACTCCCGGGCCATTACTGTAGCATGGAGCACCATGCCGAAACATGTCAGTGCCAACACTAAGTGTTCCGAGCGGGTCACGATTGTTTTGGCATTGCTGCTTTTTCAACTACTCTAGGCACAGTACTACCGCCTGGTCAACCAGGAGACAGATAGTGATGGAGAAGCAGTACAGGAAAAGGCAAAGGTTGTTACACCAACCTCACCAAAGGCCAAGGGTGCATCACCACTTGGACAGAAGCAACGTCGCCAACGGACCAACCACCCGAGTCTGCGCTATGGCTGGTCACCTCGTGCTTCCATCTTCTTCTGTATGCTGATAGCTGCTCTGGTGTTGTTGGCAATCCTGGTTATTGTCGCCCTCAGGCCTAGCTTGAACAACAACGGAGCAGGAACAACTGCACCTCCACCAGCAGTGTGCAGTTCTTCAGCATGCGTTCAGGTATGTGTGTGTTTTGTTTGTGTTGTGTGTGTGTGTGTGTGTGTGTTGTGTGTGTGCATGTGTGCGCACTTGTGTGTGTGTGTGTGTGTGTGTGTGTGTGTGTGTGTGTGTGTGTGTGTGTGTGTGTGTGTGTGGTGTGTGTCCCATGCGGTGCAGTAGTATGTGCAGTTGATTTCCAATCGAGAGGTTGCGGGTTTAATTCCCGGCGATTGTGGTCACACACGTCTTTCTTCTCTTTCTCAGGCCCCTCCTGACTTTTCTTTCATTCTCTTAGGTGGTAACCAACAACCAGTGCATGCCGGAGTATGTGGTGTGATGTGTGTTCGGGGAAAAAAGGAAAAGGCCGAAAATTAGGGATTCACTGGCCAGAAGAAGCTACTTTAAATAGCTGTGTGGTGCAGACCAGGCTGAAAAGTGGTCAGTTATTCAGCCTTGCAAGCTGTTGAATGGTGCAATTTCAGCACAAGTTGCTATGGCTTCTGCTGTAGCATCGCTATCATCGCCTCCGGCATTGACCGTCAAAGGTGTGTGAGTGAAAGAGTGTGTATGGGGGGGGGGGGGGGGGGGTATGTGGACATGTATGTGTGTGTTGTTGTTGTTGTTGTTGTTGTTGTTGTTGTTGTTGTTGTTGTTGTTGTTGTTGTTGTTGTTGTTGTTGTTGTTGTTGTTGTGTGTGGGTGTGCCTGTGTGTGTGTGTGTGTGTGTGTGTGTGTGTGTGTGTGTGGGTGTGCGTGTGTGTGTGTGTGTGTGTGTGTGTGTGTGTGTGTGTGTGTGTGTGTGCGTGTGTCGGGGGGGGGGGGGGGGGGGGGGGGTGTTTACGAATCCTGCGTTGGTGATAGTCAAACAGGCTGATTTGTTTATTTATCAGTCATACAACATCTCCTGGCTCGCCGTAAGACTGCCAATAGTGAGAATGAGATGAAGGGTGGTAAGCAACCACGGCTATCTAAAAACTACATTTAAAATGAGAGGGAAAAGAGAGAAGAAGAAGCAAAGAGGGGACAAGAAAAGTGAGTTACACGATGACTTAGGCATTTTCATATTTCATGTCTGAAACACAACGTACCATACCAGTACCAATGTGTGTGTGCCACCTTTTCTACTTGCATGCTTCTCCCCAGTTGTCTGGAGCTGTAGCATCAATGGCAAATTTCAGTGCCGATCCGTGCGACAACTTATGGCAATATGCCTGTGGTCGACTGCTGGACAAATTGGTACTACATGACTATGTCGCTCGCTGGTCTTGGTACGATCAACTGGAGAAGAGAACCTACGAACGAGTTCAACAGGTGAGAATGAATACATGTACGTGGATGCTGTGCTTGTTCGGTTCATGTGTGCCATTTCTGCATGTTAACTGTCCTCGTATGTGTAGCCACGGCATCAACCCCTACTGCGATATGCGATCGCCACTGCGGAAAGATTGCTCATCTCGATTATCATCGAGCAGTACTGGAATAATTCGTGTTGTCTTCCTCCATCCAAGAGGCATATCATGTTTTTTCGAGTGTTTGAATTTCCTCTTGATGTTCACAGATCTTCCGAAAAATGAAGGCCTCCAGCACAGACTCGGTACTGGAACCATCTACTGCAGCAAAAAAGGCAGCAAGACTGTACGAAACTTGCACGAACACAAATGCTGCCGATAAACTCGGTGTAGCACCACTAAAGCAGTTTGTCAGTATGATTGGAGGTAAGGGAGTTGTGACGGCGCTTTTACTAAGACTGATTCCGACTTGAAATGTGAGCTTCTTTACATGTTTTTTTAATTTTAACCCTTTATGGACTGCCAAATTTGTACAGGAAAGAAGCGACATGCGAAAATGAGTAATAACACGAAATCGGTGTACATTAGCCTATACAACACCATACATTTTCGGAAAGTAGATACGATAAGCTGTCCAACAACATCCTCGCCGCTGCTCTCGCTACTAGCAGTATCAGCAAATCCATCAGATAAATTGTTTTCTTGAGTTTCTGGGATATCATCATCACTATCACTGTCCACTTCGAACTCGTCGTCATCAGACTCGTCAAGTGGGTCGCCAGATCTGTCCTCGTCAGAGTTCCAGTTCAGAATCCTGCCGATGACGTTTCTGCGTCGTGCTATGACAGTACTCGTACTGCAATTTTAGTTCTGCATGCTCGCGCAAGCTCTCAATTTTTTTTCTTGCGCGGCCGATTTCGTCAACATTTCGACAAGGGACCCCCGGCGAATTTAGCACCATTGGAAAGATATTATTATTATTATTATTATTATTATTTCACAATCACGATGACATAGTGCCAATAAGCATGTGATGCAGGCGATTTTAACCAGCCATGGATATGGATTTCGTCTTTCGATTTGTGTAAAAAATATCGCCGAAAACGTGCGGTGCGCCCAGAAAAATTCGCATTTCAAGTTTCGATCTTATTAGATCGAAACTCGTACAGTCCATCCACAAAGGGTTAATTTATAGGTAAGGCTTTCCGCTAGCTTGTTTGCCTCCACCCATGTACACATATTAGCTCTGGTCTTGGTTTGATTATCACAGTAGTGAATTGTAGTAAGTACGATGTCCTGTACATTGCGGAAATCTGGACTGGTTGTATTATCCCCGGTGTCCCAGGTTGGAACGCAAGCGGATGGTCCGATCTCAAATCTGATCTAACAAAGGCCTTGGCATTGACACTGGATGTGTCGCTGCGTGACATCTCTGACAACAATCAACTCAGTCCATTCTTCGCTGTGTCGACTAGCAAAGATGACAAGGTCAATGTGTCCATATTCAAAGTTAGTTCTACCTGTTCCGTATGAATAAATCTGAACCGATGATTAGCACTGTTAGCAAACTTTTAATAGTCTAACCTACATGTACACAGTATCTTTTGGTTGGCAAGTACATGGCATTGTGAAATTTGGACCATGAAAATTGAGAGTAGTATGTATGGCCTGAAAGTCTCGGGATCATTGATGGCATTGCAATCTTTGATGTTTTTTAGCGGTACCTTTGCTTGGTGTATGTTGACTACCACAACAGAGGGATACTGTCTATGTCCAGCACAACAGAGGGATATTGTCTATGCCCAGCTGAGTTGTTGCCAGGCTTTGCGGCCCTCGTTTGTTATGTTTAATCTGCTGTGCTCTTTTGCATGTTGACCGTTGGCTACAGATTAGGGAAAGTGGCCTTGGCATGGCTTCAAGGAGTCTCTACTTGTCAAACTCCAGTTCCTCTGTAAGTGAAAGTCAGTTGCGGCCATCAGTAATGGCTTATGCACTTAAGTAGTTTTATTACTTTGTTGAAGATTTTAACAACAAGAAAAGCTCAGAGATTTGCGCTGGTAATTCTATGGCAAACTGGTTGTAATGTAACACTGGTCCGTATTTGGACACAACATGTATATTTGAGCTGCTACGGTTAATACGGTGGAGGCAACGGAAGTAATAAGTTGCCACTTCCACCTTTATCTTGTTGGATTCCCCAGTGTGCTGTCTTCCCGGCACTTCACATAGGCTGGTTCTGAAGACCACTCAGTGTGCATCTTACCATCTGTGCTTGACAGGTATCCACAGCCTATCAGCGTTTCATGAGCAACTTTGCGAATGCCCTAAGTGATGATGGTGCTACACAACTGCAGCTGCAATCGGACTTGGCCGATGTCTACCGATTTGAGGTTGAACTAGCAAATGTAAGTGCCTCCCCCATATCAATTCTTCAGTTTGTCATCTAGTGCAGTGGATTTTCATTGGTTTGTTGAAACCTGACTGTGTAGGCCATGCATAGATGGTATTAGTGCTTAGCCTAATACAGCCTTGGCATTATGTCAGTATATGCTATACCTATATCTCATTGTGCATTGTGCTTCCGGTGCACATCTACTCGCATGCTGAGGTTACATCCCACTGGGCATTGTGATTCTAATAATGTGTGCAGATCACTACACCAAGTGCTGACCTACGTGATCCTATGGGCGTCTATAATAAGAGAACACTGAGAAATGTCTCGACTATTCTTACCACGGTAAGACTCATTGATTGAATCCTGAAAAGGATGTAGTGCCAGGCATTGATTACTGCACATATCTCCTGATAGAGTAGCCTCGTCGTCAGGCGAAATTACTGGTCAGTCGGCGTCACGCATTTTTCACAAAAATTTGCGTTTCACCTGCTGGGAGAGTATGCGTGTACTCGAGTCTCATCCTGAGCACGTTTTTTTCTTCTTTTTTTCAGCTCGAGTATAGCTGTATGTTTCATTGCAAAGCCGTCCTTGATTGTTGTGTTCGTTGTTCAAACGAAGTGGACATTCAATCATGAAGGCAGAGGACATAGGAGCCTGATTGGAGTTTCTCGTGGCATAGGACGGCCACACAGAGACACTTTGGGATTTTCTGAATATAAAATACCGTACGCACGATGCTGAGATCAATTTGTGCGATATCAAATTGTTTGTGATCTACCACATCGAGCAGAACGGGATCCAAACACAAGCTTACCGACGGTTAGGCTGCCGACCTGACTGGACAAATGATCCCTGGCTTCACCAGACGCCAGACGTCGGACACCATGTCCTTTGCCGCGACGTCCATCTCCAAAAAGAACTCCATCTTCGTCGTGAAAAGGCTTGAAATACTCAATATTCAACCGAGATTCGCGGACTCACCCTTTCTCAGATCGAATCATTTTTTGTTGTAGCAGTTGCAGGGCAGATCCCCGCCACTACTTCAACAGAAGATGGCTCCAAAGCATGCCTGGAACAAGCCATATCGAGGTTGCAAGCCACCCCTCTCAGCACTTTTTTTGAAGAAATTCGAAATTTCAGTGGTGGAAGATATACTATGAAGAGAATTTCAAAAAGTATATTTCGCGGAGCGATCGCTCAACCCACGTCATTCAAACTTTGCAGGATGATTCAGACGTACATGCTAGGCATGGAACCACAGAAGATGATATCATAGCTGACACACAGAGTCACAAACACAGCAGATTCGTGTGCACAGATACTAAATTAGTGGACATCGTCATCTTCTTCCCGCTGATCTCAAATGTACGATGACGTGCTATTTCGCCTGACGACTAGTCAGGAATGTTCTACCTCTTAAAAATGCCTACACTGGACGTCTGCACTCTGGACCTTGAACTCATGTACCTTGAACTTTGAACCGCTATATCCTGGGCCCTAATCTCATGCTTTCAAAACTGTGTGTACGCAGAAAATTCCTTTTTTCCCTTTTAATAGGGTGCTTAACCATTATGTGTATTGTTTAAACAGCTGAGAAGCTACTGCTAATGTATAAGGTCTTGCTCTGAATATTGGGTTGTGTAGTGCTGGAGCCCAAGACAAAATAAGTAGGCTATGCCAAATTCTAAATCATAAATGCACACATTTTGTGGAGGCACATGACATAGTATATCCTTGTGGCATGACTTTTGCGCATGCATGGGCACAGTGCTACATTTACATGTAGATCGGTTCAGCCCCTCAATAAGCCAGCATCCCTTGTCTTTGCGTACAAGGGCTTAGCCCCATTTTCACCCTTGTTGCTGAGTGTCCACATTCCTGTGTACTATTACTTGTAATTGAACTTTTTGAATTGCCCCCACACACCGTTTGACTATCATGGGTATCATGATGAACTTGATCACTTCTTTCTGAGCCTGTGATACAAGCAGCGCTATATTTGGTCTGCACTGTCATGTCTGTACGCAGATTGACTGGGTAGTGCTGCTACAGACCCTGTACCCTGACTCAGCCGGCAGTATCAATCTGGACACGGAAGTAATCTTGGATTCACCCGAGTACTATTCTCAGCTGTCACAGCTCATCATGTCCACTCCTCAAAGGTGTGTTTCAAGATATAAACAGCAATTCTACTCCTTATGATCACATCTTTATCAATCTTTAAAAATCACAAGCATATGAAAGAAAGCAAATGCAATGCAGTCACCAATGATTGGCGAAGGGGAAGAGTAGTACTGGTGGAGGGCATCATGGCACACGGCTGTTCGCGCACGGACATCTAACAATATGGAGTCGTTCGGTGCGATTTACGTAACGCGGTGCAAACCTCATGAATACGATGGGAGTTTGCGTTTTGGGATGAAACTCATGTCACTCTGGGTGTGGTTCCACGATTTCGCAAGTCAAACCAGGATTTACTATTTGAAAGCGCTCGAGCGAGATACTCAATATCCAGACAATTTGAGAGAGAAGGAAGGTAAAAGGAACTCCTGCCGTGGTCAACCAGTATCCTGACCTTTTCGAACCTCTCCAAGCTGTCCCTGGTAGTCTGGATATTGACGCACGCACTGATTTTCAGCTTCTCCTCGCCGGGATCACGGGTGCAACTTTCAAATTTGCCGATATGCACTCGAACAAACGCACAATTGGATCTACATCACAATTTCGGGGCTATCTGTGTGCTTGCTGCCTTTTTCAGCAATACCCCACATGTCTACTGGGCAGTTTCCACCAGGTCTCGGCCTCCTGGACTCAACAGCGACTCCAGCGCCATGCCATCTGTCCCCTAAATCGCATGAAAAGGTAGCTCAGCATCGAACGCACGGGACCTGAAGTTTGTGCACGGGACGTGATAAAACTTGGTGAAGATAGCCAGAAGATAGTCCTCTACCTGGGAAAACTGAAAGCTAGACTGGGAAAACTCCTGAAAGGGCTTCTTGACGCAGGCATGTCAACGATGAATCAAGGAACGAGCGAGAAAGAAGGCTTGACTTGTGCAACGCGGAACAAACTGTTCCTGAGACGAAGTTGGCCATGTGAGGTACCAGCGGAAAGCTAGTTTCAAGAGGAACACGGAATACCTGTTTTCCGGGTAAACCTGGCCTGGTAGCTTTCTAAATCGAGCGAAAACCACAGCGAAATCGGCTGCTGAGAATTTGAAAATTCAAATTTCCTTGCCGATCCAGCCCAATCGAGACTTTTGGCTGCCATCTTGTTAAATGTCCAAATTTCGCGAAAAAAAACAGCCGTGGGCAGTGTGCCTGCTTGAAGTAGTACTGGTGGACGGCATCATGGCAGTGTGCCTGCTTGAAGTAGTACTGGTGGACGGCATCATAGCAGTGTGCCTGCTTGAAGTAGTACTGGTGGACGGCACCATGGCAGTGTGCCTGCTTGAAGTAGTGCATGCAGTTACACGTGCATTGTAGGTTGTGTCTACTTGCATTTGCTCTATTGCTCAGTTCCGCTAGTCTTTGGCTAGACAGCAACTGCATATAGCCATGAGCTTGTGAAGGTGTTACAAAAGGCATACTTTCAAAGGGAGGATGGCAAGCATGGACTAAGCTCAGAGTGGTTGGTTCTTGATGCTTTGCTGCGACTAATACGCCAATCATGCCGAATATTGAAATATTGATCACGCCCATTCTGTCTCTGTCTTCATCTCTACAGGACTCTCGGCAACTACATTTCGTGGTTGGTTGCCAGGACAACAGCACCATTGCTGTCTCAGCCCTTGCGAACTGCGTACGATGGGTATAAGAAAGCACTGAAAGGAGTGACAGGCATACCGAGAAACCTGTACTGCTTGAAACTTGTTGACCAGAGCATGCCTCTTGCTGTTGGGCGCTTGTTCATCGATGATGTGTTTGATTCTTCCTCTGTCAAGAAGGTAGGTTCTCGATCAAAAGCTAGCCTTGGACCAAGCCGGAGGGGATCATGCTTCCCGCTTGTGTGACTGTGTCCGGTTTATTTTTCTTGTGTTATGCAGGGCAGCGACCTCATGAGCAGCATTATACAGGCTTTCAAATCCAATCTACCCAATGTCAAATGGATGGACAGTGCCACACAAGCAGTGGCTGCAGAGAAGGTAATATGGCAGTGTGTGTAGTCAAGACACGCCGGACTGTGTCAAGGATCTCAGTAAGTGGTTAACTGTGTGCGGGGCAATTGTTTGACTGCACTCTCATCTTACTTTCCTCTGTGTGGATTTCTAGGCTGATGCAATCCTGTACCAGATTGGATACTCTGTTGAGTATGCGAATCGCTCAGCAATAGAATCTCTTTATTCTCAGGTTAGTGCTTGCATGGGCGCCTGTTGTTGTGCTGTGCATATCCAACCTTTCCTCTATGCCTGCATTGCAATCAATGCCGGCATGCTATACACATTGATGCAGTGGTTTGCTGCATCGATGTCTGTTGTTGCTAGACTTTCTTGGCAAATGAAGTCAGTTGGTATCACAGGTATCGCCTGCATGCTGGTGATCATCGATCTAGTTTCGATAGGCGATGCAGTTTTGTTAGGTGCTCATCTGCCTGCACTGTCCTGCTGTTCCTGGCTATTTCAGCTCAATGTCTCCACTAGGAGCCTTTTCACTGACATTATGGCCGCATGGCGATTGGAAAGGAGTCGGACCGGCAGCCTTTATGTAACAGGCAAACCAGTGTCTCGAAAATAGTAAGTTCCAGTGCTAACATACATGTAGGGTGCATCATCTGTGTCAATTAGAGTGACTTTTCTTATGCTCCGTACTACAAGTATCAGTGAAGGAGTATGACAGTATTTTGTGATTCTGGTGTTTCTATGAGGTAAGACATTGTCGGTGTTTGAAACATAGTGTTTGTTCCCATGGTGGTGGATATAGTGTGTGGTCTTAATTGGTACCGGTCGTTTTTGTTGTTTGTGCTCAGCTGGGACATGCGGCCCACACAGGCCAACGCCTTCTATGAACCCACACTGAATGTCATTGGTAGGTGTTTCCGTTTTCCAAGCAATTATGGAAAATTGTACTTGTAGCTGGTAGTACTAGAGCCATGAAATGCACCCAATGCTTATTGCCATTTCTCAGTCGGTCGCGAAGTGAGTTGACCTTGGGCGGAACACAACACTGGGCACAACTAACTTCCCTCATGAACCAACCGGCCGTCCAGGCCCGGTTGGGACACAGTTACAGTAGGTCAAAACTGAATAGCTGATACTAGAACACGTATTATGCACATGCATATGGCTTCCAGTAGTACATTTATGAAATCCAGGAGGGGTTCCACGGAACCCCTCCTGGATCCGCCCCTGCTCTTCCCCCCCCCCCCCCCATTCCCTTCCTCCTCCCCCTCTTTCGCTTGGATTTGGCCTTTTGTTGCTCCTAACAATCACTTCATTCCTGGGTGTGTGGCTATGGTCTGTGTGGCTAGGCATCCCTGGAGGAATTCTAGGACGACCTTTTTTTGACCAGCAAGCACCAGCGTAAGTCCGTCACATTGTATTCAATCCGAAAACAGATGCTACCCAAAGTGCCCCCATATGCTGGGTAGATAATAATTATATGCATGGCTGCTGCTGTTGCTGGCTCTAGTGAAGATCGAGTAAAGTTATTATCCTCAGTGTGTTGGACATGATTCAATCACCAATCAGTCTCAAGTTTCATGCATCAGTGTCACTATGTGTTTCCATTTTGTGGGATAGTTATGATGCCAAACTTCCGTACTGTGACAAAGCTTTAGAAAGTTTCCGTAACCTGAAAAGGAACGGACAAGTACAGGTGGTTGGCAAGACAGGCACCCTCACTCGCATGACACTTGATATGCACTGGTTTCTTGTGCAGGGCATTCAACTATGGAGCCATTGGAACCGTCATGGGGCATGAACTGTCGCACGGATTCGACGACCAAGGTCGGTAGCCCGTCACTCTTCCTCCCTGGGCCTGTACATGCATCGAGCTGCTTTTTGCTTGTTTGTCCCTATCTATTATGATTGTTTGAATGTTGGAACATATTATGTTATTGAAGTGTATAGTTTGTCATGCTCATGCTGTTTGTCACTACTGTAACCTTCAATGCAAAGTACTCAGAGCGGCTGAATTAAAAATCAATGCAGTGAATTTGTCACTAACGTTTATAGTTCGTCTGCTCATGATGAAGCATCTTGCTAGTACGGGTGAACTGTGATGATAACAAACCGGCAGGGCTCAGTGGGTGAGCAAATTCGGTACTACAGTCCATTCATAAAAAGATGAGCGCTGGCTCTGGCGAGATCCCGCATGTGGTGATTTTTCGTGATTTTATCGTACACGGTGCAGTGCCTCAGAATTTGAAACCTGAAAAAGGGTCCAAAAAGGGTACCTCAACTGGGGTTCGAACCGCACACTATACTGTTGCAAGTGGAGTGAAACGGCCTGGATTATCATTTTTTTCAGATTCAGTGCTCTCGAGGCAAAACCTGGCCGAAATCCTATTCGTGGTATGCTTTGCTTTTCGGAGAAGTCGACTTCAGAAACATAATTGGAAGAGCATTCCATTGGGAATTGCCAAAAAATTGTGAAGAAACGCAAGACTTGACCCATTTATGGCTGAAAGCTAGGATATCATCTTTTTATGAATGGACTGTAACGTTAGAAGCCCGCTTCACCGTATTTGCCTGTGTTCTATCTCAGCTAGAGAACGGGAGGGTTCACACATACACATGGCTCACATGCAGGTTTACTGGCTGGTATTCTACGATTGCAATGCATGGTGAAGGAGACCTGAGACTACAAGCAAATACAGTGTTTGGCCATCAGTGGAACGAGAGCATGATGACTGTGACTTGTCTCAATACACAATGACAGCCATGATCTGCACATAGTGTGACATGAGCATGCTAGTGATATGCCATAAGAAGTATAATTATCCATGAACGTATAGCACACACTACAGTTTATCTGAGATGCTACATGTATAATAGCATTTCCTTTCTGTCACTCCTTGGCTTGCGTTTTAGGGAGACACTATGACAAGAATGGCAGCCTGCGGCAGTGGTGGTCTGCGACTGCTTCTTTGGCATTCAATGAACATGCTGACTGCATTGTCAAGCAGTATGACAACTACACGGTCCTTAATTCACATGTGAGTTGACTTGTGCATAATTGATGTTAACGTCCTTTGCCCTTCAGTCATTGAAGCGCTTTTTTTAACGAGTAGTAATATAATTATAGTAATACAAGTACATGTACAGTGGCGTTGGCAGGCATTCTAGTGTTCCACGGACAGCCATCTGAAGTACAATTTACTCGTGGGGGAGCCGAAAATTTGGCAAGTAACAATGTATTATATTGATTCACGGAGTACCTGGGGCGAAAAGTGGTACGGTCCAGGTACGGTCAATACCGTAGTGACCATACTGTGCCAACGCCCCTGATGTATATCTGTAAAGTTTCCTTTTGACCTCCAACTGGAGTTACGAGTGTGCCAGTTTAGATGTATTGTACAGCTCTTTACAAAGAGGTTCCCTTTCGCCAGCGGAGAGGGCTCAACATGGCACTCTTCAGTTACACACAAAAAGCACCAATGAGGTATAAGAGTGTGTCGCAACTCCAAGTTTCTTGCTAAATGCAATCATTAGGCAACTTGTACATCTGTTTCGATTGTTAGGGAGTCTCAATTTTTTAAAACCATTCCTTTGTGATAAGTTCATGTTTTACTTTGTTGCTGGCTTTGTTTGTTCTGATTGTCTAGCTGAAAGGCAAGCTGGCCCTCGGTGAAAATATTGCTGACATCGGAGGATTGAAAATCGCATACAAGGTAGGTAACCGCCACCTCTTTCCCCATCTCGGAATTAGGTTTTGGGAGAAGAAGACACTTGCTTCCTTCGGGGGTAATGTAATTCCACGTGGCTTCGTGCATGCTGTGCAGTCCTGTGTTCACTAGCATGTGTTGTATATTGGTGCTGTGCTGAATACGGATACATACTGTTATTATGATCACACCAGAGCAGTTCAGGACAAGACAAAAGGGGAACTGTTGATTTCCAGATCAAAGCTAGAACGCCGAACTAGGACGACATGGAAGCTCAGCAGCACAACGGAAACGCATGTGCGGCTGATACAAACTTAGAGTAGAGGAGTAGAAAGATAATGATCTATCACGTCAGGTAGCTCACTAGTAAGGATATCACAACTGTGTATAGCATAGTGTCCGAGGGGGTGGGTTGGAGGAGGGGTACTCAATCATGGGGTTGCCCTGTTTGGTCAGAGAGTCTGGAGGCATACTGTAGTACACATGTTCAGACAGTGTTATTGGTTCAACTCCGTGATCACATTTCTTACAGGCATACAGAGAGTACGTGCAGCAACATGGCGATGACTTACCCCTATCAGGACTGGAGCACTTGACTGGTGACCAGCTGTATTTCCTCTCCCATGCCCAGGTAAGCTAACTGACTAACTAGCTTGAGGTTATTCGCGGATTCATGTCAAGTTTTTTGGTGTCTTTTGATACATTGTTTTGACTTCATAATTCAGCCAATAATGAATTGAGAGATGGTGATTGGAGCCAACAACAAGATGGGTGCCAGTTGGTATTCTTGCTCAAGGCTGGTCACCTGGTTGTAGTGATGTGGGATCACAAGCACAACTGGATCCCTGGCGACCCAATGCTTGCGAATCGCATGCTCCAGGGCTTGATGTACTCTTGACATGGATGTTCTGATACAAAGCCACATGGCTGTGCACAATATGTACAATATTGCCGATGCTGCTGTTGTTTCAGTATCAGTGTTCCAAAGCAACACGCGAGGAACTGCTCCGGCGACTTCAAGCAGACGTCCACTCCCCACTAAAATGGAGGTATGTCACGCGGCTTGGTTTCGAATCCGGCATGGAAATCACATACAGAAATCAGCATGTACTAGGCTGTCCAGCGAGTACGAAGACAGTGCGACTTCTACATCCTTCTATCCCGTGCAGGTTCGGGACGTTGGCAAGATGCTTGATCAAAAATTTGCTTGCGTTTGTCTATTTTGCAATGAACTTGACGGTTGCCTGACTGTACGTGATATGTATAATAAGATTGGCTTAGCAAGCATTACCGGGACAGTGTCCCGATATGACCAGGTGCTGGCATGTGTGGGCATTCATTCGTGGCCTCCATCACGGTGGCTGCTCTTGCAATAGCCGTACATTCTGGTGCAGTGGTGTGGACATTTCAATCTTTGTCCTTCATGCCTTATGTGTTTCAGGGTGATGGGTCCAAGCATGGATATGCCTGAATATGCCAAGGCATTCAATTGCACTGCTGGCAGCAAGATGAACCCTGAACAGCGGTGTACGATTTGGTGAACTGACCAGAGACAATGTGTGAGTGGGTACCAAGTACCTCATCCAACAGCTGATTCACAACTGTGAGATCATGCGGATCAGCCTTGACAGAATGGTTTCAGCCCGCTCTAAAAACTTTGCTTCGTACCTATTTTCTGCACACTATTTCTGTATCAGCCCGCAGAAGTCTCCAAGCATACATGCCAGATGATATTCTTTTTGACCAGCATGAAATTTCGGTCTACTCTGACCTATCCGTGACCATGCTTCCTGATTCAAGTTGACCATAATATGTATGACCTCACCACAAACCACCGCAGAACTGAAGACCATTGCCTTCTCCTCAGTTCTCCTTCAATTCCGTCCTCCTGTGTACTTGAGTCACTGAGGCTTATGTAAGTGTTGACTGCTTGCCGCATGATGCTGGCAGAACAGCACCAAACACGGACACTATGGTAGATGAAGCTATACAATCATGCTTACTGCATGCTCCAGCTGCTGATCATCTCAGATATTTTCCACCTCTGCAAGCCTCAGGCATTTCTCTCACTGGCCACTAAATTGATGATTTTGAAGCGTGCCCCAATTTGATCTACCCGCCGATGATCATCAGGCAGGCTGTATATTTCCATGGCTGCACTCCGCCAGTCCCTGTCATACTGCGGGTGGCCGCCTTGGCCTTGGCCGTAACCCTAACTACCCGGCAATTACTGGTAATTGTGAACATAACTGATTTTTCAGTGCTGATTATCCCCAGTACTATCTGGCAGGACTGTTGAGTACCCGGTTGGGTTGAATGATTACTTGAATCTAAAACAGACTTGATCAGCATGACCGAGGACTTACACTTTTACAGTGCACTGCCAGAGCCGTACCACAGCTGCCGAAGGTACCGGTGTTCCAGGAAAAAAACGCTCTCAGGGCCATAACTTCATGGACCGAGTGGCACGGTGACTTGTGACTTATCATTAGCACTGGCAGGCTAGCATCATCACAGTCCGGCATCAAGTAGTTGATGGCCGCGCTACATGGCAGAACAGTGAAACGTGGTAGTATGTTGTTCCAACGGCTAAGCTTCATGCTCATGTTGCTATCGTCAAGCAACCGTGAGGCCGCATTATGCCGGAGGATCGGAGACTCAGCCGAGGCTGTCACGAACAGTGTGATCTTGGTCCATTTGTTGTACTGTGTACTACGTTGTCCTGTGACATTCAGTGTGACTCTCACTGCACTGGCTTCATCCTTTTGTTATATGGTCAGGACTTAATTTGTCGCATGTGGCATAAGCTTTTTTGCTGGCATTTGCACCATGATGGTTTGAAGCCGCAGTATCTCATCACCTGAAAAACCCGTCACCTGGGGTGCACTGATCTGCCCGGCTGCAGAGAAACTAAGCCTGTGACTGACTTGAGTGGACCAGAGAGTCGATTAGTCGTATACCGGTATACCGGGTTTACGAGTATTACCGTATGGACTCTCTGGAGTGGACACACCCATTCCCGCAGCGCTGTATTTAAAAAAAATCTGTGCCAGTTCCGCTGAACACTGCATGCAGGTCACTCGCGTTGTTTTTCGACGCGCGAGCCAAATAACGCGAACCTGGTTGAACTTTCACGTCAAGTCAGAAATTACATGCATCTTAAAACCTCTCTCAGGGGCGTAGCACCCGCTACGACTGGTACGACCATGGCCGTACCACTTTTCGAAAAGTGTGGTCCGTCCGGAACGTGCAAAACCGTAATAAAAAAAATCAGGATCCATCGATGCATATGCGCATCAGACTTTGACCTTTTTCTAGACTCGTACTCGTAGATCTGTTATGCATCTGCAGTCGTACTGAGTCTACTGTACTCGACTCGACTGCACACTGCGCCAGAAGTGTGCCAGAAGTTCCCAGAACGCAGGATTTTTGTGTCTTTTTTTACAAAATCTTCACGGGGGAGGTCCCCCGGACCCCCTCCCCTCCAACACGGCCGCATGCGCACCGACCTTGTCCTTCGGTCGTACCAAGTTCCAAAAACCCTCCTACGCCCCTGTCTCTGAGGCTAATCATGCAGTCCTCGTTGCTTCTTTTATCTGGAACCAGGGAGTAGTACAATACATGTACCAATAAATATAATATATTGGTATTGCAGGGGCGTCGGAACCGGTGCGGCAGGTGCGGCCAAAGCCGCACCAATAATTTTGGAAGTTTTTTTTTTTTTTTTTTTTAAACATTTTCAACCTTGTTGATGGCTTGTCGACTCTTGTACAGGTACCATATTTTACATCGACAATGCGGTGTGTCATGAGCATGCATATTCTTATTTCTCATATTATTCGGTAGCATTAAAAATATGGCCTTTTAGGCCCAATTTTCAAAAAAAATCCCGGGGGAGGACCCCCGGACCCCCCTCTCACACTTTCGCCGCACCAATGTTAAACTGCTTCCGACGCCCCTGTATTGATATTGTACTACTCCCTGCCTGGAACTACTGAAACAAATGTGAGATTTGCCGTGAGTGCAGTGGGATGGATGTGCAATCTCAGGGCCCCAAGTTACTAGTTCTTTTCTCTACAATCACTTACCGAAGTCTTTGCATGGACCAGGGAGGTGAATAGGGAGTGCTGGTTCTTTGGGTCTTTGGCAGTTCTTCACCCGGTCGCTGCATCGTCATGGACATGGGCCAAACCACCCCCGAAGTGAATGCCAGAAATTGCAGAATGGCCTGATAACAAGAGTACATAACCTTTATGTACTCTTGCTGATAATAACCATGATAACAGGCACCAGGGCCGGCGTGAGTAGATCTACGAGTCGTCACCATGGTCACAGTCAGGAAAGTATTTTCCCTGCCTGGCCTGGCCAGCTGGATCCCATGGACCACTTCAGACTTGGCAATGTACCCCCCCCCCCCCCATTTCCCAATCACGCATGCTCATACATGCGATTAATGGCAGCGCATCTAGCGAGCGCTCGAGCGCCTTCACTGCACTGGGCTTCGGGCTTCACCAGGGAGTCGTAAAATACCAGGTATTTTACGACTCCCTGGGCTTCACCACTTTTTGCTGCTGCATGCTATCGCGCGCGGTCGTGTGCACGCACTACAAGAGTCAAGACAAAGCCAAAGGAGGTACATGACACTCCCAGGGAGTCGTATTTTACGACTCCCTGGCCTGGTGGTAGTTGTACGCGCGCGCGTCGAGCGCGCGTCATCAAGCTTTGTGCTGTGCATGCAAGAAAGAATGCAGAACCAGAATCGGCAAATTTTTGTCAGGGATGATCTTTTGGTTTTGCAGTATGGCCGGCAAGTTTTCAGTTTGTTTGAAGAAATACCTTGCATGCGATACTCCCTGAATGTAGAAGACACCCATGTGCTACTTGAGGCTAATATCACTGTGGACGCTGTGAGATAACATTTCGGGCTGCAATCATGGATCCTTTCGTCCAGGCTTTCAACGATGAGGTTGGTCACAGATATTTTCTCAAGTTGGGGTCAGTTGCGTTTGTCTACATTTGAGTGATTTGTACTTTTCTTTCATCACACTTCATAGCTGGGGTCCATCACGGATACAAAGCCTCCGGTATCTCGTGCTAAAATGACGGCTATCACCAAGGCAGCTCTCAAAGCCATAAAGGTCAGTTTAACTCGAGAAACTAAAGTCAATTGATGTGTGTACATGTATTAATTTTTATTATACCGTATTTTACCGGTTGTAAGTCGACCCCGGTTATAAGTCGACCCCCCTATCTGGAGGTCTCAATTCTGCGTTTTAAAGTTTTCACCCAAAGAAGCACTACTAACCACCTCCTGCTACTAACACATCAACAAATCATGTAAACATTCCTTATTGGAGGATATAACGTCCCAATCCTTGAAAAAGGCCAACAAACTGGCAGAATGTATAAACATGGTGCACCCGTGCATGCAGTGCAGGTCATTTTTTGTAAGATACTGATAGTTCCCGGTTATAAGTCGAATCCCGGTTGTAAGTCGACCCCCACCCTTTCTCCTTCTATTTTAAGTCGTAAAAGGTCGACTTACAACCGGAAAAATACGGTACTTGATATTCCCTTTCGAATTTCAAAATACCATGTACCGGTACATGAAAGATTAACTTTTCAGGGATACTGAAATAGTGACAGATATGGTGGTTTAGACATAGCAGTGTGCGTGTGTGTGTGTGTGTGCACGCTCATTGTAACGGAATAGTTCAGTTCAATTTTAGACCGAATATTTGGGTGGACCTACCTGTCCGATTTAAATTAGCACTTACTACAAGCAGAAATATTCGTCGGGAATTTAACCTTTTTGAGTGGCACTGGTCAAATCACGTTACGCAATTTGCAACAATGTGACTACCGTAATGTAGCGTTGATCCGCCCCCTCTCTAATTGCCGCCCCCTGTTGATTTTCTGCCTGTGAAGCGACTTCGGCGTATAAACGAAATACGATGTTGAACCGACGCATGCACTGCTGTACACAATCCAGCACATCGAGCCAGAACTTCCACGCTGTTGTACATCGTACTGCACTTGACAGCCTTGATCTAATTCCCGCCCCCTGCCGAAAACCCAGCTGGGAAGCGACATGGCGTGTGTGTGTGGGGGGGGGGGGGGATCAACGGTACTTTACGGTACTAACTGTTCGATTTCCACCATAGCATCAGTTGTACTTCACCGATTTTGATGATCTTGGGCTCACTGGAAAGCTCTTGGAGAGAGAGGAGGACAACAATCCCAAACTCATCAGGAGGATCCATCACTGTCCGTCGCTACAACACCAGGAACGCCACCAAAACTCCAGGTCAAATCGCCAAACATGCTCGTCCTGCCATTTTACTTTCCTTTAGTCAAAATTCTCAATTTTCTCGAGAGCATGCTAAACATCCGCGCCCATCTTCTTTGGGAGTGATGCGCCAACAAAATTGAAATTTCGTTTAGCAGAACGCGTGAAAAATTGCGAAAATTCGATCGCACTTTGTTCGCTCAAACTGCATTGTAGAGAGCTGGCGAACAAAATTGAAATTTCGTTTAGCAGAACGCGTGAAAAATTGCGAAAATTCGATCGCACTTTGTTCGCTCAAACTGCATTGTAGAGAGCTGGGAGTTGTTCGAGCCAGCAGCTGAGACTCTCCGTTACCTGCTTGGTGTTTCGATTTTGAAATTTGGTTGAGACTTGAGAGCATTTGACTGAGTTACGATCGATAGAGTACATGCGTGAGTGTCCAAGTTTCTTTGGTTCGATTTCGAACCATGCACGCTAAAGGGCTAATAGAGAGATTCTGCAACATGAAAACGCGAACGAAGTTTCCCGACTCGCCTTGCGAAAATGTGTACGAATTTTCGTACGAACATTGTGTTCGGCACATTTTCGTAGTTTGCACGTGCCAAGTGCACCCACCGTATGCCATGACCCGATCTCACAAAACTTCCCACAAAAGTTCATTTCGTTCCCTGCAAGTTTCGCGTCCAAAGTTGCGATAGTTTGTGCGAAGTTTCTCACTTCATGACGTAGATCGAAAGGTTGCACGCATTTTCGTGTAGCAGAACCTCTCTTATAATAGGGAGGTTTCGCTCTACGTAATTACGTATGAAAATCCGTATATCATACGCGCCGGGGAGCGAGGGCAACTTCATACGTAAATCTCTCTACGGATTTCCGTAGGAAAGCTCTTTCCTACGTTCGGTCCTCCGTAGAACTTTTTGAAATATTAGGGACGTTTAGCAATGCGAAAATTCGAACTTTTCGTGGTGGCGATATTTCGCGAAAATCTATTTCGAAAAAGAAAACTTGTGAGGTTTAGCAATGCGAAACGACTTTTTCTCGAAGCTATTTGAATCTTATAGTACCGTACCGTGTATGCAGCTCAGTCTCAAGCAGGGGGCTGTAAAATTACTACTCCCTGTAGTGAAATGCGTACCGAGAAAAGAGAAAGTTACTTTCGCAAATCACTGCAACTTCGCGTCCAAGTTTTCGAAGTTTCGACCTTTGTTTCTGTACTCATTCCCAGACTCGAATTTTCTTTCGAACTTTCGCGTTGCTAAACGTCCTTATTTTTTTGCATTTTCCGGATTTATCCATGGCAAAGTTCAAGCCGCGCGAAACACAAGGTACTGTACATACACCGTACACCACGTGCAAAATAAGATGGAAACGCGGTTTCGGTTCATGTTGCATGCGGTGGGCGCATGCAGCCAACATGTCTCCAAAGCAACAAGGCATGTTTAGCAGTCGTGGAGAAATCACGTAGAGCGAAACCCAACAGCTCTGATTTTCATGTATGAAAATTACGTGCAGTTCCTACGTTATTTTCATACGTAATTCCGTAGAGCGAAACCTCCCTAATACTAAGGAGAAAAAACACACTTCAGGCTCTTTTGTCAACATCTTAAGAGTTTTCACGGGTATGCTTTCAAGCATTCCCGTGAGATGAAATACAGGCAAAGGCAAAGGGACAAGAACAGTGGAGTACAGTAAAGAGGTGATAGAACAGCGCAAAGAAGAAGATGGAGCTAAAACCAACAAAACCAAAATGCGCGAGTCGGACTAGGGCTGAAACGATTTTACCAATTACCCGATAATCGATCGATAATTCTGTAACCCATTATGGACCAATTAAATTTGTGGGAAAATGCGGCATTCGATTGACTGCTGTAACTCAAGAACGGTTATGATTTGTTATGTATATGTTGTATGCAGATCGGTTTAGATGGACACAGCTTTCATATAAAAAAGACCAGACCAAATTCGGATCAATAAAAATTGCCAAAGTGAAGTGTTGAAAACGTTTGAGTTCCATCAGAGCTGGCATCCAAAACATCGTCGTCAAGAGCATTTTCCTCAGACGACGACAGCAGGTCAGAATATCCGCTGGCACTGTCAGATCCAGTCGCCAGGTCTGCGGCTTCTTCTGCCGTCAGGAAACGTCCTGAACAACAAGAAGACATCGCAATATCGCGTCTTTCTCAACAAGAAATGTTTTTTTAGAGCGAATGCACTGTTGAGTATGCAATGTTCAGTGGGATTTTTCGTGAACTTTTTTACTTGTGACGTACAGTACGAATCAGCTATAGCGTTGGTGTTTGATTTTCGTGAAAATATCACTATAGGCGATATATTACTACAGGCGGTATGCGTACTTAGGTATGCCTGACACATGCGTGTATGGTGTCATTCGAATCAGTGCAGCGTGCAGAAGCGTGCTGTGCATGTGACTGTGCAGTACGCGCAGTGCAGAGCTGCTTCCTGCGGAAACAAAAACTTCGTGACTTTTTGACATGAATTTTCAAGGAGTTGCTGTGCTCAACAAATGTGTTCTTTTGGAAGAGAAACACTTCAACACATTCAATCGACATATCAACAATATCTGCAGGATCGATTAGTGGGAGTAGAGTCTCAGTCTGGGTCGCCATCGCTCGACTCATCACCGCTGAAACCGTTCCAAGTTGAAGTGGCAGGTCGATCGACGCGTGATGTCGTATGTCACGGAGAAGGTTCTCCGTGTCCCTGATCGTCTTCGCTGTTACCTGAATGCCTTCTCCAACATCTCGGCAGAGACCACGGTAGCGCTTCAGCGCTGGTACTCATTACTGCCTCCGCTCTCGCTCGAGGATGCCCCGGAACAACAAGCACAGCCAACGCCAAACATTTCGAATTTCCTCCGAGGGATATCATAGTCGTACCAGCGCTTCCTGACTGCCGCAATCAGATCTCGCCATGTACGATGTATACTTTTTATGATCATCACTATAGCCGATGAAAAATGTATGCAATAAAATCATTTTGACAAAGAAATCGTATCATTATACCCGATATTACTATAGCCAATTATTACTACAGTCTGTATAGCCGATCCGATATGTATAGAAAGGGGTGGTTTACGAAAATGAATTTGAGAATACGATCACTATAAGAGGTATATTACTATAGCCGATAACCCTATAGCCGATCCGCACTGTACGTAGATTTTATGGTCATTCGATCCGCATGCATCTCAGCTGCGGATTTATCGAAAAACGATGAAGATCGCCCACTGAAATCCCCACTTGAAGTTTCGATTGTATGTGATCAAAAGTCGTGCAATTGTCCATAAAGGGTTAACAATCAACTAATTGTTACGTTATAGATTTCTCAGTAGGGCTTTTGAGTCCAAAAGTACTGAAAACCCCCGCTTTGCGAAGTTCTAATCAGTTTCCCTGTGAGCAGGGTTCTAGCCAAAGGGGGGGGGGGGGGGGGGGGCAGCACCCCCTACTCTGTTTGCGTGCCCCCCCCCCCCCCCCCCCCTGTGAAAAAGTGCCGCCGCCCTTCTCATTTTCCGATTTCGTGTTTCTCATGCAATTCAACGAAAATGCAGTCGAAAGTCACTATTAGATGGTTCATAAAGACACATTATCTGGGGCAAAGTCGGGGATTCGCCCCATACGTTGCATTTAGCGTAGCAAGACAATATTGGAAAGTGGAAAAATGGGATACAGGGTAACTGTTTCCCGTGCCCCCTACTATTTTTACTTGGCTAGAACCCTGGCGAGTATGCAGTTGCCAGGGGTATGGTTCATGTTCTGAGTTTCAATTGACTTCAAAACTGCCAGGTTTCGGATCTACCCTTTCACTAATGCAGATTTTTGGGTATTCTGAAGACATGGCTTGTGGAGACAGAGCAATTTTGCACAACATTCTGACACTATTTGCTAACGGTTATAATCAATTAATCGATCGTTAAGTTAAGCTAAAGACTAATCGATAGGTGAAAATCCACGATCGTTTCAGCCCTATGCGTGACTGACCATAGAAATAATGACACAAAGGTGTGTTTGGCTTGAAAGTATACTCGTGAAAACTCTCAAGATGTTGATAAAGAGCCTGAAGTGTGTTGTTCTTCTTAGTATTATTGCATTCTTGTCTTCGAGGAAACGGGAAATGAATTTCGTCATTTTTTGTCCAAAGAATTTTCGGACTAAATTTAATGCAGTACTAAAATATCGATTTGTCTAGCCTTTCACTACGTTTCAACATCTATGGATGACATTTTCTACCAGATAAGCTGTCTTTCTTTGGAGTTGGACGCAATTATTCACCAGCTAAACTCTCTGCTTATACAGTGTAAACTTATACAGTAACTCCTTTTTCTACCTGTGCCTGTGCCTTGGTCTTTTGTAGCACTACAAGCATGTTGTGATGTGCGTGGAAAAGTTTATAGCTAAGGTAAGCGGCAATCTAAACTGCTATTACTGACATGCCCCCCTAGTGCGCATGGGTTTATGGGGTCTGCCGACTGTGAAAACTCGCATCACGTGGTGTAGTGTTCACGTTGTGCGTTCCTACGCAACTTCCTGGCCTGTTTTTAGCAAGCAGTGGAGTAGTAGCATTTCCTGGCATGAACCCGCTCAGCTTATGCGAGTCGTCAACAATACATGATCATGGCAGATGTCCAGACTGCACGTATTCTGGCGTATTCTTGTCACACTCAGCAATCCACTTGTCACAAGCACACAGCGCAGAGCTTCTTGCCAGGAGCGCCATCGTGGCCAGGCTGAAGGGGTAAATGTATCACGGTCGACGTTGTTTATGCGCTCGGTGTATTCGCTCTTCTTGCGGCGCTCGTGTTGCTGGAGGAGATTCCTTATGGGCCTGTTCTTGTAGGAAGCTGTATCCCGGTGGAATACGCGGACGTCAAAGAACGCATTCTGGGCCCTGGTCCAGAATCCGCGTGCGTGGACAACAGCGCAGGCTTCGTTCGCTGTGTTGGTTGAGGGTGCTACAAGGACTTCGCCTGTGATGGGAGCACGAGTTGTGATAACACTACTTATTGGTAATTCATGATAGTGAGTAACTACTCAATTGAGACAATGGGCGATATGCTTTACGTCCATCAAGTGCTCCTTCAAGCTTGACCAATCTCTTTCCAAATCATCGCAGGAGCAGATATAGAAAGATCTGTAATCGCCGACATTCCGCGCGTGTTTTCTACTCCTTAGATGGTTGACCAGTGGTTTCAGCCCACCCAAGGTCAAGCTGCAAGCTTTACGAGATGTTGAGTACGAACAAGGACGACTGACGACATCTTCTCCAGACATTACAACGGACAACGGGAACAAGTTATTGGGAACGGCATTTATTATATTGCAATAGGGTCGTGGGTCCAAGCGAAAGTTGGGCGCCAATGTTGCTGTTGGTTGTGTGTATTGCGTCGTCGCGGTGGTTGATATGTTTGAATGGTGAGTCGTTGTCGGATTGCTGTAATAAGTTCCTCCGCCGAGGGAGGGCGTGGCGCCAAGTCGAGGTGCCGACGCGCGGCGTCCAGGCGCGAGGGCCTGAGGATTCCGGGCGCCGGTGGTGCCGGCGGAAGCACCGGCATCCGAGGCGACGGCGGTGATGGCGCTTGCCGCGCCCAGTCGTCAAATTGCTGCGGCGACCCCCATGGGGAATATCCCATGGCTCCAACATCGCACAATTCGGGTGGGGCGGAGGGGAAGGAGGCGACGAAGGCGGCGAGCAGGGCGGTTGCGGGATCCGCAGGGCAGCGGCCATTTGCTCGGCCATTTGATATAGAAAGATCTGTGATCGCCGACATTCCGCGCGTGTTTTCTACTCCGTAGATGGTCGACCAGTGGTTTCAGGCCAACCAAGGTCAAGCTGCAAGCTTTACAAGAGAAGTAAATTATATGCACAGAGCCAACCATTACTTGTGACCCCATGGATGGTCTGTGATGCTTTAATTTTTTTATCGTTGTGATGACACTACTTATCGGTAATTCATGATAGTGAGTAACTACTCGATTGAGACAATGGGTGATATGCTTTTCGTCCATCAAGTGCTCCTTCAAGCTTGACCAATCTCTTTCCAAATCATCGCAGGAGCAGATATAGAAAGATGTGTGATCGCCGACATTCCGCGCGTGTTTTCTACTCCGTAGATGGTCGACCAGTGGTTTCAGCCCAACCAAGGTCAAGCTGCAAGCTTTACATGAGAAGTACATTGTTGCGATTCTAGGCTTCTAGCTTTGACAGCTTGATACTTCAACTTCTGTTTACTCTCGGGAATTGTACAACGCCTGCGGATGAGAATGGTGCACAACCATTGCAGGTATACACAGAGCCAACCATCACTTGTGACCTCATGAATGGTCTGTGGTCATTTAATTGCGGTTTACACTCGGGGAAACCAGAGCCAAACATTACTTCTGAGCTCATGAATGGTCGGTGAATTTCGATTGCTGTTTACACTCGGGAAACGTGGAGAGAGCAAGATATCTTCCCGATAGCGGATGGTGTGGGTGGGTGTCTGTCGAGCGTCATAACTCAACGATTGTTGATTGCAATCGCAACCTAAGAGCTTTCTCTTCAATAGGGATGTCAGCGCATCTGCGCATCAGGGCTAGCTAGCAGGGTTAGCACGCTTTAACAATTTTGTTTTCTTGTTAAGTTGGAATGGTTTTTGACTGTTATTTCCCATATTAATCGGAAGGTAATGTTATCCATGTGTGTGTGTGTGTGTGTGTGTGTGTGTGTGTGTGTGTGTGTGTGTGTGTTTCTGTTTGTAGTGTCGTCCTGAATATAAACTACAAGGGCTGTATGTTATTGATGCTATCCTGCGACAATCTCGTCACCAGGTATGTCATGTCACACTCCATTATGCTGTGGCACTTTCACAGATGTGTGCCACCTCTGGGGATGGGGTATGGGCCGGATCAGAACACAAACATGTAGCTAGCTGCCTGTGGACGCTGTGCACACTGGAGTAGCCACGCGGACGCTTTCCTGCTGCGGCTGCGGCTTTGTCCTTTATCAGGGAATCGTTTGCAGTGAACTGAATCTTGTAATGCTTGGCATTTCCATGTAGAGTGCATGTCGGCTGTGTTCCTTCCAACTTGAGCTTTGGACTCTGTGTGTTCACTAAATCCACATGGCAGTCTAGAACATGCAAGTGCAATGCAAAATCCTGAAGGCCTGTCCGTTTTGCATGCAAAGTGACACATCACTTTTCACTGGGATTTTGTGTCAGAGGCCGATCATCACATCAGGCTGTTGCAAGCACCAGGGAGTTCTAATATACTGGCAGACTAAGCCACAACATGAACGTATGACCAAGGATTGTTTCACAGGCGTAGTACCATGCCTGAATTTTATTGGCAAATATTGTAGATTTCCTTTAAAATGAAGGAATCTTCATGGCAACACTGAAAATGACTGCGAATGGACCAGCGCATTTGGTTTTACACATTTTCCGACTCCATGAGGACCTATTCCCTATTGACTGAGTGAATGCGATTTATTTTCAGAAACAAAGAGGTCGATTCTCCTGCCTTCCTCAATTACACCCGGCGAATTTTGACAAACGAGTTGTGCAGTTTTCCATGGTTAACATTGATGTTGATGAGCACAAAGTAATGGGGGTCGAGTTGGGTCCCGTAGTATTAGTTTAGCCGACACTAGATCATGATATCTCATGGTAGCAAGTAGCGTCAGTGTCTGAACTCAAGCTGCCTACCACTCTGATCTCAGAGGGGACTCAACTCAAATCACCAAATGATTATAAATGGCCTGTAGCTCGACGCCAAAACTGATCTCAAGCAGGCCCAGAGAGCCGTATCATTCAAGATTGATGAAGGACTTGAGAGTGAATGTTCCTCTTTTTGTGTGACATTCCCTAACATCATGATGAGGCCACTTGATCAACCGGTTAATTAGAACTCCCTGGTATAGCTAGGTGTGTATCTGACTCAGGTGTACACTGTAATTTGCGACATTTTCGTCTCATGTCTTGTGTTGTGTCCGTCACGGCACCTACGGTTTTAACTTGTATTGACTGGCAATTTACATATAGCGACTGCTTGGCTGACTTGAATGTAGTTGCTCCAACAATGGTTGTAACGCCATCGCTAAAAGCAGCCAGTGTTGCTGTTGTTGACTTGGCATGTTGTGGTGATGTGGCAGAGCCATTGCACCATGCTTGTGCCAATCCAGCAGTAGAGTGTTTGGTCGGTTGCCTAGCAGTTATGTCACGCAAAGGCACACAATGAAAACCTTGGCAAATTCCAGTTATGTCAGTATGTTCGGACGGTGTGTTGCTATGCACACTCTCTTCTCTCGCTTTACTCAAACCACCACCACTGCGGAGTTTCCCGGGATTCGGCTTTCATTCGTCTCGTGAATTTAACTGTTTCTTGTGCAGAACCACAGACCCGCGCCTCTGTTTGCAGTTTCCGAAAAACGACTTCACTGTACTCACACTGTACTGTGGCCGAACAGTGGCAATTCACCTGATCGTCACCTTATAGAATTTGTGCTGGCCATCTCGGCACAAGTGACCTGCACTCACACTTATTGTCCATATATTTTAGGGCTGGAACGTTTTATTCCACTCAACTCTCGCTCTTTCCAATCACTCTCACTAAATTGGGCAAACTGTGATTGCGTTTCTGCTTTGCTTATGCCATGTGCTCAAGTTAGCTTTCATGCTGCTTGCCACTCTCTAGCCTATCCAGCTAGCTTTTACCTACTCTCAACCTTTATAATGGGTTACCTCTCTTTTGCATGTAGTAGTGATACTAGGATGTTAGTGCTTGGATGTACTGTATATGATAGGTCTTCTCTACGTAATTTACTCTGGTGCAAGGACAACCATGTTGATGGTGTAACCTTCATAACATTTCCGTTGTTGTTGAAAGCGTCCAGGCAGGGAGGGATGTTGGTGTGTGGATCACAGAGTTCCTGGGCTGCAAATATGATGTTAGATATGGCATGTGTTAAACTCACTGTTCCATGTAATCTCGTGTGATAAGTGATGTATGATACTTGCATGTATGATTGTGAAGTGTACTTATGTGAAGGATATTTTCTGATCAGGCCAAGCCCGAATACCAGTAGTGTCCACTAGCACTTGTGTTTCGCGTCGGGAGATCGTCACCCTGAGCTGGGATTGGTTGATTGAACACTGATGCACCAGTTGCAACCAATCCAGTCCAGATCCATACAGACAAAAAGGATCCCATGAACGAAGATAATGTAGAATATCAGGAATTCATGACGAAGCCTTTGCAGGAGATGTCTGCATATGGATTTCTCCGCGCGTTGAGAATGGCAGGCGCGTTTAGTTAGTAAATTAGTCACAGGATTTCACTAGCAGGCGCTAGAAACTGGGAATGCCGATTGCAAAGAATATTCCTGCTTGACACAGGCTGGGAGAGTCACCGGCGCGAAACACTTGTTTATTAGCTCGCTCTATATTATGACCCTAACGCATTTACAAACATGGCTTCTAGGAGGGTGTATTTGCATTTGCCAGTGGTTAGTGCTATAGAAATATCTCTCTTGTTTTTCACCTTTCCAATCTTGGTTATGTTGAATAAGGATCTTGCACCACGCTATTCTCTCGGTACTCAATAAACGTTCTCCACATGCACTTCATACTTCCGACCATCAGGGGTATGCAGTAGCATGTCCATTATCTGTATCATGGATATCACCACCAGCAGCTGAGCAGTGAGGATGGACGGAGGACGGTGCAGCTAGCCCTTTGTAACTGCGAGGACAGCGCAAACATCTCAGCAGCATGGCCTGTCACGATGCCAACTACCGGCAATGAAAAGCTGCAACACACTGTGACAACTCACGTTCTAGGTGCATTGACTGGCTGTTTGTTCAGTTTGATTGCAAGGCTACATCTACGCTGCGTTGGATTTGCCATCACCCGATGTCTGCACAGAAGTCCATAAGATGGGAGGACTAATCCTACTTTGCACTATTTTCACTCTTGTTATACTGGAGGTAGAACAAGGTTCAGTGCATTCGACACAGCAGCTAGCACCTGTCCTGAAGCGGGCACATGAGCTTGAAGGAGTTTTCTCCTGTGGGGCCACAACTAAGCTTGGACACCAGCATTTTCCATCCTCATATTTTGTTGCACAAGTAATCCTGTATTACAATTTATCAATAGTGTGACCGTGTTGTTGACCCAGCCGGAAAAGAGCACCACCTGTGCAGTGAGGTCAAACTGGTCGTAGACCAGCTGGCATAATCTGATATGGAGAAGGCTGCTCAAAGCATTTGCTATAGTTATCTGAAGATATGTAGCATGCATGCTACACTGCTCCCGAGCTACCTTCAGGTTGTGACTCTGGTCCAGTGACCACCTGGTTTCAGCACCCACCTGGTCTGTATTGACACTACCTTTTTTGGCACTGAGTGAGCAGGACTCACCCTGGTGTCCAACACTGCCTGCACCATGGGTATTTGCTGAAACCAGGTTTCACCTATATCATTATGCATAATTATACACAGTACACTTTGCATTGACACCATGCACTGTTGCTATACCGGTATATGGCTGCCATCGTCACTTCTCCGGCCAGGAGGAGGGTAGAACCGCTGTACATATTGTACCCATTTCTTTGTTATTGTCCGCATTCAGTTCGGTGGCGATAAGGAGGTGTTTGGGCCGAGATTTGCCCGTAACCTTTCCAGCACGGTACAACATGTATGGAAATGCCCTCCCGAACAGCAGGTAAGATATAGCTTTTTGCCCGCATTGGCACTAGCAGTAACAGAGTGAGCGGCACGATCATTCCAGAGCGGACACCACTCTGTATTTCTCAATCACACGTGCAGTGCTGCTAAGCGTTGCTGCTTCTGTACAGAGAAAAAAGGCTACATTGGGTTGATCGAGGGACAGGATTATCGTGATTTACCTTGTATGTAACACACAACACACCATCTACAGTGCATTTCAAAACTATAGACGCGTAGGGTTTTTGAAATATTTCAAATTTGGCTGGAACTTTTTGAGAATAGTTTTCGGTATATTGCTCAGGATCGCTCCACAATTACTCTCATAGTTTCTAAAGGATTGGATAACAGACGCCCAATTTGGAAAAATTTATGCACAAAGTGATCACAGATTTTATGTGGTATAGATGCTGGCATAACGGTTTTTGCCTAGGTACGCGTCTATAGTTTTGAAATGGACTGTAGTATACACTCCGGAGCGTGTGTCATTCAGTCTCTAAGGATCTGTTATTAGAGAAGTACTCTGGAACAATCCTGATGCAGTTGAAATAATGCACAGTCTATTATAGGTGACGTTGTCTGATGTCCTGCTGAGAAAGGAGTATTTAGTGTCCATACAGAGGGTTCTGCTTACTGCGAAACCTTGAGAAATTGTGAAAGAGCATATGCCTGGGTTAGAGTCTGTGGTTTAGCTAGTTTGGGGTACAGATTTCTACCCGGGATAGTGCTCTCTACGCCGTGGCCTACGCAAAGAAAAGTTTGCGGATATTGTGCGTATCTTCCGATTATGGCAGTAGACCGTAAGAAACAACCGCATTTGTAACGGGAGATTCCTATTATGCGTTTGCATCCCCATGTGATATCTGTACGTGAATATGAAGCAGATTTCCTTCTTCACGACATGTGATGTACAAGGCTGCAAGTATGCCATCATGTATTCCAAAGTCTTCGTGCCGTGTTCCAAAATCGTTCCGCAGTGACTATAGTAGTTCAAGCCACTCACACCCTACCTGCCACTCTTCTAGATTTCAAAAGCTGCAAGGCATTGACATGTGACGCAACTTTCACTCGTCTAGCTATGCCTATGAAGTCTCTACGTTTAAAAAAAATAAAATTGATAATGGCAACTAATGAAATCAGTTGCGCTGTCATTCTAATACGCCCACACGTTCCAACAAAGTCTAATTAAAGTTAGCCAGGATGCTTTCAAGAAGAAGAAGAAGAAGAAAGAAGAAGAAGAAAAGAAAGCATGCAGGGCACTTACACAAGGACTTACATTGTAAGTCTTTATGCGCCGTGCGTGATGAAGAAATCGTGTCAGCACTCCAACTGCAACACAAACTCTAAGCCAACAAACCCAATGACACACAGTGTGCATACAAAGGGTTCTGAAAACACCCAGTGCAGACTGTAAGATGTGAGTTATGGTGAGGACTGCGTCTTACCGGCCTGTGTAGAGCCCCATGAAGATATAGAAAATATCACAGAAGTCCTGCTATACATGGAACGTGGAGAAATCACGTAGAGAGCAGGTGTTTGGGTTAGAGTCAACGGCTTCGCGTGTTTTGGGTCCAGATTTCTACGCGTAGATCTGTCCTTCACATGTATCAAAGGAGGCGAAACCGCCTGTTTGTGGTGCGACGTTAAATAAATTTCAACAACAACAGATGAGGTTCTCTACGCTGTGGCACACGCAAAGAAAATGCGTATGGATCTGCTGGGTACATGGCTATCATTCAAATGCAGGCAGAAAACTGCCAAATATGGAAGGGGAAATTCCCAGTACACATTCCACGTGATTTCTCTACGTGAATGTAGAGCAAAACGGGTTTTCTTTACGTTACAGGAACGCGAAGGGAATTCCCGGGATTCTTCGCGTCCCGTTCCCGTAACGTAGAGCAGAACATCACTATTGCGGAACAGCCTCAAACTGACAGACTAAACTGTTGTGCACTTCACAAAACACTGACACACCGTTGCCGGTAGATTTTCACTTGCCATGACTGAAAGCTAGTTACTGTCCGCATGACGATTGTTCTTGTGGAAATGGTGCGAAGCCATTACATGAGGATGGTGTCATTGGAATGCTAACTCTTGCTATACTCATGTACACGTATTTACATTGCATGACGCTAATATTGCATTTCATACAACGTAGTCATAGACGCAAGATCCTTCATGAGAGTTCTGTCTTCACTTCCAGCATATTCTCAAACCATGAATTTAATGTACGAGTACGTGCTTCACGCCAGTTTCTATAGAGCTCTTGCAGTAGGCACGTGTCTGCACTGTAAACAACACGTGCACCTAACACCCAGAAGGCATGTCTTATCAGTTGGGAATCACAAAAACCTCCCAACCAAGAATCTAGCAGAGCTCGGCACTTGTCCTCTGCTCTGACCACTCAGTCCTAATCCAACCCACATGGCAGCAGAAACAGCACGGTAGATCTCAAACGTTTTGGCCATTGACCATCGCCAGTGAACAAATGATTGTAAGCCTTATACATAACCGCGTGGGAGATAAAGTGTGCACCAAAATACGAGTAGCTGTCGAATGCATTCACTTTGCTACATGTGCCGATGAACGTATGCATGCTCCAGGTTACCCATTTTCCAAATAGCAGACAATGCTTCGACCAGAATGCCGGTTAAGAGTGTATGTAACGTTAGTGTCACATTGCGGTGCAAGGAGGGATGGGTCATGCTAAGTACTCAGCTAGAGTCATTTATAGATCACCACAATGATGCCATCATTGACATGAATCCACGGTCGCACCTGTGTAGAAAAATCACAGCCATGCTCAGAGCTAGAGGCCGGTTGCTAGTACCCCCGTACAGCATGTGGCAATGGTGAAAGTCAAAAGACAGCAGGCTACACTGGCTACACTGTGTATAGTTGAAGTGGGGTGGTAGGATGAACAGATTGTCAGCAGGTTGGGCCAGAACCAGTGAAGTGAGAAAAGTGTCACAGAATAGTATATCTTTGAGTGCATTTTCCTCCGCAGGCTGGACAATGCATCTAAAGTTTTTGGGTTTAATAGCACAATGCAATGTACAGTAAACAGGACGAGTATTGGCAAGAGTACATAACTCCCCAGAGTGTGCAACTCCGATCCAGCTCTGCATAGGGTCTTGGTCGAGCGGAATCGGATCTTCTGATGTCATGCGTACACTCCACACCAGCGCAAGGCCGGTCTCGAGGCAGGGCACCATTGTTTTTAATTCCGAGAGTACCCGCGACTCCCCGGGTTCCCCTCAGATGTGTACGGTATTATGACGCAAAGATCCGATTACGCTCGACCAAGACCCTATGCAGAGCTGGATCGGGCATTGCACACTCTGGGGGGTTATGTACTCTTGGTATTGGTTGTGCAATGGTGAAGATGGCAGAACCCAATTTTGAAAAGTGAACCCGTGACACGCATGCGCACACATGCACACACACACACACACATGCACACACACACACACACACACACACACATGCACACACACACACACACACACACACACACACACACACACATGCACACACACACACATGCACACATGCACTCGAAAATCTGGGTCGGTCGGTTTTTGAACATGGATGTATTGGAGTTTCAGAATGTAATGTAGCTTTACACATACATAATGGTTGGCTGCTGTCATACACTCATAGTCAGCTAATGGCATGGACTAAATGCTAGCGTTGTTAGTTTGTACAATGCCTTATTATAGATAGATGTACACATACAACAAACATGCCATTGGGCACTTTTAGTGGTGGTAAGGTGAAATCCAACCTTGTGAATATCACAGCGCATGCACGGCTCAAGCACGGCAAGGCAGATAGCATGATGTGAAAGTGCTATATTCATGAAGTCAGTTTTTTTTCTCTTTTGCCAATACTGATGGTGCATCATAGCTTGACAGCATGCCCAAAAGAAAGAGAGAGAGAAGGGGGGGGGGGGGGGGGGGGAGGGGGTGTATCGTATTTCCGAGGTCTAAGTCGCTCCCCCCTTTTCAGGCCGAAAATTCGTACCTTTTTTAAACGTTCGGAGTACCGGTATACACCTTACGCCAGATTTTGAATTTTTGGCCATCCAAACTCGGTGGGTACTATTACATGCTAGACGTTTACCAATGGTTAAAAAGTTGAGAAGCACGACTGAAGTTCCAGCAAAAGTTTCTTTGTTTGTCCTTCACTCTGAACTGACAACGTACCGGATGTCCGCACCTTTGAAGCCATGGAGGTATATTCGATTATAAACTTAAATATAAAGCCAGTCTCAGCTATAAAGCCATGGGCTTCGCAAATGAAATGACATTTGAAGTATGTTTTGTAAAAACGAAGGAATAAGTACTATACTAACGAACTTACATCCTAGCAGGAAAGGTGAACAAGTGGATTTAGATTGAAATTTCTGCGTGGACTTTGACTTTTATGGCATGGCGTAGTGGGTGAGTCATTTTGCATCTAAATTAGCTAGGAAAGCAGCGGTGTTTCAAACAGAAGGCCATGGCTTTAAAGGCGCTGACATACGGTAGAAAGATCATACAACTGCGATGATGGATTTCTGTGCATGAAACACGTAAAAAGTAGTTGAATGACACCATACATGCATATTGTGTATGGCACTGGTTGATTCATGGCCAGCATTCGGAGGTGCATGGGCAATTTTTTTAGTTTTTAGGCGTTTCGAAGTGCGGCTAAGGGGCCGTCCAGGGTTACCGATTGTTTTTACAAAACGAAACGTTTTAGTATTTTTTCAAGCCCACCCAACTTTTCTGCAGGTAAAACGAATTCCAATAATTATTGATATCAATTTTCGACACCCAGAAGAAACTGTGTATTCTCCATCTGCATTCAATAATAATTTCCAAAACGAAACTCTATCAAACCCACCCACCCCCAAACGAAAACTTTTCGTTTTGAAAATATTATTGGTAACCTTGGACGGCTCCTAACACACCGGAGAATATGACACTACATGTTGAAATTCAAGATCACTGCCTTGACCATTTTGCCAACAAAGTTTAGAGAACACTTACCATGTCCCAGTAGCTGCCCGTGTTGCCAAGCTGAAACCTGAACTGTGTGTGCGAAAGTTGTCACTGTTTTGACACATATTCGACTTGAAAAAGTAATGGTACGAAAGGTCTAGTCGAAACTGCTTCGTGTGGTGATTTGCTTCCCTCCAACCAAGAATCTGTTTCTGCATCTCTGTGCACTTCTTCAACTGCAGCCTAAAATTGAACGAGTATTACATTTGTGGCAGCGCAATTCCATTTATGATCAAGTCACTCTTGAGCCATTGTTTTCAATTATTGGAAAACCTGCTGCATTCAGTGATAACAACCAGCAGGCCCAGCCAGCGCCATCAAGTAGTAGCACGGATGCGGAAGCTCTACGGGCTATGCAGGCCAAGCAGGAGGAGCAGTTGAAACAGCTGCAAGCTCTGCAAGAGCAGATTGCTGCACAGCAACACCAGCAGCAACAGCATCAGCAGCAAAGTGGCTCCATGACTGTCACGGACATGCAGGGTGTGGAACACCCCCCGGCGGCGGCACCTCAGCAGCAGCAACCCCCTACCACCACTCTCTCGTCCTTTGGCCAGCCATCATCCAGTAGTGCTGCTTCCGGTCCTCATTTGTATGAGCCTCGACATGGTGATGACCCATTCACGTTTCAAACGCAGGGTGCACGTGGCCATGGACCCCGTTCTGCTGCTGCCACCACTGCTAGTAATAGTGATGTGCATGGTAATCATCATCATCCGCGGCAGCAGCAGCAGCAGCCGCAGGAACGCGTTCGTGACGACTACCCATCCTGGCAGCAGCGGAGCTCTTCGTCACGCTGGTCTCCGCCACCTTCAGACCAACCATCATGGCAGCCGCGTGAGCAGCAGCAGGAGCCTCAGCAACAGTCCACCAACAGTTTAACTCCAGCACTCAACCCGAGTGACTTGTTACGTGCAGCTACGAGTGCACCAGGCGCATTGTCTCGCGAGTCTAGAGACATGCAAGCTACTTCTGCAAACAGCTCTGCACCAGGCGTACATCACCAGCACTCTCATCGAGGCAGTGGAGTAAGAAGATATGCTTGTGTGTTTGCATGCGCGTGTGTGTGTGTGTGTGTGTTCACGTCTTTCTTCTCTTTCTCAGACTCCTCCTGACTTTTCTTTAATTCTCCTGGGTGGTTACCAACAGCCAGTGCATGCCGGAGTATGTGGTGTGATGTGTGTGCGTGAAAAAAATGAAAAAGACCAAAAAATAGGGATTCACTGGCCAGAAAAAGCCACTTCATAGCTGTGTGGTGTAGACCAGGCTGAATAGTGGCGGTCAATTCTTCAGCCTTGCAAGCTGTTGAATGGTGCAATCCCAGCACAAGCTGCTATGGCTTCTGCTGTAGCATCACTATCATCGCCTCCGGCGATGGGCGTCCAATGGTCCAATGGTGTGTGTTCATTCTGTATATTTTTTAATACATATTCATGTTGACCAATTAGCTCCTTCTGGCTAGATGACATAATTTTGATCTGAAGTATGCAGTGTCTTCAGTGTACCAGATAGAGATGAAAAATAGCCGAAACAAGTACTATAGAACGGCTAATTTTGGCGGGTTAACGCACTCTCCACATACAGGCATGCACCCGGCTCAGAACACATTGTTTTCTGGTTGGCATATCAGGGATATTGTGCGGAGCAGCTGGCGTGCATGAGAAAGACAGGTCGGCCTGCTCTGCGCAGGAGCTGTGACCCGGTGCACACATAGTGTGTGTGAGAGAGAGAGACAGACAGGTCGGCCTGCTCTGCGCTGGAGCTGTGACCTGGAGCACACAGAGTGTGAACGAGAGACGGTCGGCCTGCCGTGGGCAGGAGCTGCGACCGGTAGTGATTGAAATGAGCCAGCTGCGGAGATAGACTGCCCGTTCCCAATATCCCCAATATGGCATGAGAGTAATAATGAAATACGATTGTTGTATTGTGCTGTACTGGCAGCAGCAATGTAAAGCTAAAGCTAAGCAGTTCAGGCACAATGTGGTCACTAACCCGCAGCTACCATTGATGACGTTGAACTGCAGCTAATTGACGTGACACTCGCAGGGTGTCAGCTGTAGCAGCCCGGATGTAGCGGTGGACCGCATCACTGCGCCATCTACCCATGATACGGATGATGTGTTCGGGGACACCTGCCATGGCCGCTGATGTTGCGGCGCCAATCCGGAAAGAGTGACTGGCATATGCACTCGGGTCCGTGACCCCACAGAGTGGCAGCAGGTTGCGCAGTTCAGAGGACACTGCATTTCTTGTAAACGGCTGGCCATTAGCATAAGTGAACAGATGGTCGCCGCCGGGGCGAAACGCCAGGTAGTTTGCCATGGCCTGCACTGGGCAGATCAGTGCGTCCGTGCTGGCTCCAACCAATACTGTGTGGCCCGTGCTGTTGGGGTCCGTCTTAGATGAGCGCACGTTTACCGATAACGACCGCTGGTCAGTACTGATCGTCACATCACATCGCCTCAGGCCAGCAGTCAGTTCTCCACAACGGAAGAACCCATGAAACGCCAAGGAAAAAGTTGCCCTTAGCATGGCCTTGTCGTGAGAGTGCCGCATGCGTGGAACGGCAACATGCCGGCAGATCTCCCTGAGAAGTGGAGTGGTTATCGGCAGACGATAACACTGTGTCGATGACGACCTGTCGATGCCCCGTAGGACCCTAGCGAGGAGAGTTGTTGGGCCCGACGGCTAAGCAAAGCCAAGTTCCACATGAAGGTTGCGGATTGCCGACATGTAGACACGGACAGATCGAGGCTGAAGAGTCCTGAACAACTCGGCAGCAAAATAGCACAAAGTAAAGTCGTCGCCCGGCAATGGGTTGCAGGCATGCACTTGGCAGAACTGGAAGTAGCGGGTCTCGGCGGTAGAATACGTCCGGCGGGAGGATGGTGCTATTGCCAGTGCTGCTAGCTGTAGCACGGAGTCTGTCAACGGAGAGTTGGCAAGACTGGCTGATCTGGCTCGGCTGCTGCATCCGGGGCCTGGCGCCTGAATACCTGCAGCAAATTGCGAGACAATGCATCGGCGACAGTGTTAGTGACACCAGGAATGTGGACAGCTGACACCAAGAAGTCATGCTCAATACACAGCAGATACAATGCCCGGATAAGTGTCATGACTGGCGGTGAACGGCAGGTACCGGAGCGTATACAGTCCACCACGGCCTTGTTGTCACACTGAAACTGAATGCGTCGCCTGCTCCACTCCGAACCCCAGGTCGCGCAGGCAACTATGATAGCATACATTTCTTTGAACTCAATGTTCTCGTTCTCGTTCTGGGCTGTCCACTCTCCTCTCAGCCACCGGCCGTTGTAGAAGGCACCATAACCGTGAGTGCCGCTGGCATCAGTCTGTAGTTGCATGTCGGGGGCTGGCGTCCACTCATCCACCAGGAAGAATGACTTCCCATTCCATATGGTCAGGGCCTCTGCCCACCACAACAGGTCTGCCATTGCCGATGCCGAAATGCGTAGCCATTGGTACAATGGTGTTGATCGAGTTGCTCTGTCCAGGTCGGACAGGCGTCTCAGGAATGTGCGACGTCGCCAAGTCATGGACTCGGCGCTTGGAGGGCTGGGGAGTGGACGAGCTCTGCACCAGCTCAACGGACCTGCCGTTCACCAACGACAACTGCAGGACATCACTACTGCCGGACATGGCTTCAGGCAACAAGTCCCCAAATTTGACAAACTCACCTCGTGTGATACGTTCCCGTAGCCGTGGAGGGATGACGGGGAGTCCTGGAGAGCCGGCCGCGCAAGCCAAGTGCATCGGGGAAGGCTGCCCCAGCGGCAGAGGAGCTGATGCTGGTGCTGGTACGGCAATGGGCGAGGTGGTAGGGGCGACGACGTTGGATTCCAAGCGCTCCAGGAGGGGCTGGATAACACCAGTCAGGTCGCTCAGGGTGAGAGGAGCTGGTTGTGACGGCGCAGGAGAAGTCACCTGGTCCGCGTTGGCTGAAATGTGCCCATGAGCATGGATCACACGGGACCTCGCTCTCCGATGTTCTTGAGAATTCGCGGAATTCACAGCCCGCTGCAGATACGGGTAGAGAGCTGGGGGACCGTCAGCGTCAGTGCCGGCAGCGCTTGCACCCCGTGAGGTGCTCCGTGTTCTCGGCATGTTCGTTGAGGCAGGAAAATGTAGGAAATTGACAACTGACGGACAAACCTGTGAACAGTCAAGTCGTCGGAAAGCAGAAGTGACAAAGGAGTCTCTCTTTTCTCTTTTCTCTCTTTCTCTCTCTCTAAAGCAAGATTTAGAAAGCACGCATGGGAGAGTGGCGCGCGCTGCCCATGCGCATGTATAGCAATGACATCATAATCAGATGCATGATCATCAGACAAAGTATGAGTGGTAGATGTTCCACGTTCGTTAACAGGGCTTAGCGCACACGCTAAACCACCATAAAAATGTTTAGCGTTTTCTGAATCAGGACCAATTCCCGATGAAATATTTTAGCGATGGGAGTTTCAGAATAATTTGAACCGTCCACCTCTCCACACTCTGCTCTTGGCCCACATTCACCACACCACTCCAAGTTTGTTCTTGGGTAGATGTTCCATATCCTCCAGACAGCTGGTTCGCTCATTAAGAGCTCCTCAGTGGAGGTAGATAACGAATGAATAGCAGATAAAGGAATGAGTATGTTTATAGAGTTTCAGAGATTTAAAAAAAGGAGATGACTAGTACCAAGAGTACATACCCCCCCCCCCCCCCCCCCCAGAGTGTGCAACGCCTGATCCAGCTCTGCATAGGGTCTTGGTCGAGCGTGGTCGGATCTTCTGATGTCATGCGTCCACTTCACACCAGCGCAAGGCCGGTCTCGAGGCAGGGCACCGTTGCTTTTGATCCGAGAGTACCCGTGACTCCCCAGGTTCCCCTCAGATGTGTACGGTATTATGACGCAGAGATCCGATTACGCTCGACCGAGACCCTATGCACGGCTGGATCAGGCGTTGCACACTCTGGGGGGTTATGTACTCTTGATGACCCTATGCAGAGCTGGATCAGGTGTTGCACACTCTGGGGGGGGGGGGGGGGGGTTATGTACTCTTGCTATTACTCTACTGTACATGCAAACATTTCGATTGGTGCGGCAAAACTTTAGTGAAAACACTGCTTTCGCTAAAATATCACCGGTGCTAAAATTATCCGCTTTTATACAGTAGCTACTAGCTAGTCACCATCGATATATTGTAGAATACAGTATTGAGCACCTCAACACTTGATTTTTTGCGGATTTTTGCTCAATGTGGGCCATTGTGAAGTACTGGCCCGAAATGTTTCACTTTTTTCTTTTAAAATCAAGTCTAGCAATTACCGTAAAGTACCGTTGATCCGCCCCCACGCCATGTCGCTTCCCAGCTGGGTTTTCGGCAGGGGGCGGGAATTAGATCAAGGCTGTCAAGTGCAGTACGATGTACAACAACGTAGAGGATCAGACTCAATGTGCTGAATTGTGCACATTTTGATCCTGGATTGGCAAGTATTGTGTACAGCAGTGCATGCGTCGGTTCAACATCGTATTTCGTTGTATACGGCGAAGTCGCTTCACAAGGAGAAAATCGACAGGGTGCGGGAATTAGAGAGGGGGCGGATCAACGGTACTTTACGGTATAAAGATACTGGAAAAACCAAGAAAAGTGACTGTTCACCGCTAAATCCCACTTTCTACAGTGTTCTGGTCCCTTGGGGTACTATTTTTCATCAACATTTCATTTTTTCGGCCATTGGCCGGTTCAGTTTAGTTCCAGGTTCAGACAGTGCAGTCTCTGTATTGTTGACAGTTGCGTGAGACTCAGAGTCACATTGTCATGATGAATGAAGAGCTGGGCCTTGCAGTACTGGCATTGGTAGATCCATAGCTCTGGTCGACTTGGACTTGCTTACTTGGACTAGTGTTCCAATGATTGGACCCGCATATGAGACGTGCTTGCAATCATATCGGTTTGACTGTACTTTGCAAAACAGGCTATCTTCGGTGGAACTTTGATTTCGGTGATCCCGGTAGAAATACCAGGCACCTAAATTTAGATTACACCTAACTGGCATAGATGTATATGCTGTATGGGAAGGGAACGTTGGTCACCTAATTCTAAGTTACACCTGAAACCCATCAGGTCCCTGACACCGAATTAATGTTGTGATACACCTAAAATGACATGGTTTACGGTTCAATTTTCTGTTGTGTGCACGTGCAGAGTCTGTTTGATGATTTCGACTATGGCGATGATGAGGATGAGGATGCACGTCTTGCTGAGCAACAGCGCCGCATGGAGGCTGACCAACACCGACTGCAGTCGAATACGTGAGTGCATTCAGCCAGTGGCACACCGTGCTACATGCATACATGCCAATATGGTGTTTGTCCCGGGGTCCCGGGATGTTCTGCGAAAGTCCCGGGATTGCGATGGAACGGTTGAAATCAATGTTTTTCTCATTTTTATGACGATTTTCAGGGTCTCCTCGATCTAGATCCGTGGAATGTGCACGCAGCATGTAGCAGACACAGCTCAAGCGCTCGTGTCCACAAGTGCAACTCGTTCGAGAGTAAATCTACTTGCTGCTTGCCATTGGACTCCAGAGTTCGTCCTCATGTTTCTCCTACTTGCAGTCGAAAGAGGAAGTCGTCAACCGTGACCCAGACTGTATCCACCAAAAAGAAGAGAGCTTTGTTCTTTCAAGGAGGATTGGACTCGCGAACATAGCGTTGCACCGAGATCTATGGGCAAGACTGAGCTACGTGTTTTGCAAAGGGTATTCAAGTTATGTCTATATAGCTGGCCGTGGTGAGCATGAGCTGAAGCGACTTCGCTTTGCTGACTTCTTCTCTGAATGGCAATATCGCAAGTTTGCATCGCTCCTGGGCATCCCAAGGTGCATTGCGCCGTGCGTCACAAGCAAAACTTGTGCCCCCCCCCCCCCCACCTTTCTTTGATGGCTTCATCTTGTTTTCTCATGCAATAATTTTCAGTTTTATTCCTGTGGACAATACTGCTACTATTGCTACTCCTATGGTGCACGTAGATAGTAGGTGTTTAGTGTAATGACTGCCATCTACACTGCCTAAACAGGAATCTGTGGCTGGATTAATTGGCAGCGGATGCATTGGTCACCGCCTGTGTGATTTTAGACGTCAAGTGGCTCATGGTATGTTGAATAACTTAGTTACTGAAGCCACCGATTGCACCTTTGCAGTGTCGAATTGCCAGTCTACTTGAGTGGCTACACTGGGTTCGTCGCGATGACGGAATCGATGAACTCCGTTGTTTTCTCTCTCGTATGTGCAGTTGTGTATTCAGCTTCATGGCCTCTAGCTACCAGGAGATTGAGCGCACCCAAACAGCCTGTGTATTTAGAAGTTTGTTTGCCCTGTAATTGTTTTCTGCAGGAGCGATGACAAAGAGACTGATGCCGAGGCCGCAAGCAGGTGGCCAACAGTGGAGGAGCAACGTTCAAGTTGGCAGGCCTTTGTGGCGGGCGGCGACACACGGGGTAGGGATAGTGACAGATCCTGGAATAAAGCACCTCCTCCTGACAGACAGGGTTCGGGACTAAGGCCTATCACTTCTGGCATGTCCTCAACCGCTCAACGGCAACTACAGCCACAGCAGAACCGTGCTCCGCCAGCCGTGGCATCCAAAGCACAGATGGAGATTGATGCTCTGTGGGAGAAGGACCCAGCCAGTGAGCAAAGGGAGCGAGAGCGTGCTGCCCAGCGGTCTACCAGCATAAATAACAACCGGACGTCGAGCACGACTGCGACATCATCTTCAGCATCCTTGAGCACCACCACCAGCACGTTATCTAGATCCAGCAGGTGGTCAAACACCTCTCCCGAGCGCCACTGGTCTGATAGTCCCTCCAAACCTAGAGCATCACAGCTGGCTGACAACATTGAACGGGAGCAAGAGGAGCAGTTGATGAGACAACAGAAAGGCTTCCCATCACCTCGACCCAACATGGTGACAGGTAGGTACACTGTATTGTGCCCCCCCCCCCAGATATAACAGTAACTGGTAATTGTGTTGCGCCTTTTGCACTGATCTTTAAGCTGAAAAAGGGCGCAAAGTACAATCAAGCATGACTTGCTGCTCGCGGGAATATTTTAAAAGCCGCATGGCAAGTGGACCGCTTTAGGAGCTGCTTTTGAGCCTTGATCCTTGAGGTTGGTGGCGTTCCTACGGGATTCGGACAACTTGGTCTAACCGAGTCTCTACATGAATCGTGAATTTTTATTTTATCTTTATGGCAAATGGAAGTGTGACTTATAATCGGGGATATACGGCGTATTCTTTTGGGGTTTTCTGGGGGTTTTTCCTCTCCTCGCTGTGCCCACACGACTCCTAGTGTGTACATAATCAGCCATCTCTAAAGGCCGACTTTGTATCCATTGCACTTCTCTATAGTTGTCTTTCATTCTCTATTTCATTCAGTCGGTTCTCCTCTCCCCCCCCCCCCCCATGCACGCACACATGCACACGCACACACACGCACAACACACACACACACACACATGCGTGTGTGCGCGCTCTCTCTCTCTCTCTCTCCTTTCATCTACCGCGATTGTAAAACTCACCTGTGTAGTGCTATCCCGACAAATAATCCAAGTAGTTGATGCCAGTGTTACGATCACGCGTGTGTGTGTGTGCGCGCGTGTGTGCATGTGTGTAGATGTCCATGCAAGGTGCATACTAGTATGGTCGACTTGTACTGTATATTCTTGTTGAAGTTTGTGTAGGATATGTCCACGGGATATCTGAAAAAAATACGTGTGTGTGGAACATTAGACACCCTTAGCAAACAACGTTATGTTGTAACGGTATTACCGTAAGGGGGAAAATACCGTGATTTGGGTTCGACCTTTAGCAAGATGCACGCTATTTTTAGTACGCTGTTGCCACGAGAATAGCTTTTATTTCGCGCGGTACAACCATTTATGTCACCATATACGCGATACAAGGTGAAATGCGTACGGACTATGCAGTATTTGGCCAAAACACACACCGTTGGTCACAACGATAAATCAGCCCCCATAACGTTTTTATGCTGCAGCTTCAACGCTATTTGGGTGATCAAGGTACGAGTACCGTAAAAATAGCGTTACCGTTGTTTGCTAAGGGTGTCTAATGCATTATAAAAATAACGTTGAGTTCAGAAAAGCTGTTGGGACAGCATGGCGTATGAGAGTTGCGCACTCTTGGGAATTTTGTTTCCTTGATTCTAACTTTATAGCCATCATTGTGATGCTGATGTACGTGCCTTTCTTGATTCTAACTTTGCCATCATTGTGATGTTGATGTACGTGATGTACGTGCTGCCTTTCCTTTGTCCAGTGTGTAGCCGCACACTGTTTGTTGGACGCCTTGCCAAGTCTGTGACTGAAGCCACACTGAATGAGGAGTTTAGCCGGTTTGGGCCTGTGGAGAGTGTTGAGGTGAGTACCGCCGCCGCCCAGCAGTGTCCCTACTGGTGCTCATCGACTAGCCCACATCTCTGTCCTTGTGATCACCTCTTCCCTTTGGATTTCTTTGGGAGGAAGGGGCGAAATCCTGGCCTAGCGAGGCTGAGCAGGCTGGTTTCTCCTTCCATGCAGCTGTGGGCGGACAAGTTGATGATGCTTGGTTTGTCCGGTGTGGTTGCATGCGTGGCGGGTGTGATGTCTGTGGGTGTAGTCTGTCTAGCTCCTTGGTGTGCAGCCGGTTGGCTCGTTGGTGGGCAAATTTCACCTAGTTGGTCAACCCATTTTCATGTCAGGGAATGCAATTTTTACTACTCCACTGCTCGCTAAAAAGTAAAAACAGGCTGAGAACGTACGATGTGAACACCACGCCATATGATGTGAGTTCTCGGCGGCGGCGGACCCCATAACAAACCCACACAGAGTGCACACTCTTGGGAGCTTATTTACTCCTGATATTAAACATAATCAATATTAATTATACATGTACTTGGTCCGGCTCATCGCAATTGTCGCTTATCTATCGCCACTAAGAACAGGAGTTTTTTTACCGCTCTGTGAAATTCCCAGTAGGCATAGTGAGGAAGCATGATACAAGAATACTCTCCGCCACAAGAAAAAAAATTCAGCAATGGAATCAGGTGAAGCGAGTCAAAGAAAGGAAGCAAGGTAAGCAAAATGCACGAAATAAATCCGCGAAGGAGCGCGTTCTTGCACTCACACTCTTACAGGTCCAGAGTTCATTCAACTCTGCATCACTCGAGCTGCCGCGCTGTTACATGTAACATGAGCTGACATTTGCTGGTGTCTAGCTGCTGTCGCAGACGGAGTATCGCTTGCGTTCTCACTCAGGCTGTACGTATGGCAGCAATGGGAAAGGAACAGCTGTGGCTGTCACTTCGGTGCTTGAAGGAACCGTGGGCAGTGTGACCTGTGTGTCTCCACAGCGTGTTTCAACAAAGCCTTCGAGGCATACAAGCCTCTCCAGACAGCTGTCATACGCTCCGCTGAATACGCTGACCACGACTCTTGTAACGCTGCTGCTAGGTCCACCAAGCAAGGAACAACAACCGTCGGCCGGGCGCATCGCATCAAAAACACCTTTCTTCTTCAGCATGACGCTCATGCGGCTCGTACTCCTCTGCCGTGCACGCATGCCTGTCACGCTCTCCAGGATGTCTGAGTTGCCCCTGCCACAGTTCCGCTATTCGGGTCGCTGCGCGCTTGGCTTTTGGCAACACAGACAGTGAATGGCCAGATTCCCACTTCCCAAAAAAGTCGAACACATCGCGATTCAAAGTGCTAGTCGCGATCATTTTTCTTTGGTGCCTCCTTTGATCTTGCCATCACAACCTCCCAAGCAAAAGCAAGTTAGATATCGTGATCGGACTGGGTTTTACCCGTCAAAAAGTGCGTGGGAGATAAGCGACAATTGCGATGAGCCGGACCAAGTAGTTGCATACACCGCTGATGAGGTGATTTGCTAGGTAAATCACATGAACAGGAAAATCCTGCGTGCCCTTCTCTATTTTTTTGTGTAGCATGCATGAACATATTGATGGGTCATGCACAGGTACTTGAATATCTCTTGCAATGAGCTCTTGTGCTTAGCACGTTAGACAGACCTGTCACTGTATTGCTGATGGATTTAATCACATACGTGTGCGGTGTTCTCTGTGTGTTGCATAGATGATATTTGCTCGAGGATGTGCTTTTGTGTGCCTTGCTACCCGTTCCGTTGCCGTGGAAGCTCTTGCAAATTGCCATCGCCTCGTTATCCACCGGCAATCTGTGAAAGTGAGTTTCTTTTTTGTCCTTTTTTGGTTGTACTAATTTGAAGCAGATTTGATGTTTGCGTAGCTTCCGTTCCTTTACCTAGGTGACGTGGGACTGGAGGGTGACAGCCCCTGTCTCAGAACTACTACCCATAATCTAGGAATACACTCACTCAGCTTGGCTCACTAAGTTGTTGTTGAAGCTGGTGTCGTTCCCTTTATACAACTAGCTACGCACAATAGGAGCTGAAGACAATGACCGGACTGTAAGGTGTCTGGTTATTGCAGGTGTGGATAAGAGAGATTCTAGTGCAGTACGAGAGGATTGACTGTGTGCCCGTATCCACCCTTATCGGGGCTCTGGCTAGGAACGATCTGCAGGGTTGCAGTGGTGGTGGGGGTGGTGGTTGTTGTTGTGGTGGTAGTGATGATGGTAGTGGTGCTGGTTGGGGTGGGGGTCAAAACTGAACAGAAATGTATAACAGCGTAACATGCATACCTGCCAAGTATCCCGATTTTTTCGGAATTATCCTGCATTCTGGATGAGCTCACGCGATCCCGAAATTCCTGTCGATTATCCCGAAAATCACTGTGCACGAAACAAGTCTTGATATTGTTCTTGGAGCACTTCAAGTGACTGTGTCTAGTTGTCCTTATTGATTCCGTACCGCCATAGCCTGTAGTACCCGTGGATCTACTAGTGCTTCCATGAACAGTCCCTGAAAAACCTCCGTTTTGAGTCCTGAACTTGCGTGTAGTGTGATGAAAATCTACACGGGTAGTCACTGATAATGTCACAACATTTTGGTGTCATCATTTCAAAAGAGTTGGAAATGGAATTTTGTAAAAAATATGTCATCCCGAAAAACCAAGGCAAATCCCGAGATTTTGCCCTGGCGATCCAGAAAAAGCACTCTCAGTACTTGGCAGGTATGAATATGCGATGCGAAGTAGCAGCTTGTTCCGACTCATAGAGGTATTTTGCATTGACATCTCTCTGCACCGCATTGCAACCGCTTAAAAGAGGATGACTCTAGTTGCCAGGATGATACACCAGCATAGTGCATGTACTGTGCTTGGAGTGTTTTGACTTGGGGCCCCACTTGTGTTGCTCCCACAATGATCTTATTTTTTCTTCCTTTGGCCATCTTCGAAGAGCTCATTTGAAGTCAGTTCTAATGAATGGGAAAAGAACGAGGACTAGCACGTTTTATATGTACTTTCTGAATCCCCTCTATTTTTGCACAGGTAAGCTGGGCTACCGGCAAGGGCATCAAAGGCAATGAGGTGAAGTCTTTCTGGAATGTCCAGCTTGGAGCTTCCTACATACCCTGGGAGAAGGTCAATGATGACTCGGTCAGTCTCTTCAGCTTGTCAGATGGCTGCGTCATTGATCCAACCACCCTTCCACCGGGAAAGTTTATCAGTGACTTACCACAGGCGCCGGTGGCCGTTGACAGTGATGATGCAGGCACACAGTCTGATGCTCAGCCGTCTAATTCCAGTAAGTAGCGCTGCTCTTTCTGTCTTTGTGCTTCCTGAGAACTTAGAGCTAGAACGCTCTCAAACCAAATGAAATTTCTCAAAGGTTTTGGATGCCCAATAGATGGACAGGGCATGTAACGCTAGAAACAGTGCAGAAAAGAAATCAACAGAGAGTAACTGTGAAAGCTACTACTACATGCAGTAACTTACTTTGCCACACATGCATACGAAAAGGGATACAGTCAGACCTCGCATAACCGCGCACATCCGTTTTCCACAAAAATATATCCGGATAGGCGAGGGAACCGGATAATCAAACACACGTACTGTATGTATGCATGGCATAAGCTGTAAATCGGTAACCAACGATTTTCTTCCAGATGGCGAGGGATCCGGATGGCGACAGGATCGGATAAGCGAAGTTTGACTGTATTGAGAGTATGAGTGTACTGGTGCTATTGGCGTGACTGCCGCATTGTCTTGTTTCAGTTTGCCTGACGTCACTCGGACCAGCACACTTTGCCGCATGAGTGTGCTGGAAATAATATCTGTGTCCACTACACACCCGTGTTATAGGCTGCACATTCTGATAAGATGGCATAATATGATACTTGCTCATACTAGTATACCTGTTTGGTTTGTGTGTGCAGTCCTAACATCATTGGCACCACATCCTCAAGCTACCTCGAGCTCAGGTCTGATGCCTATGGCCCCGCCACCCTTCTCAATGGCCCAAGCCGCTGCAGCCGCAGTGGCAGGAGGCTTTCTACCTGGAGCATCGGGCAAACCGACTTTGCCAGCAGTCAACGCATCAACCGCATCAACAGCATTGCCATCTGTGCCAGCTTCGGTGACATCTCATGCAACTACCACAGCAGCACCTCCGCATCCTGCACCAGGATTACCAACACCGGCTAATGTAGCCGGAGCACCTCGACTGCCTCCTCAACTTACACCCGGTGGGCCTCTGCCATTGCCTCCAAATTTCCCTGTACCTCCAGGTGGCTTGCCACACCTTTCAGGCCTGCCACCACCACCATTCCCAGGTGGCATTCGCCCACCTCCGCCGATACCTGGTACTGGACAAGCAGCACCTCCTCGAGGTCCCGGTGGATTGCCACTGCCCCTAGGTGTGAATGGCCCACCCGGAATACGACCCCCAGGCCTGCCACCGCGTCCTGGCATGCCACCTGTTCCGGGTATGCCACCCAGACCGGGTATGCCACTGGGACCAGGTATGCCACCGGGACCAGGCTTACCACACCCGCCTGGTCTACCTCCACCACCTGGCCTGCCACTTCCACCTGGTCTGCCGCCGCATATCCGTCCAGGTATGCCACCGGGTCTCCCACCTCCATTCCCGAACCGCCTTCCACCGCCCCTTCTGGCTTCACCGGATCAACGGGGCAACATTGGGCCGGGGTCAGATCAGCATGCAGGACCTCGTCCACGGCCTCTCTTGCCAGGGTTGCCTTCATCACCACACGCAGGTGGCCCCGGACCCAGCAGATTTCCGCGACCTGGCTTACCCCCACACGCTGACCATCATCCAGACCAGCATGCGTCCGCAACAGGTAGTGATCGTCCAGGAGCAGCAGGTGAAGGTGAACATCGTGCAGACAGGCCTGGACGTCATGATAGCGAAGACTTTGACATACCTCCAGAGCTAAGGCCGCGCCCTGGTGTGCCCTTGCCTCCCGGTTTGGCTCAGCACTTGTCAAAGATAGCTGGTGCTGGCGAAGGCTTCCCTGGTGCATTTGGAGACCGAGTGCCGCCGGCGATCCGACCTGAGTTATCTGGATTTGAACAGAGCTCTGAGCGTCATCCTGGTGCCGCTCCTGGAGATGATCGCAGCAACAACAACAACAGTGGCCGTAGTAGATCTGCTTGGGGCGACGCTGCATCACCAGGCCACCGAGACCATGGGCCCGGACGAAGTAGAGGTCGAGATTTTGACAACAGTGACGATGCTAGTGAGGGACCCGGTTTCCGTGGTGGACGTTCTGCCAACCGATTCAATAGTAGTGGCAGAGGAGATGATTCTTCTGGCAGGTACGGTGCAAGTGATTCCCGTGACTCTAGGTATGCCGATGGTGACTCTAGAGACAACGGTGGTGGTAGGCATTCTGATCGGGGTGGTGACCGAAGTGAGCGCGGTGCACGCGCTGATCGCGCTGAACATGACGACCGTGACAAGTATGAGCGTGGTTCTCGGCGACGGGATGACTATGAACGTGGTGATCGCAGTGGAGGTGACCGCGGTGGATCTGATCACAGGGGTCGCAATCGTAGCCGTGAGCGAGACAGAGACCGAAACCGGGATCGTAGCCGTGATCGAAGTCCTCGTGACCGACCTGCCAAGGACTCCCGCACTAGTGGTCGCGGCGAGCGTGGCGGCAGTCCTAGCCGACGGGATGGTTCACCAGCCGGTGCCGAGCGTCGACGTGACCGTAGCTACAGTCGTGAGCGCAGTCCGGACACCACCTCATCACGACGACGCAGATCACCGGAGCAGCAGCGCAGCAGTCGCAGTCGGCGCGGTGGTGGCGATGGTGACGATGACCGCCGCAGCAGCAGACGCCACCACCGCCGATCTGCCTCGCCACGCGACCACGATCGCAAGTCTGATTCTAAACATCGCCATAGTCGATCCTCAAGTACCCACCACCACAATGCAAAGAGTGAACGAGATGAAGCAGTAAAGGGTGAAGATGGTTCTGGCCCTGTGCCAGAGGAACCGGCCACCTCGGAAAATTCCAAGACTGCGAAGTCGGAGGACTAGTCCTAGTACTGCAGAGAAAGTGGTGTGCTCGTGTCAGCGAATGTCATACAGCGTGTGTATTGTAGTGTGCCCATGGCTGAGCTCCTGGCCATTCAAAGGTGGTCCAACTTTTTTATATAATGCCTGCGCGGGTCGATGTTCACCCCTGACATGGTTTCGTCAGCATCTTTGATAATGTGCACTCTCGTATGGCACAAGGCGTGGAAGTGGTCCTATCCAACCAATGCGCCGGTATTTTCAATTAGTTTACTGGTTGGTGCGGTGATTTTTTTACCTCGCGCTACCCTTTGCTGTGTGCGGTGGTAGGTTCCAACACCACATCCAATTAGCTGTAGATATACAGGATGTACTGCGTATGTAATATTGAGGAAGAACTGCTATCGGTATGTGACTGTGCACGTTGCACGTGTGTGTGCGTAATCGCCGCATCGGGTTTGTTGACGTCCTCGCACTTTATGAAGTGCTTTCTTCTCACAGTGCGTGTGCAGCTGCTGCTGTGCTGTACATGCAGCCATCTGGAATTTTCTACATTTAGCCTCGTTAGTAAAATTAGCTCACTGCCAGGTGCGTTATGGCTGTGCCGTGAATCTCACCGGTTTGGCTGTCTTGTACTGTTTTACAATGTACCCGCATGCCACGTACGTCCGGGTGTGTTTGCTCAGATAAACATCCAGACATTTCTTTTCTTTTTCATGTGACTCTTCTCCTTTTATACAATCATATTGTTTTGTTGCTGGGCTGGGTCCTGGGCCTGGCTTCAGTGGTGGTTCTGCACGTTGCTAGTCACTGAATGTGATACTTTCTCTCTCTGTGTCACAGGACACGCCGGAGTGCGCATTCTTCTGTTGTCATTTCTAGGCTTGTTTTAGTTTGTTTCTGTGTGGCGTCTTGTTTGTCGTCGTTCTGGTCCTGACGCTGCTGGTCATATCCATTTCTTTGTGTTGTTACTTTTTACTTTTTGTAGTGTTCTGTTCGCAAGACTGGCATGCCAGTCGGGTCTGTACTTTCTTTGTCTGTTCCTCTGTACTCCTTCGAAATATTAATTGCTGGCCGTTTGCACAGTCTCTCTGCACTGAGTGGATTTGAGCATGCTCTTCTAGTATATCCCCTCGTTGGACACGTGTCGGGAAACTGTACTTCGTTGTTGCATCGTGGACTACGGATGCAGTCCATGCGACAGTAGAATCACGGATTGCAGCTTTCATGGTTCATCAATAACGACGTAAATGACGAATTCCACTGTCCAGAACCCATTATGCAGAGTTGCACCCTCTTAGCCTCTACAGCTAGTTTATGTACTGCAGTTTGTCAGACATGATCAATCGAATCATTGTCTTCCTACCCGCAGTTCAGCTTGGCATACCTCCTGCCATGCTGACCCCTCCTTCTGCTTATTATGTTCGAATCTCATGCTACCTTAACAGGGCCGGCGCCACTGGTACGGCCATGGCCGTACCAACTTCCCAAAAAGTCGGTCCACGTGGAACGTTCAAAACCGGGGAGAAAAAGTTTCGATGTATGATTTTGTACAGGGAGTCGCCTGGAGTGCAGGATTTGCCGTCTAAATTCCAAAAATGTTCTGGGGGAGGACCCCCGCATCCCCTTAAAGATGGCCCTTTGGCCGCACCGCTCTGCGGAAGCTGCCTCCGGCCTTGCATAATATTAATGATAATTATAAATAGCCCCCCCCCCCCCCCCCACACACACACACACAAACCCACAAGCTTTCTGTTGGAAGTCCTGAAAATGAGATGGCACCGCAACATGGGTTCGTTTTTGTTTAGGCTGGAAGACAGGATAACGATAGACACGCATGCAAGGTTTACATCAGGGAGCCCTACACACCCATATGTGTAGGTCTCCCGGACTAACATGTTAGCGTTCACACTATTTCTATGGTGCCCATACATGTACCTAACAAACCGCTTGTCGTAAATACTTGTACTTGTACACAGTAGTGTGATTCTGGCCTGGTTTCAATGTTCTTTGCTAAAATAATTAGGCCAATCGCATCTTTCGCATTGGATGCGTATGCACATGGGTTCCTAGTGCTGTCACTGACACTCCATTCGGGGAGTTATGAACTCTTGCTGGTATGTGCACCTTCACATTGTAGCCTCTATCACACATACAGTGGGCCAGTGGGAAGCCATCGATGGAACTCTGTACGCATACACCCACAGCTGAGAAAAAGAAGAAGAAAATGCTAAAACATGCCAAGTAGACAAACCCATAGAAAACATCAGCAAAAGAGCAGTAAATCCCTGTCTTGTGGAGCCTATCCCATATAACAATAACAGCAGCTACATTATAGAACAAACCAACACATGGCAGTTGGTGCCTTGTCCAGCAAGTAGCCATCAACTCCAAAAGCAAGCAGAGTACACATATTAGCATTAAAAACAGCAGACGATCTAACCACTGCATTGTGTGGATTGTGTGAAAATTGGAAGGACTGAATATATACTTCGAAGTATGTACAACAATTGCACTTTGAAGTACAACAATAGTTCTACAAAATGATGCAATACACTAACTACACTGCAGGCACGTCAAGTAAGCTACATTGTACAAGAAGCAGGTACCGTATACAGGAGAGTAGGAAACAAACATCCCTGTATCCTCATACATAATTTAATGCATCCAGTACACCACGGCCAATCTAGTTCTACCATACATGTATATCCTAGCTGGTGGAGGGGCAGAAGGTGCGCCACTCCACAACACCACTCTACACTACTCACAAAGTTCCGTACTCTAAACAAGTCTATGCACACAACCTGTTGTGCACACTCTGCTAGTCTGTCCAGGTCTTGAACCGTGCATACTCACAGCCACGATCTTAGAATACTTCCATGCACTCAGTGTCTACGTATCAAGTGCAACACCGCTCTTCCAGCCAGCAAATGGCTGGACGTGATCAGGAGGGTAGTTCAGACATAGGTCGGGGATGACGCACAGTGCTGAGCTTTCCGCATCCTTCGCTCCATCACTGCCTTGCTTACGCATCAGCTGTGGCAACAACGTAGAAGACGCATACAGATTGTACAATATGTTCACACATACCGTGCACACAGAAACGCAAACACACATTCGCACGTATCCCCCTCCCCATCCCCACACTCACACACAGCGCGAATGGAGCATATGGCAGAGCGTGTATAGGAAGTGTAGTGGTCGCCGGAATCTAGACTGCAACATGAATCAGTGCATGCAGCCTTGCATAGGAGAGCAAAATACCACGTGACTCTGTACCCAAGGCTGAATCTGTATTTCACTGGACAGTGCTGTGTATGTAAACTGCTCTACAGGTACATATTACACATCTCCCCATGCAGGTGAAAGTCAAGGTTTCATCGCCGAGTCATGTCGACATAGAAGCCATCATGTGATAACACAGCCAGGTGCAGGTAAACAACCAAGCAGGTGAGCAGCTACATACCCATACACACTGTGACAGACAAGTCGTCATTCCATTAGCTTACCGGAACAACATAGCACCCCTGGGCTTTCAAGCTCATGGCGGACAGCACAGCATGTCCAGTCGGCTGGTGGCGAGGCAGGGACAACAAGCTCTGGGAGTTATAAAGTAGCACGGCGATAAATCGTAGTGAGGTTTGATCCAGGTCAGTGTTGACCACACCATCACAGACAGCTCCAGCAGGCCAATCGGCCACTCTGACAAGGATGTTTCGCTGCACATCCAACAAGGCCAGACAAGCCACATGCACCCCACTCAGGTGAAAGGGACCGGCATAGAACTCGTCACCGACAGTTCGCAGCATAGCCTGGAGAATGGCTGCATCTGCCTCCACCGTCTGCTGTGTCTGGTCTTGCAAAGCTGCATCATGAAGAATGCGCATGTGATGGGGTTGCAAGGGATGCGATGATCCCAAAAGCGGGATGAGCCGGATGAGCAGGTTGTGCTTGCTTGCCACATCTATGATTGAAAAGGCATTGTGATCAGGATCAGTGGTGCACGCACGCACAGCACATAGAATAACCGAGAGAGAGAGAGAGAGAGAGAGAGAGAGAGAGAGAGAGAGAGAGAGAGAGAGAGTGAGTGAGAGTGAGAGTGAGAGAGAGAGAGAGAGTGTGTGTGTACAAGATACACAATATTCATGTATCAGCATGCTCTGCCCGTTACATCGGCCACTTTTCGGCAGAGGAGTACCGGAGTAGCTCACTCGGCTGTGAACTCTGGCTGCATGCTAAACAGCCAGATTGACTGATGCGTATCTCGCATCCCAGCACAATAAAAACGCGTTGCGACTACTTTCCCAGTACTTACTTAAAGTAGTAAATAGTACATCAAAGTAATAGTAGTGTGCAGCACACACAACACTGTCTAATCTGTATAGAGGACATCAAGGTCAGGTCTCTTCGGGTTTCATTATATGTATGTAAACTAGGGGTGAAAGTTGGCACTGACATCCCGAGTTCGAGTACTCTGATTTTCTCCGATCGAATATTTGAGTATTCGAGTATTCTTCATCTCCTAAAAATTGCACACCGAGGGCCTTAAAATCGCATGATACAACCCTGATTGAACCGAGTGGCAGTCATTTTACTCGGGTAATTGAATTATTGGTTGGTGGGTCATTTGGGCTCTCTCTACTCGTGAACAAATGCTCACACTTTGACGGACGCAGGATTTAGAATGCACGCACAGTGTTCTAGACAGCTAGACATTGCGTAGCTGTGATAGTCACTATGCACATACGCATGCCATACAGCACCGTGTCCCTCACCGTTGACGAATGCGTCCAGGCCTGGCAGAGCGAGTAGCAGCTGTGCACCCTTGTTGCTATCGCCACCACTCAGCACATTGTACTGAATGACATTGAGCAACTCCTGGTGATACAGAGGTGTGAATAGAGATGGCTTAGCCACCAGTGGATGCTCGACAAGCTGGGTGGCCATATCATGCCTGGGCACATTCAGCATGGTCAAACTGAAGGCAAGTGAGCAGACCTTCATGGCTGCGTCATAGGAACCAACATCCACATGATCGTGCACAATCCTTTCAAGTGTGGGCGTCACGCACTGACCATTGGCACACCAGTGCAGAATCCAAATCAGCTGCGTCTGGGCACTGTCATCGTCAGTACCAGCCTTTAGTCTCTCTTCCAGCATAGCCAACACTCTATTGAAAACTTCCAGTATTGGCATGGGCATACCGGGCCCAGTAGATATACACGCCCGAACAAGGATCTGGAAGGCGTTTAGGTTCTTCTTAGTTGGTAGAACCTTGAAGATATCGTCCGTCCTTGCCAGGATGTTTTCAGGTGTACACATATCATACACTTGCAGAGAAGAATAGAGCTTGGCAACTGCTTTGTAAAAAGCCTTGTTCGCTGCTGGTGTGTATCGGTATTCATGCGCGTCTCCTATGCTGGGAGTGGAATTCCTTTGTGGTGTCGGACTGTGGCGTGGAGAGCAGAAGCAGAGGCTTCTTCTTGTATGAGATAGTGCTGATGAGACGCCAGGATTGCTCTTCGTGTGAGGCAGCAATGCTGAGACGTCGGACGTAGAGACAGCTGGGGTCGAATAAGGGCGAAGTTGTGCAAGTTGCATGCTCTGTGAGTGTTGGGTGTCTCGACAGGAGAGCCTTGCCGGCAAAGGCATCAGAGAAGAACAAACGGTTGCAATGTCCTGTTGTGCTGCATAATGAAATGATCTGTGAGACAAGCTGGCGCCAACTAGGCTTGCGGAGAATCGTTCTTGACCCTGCTCTCGTCCGGTTGGCAACAGTGAACGCACACTGGATCGAGCGCAGTGTCGTACCGTCTGGTTACACAGCATGTTGGAGAGCTCTGTGGTTCCCGTCGACAATGCCCTAAGCTGTGCTCTGTAGTGGCCAGGGATACAAGCAGACAGTACACAAGTCTGTGCATGTACGCGTGCACACACGCGCATGCACATTACCACACATGCATGTACATAGGGATGCACATGAACACGTACACGTACACACAGACCAACAGGCAAATTAGACAGGCAAGCACAAAGGACAGACAGAGACAACAGTAGCAAAACGTGATACAGATGAATACTCCTAAAGGGGCTAAATTTGGCAGACAGCAAAGTTCTCAAACGGTTTTGTGCATTTCGTGTCATAAAAGAAAGCATGCATGTCCGGTGCATGCTACGCAGAACATAAAACTTTCGATTGGTGCGACTAAACTTGATTGGTGCGACTAAACTTTAGCCAAAGCCACTACAGTACTACATGTATACCTGTACCCGGTCTGGCGAGTTACGGAGTACTATATTTATAGCCGGTTGTAAAGCGGACGTGATAACTTTACTTATTTTTACACTTCATACGCCATACCATACTTATTGTAAACGTACGTACGTTTACGTACGCATCCAGGCGCGTAGCACCGCCATTGGCGGCGGTCCGGCCAGCTAGGCCAGGGGTCCGGGGGGATCTCCCCCGCGGAATTTTTTGAAATTAGGGTGCAAAATCCTGCATTCTGGGCACTTTTGGCATTGTTTTACTATGGTGGTCGTGGTCGGGCGAAAAAGTGATCCGGCCAAAGCCGGACCGGCCGGAGTGGCTGCTACGCCCCTGGCATCTCGGCGCCATGCCATCATTTCCGGTAGCTACTAGTTGGCCAGTTACTGTCGGCGGCCACTGAATCGTCAGTACCTACTGGGATTCTCGAATTGTTCAGGTCACCGGGAATCGAATTACTAAGTACATGTATAGGTGGTATGGCTGATCACAGAAAGGACGAAAAATTTGAACTACTATACCGGTTAAAACATGCGATTACCGTGCCACTCAATGCATGGTGTTGTCACAGGTAAACAGCATAGTCACTGCACTAGTGGCACTGTAGTAAAAACACTGATGAATAAAAAACTATTAATTATTATACCCAACTCCGCAGAGTCATACTGTGACATAGCCCTCCGAGTCAGTGCAGTGCTCTTGACTCTTCACAACCCATTAAATACAAAATAGTGACCCACGTGCACTGTGCTGTACAGTCTACTTCATGAGAGTCGTCATGCAGTGCTGTACTCACGGGTCAGTGCGGACATCAGCGGCCGGCTCTTGCAGCATGCAGTACTTCTTCAGCCTACATCCAGGTCACTAAAATACTGAGGGAGGAATTTGCAGAGTGCCACAGCCTGTAGGCGAATACCACGATCATTGCATGAATACCGGCTATGTCTTTCCGAAATGAATCTCGTACAGTCATAATAATAATAATTATTATTATTATTATTATCATGTATACTCGATCGGCAGTGTAGCCGGCGATCCAATGACGCATTTATGCAAATACTGTAAAAAGGTACACGTACACGTAGATCTACGTGCCCAATCTATCACGTCATCACACGTCACAAGCTGCAAAAAATAACAAAAATAACTTACTGAACTCGATTTCTTTCCCGCTCATTATGTACTAGTGCACTATATCGATGATCCAGTCAGCAGCAGCAGCAGCAGCAGCAGCAGCAGCAGCAGCAGCAGCAGCAGCAGCAGCAGCAGCAGCAGCAGCAGCAGCAGCAGCAGCAGCAGCAGCAGCAGCAGCAGCAGCAGCAGCAGCAGCAGCAGCAGCAGCAGCAGCAGCAGCAGCAGCAGCAGCAGCAGCAGCAGCAGCAGCAGCAGCAGCAGCAGCAGCAGCAGCAGCAGCAGCAGCAGCAGCAGCAGCAGCAGCAGCAGCAGCAGCAGCAGCAGCAGCAGCAGCAGCAGCAGCAGCAGCAGCAGCAGCAGCAGCAGCAGCAGCAGCAGCAGCAGCAGCAGCAGCAGCAGCAGCAGCAGCAGCAGCAGCAGCAGCAGCAGCAGCAGCAGCAGCAGCAGCAGCAGCAGCAGCAGCAGCAGCAGCAGCAGCAGCAGCAGCAGCAGCAGCAGCAGCAGCAGCAGCAGCAGCAGCAGCAGCAGCAGCAGCAGCAGCAGCAGCAGCAGCAGCAGCAGCAGCAGCAGCAGCAGCAGCAGCAGCAGCAGCAGCAGCAGCAGCAGCAGCAGCAGCAGCAGCAGCAGCAGCAGCAGCAGCAGCAGCAGCAGCAGCAGCAGCAGCAGCAGCAGCAGCAGCAGCAGCAGCAGCAGCAGCAGCAGCAGCAGCAGCAGCAGCAGCAGCAGCAGCAGCAGCAGCAGCAGCAGCAGCAGCAGCAGCAGCAGCAGCAGCAGCAGCAGCAGCAGCAGCAGCAGCAGCAGCAGCAGCAGCAGCAGCAGCAGCAGCAGCAGCAGCAGCAGCAGCAGCAGCAGCAGCAGCAGCAACATAATGTATTTGTATCAGGCTACTACACTGTACCTACAATTGTAGTCTAGTACATTTTGTTGTGGATACTCCGTACATTTGTAGTAGTCTCTCTAGTTCTCTCTCATTGCTGCTGATCGTGATAGGTATAGGCAGCTTGTTTATCAGTGCATGTAGTTACCGGTAGGTTTTTCTTCTTCTTTTTTCTGTTCTTTTGATGCCGCCTTATGAGTCATGACACATACACGTATGACCAGAACGGTTATGGGTTATACCAAGAGTCCATAACCCAATGGTGTTATGGACCCTTGGCCTGGGGTTATGGACTCTTGGTTTAATACATACATACATACATACATACATACATACATACATACATACATACATACATACATACATACATACATACATACATTCTACAGTGTAGTAGTCTAGCTCAGCACCCTGATTGGTTTACACATCTTAGCAAGAGTGCATAAACACTGTTTATGGACTCTTGATCTTAGTACTTACAATCGTGCAGTTTGTGCAAGAACGTTTTTATCCGAACTGGGCATCTCTACGATAGCGTAATGTACACATGATGACTGTATTACTGTCATTATCATACGTATACGGTGCCAAATGCAAGATTTGAAGGTTTGTACAAACTAGGCAGTACAGATTCTGTAGGCAGGTTCTATTCGACTCAACACAAGACTGTCCCGGCGCATTGCAGGCGTTATTATTCAACATTACTGTCATTTGCATGGAGGATTGCGTTCAGCCCTAAGTAGCCCTAAGTTGTGATCTACTGTAGACCATCACTGCGGCATCAGTGGCGAACGAGAACCAGCACCACCTGAAGGGTGGGTATGCATTGAGTCTCTCAAATCAGCTAACAACCGGCCGTCATTTAACCCGCTAATTGAGAGAGGTTCCTGGCGTCGTTCCAGTTTTGAGGATAGATGTTCACGAACTGGGGCACCACAGCGACTTCAGCAGCTACAGAGATCTAATCTCCAAATCGTACAATCAAATCAATGCAGAGCAGCAAATCTCAGGAGCTCCCCTGAGACGATGGTCTATAGCTGCCGTTATACAATAACTATGTGATCACTGCTACTGCTGAAGCTGCGCTGATGAGGTCCGAGTGAGTGTGTGTGGAGATTGTGGTTTTTCTTTTGCCCCCTTACCTGCGCCACTCGATCATTCGTCGAATGCACTGGACACAATACACACTTCCACAGCATAGCACACGCTGACTTGGCGTACTTCAAGTACTATCTTGACCGGTATAAAGGTGCCCTACATGTGCCTGGATCCGTCCGAAACGAGTTAGTTGTTTTCTCAACAGGTGTCTGACCATCAGCGACTCAAACAATCCTTCAAGTTCAGGTCGCTTCGTAGCCGGAAACCGGTTCAGGCTCTTCAGAATGCATTGCCGTCTGCTTGCAGTGACGCTTCTAGCGTCCTTGGTCTTGGGTCAGGAGATTCCGAACGTGCCGGTCGAGACCAATCAACGTCCCGGAGAGGTGGTGGGCCAATGGGAAAGCACGAACAACAACGTCGGCGCCGACCCGGTAGGACCACCGCAGAAGACGGACGACCTGCCAGAATATCTCCGCAAGTTGGCCAGGCAGTTGAAGAAGTACCAGAGGATTGAGAACACGGTAAGATTACTAGATTACTGGATTACTGCCTACACTACCTACATGTATACAGTACAGTGTTTCATGTTCATGTGCCTCAACGTGTGCATTACTTGCGTCTGTGTTTGTATTTCATGATGGCACACACTAGCACATACATGTACAAGTAGTAGTGATCGTATCATTCCAGGACCTTATCCATCACAGTATTACATTATCCGAGTCAATACACAGTACATGAGAAGACTGGGGAATGTGAAGAGCTACAATGACGATTGGCATAGTACTGCTTCAACTCGCGGTTTCAATCTCTTTTATCTTGACCCGTGCAGACAGCTGGATGCAGTGCTTGGTCCCATTATAACTAACTTTTCGTTACTTAGGTGCGCAAGTACAAGTAGTGGAACACATTCAACCGACATGGGTCTTTTCAAAATACGAACAATGTAATGAGATGGGATGAGATGATGTTATTATCGGTTTGAGTTTTTAAGATGCAGCCACTGGTCACGCACCCATGGATGGCCAGCCAGCTAATCCACACGATACCTTGCTACAAGACCACTTGTTCTAGATTGTCGAAAGTCATCTATCCACTGCACTAGCCTGAACTGCTCAGTACTGGTAGCAACTCTTGCTACCAGCACTGAGTACATACTATACTAGTAGTAGTAGACGGCTTTGTTCAATACACACTTGAAAGAAAGAGCCACATGTACCTAAACGCCATTGATGGCGTGACCATAACATACCAATTACTACCCAACTGAGACTACAGTAATGATGGCTATCATGATCGTCTGAATGCCACCTACAACAACGTTCTATTGATTCGAGTACAGTATGTGTACAATACTACATGTACCCGTAAATGAGCACCAAGTTACGGGTAGTTAGCTATCGTGCACTGGTATTACCAAAAGAGTGCATGTACTATAGCAGCTAGTGGTTTGAACTAAACATGAAACTAGTATTGATAGTAGAAAGTGTCGTATGAAGGTTATGGAATCTATAGAGCCAGTAACATCGGGCGCCGAAGGACATCCAGGCTAGTAAATCACCAAAAATAAAACATACCAGGCTGGAAGGAAAGATTTAGGAACACCGGGTTTACATTGTATGTAACGTTACTCTTGGTACTCTTGGTATTGGTAACACAGCATGCTCTGACCTGTGAACCTGGACTATGTGAGTGTAAAAGCACAGAACAAGAACGAAGACGCTGGAATCTCCAAAATAAGAGCCACACATCGTTAGCCTGGCCGGAAGTGATGGAAAGGAGGGAGGGTATGTGCGGATTTGCGGGCCGGCTGTCTCAGAATATCTGTAATCTGATGCTCAGATATCAATCGAGTCTGTGGTTTGGTGAGGATCTGACTCTTCATCACTGCTACAGCCCAAGCACACTGCATGATCTTCAAGTATATGTCTACATTGTATGTCAAGTGCATTTACTGGATCATACAAGCACACAGTCTCAGGCACAATGGACATAAGGTATACATCTAAATGATCTTACTACAGTACTGGTATCAATAACATAGTCATTAGCCAGGATGTGTACCTGACGGATCTCATCGTCAATGGAGGCTCCAGACACTCTGCATTCTTCGGAGACCTAGCCAACTCCACATGCGGGCTTTGTGGGAAGGTACCACAGGCGTACATAACCGAGTGTCTCAGACAAAAGGACAACAACACATTCCAATTCATGGATACACCTTCAGCCTGCCAGTAGCCAGTAGCCCTAATCACCTTGTGGGAAAGAGGCTTTAAGACTGGATGTCTCCAGAGATACCAGTTACAAGTGTTAGAGCCAATGTGCATGGTTCAATGTGCTGCCATGTTATCTCTCTAATGCATGGGACGACGCACAATGCATGCTGTCCAAGACTGCCTGCATGCTGGAAAACAGCATAGGTTACTGGTATCAGTGCAGTGGTATGCCTCCAAAATAACCTGTGACACTGTGCCACAAGCTAAAAATGCGGATTGCCAAGTCGACACGGGTGGCCTCTTTCAATCACCTAGGAATAAACTGGATGTGGTCAAGCTGAGTTGTAGCTCGGAGGCATCGTCTCACTTCGTTAATGACTGTTCTCTGCAGCCATAGCAAGTCACACACAGCATGAATCAAGTTCACAACACTCGTGGCACTATAGCCAATCTCCGATCTTCAAAGAGCGATGTCAATCAAAACTCTCTGAATGAAGCCAAGTCAAGTGTCAAACTGGTAAATGAGAGATCTCAAGTCAAGGCAGGAATTCGAAACAAACCCCGTCCCATGGAGCATTTAGCCACTGAATTGATCCCGCTTCAATGGCAATGCTCTCCATGGGTCTACCATCCACACAATTAGATTGTAGCGAAACTACATCTGACATTATGTCCAGGAGGCGCTAATGACGGTCAGACCCGACCCAAAAAATATGTCCAGCTTGTAATCGCCTTCACCAGTGCTCTGTCATGTTATTCCTGATGCATCATTTATGACCTGTTGATCAGCAGTCATATCAGTGTCAATCACACCAAAGTGATTTCTCCTGCCAATGCTACAGTGACAGTCTACTGTCTAGCAAGTCTACACTCAGTACAGCATGCACAGGCTACAGCACAGTACAGCACCTAGTCAGTGTAGGCTGTGTAGCTGGGAAGGTGTGAAGACTTGACACTAATTTCATCCATTTTGTCATGTTTGCCATTGAAGTTACATACAGGTACATGTATATGCACCAGTTCAGGAATGCATCACACTCACACTCACACTCACAGCGGGTCCAACACTAACATGTACATGTAGCTGTAGCTGCTAGTATTATAATTACTTACTTGTAATGACAGGATTGATCATAATTTGAAATAAAATCTGTGACCCTTGGATGCATCGATGGGAAGAACTGGTAAAATAAAAATATAAGTATTGTGTGCAAAGTGGATAGTCTTGCTTTGAAGTCCAATATTGCAAGATTAGATCATAATCATTCTGTGACTTGTGCGGAGTTTCGTGTTGTCTTATCCTTTTATACTAGACTGCTGGCCACAAGATCACTGATTTGTGATAATTACAGTATGGCGACTAACCAAAGTAGAAAGACAATAGAAGTGTTGCAATACGGAATACATCAAACGCATGACTGATCGACATCAGATTCTTTCCCCCATGGGAAAAGAGGGAAATAGTCTGGTTCTTATACTAGGAGTGTATTCACACATGGCAATGCAAGTTTATACTAGCTAAGAGTGTTTCTGTCCACCTAGCTGCAGAAGGGTGGGCTTTTCAGAACGATGGGCAGGCGATACGGGCGCAGACTGAGATAAAAGACTGGCCTCGGATTGGCGCCGTTGCTTCAATAAGTTCCTGCCCCTGGTATTTAGTGTAGCTGTGGCAATGGGCATGTCATGGCCATGGTGTCCATCGGCAATGCGAATGCCATCACTGCTGCTGCCACTGAATGACAGTTGACGGGGACGCACAAGGCTGTCAGACAGCAAGCACGACTCCTCCGTGATAATACTGACTGCCGAGTCCAGACCGCTGCCCACAAGCATACTGTCACTGAGGCGACACTGATTGAGCTGAGTGTAGCCGAGCGGGTGATTGAAGATGGTCGGGCCAACGGTGCGCACAAATTGGTTACGCGACAAGACAACCAGGCGCGCTTCGCTGGTATTCTTCATGATGATCTGAGAGATCTCTTCATGGTTGCAGCTGAGCACGTCAATCCCGTTTGCGTTCAGAATGAAGTCACCGACATGAAGTCCAGCACGATACGCAGGACCCAGCGCCTCTACTCGCAACACGTACGTAGGACCCATGCCGCTCAACACTAGGCCGTAACCACAGCGATCTGAAACCAGAGCTATATCGTGTTCGAAAAGGTTGACATCTGGCGTGGAGGGTGCACCAACACAGTCTTCGTTGTTTGAAGAGTGGCTATAGTTCCTCTTTGGTGCCAATGGAGTGCTTTGAACCATATGAACTAAATCGGGACTAGGTATTGGGGTTGGTCCGTCCTCAGCAAATACTCCATCGGAAGAAGCAGCAAGCACCACATCGTCACTACTGGCAGCAGTGTGGCGAGGTGTGACCTTCGACCTGTCAACATCACCACTAAAACTACCTCCACAAATTGTTGCCTGGGAATTTTTTGACGTGTTGTCCTGGCCACTAGTACTAGTAGTACTAGAAGAAGCAGCTGCCGGTCGACCACTCATGCGTCTGTCCAGCGTCCTCATTTCCGTATGTCGAATGTAGTTGTGACATTGTCGCAGCTCCTCCACGGTCGTATGGAGAACGTCGCCAGGCAGCTCCTCCGCGTTCAGGTAGTCCGGAAGGTGGACGCTGACAGATGCGTGCTTGGCACTGGCGTGCTGCTCTTGCCGGAGCGAGTGCAGTCGCGCCTTGATGCCGCGTTGCAGCGACATGTACGTCGTCGGCGATGTATCACTGATCGTCGTGGAGCGAGGTCGGAACGTCAACTCCATACCATCTCGCCCAGCAGCACCGTGGGCGTTGGTGTTACGCGTCGTAACACCTTGACCGGGACGACCGTGATAGTACTGATATGCCGGAGCGTCAGTAGTACTACAGTCCTCCGGAATTTCAGGACTTGGCGCATAGCTGTGATCGTGATTTGCAGGACTTGCCGTAGTCGCCACAGTGACATCGGTCAACGAACGCGCTGTGTGACTGGTCATGGAAAGGGACGAGCGGAGCGAGCGGAACGGGTTGAATCGCGATGCACTACCAGGCGAGTGACTACGCCGTCCGGCCCTCCTCGAAGAATTCATCGTGCACGCTGCCATGCTAGCTACACCACAGTCTGTCAACAGAAAACACAGTACTTAGAAAATCTTGCAACGAGCTTCTGGCACGGCCCAGTACACTCTATCTCACATTACACTGCAAAAAGACCGTTAGACGGGTAACGCTATCCAGCTGTGGGAGAAATAAAAACTAGGAAAGCGCTGTCTCAGCCTGTCTGCATGTGGCAGATTTGTTTGAAGCAGAGAGTCGTACTGGTATTTTACGACACCGTAGCCCTGGTTTGAAGCGATGGCCACTCTCAAGTCGACAAGTGTTGTAGCGCCGGTACTGCGGTAGTTAGTATCAACGCGACGCCAGACAGTCAGTCTGTCTGAGTCATGTATAGCTAACTATCACTCAGTATCGGCAAAATGTCAGTCCATTCGATCGAGTGTTCGCAGGTAGATCACATCTGTGCTGCAGGTGATACCCCACACAGACTCCACTTGGCCGTTACTGATCTCAAAGCGGAAGTGGGCGATAATTATTTAAAATTTCTTGTTAGCACCTGTACCTCGGCCTCACGTGCACGCGACGCGACTGAGCTTGCCTTTATAATAATTTTAGTTTTAGAACTAAAATAATTGCTTTCACAAACAAGACAAAAAAGACCGCACCAGTAAATCGGGTGGATCTAATGTCAGTAATGAAGGCAGTGAAGCAGAAAACACTAAGTGGAAGAAGGATAAGGCTGTACTGACTGTCCCAGTACGCCAGTAGTCAGTACCGGGTAGTTTACCCTGTCAGGCCTGTGTGCATGTGCAGCAATGCTTCTGGTAGTCAAGCACTGTGCGCTACCGAAAACGGACGTCATGATTTGCTCACAGAGCTAGAGAATACTACCATGACTACAGTGTAGTAGTAGCAGTATTCATGGTATTAGCATAGTGCATGGGCCATGGCATGGGGTCGATACCATAGCCTACCATAGCCTCTAGAAGAGCTGACTGCCGTAAAATCACCGGAGCTCCGGCCGGGTCAAGGAGAAGATCTTACATGACTGTGCAGGTCGCCTCAAGTACACGTGAGTCAGTCCAGGACTGGAATGGTAGCATAGAAGTAACAGTTAGAACGATGTCGGATGAGTCGATGACCATGATGTCGACTATGTACAGTAATCATGGTAATGGCAGCGCATTACTACATGACTAATGCGCTACACGTCACGTAGTGTGTCACAAGCACAGGTCACTCTATTCTTGACTGTGACTTCTGGCCAGTTTGTAGGTAAGGACTTGGGCGTAGGGACCAGTACCTGGCACTAGAAAACTCTGAGTAGAACTAGAAGGCTGAAACCTGATATTTTGCTCCACCTGGCACTTACATGTAGCCCACCCATATTATATTACACTGCGTCACAGGGGTGCTGTCACGGCAACAGCCAACCATGAGCAAGCATGCGTGGGTGTATCGCGATATTGCCCTTACTCATGGGTGCTTGCGTCCAGAGCGAATGTTTGGTGCGAAAGATACCAGTGCTGAATTCAGACAGAAACAGTTCTGGATCAGAGCGACGTGAACCGAAGCTAAGAAGATGCCACCACACCTTCTGGAGGTTCTCCTTTCATACCCCGCACCACTTGTACAGCTGGAAGTGCACCAACCTTGTTGCGTGCAATACATACTGTACAGCCCAGGGAGTGCGGTCGGCGCTGATACAATACATGCATGCCCTCACGACTCTGCCGTTCTGACATTCACCAGCTGCATGGTATTGCACGATGTACACACTCACAGGAAAGCCATAACATAACAGAGAGGTTACGATGCACGTTATTTCTGACGTGATGCGAAAGTTCAGCTCACGTTATTTGGCTCGCGCGTTGGAAAACAACGTGAGTGACTTGCAGCTCGCGTCGAAATTTGGAGTTTTATGCCAAATTTTGACATGAAATTGCGTGTCATGTCAGAAATAACGTGCATCTTAACCTCTCGAATGTTACAATTATGTCTCTTCTTCCACCCAATAACAGTTATGGTGAGACTGACGCAAATACACATGCATGTGCGTTAACGAGTTTTCAGTATAGACCGTACGTAGGTGGGGTGAGGCAGCCAGCACACACATGCACAGCTCAGTGTTTCAGTGTCCGAAACCCGGCAGGCCCCACTTGAATGTGCAATCACTGCCAATTACTGAAATAGGCCCCCAATGCCATTCTGATGCCGCGGCTTGGTTGAACACTCTTTCTGGTTAGCGTCAAAGTAGCACAAAGTTATCTGCCCTCGCGCAAAGCTTGCTGCTTTTGTCGCAGTCTGACTTTGATGCTTTGGCAAGTAGCAGTTTGTGGATCGCACAAACCCTGAGTTTTGACGGGTCTGTACTACTCCTGGCTCTTGACCTTTGGTCGGTGTACGAGATGCACGAACAGTTTTCGTAGGGGGAGTAATTTTTCATGTAGTACTGAATGCGGCAAGTAGGACTCGCCCATCCGCCCCTCCCCACCTGAAGCGTCGAGCAGTTAGGGGCGCTCTGGCGGGATTTTACGGTAGTCAACTGATCATTTCTCGCAGGAACCGGTGTCATAAACAATGACATCACTGTGCAGAAAAATACAGTAGAGTGTGGGTGTTTGAAAAACAATTGTGATTCTTATTTCCGGTTTTTCTTACCCACGATAAATCTAGTGTGACGTATCAAATGCATGTGCACATAGCCAGGAAGATCATTGTAACAGTTATAATTATGCAATAGAGAGGTTCCGGGTACGATTTTCCGTGCCAAAATTCGTATGGGCTCTACAGATTTTTTCGAGGCGTGCTCCATACATAGTAAAGTCCGTCTCCCCTGAGCTACCACATCTCTGTTTGTATCTTCTCCCTTTTTCAGCTCTTATACTAAATGGCTGGCGTTGCCCCTTCATGTCCGTCAGGCAAAGTCGCTTCCCTCATTTCGCAATCTTGCAAAGCAGCATTTCAACATTCCCATTCAATAGTCAATATACCTGTTTAGTCTCGGTCGTCTCACGTCGGCTGTACTGCTCCCTTTCCTCTGTTATTTACCATGGTACATGTATTGGTGCACCACCACACTTCTTATACTTTCTTTCTACGCCATGGCTGGCAAACCCCCCCCCCCCCCCCCCCCCCCCCTCCTCATCTGTATTGGTACTGATTCATCTTTAGCCACTGGAAGGTGTAATAAAAATAATAATAATACAACTGAAACCCATGTTATGATTATGAAAATATGAGAGTTCATTCTTGTAGGCAGTATATTCTTTTACACGACCACACTATAACAGATATGTAAAGTATACCATGTATACGTACTGGTGACGTCGATAGCGAAGTAGTGTAGGACAGTGTACAAAGAGAAAAAGAGCTTAAAATAGAAACAACTGCAATAGGAACTCAAGAAGATGGTCAAACTATTCGATTGTACAGTGCAGTCCATTACACAATGCCTTCCGTACCTTCTGTAGTCAGCAGAGAACCAAGTCAATTTACTAACATGTTCACTTTGTGTGTTATTCTCTTGTGCCGTGGCTACTGCAGGAGGTGGGTGGCTTGTTGATGGGATGGCCTGGCCTGAATGGTCAACCAGGCGCTCCGGGCAGAAACGGGCTGAACGGCGTGGATGGAGCACAGGGTCCTTCTGGACCGGCTGGTGAGACTGGAGTAATGGGGCCTGTCGGAGCACCCGGTGTGGAAGGCATCTCAGGTCCGGCTGGGCCAAGGGGTCCTGCTGGAGCAGTCGGTGTCCCTGGACCAGTAGGCAGAGACGGGCGTGCCGCCCAAGCCAAATGGAAACAATGCGCATGGAGCGAAGAGTCGGACTTGGACAACGGAGTGATAAAGGTACGTTGTCATGGTTTATATGTGCCTGTTCCACAGTTGTCACCTGTCAGGGGAACACATCACACATTCAATACAATGCAATGCATGGTCAATATGATGCAAGTTCACCAGCTGTTCACAAGGGGTTCTGCTTTTCTGATGTGCTTCAGACACCATCTGGAGTAGGGATTTGGGTTTTGTATTGCAATTGCTCGGTTTGAAGATTTGTTCAAAAGACAATTAGAAATAGCATGTCTGAATGATGCGGAGCAGTGCATGCGGCGAGCATCATACCAGTACACCTACCAAGTGAAATGTGGATAGCAAGCGCAAGCTTGTGATCACATAAACTGCATGGCAAAAGTGCCTTTGATACCTCTGGTTCCCATGCACAGCCAACAACTGTGCAGATTGCGTGCGTGGAAGCCCCAGCACTGAGAATTTTAATACGTTTCCACTTTTCCCACCTCGCGCATGTAATTGAGGAGTTTCGCCTGATGCGAAACATAGAACGAAAGAAGTGACGACCTAGGTCAGGACGGACGTTTCTGTGGATAAAAACTATTAAAAAGTGCTGCTCCAGAGTATATAAAGTAATCAATGCACAAGCTGGACCTGAAATTCTTTACTGTAACTACATGATTTTTTGTTTTTTTGTTTTTTTGAAAGATCCCTTATTCACAGAGAGAGAGAGAGAGAGAGAGAGAGAGAGAGAGAGCACAGGTTTTTTTTGCAAATGTTTGTGGACGGTGTACATTCATGTTAACGGTTTCCTGCTCATGTAAACGTACTGATTCGCTTTCTTCTGGCAACATAGGCATGCAACTTCACCAAGTCCGAGGAGAGCACACACCTGCATGTGCGATACAGTGGCAACCTGCGTGTTGGTGGCTGCTCTAACTGCTGCAAGCGTTGGTTCTTCACCTTCAACAACCGCGAGTGCACATCACCGATGGGAATCGACGCTGCTATCTACCTTGTCGGACCATCCAATGAGAACTTGCTGCGACCACGCACTGTGGAGGGGTACTGCCACGTGCCAGCTGGTGCCACCAAGGTTGGCTTCCATGTAGGCAACTGTGAAGGCTTTGGCAACGCAGACGCCTACGAGGGCTGGCACTCCGTGTCCCGCATCATCGTGGAGGAAGTGGCACCTCCTCAGGAGTGACCGTCTCTACACACATGATTGGCTCACTATCGTATCAGTAGTCACTGTAGTAGACTGTCTGCAAGCAAATGGCACGAGTGACAAGCCCTGTCTGAGCGGCTGTCTCACACAGAGCATACACTGTTAGCCGACCAGCCTCAAGTCTGTACTGTCAGCCCGCAGTCGCATGTATTGTTGTTCATCTGATGATCGCTTCTGAAAACTAGCCTAGCTATGCATTTTGCATTGATGCCTTTACCAGCTTTTCCCTTCCTGCCTCACACCCATCTATGATATAAATGCCACACGTCGTTGCAGTAAATTGTCTTCTGTATGCACAAAGCACAATGATTTCGTGATGTTGAATATTCTCGCTAGCAGCTGCTCTTCCTGCACAAGGTTGTTTTTGACTAAATCTTTAAGCACTGCAATAGAAACTAGTTTTGCCTGCACGGCTGTTACAAGAGTAATGTGAACACAATATGCTTATAAACGTTCGATCTGCACGAAGGACGGTGGGTATTTCGTTGGAAGAAGACATATCAGCACGCAGAACAGAGCAGCCACTGGACATTTTAATAGGACTTCAAAATCAGTACAGTGGTGATATCGGCAAGTGAGTAAACAGTGCCATTTCTAAATGGCACTGTACACTTGCCGATATCACCACGGTGAGCGGTGCCATTTATACTGCTTTCTAAGCAGTGAGAACGTTGACGAGTAACACCAAAGTGAGCACGAGCGGTGCCGCCTACCGAGCAGCCCGTTAGTTTGAACAGTGAACGCACAGCAAAAATGTGATCCAACAATGGGGGGACAACAGTACAAAGTCAATATGGGGACACATATTGCACATACTTCCACTTGAACATGCTTCTTCGGCACACAAAGTTCAGGTTTCTGCTTAGCTCTGTTCAGAGCCTCTCGCGGAGATAGGTGAACTGAGTTTCATGGCCGTGGATTGTTGTGTACTGTCGTTCCATTGTTGCACTGTATGAGTGTATCACGTTTGGCTGGGTGATCAGTGATCAGTGTTGCCATGTGCTCAGTGTTGCTGTGTGCACACTGTTCTAAACAGTAAGCTGCTCTGTAGCTGGCACCACTTGCATTATCTTTGCGGCTACTTGTCACTGCTCTGACTGTCTGGAAAGTAGTAAAAATGCATGTTGCTCACTTGCTGATCCACCTTCAACCCCCCCCCCCCCCAAAAACCCAACAACAAAAACAAAAAACGTGTAAAATGTCGATTTTATAAGACTTAGGTATGTGCATTCCAGTAAGACACTACACTGTTAGTATACAGAGTACATTGTGTCATACACCCGAGCTTGATACTCTTCTAAGTTCTAGCCAACGCAGCCATCAAGGGCAGAGTATAAAAGGGTACATTGTTCGTCTGCAGAGCCCCGCATCGTCAATATGCATTTGCAGCTGTAGCTGATAACTATTACTTCTTTACCAGGGAACCAGTACCACCGAGTCTATCAATAATCCTTTGTGCGCGTGTATGTGTGTGTGATATTCGTGGCATATCAGATCGTATACATACAGCATACATGTGCATGATTGTACTTCCATGTATTCATATTGACAGGCGTGGAGCATAGAATACTTTCAAAATTATGTCAAGCCAAAAGAGAAAAAATGTTTCCGCTCGGGTTCGAACCGAGGACCTTGTGCGTGTGAAGCACACGTGATAACCACTACACTACGGAAACCCAGGCCACACGGGTCATTGCTCACTGGGCTAGACAACTGAAAGGAATGGTCTGAAGCTTTTCGCACACCTCGCTCTAGTGCATGCAGCACATCCTGCACTCACTTGTCACTTCTGTTGACTGCATGCACTTGCTTCACAGCACACTTCAACCCTGTTGCAGTCAACCCTGCCAGCCAAGATGGCACTTTTGGTCGCTGTGTGCAGGTCCAATATGGCACTTGGTACACTAAAAGTCGGTCGGCGCAAGGCAGGTGGTCGCTGTATCCAGTGCATTTTCTGTGTAGAACTGTCCGTGCATGGAAAAACGTCGCTAAAACCAGGGGTCGCTTGCACCAGGTTTGACTGTACCTTAACCACAGTTTCTAGCACTGCATGTTCTATCTCAGAAATGAGTACTTGCAATATCACCTCACTTTACTTTCCTAGGTTGGCTATGCCACCAACAATTTGAATATTAAAGATATTCCTTATACGTACAACTACAGTTGTGGCAAGTGAAATCCGACACTTGGCATAAGGGACTGCACCGTGCATCCTGCAGCCTCTGCAGCCCTGCATACGTACAGTACATGTGCTGCATACAACTTTATCTGTCTGATGACAGAATTCGTACTCATCACAGACAAGGTTCAAAAGGTGCTGGCAAAAATGAATGGGAATTGGATACCAATACTCCTTATGTGTACCATGTTTGTGCACTGTGTGTATCTAAGCTGTGACCTTTCGACCTGTTTGGGATGCATACGGCTCTATAGTACAAATTAGGTGCAGTGCATTACATCATTGATGTCCATTTGAGGCGCTGTCCCCTATGGCAAGTGTCGGATTTCACTTGCCACAACTGTACATGTAGAAGCAAGAGTGCATAAACAAGAGTATGCAACCGTGGTTATGGATCCGCGTGGTGCGCTGCCTTCATTACGTAACTTGCCTCCATCACGCTCTGGAAGCATGCACTCAAACCCACAATTTCTTGTACAGGTGGAATCCTGATAATTCGAACCTCAAAATGCCAGGAAAAAACTTCTAATTATCCGGACATTCTAATTATCCAAACATGAACCTACAACACAATTATGTATGTCAAAATGCTCTCATGGTCACGCAGAGTTGCGCTATGGACCTTAGACACAGATTTCACAGATACTGAACTGACCTGCACAGCCTGCTCATGCAAACCGAACTGACCAGTACAGTGTACAATGAACTTCGAATTATCAGCACAAATCCCACACATTTTCTATGTAAGTGGAATCCGTGGGACTTCTAATTAACCGGACATGTCCAGTTTTAGGTTCGAATTTTCAGAAAAATTTATGTGGGAATCGTATTGATAGAAATCGGCCCTGGAAAAACTTCTAATTAAGCGGTATGTTCGAATTAAGCCATATTCGAAATATCAGGATTCCACCTGTACCAGCACATCCGTTTTTTGCTCAGTTTTTTTTTCCAGTACCAGCGGGATCTATAAATTTGGGTGTATGAACTCCAGTTCTGTACGAAAGTTCATTTCAAACAAGAGGGAAAGTGTGGTGTTTGATTTTCCGCAGTGCGTGGACTGCAGCGGAATGATGTAACGAAGGCAGCGCGCCGCGCATATGTCCCATAGAAAAGAGATTACAGTTGCATACCCTCAGTTGCATAGCCATATCCTTGTTTATGCAGTCTTGGTAGTAAACACAGATTCACAAATTGAGTTCAGTTGTATCACAGCAACTCAGCCTACACAGCAGGGAGTCGTATTTTATGACTCCCTGCTACCCAGCAAAATCACAAACTTCATTTCACAACAGTACAAAACAAGATGTGCCCACTCACTTGAGCATTGCGGACATGAAAAAACATCAAAAAATGCACCTCCGACGGGATTCGAACCCGCAACCCCCGGCTTAGGAGGCCGATGCCATATCCATTAGGCTACGGAGGCTTGCACAGCTAATACCTCCCGTCCGATCTAAAATACTACTGGCTGTGTGTAGACTTTGTATGGCAGTTGCAGTTGCAAAGTACAGTTGAGTTGATAGATATGGTTAGCATTTTACTGTTCACGCTAAATCCAACGGTACTCGTACCCAGCATCCAAAATACCGTCCGCTTGGTATAGTTTTGACGATAGAAAGCTCTGTTTACCGGGAGAACGAAAAAACGGTAAGATTCCAACTAGGGTTACGTCACAAGTCGATCGTTGTGTCAGAAACCGAAATGCTAACCACGTGTTGAAAACACACAAAAAATGGTACAGGCCGAAGTAGCGTGAACGGTAAACTGCTAACCATATCTATCGTGGGTGAAATCCAACCCAAAGGGCAAAGCTGGTGCCCTGGACCAGTTCCGATTACATCATTGTACTTGTTTTCGATTTCAACAGCATGTTACAAGGCGAGGACGCATAGCGCTCCTGACTACAACCATAACCCGGTTGGCAGAGTCCCGGTCTTGCGACCATTTCATTGTACTTGTTGGTTGACAGCATTTAAGAGTAGAGCCCACACGCTCTCTTCCATTAACACTGCCATAGTTCAACTCATTTCACAATAATTTTTCCAACGTTTCGGCAAATTGCCTTCATCAGGTTCACAACATGTCACAGCATGTCACAACAAAACAAGGCTTATCTAATATCATTGTACTTGTACATGTGTAAGTCTAGCCACATTCGTACCACTTCCAGGGCATCAAGGGCTGTGCAAATTGAAGGCGCTGCATAGGCACTTTGGGTTGGATTTCACAGAGTGCAACTAACTGTACAAATCGAGATGATAGTGTTGCACTTACGAAATGTTACTGCACATGTAGAAAGCATGGATTTCACTTATCCACCTGTTTCCTGCAAATGTGCAGTAAGCCAAGTTTTTATTATGAGTTGCAAATTTTACATCCTCACAGTCACAGTAGATTTACTTCAAAAGTGTCTTACAGTAACAGTATACACAAATCCATTGGGGATCCTGTTCGGGGGGGGGGGGGGTACGTGAATGTGTACTGTACAGCATTGAACTGACCTGCGAGCCAATCTGCTGCTTGGTAACCGCAATTGCTGCATAGAAGACTTCAACGTACTTGAGACAGTTCCCGTTGCTATCTGCAAAGATCGGTGCAAAGTAGGACAGGTTACCAAAAGCCATCACCACATTACAGACCAACTTTCAATCAGAAGCAGTTCATTGACGACTCAGTTACAGTGAAACTTCAGTATAACATGCCTCCAAGACACACATCATGTACATATCTGTACTTTATAGCCGATGTATTGTGTATCCGAGGTACTGTGTATCCCAGGTACTGTGTATCCGAGGTACTGTGCATCCGAGGTACAGTCGAATGTCACTTATCCGGACGCCAGTTATCCGAGCACGTCGGTTATCCGACAAGCCCGGGAGTGGTAATACTATGACTCTCAACAGTAAAATAATTACTGTATAGCAGGAAATTTTCGGACGGAATATATTTTCGTACGATTTCGTACACCGCCTTTTTGTACTAAAATTAATTCCGCACTAAAATTTGTTCATGTGACTTTATGTGCACTGTACATGGGTACTGCTTGCGAACACGTGCATTTAGCATGCAGCACTGTACGAAAATAAAATCCGAACGAAAGGTCGAAATTCGGCTTTGTCCGAAAATATTTCCGTCCGAAAATTTCCTGCTATACAGTAATTCTAAAAAATAAATAAAAGCAAACTTTTTTTTGTATATTATACGGTGTAAATATGCATTTACTTGAAGTAGATGTGGTCAAGTATGCTACCATGTATGTGTGCATGGAATATGCATGAATATATTTGGGTATTGTGTACATAAATCAGTGAAATCCAGCCATATATGCACATAAAAAATGATATCAGTTATCCAACATATTCAGTTATCCAACATGCCTGATTCCCGAAGCGGTCGGATAAGTGACATTCGACTGTACTATGTATCCGAAGTACTGTGTATCCGAGGTACTGTGTATCCGAGGTACAGTGTATCCGAGGTACAGTGTATCCGAGGTCCATATACTTATGACTTATAAGCACAAAACATGTACCATAAAGTACCGCCAGAGCGCCCCACCATCCCCAGAGCGCCCCACCATCTCGTACTTTCGTGGCCGTCTTGTGGAGGTGGTTTCCTGTCTGTAGGTCATACGACACGGACCTTGTAACTGTCACACAGATTGCACATTGTGCAGTCAATCCGTGCCACCCATTTTACCTTCCAGCGGATGCTAGCTCCACATAAAAACATGCGAAGTGTGACCTTAGTATACTGTGCCATATAATTTTCTTCCCTTGGCTGTAAAACCAAGGCGGGGCGCTCTCGCGAGATGGGCGCGGGGCAGGCAGTTCGCCGAAGAGAACACACTTTGGCAACCGGTGATCCTCCATTCGTGCCACATGTCCAAGCCAGCGCAAACGCCGTTCCTGCATGGTGAGACCAATGTCCTCAGGCACTCTTAGGGTTTCGGCAAGGGCTGAGGACGTTACGTGTGTCTCCCATTGCAAACACCCAAACACACACACACACACACACTCACACTGGACAAAGTATTCAGGATCCGCCATGTGTGTTTGCTAAGACTCTTGTCCTCTGCAGCCGGACAGGGTGCTACTCCAATCTTAGGCTGGCACTTATGGTGGTTGTTTGGTTTTTGGATCTTTTGGATCTGAACGCAGCTAGCGCGGCCACCTTGTCTCCCATCTGGAGGACATGGATAGTAGTGTTCTTCACGCGAATGCCACCATTTTGCTCTCCCAGCCTCACCCATGTTCTATACTTTACATCTGGATTAGCTGAACCAATGTGAGACAAGTGACTCGCTCAAGGCCACATTTCTCTCCTTTTCCACCCATTCGCCCATAGGGGGGTTTCCCTTGTGCAGGCCGGCGGCAACCGGTCCGGCTGGTCAGGTCATCACCGGACCCGCTTTTTGGCCACTATCTTAAACACATGACTGTTTACTGCTGAGGAGAGCATGCATCCACGCCATACCATACACAAACTGTATTCCGTTTCTCCCCGGAACCGGGATTATCCACACACAAAGATCTCCAGGACACAATGTTTACACTGACTCATGATCTGAAAACAGTCACAACTCTCCAAGAACTAAAACCTGAACATCTCCACAACTAGGCTAAAACCAACTCTGGCCTAACAAAAGATAGCAATAGCTAATAACAGTGCACGCACATACATGGTATAGAAAGACCCTATGGCAACACTCGACCATGTAATGTGATACAACAATAGAATGCAGACGTCTAGACACCAGAGTACTGAATAGACCTGACACATGGCCTTCTTGATGGGAATGCATGAATAGAAGCACACATGGATCATAGCTCTAACACATCCGCCTATCCATATCACGCATGAATGATTGTACTCTAACAGCCAGCATGCTGCACCAGTCTAACTGCAACATTCTCCCCCTCTCACACGAGGAGTTCCGAGGGTGAAACAAAACAAGAAACCAAAAAGGCAACCCCCTCAGAGCCTAAAAGAACAAAAGATGAACGATGGGCTCTACAAACATACGTGTAGCTAAATATGCAAAGACTAAACATATGAAAGTGACCAATCACACCACAGTACTAGAGTATTCCGACCGAGTCAATAATGAATATGTCTCTTTCTCATTCGCCGTCTGCAGTCAATGGCACTAATCGCTGAATGGCACGTCGCTTCACCTTCTTGTTGCTCAGCCGTACGTCCACAACTCTCACCAGGCCATCCTGACCCGGATGTACTCCCACCACTCTTCCAAGCGGCCAATGACCACGAGATATGCCATCTTCCATAACCAGCACCAGATCGTCTGCCTTCAGATTCGGCTTCTGTTGGAGCCACTTCTTCCGCATGTTGTAGGTCACGACAAGCTCTTTCTGCCAACGCCTCCACACATGGTCCACTTGCAATTGAAGAGCCATCCAGCGTCTACGAGGGTGAACATTCTTCTCTCGGCAGGCGGCCTCCTCCAGAGCTAAGGGAAGATCCAAGCGTCCAACAATGAAGTGATTAGGAGTCAGTGGAGTCATGTCACTGGGGTCGTCTGAAATGGCTGTTAATGGCCGGCTATTCAACAAGCTCTCAGCCTCCACAATTGCCGTCATCAGTTCCTCGTCCCGTAGATTGGCCCGAGACAAGACTAAGACAAGTGCTTTCTTGGCGCACTTGACCATACTCTCAAAGACGCCTCCATGGTGCGGCGCTCTCGGGGGATTGAACCTCCACTGAATACCCCGATGGACTCCATCGCGACAAATCTTCGCCCGGTCGAGTGCCTCCACCGCTTCACGCAGCTCCCGTTCAGCGGCGACAAAGTTGGTGCCGTTATCGGACAGCATCAACGATGGAACTCCTCTGCGCTTGGTGAACCGGGAAAACGACATCAAGAAGGACTCTGTGTCCAGCCCGAATGACATTTCGAGATGGCAGGCCCGAGTTTCAAGACACGTGAACACACAGAGGTAACGTTTCTGCTGCGCTCTCCCTCGTCCTTGACTGGTATAGAACGGTCCGGCGTAATCGACTCCGCACTGCGAGAATGGCTGCTTGGTTCCAAGTGTTCGGTAACTCGGCAGTGGTCCCATGAGTTGTTGCGCTGGTTTTGCCACTATTCTCTGGCACTTCAGACACGCTCTCTTCATAGCCTTCACGACTGACAGTCCGTGGACAATCCAGAATCGCTCTCTCAGGATAGAAAGTAGCTGATGCGACCCGGCGACATGTCCGCACTTCTCATCCTGATGGCGAACAATAAGCTGCGTGACAGGATGTTTGCTAGGCAGAACCATAGGTCTCCGCATACTGGCCGGTAGGTGTTCCGCATACTTCAGTCGTCCACAAAGTACCAGGACCGGTGGTTTTGCTGATGTATCTACACCGGGGCTTAACTTGTAGAGTGGGTCAGATGGAGGTAGCTCTCTTCCGGCCATCAATATCCTGCAAGACTCTGGGTATGCCTCTTGTTGTCCCTGAGCGATCCAGAACCGCTCAGCATGCTCGATCTCAGCTGCGATCAACTCTGGCACCTTGACGATCTTATGTCTGCGGGCACTAGGGTTAGCCTTCGCTCCTGGGGCGTTAGCACAGACGACCTCCGTGGGAGCCGAACTAGCATCCTGAGAATGCCCCCTCATGACTCTTGCATCTGCTGTCAGCTTAGCGTTGCTCACAAAACGCCAGCACCATGATGTGACGCGAATCAGACGTGTCCAACGCGAGTACCTCTCAACATCCAGACGACCCTTGTCCGGCTCTACCGCTGTGAATGCCAGCTCGATCGTCTTCTTCACCTGGCCCGGAAGCTGCGGTTTGTTGGTCAACTCAGTCTGCGGCCAGGACTCCTTGGTGTTGCGGAGAAATGCAGGCCCTTGCCACCAGCACTCGTTACCGGGTAGATCCTCGGCCTTCACCCCCCGAGTTGGCAAGTCTGCTGGGTTGATCTTTCCAGGCACGTGCCTCCACTGCGTCGGCTTTGTCGACTCCTGTATTGCCGCTATTCGATTAGCGACGTCTGAAGTAAAGTTCTTAGCCGGACTCCTCACCCAGTGTACGACGTTCATCGAATCAGTCCAGAAGTTGTGTTCGGACATGGGGATGTGGAGGGCCTCACTGATGGCGGCACTTACTTGCACACCCAGCACTGCACCGCGGAGCTCCAGCTTCGGAATCGTGACTTTCTTCAGTGGTGTGGCTCTGGCTCTAGCAAGCGCAATGCTGATGCGCACATGTCCATCGGGGTACTCCGCTCGGACATAACCCACTGCCGCTGTTGCATGGGCCGAAGCGTCGGTGAACACATGTACCGACAGTGATGCCTCATGGGCTGGGCGATCCGTTTCCTTGAGACATCTCTGTATCTTGATCTTGCTGAGGTGCTCCAGCTCGGCAAACCACCTGTACCACTTCTCGTTCAGCTCGGCCGGAATCTGGTCGTCCCACCCGATCCCAGCTGCACAAAGCTCCTGAAACATCAGCCGCGCCCGCATGGTAAAGGGCACAATGTGGCCTCTAGGGTCGAAGATGCTCGCCATCTTCGACAGCACTTGACGCTTGGTCCACTGTTGTTCTTCAGGAGCACGGTGCGTATAGCTGAAGGTGTCTGTCTTGGCGTCCCACACCACACCGAGAGTCTTCACCACCGCTGGTATTTGCTGACTGTCGTTGCTGATGCATAGCAGTGCCTCTTTGGCCAAGTCCTCGTCCGGTATAGACTCTAGCACGGCTTGACTGTTGCTCCTCCATTTGCGGACGTGGAAAGACGCCTTTCCGAGCAGACTCTGGACTTCCTGTCGAGTGTTGATGGCGGACTCCACAGTCGGTAGTGAGTCGAGCAGGTCATCAACGTAAAACGCTTCATCAACTGCTTCCCGAGCCAACTTGCTGAAGGATGCGCCGTGCTCTGCTGACGTTGCCTTCAGAGCCCGACATGCCAGGTATGGCGATGCCTTCAGCCCAAATACCAACCGAGAGAACTCATACATGGCGGCTGGCTCATCCGGTGTGTCGCGCCACAGGAAGCGCAAATACTTGCGATCTTCTGGAGCGATTTCCACCTGCAGAAACATCTCTGCAATATCGCCGACTAGCGCTATAGGCTCTAGGCAAAACTTCATCAGCACGTGTACCAGATCTCTCTGCAACTTCGGTCCAGAGTGCATCTCGTCGTTGAGTGACTTGCCCTGGCATCGGGCAGCGGCATCGAATACCACTCGTACTTTCGTCGTAGTTTTATCTGCTCGTACCACCGCCAGATGAGGAAGCAACCACTGTTGGTCTGTCTCCTGGCACGGATGGATGTAGCCCTTGGCTATATGGGACTTGATGACGTCGGAATACTGCTGGTAGACTTCCGGTCGTTTCCTCAGAGTCCTCTCCAGGTTTCTCAGTCGCTGTTCAGCCATTTCACGATTCGGTGGGAGATCTGGCTTCTTATCGGTGCTGACCCACGGTATGGCCGTCGACACTCTGCCATCCATCAATTTCATGCTTCCTTCAACCATACGTTGTGCTTCCTCCTCCGCGACCGTTTTCGTAGCCTTAGGAACCAAACCAACGCTCTCTACCTCCCAGAACTTTGCGACGAGGTCGTCGAGAACTGCGTTGCTCCTGTCGCTGACATTCGCATGCAGGGACGTCTCTGTGAACTCTGCCGCTTGCGACTTGACGGGACCGAAACATACCCATCCGAGGGGAAGTTTTCGAGCAACTGGCTCGCCCGGCTGTCCTGCCAGCTCTTCCAGTACTCTGTGCGCTTCTGGCACGTTGAGTCCTATCAGCAGGTCGACTTGGTCCCCAGTCACCTGCGGGAAGGTAACCTCTTGGAGGTGCTTGTGCATGTGTCTCCTCGAGTTCCACTCGATCATCTCCATCGGTGCTGTAACTATTGGCTGCGTCCATGCTTCCAGCTGGGTTTCATATGAGCCGTCTTCCGACGCCATTGTCACTTTTACGCGACGGTGCTTTCCTGAGACTGTCTTTCCCCCCAGAACCGACGCCGTAAATGCCGTTGGTGTTCCCTGCAGCCCGAGGTCGTTTGCCACACTGTCTTTCAGGTATGTTGTTGAAGAACCGCTGTCCATCATGGCTGTGGCCCGCACCGTCTTGTCCTGATGGCATAACACGACAGGGACTACCATAAAAGCGGTCTTCTGCGTGGTTGCCACCGACGTATTCGTGCTGTGTTGCGGAACCACATTCTCTCGTGGCTTTGTGCTCCTGCTCGTTGAGCCTTGGTTGGCCGGAGGTGCGCGCTCTTGGTGGAGGTCAGGGTGGTGTCTGCCTCGGCACTTGTTGCAACCACTGCCTCTGCATTCGGACTTCCAGTGGCCTGTCTTGAAGCAGCACACACATAGCGATGTTCCAAGCACGAAGTCCCACCGCTGCTTCACTGACAGTTGGCGGAAGACATCACAGCTGGTGAGGGAGTGCGCTTTACCACACTTGGCGCACTGCAACACTGGCTTAGTTGTGCTGGCTGGACCACCTGTGGTGTGCATAGCTGTTGCATTACTTGCTCGAGGGGCCGCTTTGGCAAACGGCCCGGCCACATTCAGCGCAGCCTCTGCTCGATTTTCTAGCCAGTCTGCGAAGACCTCCAGGTCGAGGGAATCCATCTGGATCCTTTTCTCCGCCAAGTATTCGCCCCACTGCATCTTCAGTGCAACTGGCAGCTTATTCACTAGCTCCTGTCGGAGGGTAGGGTTGGACATATGTCCACAGCTACCAAGCAGCTTCATACATAACACTACATTCTTAACCGAGGTGCTGTACGACACCAAGGTCTCTACATCGTCACTGCGTACCGGCTTAGCTGATTTCGCCTTCGATACGAGCTCCGTGACTACTAGTTCTGGCCGCCCGAACCTCCTTTCCAGCGTTGAGAGAACTTTCGGCAGGTTCTCTGGCACGATGAGGAGCATTCTTACTGCCTCTTTTGCAGGACCTTTTAGGCAGACCCGCAATCTCTGAATGTTTTCAGCCTCCGTGAAGCCACATTGCTTGGTCGTAGACTGAAACATGTGGTGGAATGCTGGCCACTCTTCTGCTGCACCCGAGAACGCTGGCAAGTCGGTGTTGATCTTGGCTTGTCGCGCGGTGAGCCTTGATAGCTGGCTTTGCAGACCCTCATCTGCTTGCCCACGTCCATCCTGCTGAAGGCCTTTGACCGTGGAACCAGCTGCTTGGTGCGTCTTCACTATCTCCTCCGGCTCTTGATCGCTCTGAATCCGACTGCGTAGCTCCTGTTGCTGCTCACTAGAACACTGTGCGGTGTACTGGTCGTGGTCCGCACGCCTCCGCAGGCGATCATTTTCTCCGCGAAGCTGGTCCAGCTGAACTAGCAACTCCGCTCGCTGTGTTCGCTGCTCATCCGACCCTCGGCCTCCGCCTCGATCCGCCCGCTGTTGCAGGCTGGCGTTCTCCGCGCGAAGGCGTTCGAGCTTGTCGAGCAGTTCAGCTCGCTGCGCGTGTTGCTCTGCTGAAACCTGCTCGGCTCGCGTCAGCAAGCGGTCATTCTGATCGCGGAGATCTTCCAAACACATGCGCCCCTCCTGGTGTTCTCTTTCCAGGCGCTCGAGATGCGGCTGCAGCTCGCGCAGTTCCCTTTCCAATACATCCCGCTCAGCTTCGCACACCTCTTTTTCCTGCGTGACTCGCCTATTTTCCGCCTGCAGCGATGACAGGTCTGCACGAGCGCTCGCAAGATCCTTGTTCAATTTCGCTACACGTCGCTGCTCGGCGTCCGCTATTGATTGAGCTTCGCTCAGTTCCCGCTGATAGCGCTTCTCTTTCAGCACAAACTCTTGTTGCACTCGCAACCCTGACAGATTGGCCTGCTCCGTATTCGTCGACGCACGTGCGACCTCAGACTCAGTCCTCACCGCCACAGGCAAACTCCTGCTTGTGTGGGCACTGACAGTTCCGGCTACACTGGGACTCGGCACTGCGTGCGGCTCTGGATCGTGAGAAACAGCCACTGCATGTTCTGGCAGGTGCGCAACTTCTACTTCACCCATACTAGCCTCATCTCCTTGGCCAGCGTCAACGGCTGCATCAGCTTCATGGCCTTCTATGAGCTCCTCTGCGAAGACTTCGGAGGCCATCTTGGGAGAGGACGATCCTTTGGCCCCTTGGCCATTTGGCGACGCTTCGTCTTGAGCTAACCTCACGAGCTCAAGCTCCTTCTCCAGGAGCCTCTTTTCTGCTTCCAGAACTCGACGCTGAGTCTCGTATGAAGATCGGGACTGTCCTCCTCCCGATCTCCTACTACTCCGCATCGAGCGCTCTTCTTCAAAACCCAAACGGGGAGGTGCTACACCTCTCGTTGACCGCGCACTTCTGCGCGTACTCCTATCTTCACCTTCCATGATGACTATTTCCAGATCCGGCTCGAAGGACCAGATATTCCGTTTCTCCCCGGAACCGGGATTATCCACACACAAAGATCTCCAGGACACAATGTTTACACTGACTCATGATCTGAAAACAGTCACAACTCTCCAAGAACTAAAACCTGAACATCTCCACAACTAGGCTAAAACCAACTCTGGCCTAACAAAAGATAGCAATAGCTAATAACAGTGCACGCACATACATGGTATAGAAAGACCCTATGGCAACACTCGACCATGTAATGTGATACAACAATAGAATGCAGACGTCTAGACACCAGAGTACTGAATAGACCTGACACATGGCCTTCTTGATGGGAATGCATGAATAGAAGCACACATGGATCATAGCTCTAACACATCCGCCTATCCATATCACGCATGAATGATTGTACTCTAACAGCCAGCATGCTGCACCAGTCTAACTGCAACATTCTGTATGAAAGACTATGACTGTTATGGCTGGACCAATCGAAAACTGCTTCTAGCGGTCCTGCTTGTGGTTGCCCAGCTGAGTACCAATCTCACCAATTGTTGCTTTTAAACGGCGATGCACCAGATATCAGCCTTGCCTATCTGTTAATGCCGTTATGCCCCCCCCCCCCCCCCCCCCCACACACACACACACCATGCACCATGTACATGTATACGCCCGTCGCAAGAGAAGCACGCAAATCTGCAAATGCACTTGATGTACACCCACAGATTTTCTCTTATAGCAATGATAGCGGACAACACATACACACACACACGCGTGCGCGCACAAGCACTATGTCTTGGCCTGAACACCGACGGCGTCACATGCACTCACCTTATTCAAATCTGTATCACTGTTTGCGGTGCACTGGCAACACAGTGTTGCATGTCGACGGTATTTTCATTCCGGGGAGAGCCTACGCGTGCAGGTGGACCGACAAACAATCCTTGTGCGGCATGTGCTTGCATTATGCACTGGTCAATGCGGTGTCAACTGAGTTGCTGTTCCAGTCAGATCAGGTCACCCAAACCCTCAAAGACGTTACATTTCCACACAACTGTGCCGTTCGAGGCCGACATCAGAATCATGCAGGACAGGGGTGCCAACTGTTACTTGAGAGGCTGGCTCCAGGCTCCAGCAACCACCACAGATCTTGTAAACGTTTTGCCATCACGATTCAGTGTCGTTCCATATACATTATAATGCCAAGTATACTCGTTTCGATACAGTGCTCCATCTACCTGCATGCATCGACCATTGAAGCCACTGCACGGTCGGTTGCTGCATCACCGCATTCCTGTGGTGGCCTGACACAAGCGAAACGACCTACAAAAAGTAGTGTCGTTGTATTTCTCAACGCGAGTATTACAATACAAATTTACAATGACATGTACTTTTATTTTTCAGTAGTGGTGGTCGACCGGTCTCGATTTGAATTACATGCATGTACAAGAAAGGGGAGCTCCCTAGGCCCTATTTCACAGTAGTGATGTAATCATTGTTCATATCATGTAAAAGTGGTCACACGTCATAGCAATTATTAAAATTATTTTTACAGTGAACAATGAACAAGGCAAGGCCGATTATTTTCAGTGGCATTTTTCACAGCTACTACAAAAACACAGTACTGCACTGGTACATGGTTGAAATGCCAATCTTTTTTGGGCAAAAAATATTTTACGACTCCCTGGTTTACCGGTTTTGGGTATCGCTTTCGGTTTAATGCAGGGTTTATGAACTTTTATCGGAATAAACTGATTTAGAACGACCCTTTTTGCTGATATTCAGAAGGTTTTTTGCTGATCTTACGAATTTTGGACTGGCCACCGGGGTTTTCCCCCTGACATCGTCCTCTGAACTGACCTAATGCGCATGCGTAAAATGGCGACGATGCAAAGTTCTCTTCCTCTCTGACTTCGTTGTCGATGAACATTTCTTTCCCTTCTGGTTTGTAGAACCCCGTTTCGTGTCTAAAAGACTTAAACGTAAGCAGATATAAGGTTAGAATTGCTGTGTTGCATCGTTCAACTCTTCTTGCAGTACCGAGGTGTTTTTGAAGGGGTCCATAGCATTGCTGTTGTGTTTTGACTCATCAGTTTTGTATAAAATTTGATTTCAATATGATTTCTCTAATGTTTTCTCTAATGTTTTCTCTTGATGTTATTGTCTTGCTTTACAGATGCGTTACGTGGCTGCATACCTTCTGGCTACCCTTGGCGGTAATGCCAGCCCTTCGCTGAAGGACATCAAGGCCATTCTGGCCAGCGTCGGTATCGATTGCGACGATGCCATGGCACAGACCGTCATCAAGAATTTGGCTGGTAAGGACGTCAATGAGGTGATCGCAGCTGGATCTTCCAAGTTGGCCTCTGTACCATCCGGTGGCGCTGCTCCCGCCGCTGCTGCCCCAGCTGCTGCTGCCGAGGAGAAGAAGGAAGTAAAGAAGGAGGAGGAGAAGGAGGAAGAGGAGTCCGACGATGACATGGGATTCGGTCTTTTCGATTAATTATTTCATGGATCATCATCAATCCTATTAAAAATCTTCCCATCTCATCCAAAGCTCTGTGCAAGGTATCGGTTAGTGTGCATGTGTGACTTGTGTTGTTTCATGCGTTGTAGTTCCTGTGGAATTGTTGGGCCTTCTTTCATGCTTGAGCAGGACCATAGATCCTGTCCTAGACATGATTATAATTCTTACCGTGCAGTTTTGTATCGTAAATTGTTGACACATGTTGTGTTGTAGTTACATGTATTGTCAAGCCGTTCGTCTCTCCTCTATCTTCCTCGTGGGATATGCTTAGTACCCCTGTGACCTATTTGAGCAACATGCTCACTTAGTTGTGTAAAGAGTACACTGGTTACGTATTTGTGTTGCATGTATTGTTGAGGTTTCCAGTTGACTGCCTAACTGTATTAATTTTGTATAGTGCTGTACACACTGTCACATGTTGAGGAACGTGGCAACTTTCCAACTTCCATCATGTCAGACTGCGCAATGGCCATGCACATTTTCAAATGAACATCCATACACTTATGTAGCTTGTACGCAAAGAACTTTAGTGACCAGATAATCCGGAGAAGATTCAGAGTAGAGGTAGTAGCAGAAGCAGCACTTTGTGAAATATCCATGGATGTGAACACTACTCCATGTCTATACTGAACAGGCTATTAGGTTACCAAGCCCACAGGAAATGCAGACCGTAATTGATTGTTGTGTCTGTAATAGTAACAGTGTCCGAACTATAGGACGATTGTACTTCATAAATGTGCTGTGTTTTAAGTTGGAACTGAAAGCATGTGCAGCAGTGTTTATCTTTGTCAATCCATGTACGAAATGATTTGGCTTTTTTAAACATGGTTGTAAAATGTCGTTTTTTCAGCAACTTGTAGGAAAGCTACAGCCAAATTAATTATGGCAAATGGAAGTGATATCCTTCATGCCAAAAATGGACACGATCCCGCTTTGGAAAGTGCCTTGAATGATGTCGTACTTTCATACTACATGTATTCAAAATTTAAAATAGTTTGTGTGTCATTTTTTAACAAATCTCTGTCCCCCGTGAATTCTGCGGCAGAATATCAGAAATTCCGTGCCGGTTTCTAAATTCCGAACCAAAATCATGTGAAATCCTGGTCCAAAAAATTGAAAGCTCCAAAATGTACCGTGCAAGTTGATTTTGAAAGTCACAAGCAGGTTGGTTTGGCTGGGAAATACATCAAGTTTCCAGAAATGGTAGCTTTTTTTCTCTTTTCTGCAATATTCTGCGGGATTCTCTGAATTCTGTGGACACTACGAAGTGATTTGGGCTACGTTCGTTTTTAGCTACCTGGTAGAGTAGAGTCACTCTACCGATAGAGGTAGATGGTAGAGGCAAGTGTACGAACGCTGTTCTACCAGATCTAGTAGTTTACACGATGTGTACGTGAAATGTTTCTTTTTTTTATGGAGTTGTGTACAAATCCTTGATCTTGCTGGAAATCCCGTAGCTCTACCAACTTCTACCGGATTCTACCAACTTTTTCCCGGTAGAGGAAAGTAGAATCTACCCTTTTGAGTAGAATTTTTTTTCAAAAAACGAACACCTCTACCGTAAGAAGTAGTTTCTACCCAAACCTGTAGATCAAAAACGAACGCCCCCTTGGCTTTTTTAAAACAAATATGTAAAATTTGCATTCCTTCTGGCTGTATCGAAACATGGGTGGTGGCAAATGAGAGCCAGTTTATCGTAGATCAACATTGACCAGGAAATTTGGTGCATATAAATTTCTCCCTGCCACGTCGGTATAAATAGTGGTGGGTGCTTTGCCATTTTGTGTAAAATAAGACCCTGAATAGACGAGGAGGGCAGTGAATTGCTTCCGCAGGGCCTTTGCCGGACGAAGTCAGGCCGTCTTGCCATCACTAAAGACAATAATGAAGAACAGTAGGCCACGGAATACACTCTGTAAGAACGAAAACATGGCTGCGATGCTATGCTACCTATCCAATTCCACCGTATGACACAGCCAAGAGTTACAAATTCAAAAACACAGCTTTCGCAGCATACAATGCAGTTGACAGATTAAAGGGGAAGTATACCCTAAAATCAAATTTTCACCAGTTGTAGTCTTCTGGGTGCTGAGTCGAATGGTCTTGGTCCGAGGAAGCTGCAACGCTCCCTTCCTACTTGAATCCCAATCGAACTCGCGCACTTCCACCGAAACTGGGTGACTGCGCCCTACTAGATGGGGATTTGTATGCAAAATGTCACTAAAAGCGCCATTTCGTTCTTATAAAAGCACGGATGACCGCGATTGGCCCATATGTTGTAGTCTTTTGGACGCTGAGTCGACTGGTTTTGGTCCGAAAAGGCTGCGATGCAGCGTTCCTCCTTTATTCCCAATCGAACATGCTTGAACAAGCGGTCACGTGCTCCTGGGTGCCCAAATCACCTCGTCACCGCGCCAGCAGGCGACAACTTTCACACCAAGGTTCAACTCGAGTTCAACTCGAGTGACAGGACTGCACCCAAAAAAGGTCAAACAGGCTAGTAAGTTGTACCCTGCAGGCACGGTGACCAGGTGACTGGTGTACGCAGGAGCACGTGACCGCTTGTTCAACCATGTTCGATTGGGAATAAAGGAGGAACGCTGCATCGCAGCCTTTTCGGACCAAAACCAGTCGACTCAGCGTCCAAAAGACTACAACATATGGGCCAATCGCGGTCATCCGTGCTTTTATAAGAACGAAATGGCGCTTTTAGTGACATTTTGCATACAAATCCCCATCTCGTAGGGCGCAGTCACCCAGTTTCGGTGGAAGTGCGCGAGTTCGATTGGGATTCAAGTAGGAAGGGAGCGCCTCAGCTTCCTCGGACCAAGACCATTCGACTCAGCACCCCGAAGACTACAACTGGTGAAAATTTGATTTTAGGGTATACTTCCCCTTTAATTTTCATTCACTAGCAATCCTTGAAGTGATAAATCTACTTCAGAACATTGATGACCGAATATCCCAGTTTGTGATGCCATTAATTTTTACAAATTTGTTGAAAAATGACACACCATAATTATCGATCTTTTACACGAAGAGAAAAAGTTTCGTATATGGGTGGGTGGGTTATAAAGGGGAGTTTCGTTTTGAAAAATATTGATATGTGAGACCAAGGGCGCGTTTGGTTGGTACGAACTACAGTCCATTTCAAAACTATAGACGCGTACCTAGGCAAAAACCGTTATGCCAGCATCTATACCACATAAAATCTGTGATCACTTTGTGCATAAATTTTTCCAAATTGGGCGTCTGTTATCCAATCCTTTAGAAACTATATGAGAGTAATTGTGGAGCGATCCTGAGCAATATTCCGAAAACTATTCTCAAAAAGTTCCAGCCAAATTTGAAATATTTCAAAAACCCTACGCGTCTATAGTTTTGAAATGCACTGTAGAACAGGATTCACCAGAACAGCGCGGTTGGTTGGGACTGCACCTGTTCTGGGTCGGCCAGAACCTGTTCTGCTTGCTCCGGCCTCGAGGCCGGAGCAGACCGAGCAGTTTCATTTTTTCACAGTGAAACCTGGCGGGAACATCGGTTTTGGTCCCAAATGATCACGTGCATACGCTTTGGGGTTAGATTCGTCGTACCGTACACAGTGACCATGGTGACCCATACACATTTTGAAGAATGCACCAAGTTTGGCATATTTTTCACAAGAATATGCTCTGGTTTTGGAATACCGTCTTGCCATCACTAAAGACAATAATGAAGAACAGTAGGCCACGGAATACACTCTGTAAGAACGAAAACATGGCTGCGATGCTATGCTACCTATCCAATTCCACCGTATGACACAGCCAAGAGTTACAAATTCAAAAACACAGCTTTCGCAGCATACAATGCAGTTGACAGATTTTCATTCACTAGCAATCCTTGAAGTGATAAATCTACTTCAGAACATTGATGACCGAATATCCCAGTTTGTGATGCCATTAATTTTTACAAATTTGTTGAAAAATGACACACCATAATTATCGATCTTTTACACGAAGAGAAAAAGTTTCGTATATGGGTGGGTGGGTTATAAAGGGGAGTTTCGTTTTGAAAAATATTGATATGTGAGACCAAGGGCGCGTTTGGTTGGTACGAACTAGAACAGGATTCACCAGAACAGCGCGGTTGGTTGGGACTGCACCTGTTCTGGGTCGGCCAGAACCTGTTCTGCTTGTGCCGGATAGCCCCTTACTTGAATCCTAAGAAGACTATGAAAGTAGGGCATGATTCATTAGGATTGTTTTTGGTTTCCCTTGGCACTATGATGTTTCAGTCTTACACACCAGGTATGGCCTTGCTCCAACTGCACTGCGCTATCAGCTTAAACTGTATATTCTTGTCTTTCGGGTCCTACGTGGCATGTGTAGCACTCTGCTCAGTCTCTGATTGCTTCTGCCTTCGTTCTGCCACAACACACACAGCTGTCCGTACACGTTCCCAGTCCATAGATTCACTTGCTCTGCCTAAAGCACGCAATCGTTATGGCTTATTCGCTTTGAGCTTTCTGCCTTCTGACCGCTGGAATTCTCTTCCAGCTGACATTCGCTCTTGCTCCTCGCTTTCACTATTCCGCAAATCTGTACGTGATCACATAGGGTACCCTGTAAAAAAGGCCTTAGGCCTGTGGGGATTGCCCTATTCATCTTAATAATAATAATAATAATTCAAGACACTTTCCAAAGTGGGATCAATCCCATTTTTTGATACAACGGGCATAAGGATCGCACTTCCACTTGCAACAATTCATTTGGACGTAGCCTGCCTAGAAGTGACTGAAAAACGTCATTTTTAGGACAACCATGTTAAAAAACCCAAATCACCTCGTAGTGGATTCTGCGGAAATTCTGCAAACCGCGGAATTCACGGGGCACAGAAACAGAAATCTGTAAAATGGCATCACGAACCAGGATATTCAGTCACCATAAGGGACGTTTTAATAGCAATGCGAAAATTCGAGTCTGGGAATGAGTACAGAAACAAAGGTCAAAAGTACTCAAAACTAACTAACTTCGAAAACTTGGACGCGAAGTTGCAGTGGTTTCCCCCATAAACTACATGTATAATGTCATAATTATAAGGCGCAGCTTTTATACACGACTTTAGGGTAAATTGATCATTGTCTTCGATAGCTGGCCTGGTCATTTTGCTATCTCTTCGCAGACCACATACAGTCGACTCCACTTATAACAAACTCTCATATAGCGAATTTCGAGGTATAGCGAACCCTTGTCCATGTCCCTGTTTGAACCCAATACAAAATTGACCCTTTATAGCGAACAGTTTTCGTTTATAACGAACCAAGTCTTGTAGGCCCGCTTGTAAACCAAGTGCACTCATAGTCATACTGCCTTTGCCCACTTGCCAGTCATGACTTGCTGCTTGTATAATTATAGTGTGAGTGCATTTCTGTTCTAACAAACTTCGGCTATAAAGAACTAATTCTCCTGCACAACAGTGTTCGTGATATCAGAAGTCGACTGTACACCATAAGTCTAAACGACCAACGTCCTTAAAGTCAACCACTGGTCATACACAACGCAACGCCACAAAGGGATTTCTATCGCCGGTAATGCTCATCGTGTATCTACGAGTCTGGAGGCTGAAGAGGGCAGCTGTTGGCTAGGCCAGATTTAGATTTCCAGCTTCAACTGCCTGCTGAGATAGCCTATGCAGATGTCACACCACAAACCAACAAGAGCAAAATTATAATTTTTTTTTATATCTGTAGAACTGTATGCCACTGACGTTTCTGTCATCCTCACTGACTGAAGACATTTTTTTAGTGAAGGTGGGGAGACAGAGTATTGACATTGTCCTATTGACTGTGCCTAAGTCCTGGTCATCCAGCAAGAAAGCAGCATAGAAAACGAATCTGCTGGTAAAACTAAACAGAATACTTGTTGGTTGGTCCTGTGTGTAATATTGCTAATGACATTACTGTAGTACATTATTACGGTAGGCTGGGGTGATAAGAATTAGCAGCAATCGTGACCTGAAGTACCAGGAAGTGTGCAAAGAGTAAACCGGAAAATAAGGCGAGAAGCTGCAGAAAGATACAGTACAAATACGAAACTAACAGTTGGATTATTCCACTGCACTGAAAGTTATCTGGTTATACAGCGCTCATTCGTTGCTGCCATGTGTGCATGTGTGGTCAGTATGCACTCATGTGGCTGCTGCCGGAAGTGAGTAGCTTGATGGGGTGGTGCTGTCTGAACACAAAAGCCAGTGAACCAGAGTACACTGTACTGAATGGTATTATAGTACTGCGCGCGCACTCTCTCTCTCTCTCTCTCTCTCTCTCTCTCTCTCTCTCTCTCTCTCTCTCTCTCTCTCTCTCTCTCTCTCTCTCTCTCTCTCTCTCTCTCTCTCTCTCTCTCTCTCTCTCTCTCTCTCTCTCTCTCTCTCTCTCGCTCTCTCTCCCCCTCCCTCCCCCTGCATGGCTTGAGCGGTGTGGATGGAGCACAGGGTGCTCGGAACCAGCTGGTGAACCGGACAAATTGGATATGTTGACATGTCTTGCATTGCAGGATTGCCAGGTCCGGCCGGCTTGACAGAGGGCTTTCCCCAGACCGGATCAGGGTCTGAACCAGTGGGTAGTGCAGTGTAATGATCAGACTGCCCAGGTTAGATAGAAACAATGTGCGTGGAGCCGCGAGGAGTTAGACTTGGACACCGCCGGGGTGATAAAGGTATTCTCAGTGCCTGGTCCACTGTTATCATCTGCCAGGAAGACACACCAACCAGCCAGGAAGACACACCAACAATAAACACTACAGTAAATGTGTTCAATGCAAAACCATGGGGCTCTGAAATCCGTCTGAAGAGATTTCTACTGAAAATGACTGCACATTTGCCACATACACAACCGGCATGTACAGCTGAACTCACTGGTTAGCTTTATCACCACTGAGCACTAATCGCTGAATGAATTTTCTACTGTCTCTCGGTCTACCTATGCTGCTCAAAGCTCTGATCACAAGATAATATTTGATTATTAATAGAGATTCAGAGATGTTGAACAGTTGCACAATTCATATTTGCAGCTACTCATCCTCGTCTTGATCAGATTAGTAGACGAATACACAACAGTCACAACGGATCAAAACTAGAAACCAGGGTCACTGACAAGTAAGGGACTGGGTATGGCTTCTAGCATTTACAGCTAATAGGAAAGTGATATTAATGATAATGGTGTCTGATGATGGTGTCTGATAATGGTGTCTGATAATGGTGTCTGATGGTGTCTGATGATGGTGTCTGATAATGGTGTCTGATAATGGTGTCTGATGATGGTGTCTGATAATGGTGTCTGATGATGGTGTCTGATAATGGTGTCTGATGATGGTGTCTGATGATGGTGTCTGATGATGGTGTCTGATAATGGTGTCTGATAATGGTGTCTGATGATGGTGTCTGATGATGGTGTCTGATGATGGTGTCTGATAATGGTGTCTGATGATGGTGTCTGATAATGGTGTCTGATAATGGTGTCTGATGATGGTGTCTGATGATGGTGTCTGATGATGGTGTCTGATAATGGTGTCTGATGATGGTGTCTGATGATGGTGTCTGATGATGGTGTCTGATAATGGTGTCTGATGATGGTGTCTGATGATGGTGTCTGATAATGGTGTCTGATGATGGTGTCTGATGATGGTGTCTGATAATGGTGTCTGATGATGGTGTCTGATGATGGTGTCTGATGATGGTGTCTGATAATGGTGTCTGATGATGGTGTCTGATAATGGTGTCTGATAATGGTGTCTGATGATGGTGTCTGATGATGGTGTCTGATGATGGTACCGTACTTCCGCACATATAAGCGCATGTGCTTATGTCCGGACAGAAGCGCACCCCTCAATTATAAGCGCATGCGCTTGTATGTGAACACTATTGGTGAAACACCCGCGAGCTGAATATACTGCTAAGCATTGTGATAACATTGTTGTTTAGGACACAAACCTGTATTGCACATATAAGCGCATGGGCTTCTACCCGAACATGTTCAAACAGCAACAAATCTTTTGTGTAGCAATTTTTCACTTATAAGCCCATGCGCTTATAATTATGTGGGGAAGTACGGTAATACTTCGAAGTACATGACTGAAGTACGGTAATACTTCGAAGTACATCATGACTGTATTGTCGAAACATTGAAGCAAAGTTATGCCCAATGTTTGTGAACACGAAAGCAGCACATGCAAAAAAATGGGCTGTATTGTGCTTCCTGATGCTTGCTTTGTTTGACAAGCCTCTATAGTAATTCTTACTGTCATTAGAAGCACAGTATCTAGTACTATCTCGGTACATGGTGAGCTTATTCTAGGTGAACACTACTTAGCACAATTATTGTACAATGCACATGTGCTTGGAACCCTGCCAGCTAACAGAAGTGCCTAAGGCACAGCGTAGAATGGAACATAGTGCGCCACGACTGCATTGTGAATAATGACTGGTTCTGCTGGTTCAGCTGAAGCAGAACACTCCGGAGACAAACACTTTGTGACTTTATACAGTCATGTATTGACACTATAAGGAGTTACTGTGCTCGAGAAATTTGGAGCTAATCGCCAGAGCTCAGTTCACCACCACTGACAGGTCAAATCGGAGTCATGAAGTTTTGTTGTTTCCGAAGTTTTGATGTTGTTGTTGTTGTTGTCTCAAAGGGAAAGACTTACTTGAAATAAATATAAAAAATAGGGCAGGTAGATTATCATCCCATAACAAATGCTAGAGAAACTACTCAAGTACAGCTGAGAGCAAGTGGGCATAACCCAGCCTTGCACTAAGGGCAACTAGAACGGGCGGCCAGAGCGAAACCCACATCATTTCATGGTGCACCCGCGCATGCCAACTCCCTAGAGGCCTCGACTCTCTGCTGGTAGCTAAGGAGACATGCTATGCCATACATACATGTACTGCACTGATCAGATGGCGGTGGCATGAATGGTCACAGTGCACGAACACGACAAGCAAGTATGCAACACTCAAATGGCAACGGTTGAGCTCGCAGTCGCAGCGGACGCTTTCCGCTTGGTTTTCTGAGCAGCCGCAGACGAGCGAGTGTGCGTGCCAGTGCGAGATTTCTTGGATGATGATGTGACAGAGGCCGATGCTGATTTGGCAGTGGCATGGCTGGATGATGATGATGACGATGATGACGGTGATGTTGATGTGCGGGAGGCAGCGGCATGTTTCGCAAACATCTTCGCAAAGCGCTCAGCAAGCTGTGCAAGCTCCTTGTCACCGTGTTGCACAGCACGAAGAGTGCTCTGTATGTGTGACACATGTGACACAGTCATGGCCAGTGTGGTGACATGGATAACACACACATCCAAGTACACACACGCACACACACACACACCACACACACACACACACACACACCACACACACACACACACACACACACACACACACACACACACTTGTACTTGTACTTGTACTTGTTGCACACTGCCAAAACCGGTCACGTGGGTCTCCCCGGGAGAGGGGAGAGAGACTCAAAAGGAATCTTGGAAAGATGACTCAATTGGCTATTGAACCGCCCAACGGCCGACACCCCCTGAAATCCCCAAAACTCTGGGTGGACTTGAAAATGATCCCACTTATGGGCTCACCACACCTCAGTAAGTGGGTGAGGACAAGGTGCAGAAAAAGGATTGACGGCATCAGGGTATCCGTCCTGGGATCCAACTGCAGTTACCCCTGCCCCCAGTGAAGGTAATACGTGCTACTAGTGTGGGTGGCTAAATCAGACACACACACACGCACACACACACACACATGCACACACACGCACACACACGCACAGATGCGCGTACACGGACAGCCAGTGAGGAAAAGTGCAGGCGAGTGCAGGCGAGTGCAGTGACGGGGAAGACATAATCCTCCATGCCCTAGGACAAGTGCACGGCTGTTGTGCGGTCACAGATACCAAGTATGTGTGAAACAAAGGCAAGACAGAATGCATTGAGCAGACTCATAATTATTGTATTTAGGAATATTGAAATACTACTGTACTCCATGCATAGGGAAAGTCCCACACAGATATATAGGTACCCGGTGACTGTGGCAATGGAATGACAACAGTACAGGAACAAATGAGACGCATTATGCACGTTACGCTATATGTACCGTGAGAGCACCCCATCTCGCGAGAGGCGCTCCACCTTGATTTTAGAGTCAGGGAAAGAAAAATCACATGGTAGAGTGCAACTAAGTTTGTACGGCACGGTGTGAGATCCTCAGTGCACTAAGGTCACACTAACTTCTCCTAGCATGCTCTTGTGTGGAGCTCGCATCTGCGTGAAGGTAAGCTACGGATTGTGCAACGTACGTGTGACAGGACCTACAGACAGGACACCACCTCCAAAACACAACCACCAAAAGGGAGGTGGTGGGTGCTCTCGCAGTACTTTATGGTACATGTACTTGTCAAGTATATGAATAATCGCAAAATAAAAAATAAATATAAATTCACGGTTCGCGTGAGACTTGGCCAAAGGCCAAGTTTTCCGCATCCGCAGGAACGCCACCACCCTCTTGGATCAAGGCGCAGATGCCAAAGAGACAATAATAATTTAAAATAAGTTTTCCAAGACAGAGAACTACCAAGTGCCCCGTGTGCAACAGCGCAGTGTTAAGCGGGATTCACAGAAGCTTTTTTGCGATGCGACACGCGATGCGACGCGATCTGCGACGGACGCGTGCGATGCGAACTCGCGAAATACCATTCACTGAAGAAGTCAGTGATGCGACAAAATCTTGCTGATTTGGCTACGTCACCATGATATTCGCGCGGTTTGATACAACTTGTACAAATTTATAGGCAACTCTTGAACCTTTGTACAACTTTGCTGTAGAAAAGGTCAAAATCGTACCCCAAATCGCTTGTCGCATCGCATCGCATCGCAAAAGTTGAGCCAAGCTCAACTTCTGCGATGGCCTGCGATGGCCCAGTTGCGCGGGGTGCGACAAGGCTGCGATTTGGGGTTTTCCCGGTTTCGCGCCTGTCGCATCGCAAAAAAGCTTCTGTGAATCCCGCTTAAGTGTCACATGAAGGCATACATTTGTCATTTGATGGCCCAAAAGTCTGGAAAACTGACAACAATTTTTTTGCAGTGAGTAAATAAAAAAAATGCACCTCCGACGGGATTCGAACCCGCAACCCCCGGCTTAGGAGGCCGATGCCATATCCATTAGGCTACGGAGGCTTGCACAAACAACGTACACAATGGTGGATTCTTGTTTTCATTCGCAGCTGACAAAGGCTGCATTTACACGGGTTGAAAGTCTATACGATAGAAAAAAATAGGTGGGTGTTTGGATGAAGACAGTTGACCTGGGTCAGTTACTGATATGTCGCCAAAAGTCCACTTCTTGAGTCCTGTATGATCACGTGAATACTTTCGCGCGAAATTTGCTGTTCCGTGCTGTTCAAACCTGGCGCGAGATACGTACATTAGTACGATAGTACGATTTCTCGATTTCAACCCCCCCCCCCCCCCCCTAAGGGGAGGGTTGAAATCAACCCGGGGCGAAATTTCAACCCGGGTCCAGCACAATACGTCATGTAAACGCGCCAGTCAATCTGTGTTCATGGTGGGTTGAAACTTGACCCGGGTCGACCTCAACCCGGGTTGAAACGCCTCATGTAAACACAGCCAAAGGAGCATGTTATGCTTCTCCGACTAGAAATACATGCACTCCTTATCATACACACAAGCACATTCACATACTTGCACAGTAAACCTTGCGAATAACGACCCTCGATAGGGCATAGGACCGTGTTGTTATTATTGAGGTAGAAAGTATGTCTCAGGATCGTTCCACCTCATATTGACTGTAGATTTCAATTCCCTACAATGGTGAGGTGGCATACAAACTATACAGCAACAATGTACTAACCTGTGAGCCAATTTGCTGCTTGATTTCTGCATTGGCTTCATCGGAGATTTCAAAGTACTTGAGAAAGTTGCCATCATCATCTACAGATCATGCAAGGGTAAAAGCAATGCAGGGAGTTGGCCACAAGCCATGACCGTACCACAGACAAACCTATGCTCCTGGACAGTTGGACATGGTGCTAGGTAGGGACATTGGCATAACGGATGCATGGCCAACACCTAGAGTGCACAGGACAAGCAGGCCCATGCTGGCATAGGAAACCAGGAGTTATACTATTCCATGTACTTTCAACCATTGTAATGCAGCTTCACAGTGGAGCTTTGATACGATATAGTCCTTGGGGGATCAGAGAAACACACATAGTATCCGAGAAATTTTAAAAAAAATTAAAAATCATTTTCCTGACAGCAATGGAAGTGTAGTATAGTGTCCACAATCCACTACTGCACTTCTATAGTTACAGTACTGTATTAACCCTTTATGTACGGTGTGTACGTGAATCGATCACATATGATCGATTCATGATCGATCCGTAAAACCTTCGTAACTCCATCACTTCTTGTCCGAATTCAACAATCGAAGGGTCTATTTGGTAGCAGAAACTCCAAGCTTTCCAATGCAACAATCGCCGAAGAGCTACGATGTACGAATCCAGAGATATCGCGCGCCATATTCTTATCTCGGCAAATTCAAATTTTGTATCGATCTCTTCACCATTTTAGGGGAAAATCCCTTTTCGTGTGCTCTTTGACCAACTCAGCACATGGTAATGACGTAGTTGGCTGGAGTTTGAATCGCCTGGAAAAGATTTGAGCGTTCTGCGATAGAGGAGTGTGGAATGGCGTTGATGGGGAAATTTGCTCGCATATTGGGCTTGGAGACGACTTTGATGTGTTCCAGTGCCTGATTTGTGGCAGCTAGTTGATGGAGCATGGTATACTGGCATTGCTCTCGCCAGGAGCTTTCCAAAGAGCCCAAGATTGTAGAAATCAAGCGAAGGAGGCCAAAGTTATAGCCTGTTGAAGGTGAAAATTGTGCTGAAAATTCAAATTCTGCTTCATGCTGTGCTGGAAATCAGTACATAAAGGGTTAAAGAGTCTGAAAACACGGGATGTGTGTGGTACGCGAAGCCAGAACTTCCAGAGACTGGCTAAGCAGTATGTCGTTCCTCTGTACTTCGAAGTACTATTGTATCCTCATTATGCCACATACCTGAGCTTCCAGTACTCTCCAACAAATCCTGAATAGACTGATGAACACACGTGTGAGCTTGTGCATTATATGCATCCATGCTTTCGTGAACCCTGTATAGCAATGATGCAAAATTCAGAAATAAAGGCAAACTACTAATACTATGTACAGGCAGAAAATCACTAGGGCCGCACATCGGAGACATTAGCACAGGAACATCCAAACTTTGTTACTCTTTTTTCGGCATAGACAGACTACAGCCACCTTTTCAGGCAATGCAGCAGTATGTCAGAGGTCGAGATCTCCAAGCTCAGGGACCGAATTCAGCTGTTTCTTCAGAAAAGCAGAAGAGTCCATTGTTACCCAGCAGCTCGGCAACACAACACCTAAACTACATCTACTAGAAGATTACCTGCCACCCTTCACTAGGAAATTTGGAGTTGGCCTCAGACTATTGGCTGAACAGGGTAGCGAGTCGATCCACGCCAGATTCAGTGCCTCAAAGCAATGTGGCAGCAGCATCTCACGGGGACATTTCAACAGAAATGATGCTGCTTGTCCCGTTGCGACGTCAAGGACACGCAAGGTATCCGAGCTTGAGCAGTGCTATTTATGCTCAGACCCTAGTTGCAGCAGCTTGGCCATTTCAGCCATGGTCAAGAAAAGATGAATATTAATTTTCTGAGTCAGAAGCTTGGCGTCCAGATATGCCTGCGCTATACGCTGGATAGCAGCATGCCTGTGCAGAAGCTGTTGGCTGTGGGCCGCCAATTTCTTTCGCAAGGTTTCAAAACTTTATTTTAGTTGAAACAGATAGAAGAACGCTGTACACTAACATCAAGAGTAAACAATTGTGACGAAAACTCACATCACGCGTTGCAAGTACATTTCATACTATGTACACGGAAGGCCAGCGTGCACACAGTTCGACTATCTGCCATGATCATGCTGATAACTGGGATAAGCTGAGCAGGAACAAGCAAAGAAGTGCTTGTTTACTACTCCACTGCTTGCTAAAGAGTTTCACACTCTTGGGGGCTTAGTAATTCTTGCTAACATGTCTGCATGCACGGATATACACAAAGATAACGTACGCGATGGTGGCCTTTTCATTAGTTGGTTGCCAAGTGTCCAAAGAGCAGAATACTTTCTTCATGTGCTGTAATACATGCCTGACACCACACAGCACAAAGACATGGCACAACAACATGACTAAGAACAGAAAATATTCGCTGGTAGGTAGATAAAGACATACAACATCAATTCATCAACACACAGTTCATCATCATCCCCCCCCCCCCCCCCCCATTTGCATGCACACCCACACCCACCACACACACAAACACACACACCAACTTACCAGACATGGTCACGTTGTGCATGCCAGTGTGGGAATGCTTGAGTAATGTTGAGAATTCTACAAGCATCAACCAATATAAACACCACAGCACAACACACTACTCTTAACCTGTGTTCACAACTGGCGCGTGTACACTTGAAACCATGCGTTTGTGCGTATTTTTGCTGGCTTTTGGGGCACCATGCGTATGGAAACGCGGCGAAATGGAAATTCCAACATGTTGGAATTTTCAGCGTGTATCAGGCACGTACCAGCGTACACACCAGTCACTTTGACTGGCGGGGTCAAAAATTAGTACTCGAAGGCGTCGCACACCCTAAATACGGGTCGAATTGCGTTTTTTTGTGAAAGCCTGAGCGCGCGTTTGGGCACGCATGAACCGCAAGAGTACCGTGCCCACGCGCCAGTTGGGAACACAGCTTTAGTGTGTGGATAGAACCCTGTGGCAAAACATCCTATTGAGGTCATAGTGTATTCAATAACATAGAAGTGCAGTGTTTCCCCGCAATTTCCACAAAGTCTTCCAGTTTTGGGGGATTTCTCGGCATTATTGGACTTTGTCGGACTTGTCTTTGCTTTACTGTTCTGTTGATATACTTTTTATTCACGGAAACGAAGGATATTTTCATGCAGGTTGTCGGATTCTGGATTCAGATTCCTGTGTTGTGCAAAGTGTGTTTGCATGCTGCACTGCCAGAATTCTTTCGAAATTCAGAGGAGTCTGTAGATTCAAGTAGCGGTTCGGCAGTAAGCTAGAGGTCCGTACGGAACTATCGTGCAGGTTCATGTGTCCATGTTGTGGAAAGGGGCACCATACAACTTACCCATTCGAGTCGACCTGCGGATGGAAGACATAGCTGACAAACTTGATCATCGGGTGTTCGTGCGGGAATCTGCAGAGAGCAGCAGCACAGTGGAGAATACAGAGACTACTTTGACCGAATCCGAACCAGCGAAGAGCTCATAATCTGCCAGCAATGGTAATGAACTGAAAAGAGCACGTGAAGAATCCTAGTTTTCACTGAAAATTTCTTCAGCATACTTAGCAGAGAATGCACTTCGTAGAAAGAAAGAAAAAAACGTGTACGCACCACTGTAATACAGTACACTCAAACGCCTCTTATCCGGACGCCTCAGATACGGGCACGTCTCTCTACCGGGCACCTTCAGCTTGAGGGCCTATAGCACAAATGAGTCGAATTTGGGGTTTTTGAACTTTCTTCCGTGTGTGGAAGTGCTTATGTTTCACTGCCAACCTATGTAATCCCCACATTTTTATCAATGGGTTCCCTTTGTATCCTCAACATGTGCAATACGTGCCAAATAAACTTCTTCAAAAAATGATATCATACATGGTAGGTGAGTTATCCTGAGACACGGGCAAATCTGAGATACGGGCAGTGCCCGGTCCCAAGGTGCCCGGATAAGAGACGTTCGAGTGTAGATGCTTAGACGACAGCAGCCATGTGACTCACCTGTCTGGGAAGAAGATGTTGAAACGGAACACGCCGCCTTTGAAAGGGCCCGCATGAAGACAAATCACGCCATGCCATACTGCACACACAGTTGCACACGGTCACACAGTCACAACCACATGGCCATGTACACAGAGAGAGAAGAACAGAAGCACATCACATTTCAGGCCCATGCTTAGGGCCAATAACATTCATCACTGTAAGACCACACGTACATGTACCTAACATTACAATACCTCACCCCACGTGTACCTAACATTACAATACCTCACCCCATAACAAAGTCCCTGCCACGACAGTAACAAAAGGATACCGAATTTGAGTTTCAAGCACTGGATATCACACGTTGCAGAATTGTGAAAACTTGAAAATCACACCAAATACCACCCTCAACTAAGTACTTTCTTCGAAGTACATCCTGGAAAATGCCAGTAGAAACCAACACAAAGATAATTCCCTCCAAGAAGCCCGGTGCAACTGAACCACATCCGAAGTACACCATCATAGCCAAGTTGACATGAAAAATTCCGCTCACCTCGACCAGACTTGAGTGATGGCACCACATAGACACCCTCCCGTACCATGTAGTGACAGACTAGTTTACTGCAACACACGCACACACACACACACACACACACACACACACACACACACACACACACACACACACACACACACACACACACACACACCTCAGACCTCAGACCTGCCCATCGCGGAAGCGATGATAGCGAACAGCTATGTTAGACATAGCAACTTGTGCTGGGATTACACCATTCAACAGCTCACACACACACACACACACACATGCGGTGTGGTAGTCAAAAATCCTGGGAATACATACGGCTTTTAAGCAGGGAAGGATCCAAGAAAGGCTACGTGATAAAAGCCAAAGCTAAGAAAGTCCCCTGGCCTAGGCTAAGTTGACAAGTCAACCTACCAGGCACTGGGTGGACACACATGATGAGGGAAAGTTCCTTATCCTGACTGTATACTACTAGATAGAATGTGTCTCTGATCTGTATCCTCGCTGTACATGTATAACACAAGATAAGGCCATAGCTTTGCGAAGGTCCATCAATTTCATTCTTTCTACGGGTAGCAGTACAGGTGCGACAGGCAGATGCCTGAAACACACTGCGTTGTACTCGTAATGCAGTCAGTCAGTCAGTCAGTCAGTCAGTCAGTCAGTCAGCCAGCCAGCCAGCCAGCCAGCCAGCCAGCCAGCCAGCCAGCCAGCCAGCCAGCCAGCCAGCCAGCCAGCCAGCCAGTCAGTCAGTCAGTCAGTCAGTCAGTCAGTCAGTCAGTCAGTCAGTCAGTCAGTCACAATGTGCTTGTACTTGTACAGTACTGCTCAATGAAATCTGATCATGCAAGTCCATGTCATGCCGCGCGCTGTGCAGCACCAGATATGTGAACACTGGGATGTGTGCTAGTGCAGGGTGCAAGCTTGACTCACACGATCAGATTTCATTGAGCAGCAGAGTATTCGTGTGCAGGGGCGTCGCACACGGTACGGTCACTATGGTATTGACCGTACCACTATTGGACCCAAGTACCCCGTGAATCAATAAAATGCACTGATTTGGGCTCTTATTTTCCAAATTTTTCGGCTCAGCCACCCCTCCCCCACAAGTAAATTGTACTTCAGATGGCTGACCGCACCACGCTAAGTTACCTTCCGACGCCCCTGTATACTGTAGTGTTCAGCTGCATGGTAGTCTCTTTTCCTGTACTACTTACTATTCAATCAGAACATCCAGTTCCTGGAAATAGGGTTTAAATTCCAGAACACTGGGACTCAATCCAGCTGCAGTGTCCACAGTGGCTGCGATGCTGCTAGCTGTAACATGGCCTGCTGTGGATGATCCAGATATGCTAACACTGGGCACATCCGCCGGCTTCTCGGCCACCTTCCTCACAGCTACTCCAGGCCGCCTAGTTACCGTGGGCTGAGATACATTCGTTGAAACTTTAGCCTTTGTTCCAGTCGCAGAAGATGATGACGCTGTTGAGCCAGTAGCTCGACTTTTCGCAGCAGATGAAGCTGCACTTGCTGTCGCCGACTGGCGCTTTGCCCGAGCCTGCGTCTGATCAGACAAACGTTTTAGAGGTGGAGGTTTCCGAATTCCAGAGGATCTGGCTGCTGCAGTTGCTGTAGAGCTCGTACTCTTCCCCTGCGTGCTGGCAGTTGTAGCAGCATCGCCTTTTCTCGATTGTGAGGAGGATGACGACGTGCTCGACATCGCTACAACGACGTCAGAGGAGCAGTGGAGAAATATTCCCGGTATTAACCATAGGCATAGTCGCCCAGGGTGGAATCTTGTACACCAGACCAGCAGATTCTATCAAGCAATTGCCCAGAAAGTAAAGTAAAATTCGTAATGAAAATCGAACAATGCAAAATCAAACGTACTTGTCGTTTGACTGGACGCATGACGTCATTATACTACGCGTATACGTCTGTTACCAATGGCAATGACGTCGCCCAGCTAGCTGTGCATTGATTTGAATGATTTCTTTATTTGCCGTACAGGATTGTTTCCATTTGCCTGTGTTTGCTGTTTGTGCATGACGGCATGTATGTGTCTCAGAATGGCCAAGGCCAATGTTCCAACTAAATAACTAGTAACTTACTTCCATGGCAAATTAACTACATTGTACTACCAGTATGTTGATTTTGTGCACTATTTATTACAGTACTATCACTAGTATCAGTGTGTACGTGTATGGGATCCAGGACCAGTCCCTGGTCCACTGGTCTCAACCAGGTCTACCTTATCAGATTTGGCGATGGGGAATCTGAGTCCAGGACTATGTGCTATCTTTAACTCGCCAGCAATGCCAACTGGACACTCAAGGTCAGTGACTGGGCCGGGGTGGGTGGGATTCAGCAAAAAAAAAAATTGCAGTACATGTAGTGCTGGCATTGGAGCATCGGGTAGGGAGATAATTTACAGATGTATAATGATTGGTTGGGTAGTCCGGCTCAGCCCCGGCGAAGGTTTTTCTCACTTCGGCAGAGCAAACACTACACCTGCATGCAGTATATAAGGTATACGCTGCACAACATTGTCTAAACAGCTGTGAAAAGCACATGAGCCTGATTATGGTGTATGTGGGAGTCACACTCATGTGGTCACAAGTACCTAGATCAGGCAACATTGTCGTTGGATCAGGACTCGATGGTAACATGGCTGCCGGCTCTAACTGTGTGTGATCTGACCACAACTTGAGCTACTAGTAACTGAGAGCCATCGTGACAGAGTCATGCAGTGTGTGCATGTACAATGTAGTTTCCAGATTTTGATCATGTGCGACAGCAGCGTTGACAGCATCGAGCATACATGTACGCGCCAATTGCATGCCAGCGCCGTCCGAACGATGAGGCGTTACAGCTATAAATTAGCTAATGGACGTCTTTCAAAGTAACGCAGCCTATAACATCCGACTGATGCCAGTTGTACAGGTAGTTATACCACACACGAGTATACGGTCAAAAATCGTGTGCTCCTCATGCCAGCACGTGTTACACTTGTAGTACATGCACATGCACAAACACACACACATACCCATGCATGCACACACGTATGCCAAGATAAGCTGCAACAAAGCAATATGAAGCACAGTACTGTGCCAGTCAACTTGAATTGTCAAAAGCAACGATCATCTGAGTTTGCAATGTGTACAAAGAGGCCATTTGTCAGGACCAGGCAACTGATCGAGAAGAATGCCACGTTCTGCATGACTGAGTGAATTACATTGTACAATATACATGTACAAGCAAGATCTTCGCATTGCACAAGAATCAAGGAAATGCACGGCGTTGAACTGAGCAGTACAGGTTAGGTTATGCACGGAGAAATATGCTCTCACAAAAGGCGAAAGTAAAGAAAATAATGTGATACATGCTTGGGCGACAGAAGAAGTACACAAGCGTGCAAATCAGTAGATACGTGTCGCCCCGTCGTCGTGTTGTGCACTATTTACACTCACGGGATAGCGTCTGAGCAATCCCACATTTCTATCGCAGCTGTCGGCAAAAATAAACCAGACTACCATATGCATACGTCGTACTACTGCATGCCTCTTGCGTTGACCCCACCAGTTCTACTGCAACAATGAATAGCTATGGAGACATCAACAGCAACAAACTACACTATAACATGTGAAAATTCATATCAGCTAAGGTAGCATAATAACATGTGTCAACGGTCATATCAAAACAGTTTCTAATATGATACATAAGATATGTGGTGCAGTGCTTCGCTGAAATGCAACGAGCACTATACACGTGATGCTTCCTAAGAAAATGGCTCATCAAAGATGCGTGTCAGCTATGGAGATCCGTCTCATTTGATAGTGTTCAGCTGACGCAGCACCCCCATTCTGGAATCCCGGACCCATCTGTGCCTCGGCTTCTTGGAAAGCGCCGTTGTCGTCCTCATCCTGTGCAAGGCTACCGCCAGTCTTCAGCATGTACATCAGGTCATCAAACTCATTGCCGTCGTCTTCAGGCAATGCTCCATGCTGCAGTGCACAAAGTAATGGAGACGCATACGTTTTAGCACATTTCGAAAATGTAAAGCACGAAACACACCATGGTGAAAAAGCTACAGCACCATGACCACATCATGTGCGGCCGGGAAAGAGTAGTACGTGGAATTGGTAAAATATGATGCAAGACTTGTGCAAGCTACAAAGTGAAAACATGCGCATGCACAATTCCAGTCCTCCGCACAACACTGATCAATATTACTACAGGCACATACATCTGCTGCCATTGGATAGCCATCAGCCTCCATGGGTAGCTGACCAGTGCCGTAGCTTTGCTGTGATGCAACTGAAGCACGGAATGGCCGGCCATGGCCTGGATCATCCAGAGCTGAGATCTACAACAGCAGCAGCAAGAACAAAACATGCCTCATCCAACAACACAGTGGTAGGACTGAGATGCGAAGGCACGAATGCACAGCATACCTATGCAACACTTGTTGTTCGATCAAAAGTCCAGGACTGATGCATAGAGGTTACAGTCTTAGCCCAGTATGCTGTCACCCAGCCCCAAGCAACTTTGCGGCATTTGGACAGGGTCTGCGGCACAAGTGGTCGTTCATCGCCCGGCACTGTGCACTTGCTTGCTGCTCTGGAGGACACCATCTACACCAAGCTACTTCCAGCCATCACCAGCACTAAGTGATCTGTGGGGTCACCTAGTAAGTTTTTTTTTTTTGCATGAGACCACTGGTCATTGTGCTTAGAAGCTTGCTTCCACCAGCCATTGTAAATGAACTGACAAGAGGACAGCGACGCCGAGTCAACAGGTAAGGAGCAACCCAAAGCATCTTCACGATATGAAGTCCTTTAGAAGCATGCTTATATTTGAAGGCATTCCAAATGTCACACCTTAAATTATTATTTCCCTCAATCGCCTATAGTATTGCTTGAGCAGTGCCTGTTAGTCATTGCTGTGCTTACTTGACGGTGCAGAACAAGCTGCTTCTTGCTGCCAAGACTGGTAAGGCTATGCTTGGATGTTGAGAGGCTGGTGGGAACCTGACCCAGTGGATACGACTGATCTTCTGGCGAGAAGCTCCCTGCAAACAAATCACAGCACACATACGTTACGTACACGCACACCAAGCATAATGGTTACTTGAGGGGAGCCTTGACACACCAGACTAAAAATAGGCACAACAAGATGATGACCAGTGGTGATATTCATCCCAAAGTAGGTGGGAATGTGGAAAAATCCTTACCTTTTGTTCGTAGCGCCTGCCAGCGTACAAGAGAGTACATGACCAGGGCATATGCGGCCTGAAACAACAAACCAAGCACACAAGCCAGTCAATGCACTACGCACACTACACAGTTTTCCAAGGGTAACAGATCACATTTAATCAATACAATGTGGAGCTGTGAAAACGACATGCAGGCATATGCTGAAGAGTTGTCATTGCATAGGGAGGAGCAGAGCGGATATAGAAATGTTCTTGTTAGGTTCTCCTGTGATATATGTATTCAAAATGACACAAGCAGCTACACATACTTCAGCAAGCTTACCAGTAAAAAGTTGAAGACCACAAACAGTGCGTAGGTCCAGTCCTTTCCAAAAGCAATGTGAAGACTTGCAAACACCCAGGTCAGGAAGACACCGAGGAAGAGCAACAACAGCCGTGGAATTTCTGCAGCGAAAACCCCCCAAGAAAGAATGCATATACCAAGTCATTTAAATATAGATGCCCTAGCCACTCCATACAAGGCAAGCCACAAAAGATGATCTGAGGATTGCATCAAGGTGTCACTATGTTTAGGCCTATGAAAGTGCTTTGAAGTACTGCGAGCTGCAAGTTGATCACATGCAATGCAAGGCAGCTGCAGAGTGAGCACATTCAAGCATCAGCACAAGGGCCAGGAGCTGTTAATTTTCTCTCTCTCTCTCTCTCTCTCTCTCTCTCTCTCTCTCTCTCTCTCTCTCTCTCCCCCCCCCCCCCCCCCCCCACCTCTCTCTCTCCACCATCACAGCCACTTACCAGAACTGTTGTCACATTCCAGATAGAAGTCATCAAAGCTGGCCCATTTGGACTTGCGTGTACTGTTGGAGTACATGACGATGAAGAAGTAGCAGACAGCGGCCAAGCACAGCACGACTGGAGCTACACCGCTGAATAGTGCACCGTAGATGTCAGTCAGGAAGCAGCTGTGTAGTACAAACAAGTGCAAAGTGACAGAAAACACTGCAATCAGAACAGTAGAACGATGCACAAGCAGCAACGATCCATGCATTATATTGCACATGGCTGTAGCAAGAAGAGATTTAGGCATACTTGACAGGCACACAGGGTTCACAGGTTGAGCTCCCTTTGCTGGCAATTGTATCTGATTTATCAATGCTAATCATTCATCATTGAACCTTCCTTGTGTGCAAATACAAGTGCTGTAAGAACTGATGATGTTGCCTCGTTCAGGCTTCACACACGCACGGATGCACGAACGCATGCTTTCTCTGTCTGTCTGTCTGTCTGTCTGTCTGTCAGTCTCTCTCTCTTTCTATGTCTCTCTCTGTCTCTGTGTGTCTGTCTCTGTCTCCTTCTGTCTCCTTCTGTCTCCCACTGTCTCTGTCTCTGTCTCGGTCTCTCTTGCACTCAAGTGTAAACATAGCTGCATAGCTGCACCTTAATAACCTGGCTATGGGTAAGTAGTACGAGTACACATGTACATATTTGAAGAGCAATAGGCTACTCACAGGTCACCAGCATTGTACACGTCACCATAAGTGCGGCTAGCCGTCCAGCCCAGGCCACCAATCGCTACACCAATGTATGCACAGGCAATCACAGTCGGTAGAACTGCAAGAAAATGAAGAAAATGAGAGAACAGGTATTCATTGTCCGTTGCTTCACAACAGCACATGGCATACATGCATACTCGTAAACCTGTGATCTTCGATTCCTCAATTGCTTGGCATCCAGTGGCATTGCCACTCTTTTCCTGTATAGTTTCAGTATTTTTCAACAGTTTCTTTCGCCCTGTGGGTGACCAAGAATTGCTGGGTGAAGACGAGGAGCTGCTTGATGGAGATGAGGAGGAAGAGGAGTCACTGCTAGCTTATGATGATGATGATTTCTGTGCCTTCCTTCTCCCTCTGCTCCTAGCGTTCTCGTTTTCAAGATGCTTTCCAGCAATTTCAGGCACATCACAGTTTCTCTTGCTCTGCTGCGCTATGGGCGACTAGAACCGGAAGAGGAGCGGTTGTCTGAGCTTAAGCTACTGCCGCTGAGATGCCTGAGCATGTTTCACCTTTTGGGTAAAGCCACAAGACTAAACACGGTAAGGGGTTGATAGTGCTATATTATTCTGGCCTGTCCTTGATGTGATCGCTGGTGGTTCATATGCCTCGTACATAGCGCTTTAGAATAACAGTAACCAGACGGGATGCCAATACGACAGTCTTGCACCACACAGCACAACAGGTAAAAACAAACAACGTAGACAACTTACGCCATCCAGTGACAATATAGCGTATGTAGAGTCGATCTGTCTCGTCATCTTCAAATATGAAGGTCCGGTAGAAATTGTATCCCTGAAGCCAGATAAAAAGGAAGAGAAGCAGACAGAGGATGAGGTGGTACACAGCAGGATAACCTGATGATCAGGCGCTAGGATCTATTGAGTGCTTCAGTGATGAAAAGTGCAACATGAAGGGGATACTATACATAACCATGTGTTATAGCTGAAGAAGTGAAAAGCCATCTCGTGAGCCAGTGAATGACTACACGATCAGCAGAACAAGAGCCACCAACAACTTACCAGCACGGCCATCCAGACGAACTGAGCAAGGCCGAAGAAGTGAATCAGATAGCCAAGAGCAAAGCAGCCTTCCACACCAGTGCGGCTTGCCTGGTAGAACGATGCCACCAGAATCACCTACAGGATGGGCAATAATAAATGACAAGACGTACTAAACTTACACAACTACTCATCTACCTTTAGGCAGCAGCACTAGAGTTTTGTAACAGCAGATAACTAAACACAGCAAACTGGAAATAGGGAAGAGAAAATTTGGTCACAACACATTCAAACCTGCATGCAACATGCCTCATATACAACAAACATACCCCATGTTCATATCTGTGAGAAGAACAGACGGTCAAAACTGATTACGGATATATGCCCGCAGCGGTATTGGGTGCCAAAGAACACGGGATAGATCACTGACCCTGGAGATGTTATTAGTTGCAATTCCACCCTTTTCTTATTCTTATTCTGACATAGCAAAACATACGCCAATGGGACCCCAGCCTTGCATATTCTTATATCGTTCCAGCCTGGTCTTTCTTCAGCACCTAAAAACCACTGTAATGCTTACCTCCATTGCCATAATGGCAAAGATGAGGTGGAGGAACAGCTTGGTAGCAACCATCATCTTCTCGCGGTGTGCACTATGATGCAGCACTATAATAATAAACATGACACCCTACAGAACAAGATACAACACACCAACACTCAGCACAGGTAACCAAAGTGCCTCGCATTAGGAAATTCTGTTCAACAATTCCCACAGCAATGTACAGTCAACTTTGCGTATAACGACACTCGGCCGGGCATCACAAAAGTGTCCTTATTCGCGAAGTGTCGTTATACCCGAAGTCTCATTATATGTATACAGGTAGAATGGACTTTGCTCTGGGCATGGAAATTCTGTCGTTATTCGCGAATTGTCGTTATATCCGCAGTCGTTATTAGCGAAGTTGACTGTAGTCGCAGTGCCAGGCACACATTGTTATTCGTATGTACGTGTTCATAATCTACAAACTTTTACGTTTCATACCAACATGTACGCTCACACATGCACGCACACACACACACACACACACACACACACACACACACACACACACACACACACACACACACACACACACATGCGGAATCTGTGACACATACTCATACACCTGCAGCTCCTGGTACAGTACTTACCATGACGACAAAGCAGGAGATGCGAGCAGCAACACCGAACCCAACACGGCTGTCGGCGGCTGCTCTGGCGGCTAGGTCAGGTAGGTGCTTGCACCGGCACTCAATGTACTGTAGATCAGCACCGCTGCTCTGTACAACACCAAATGGACGAGCAAACCAAGCAGATTGCAACACAACGCATATGTTGGGTTGCTATTGTCCACGCGATAGTCCTAGCAGCAGATGTGACAACTTAAGGCATGATGGCGGCATGGCGGTGCCATGATCTCTGACTGAGCATTCCAACTTGGCTTCTCAGCGCAGTGAAGTTCAAATGAACATTTCACCAGTCGTGGAAGAACAGCGATTCACAATGAAATGTCCTACATGCAGATATGGCTCAGAGAGATGCAGTACATGTCTTAGGAGATGCGACATTCCGAGTAAACCGAATAGCTGCAAACATGCATCAAAGCGATGACGCGGTGGTTCAGACTGCAATAGCACAAGACCAGAATTACAGCAATACACAGGAAACAGCATGCCAACAAATGACTTACAGGTGTTTGTCTTACACAGGTGCTGTCAGACCAGTCATTCACATTGTAGTCCCAGAACAAACAGCTGAACACAACAACACCAACAACACCAACAACACAACAACACAACAACACACAGGCATTATATACAGCTATATATACAGCTTGCTGTCTACAGCATTGGGCATTATATACATGTAGGAATGAATACTCAAATTCACTTCAAGGCATTTGAGAGATCAAGATGATTGGACAGGTCAGTAGCCTCCTCATCACAGGACCAACAATCTTACATGCCCCCCCCCCCCCCCCTACTAAATCCACATCCTTGTCATGCACATATGCACGCATGCTCAATGGAAGTGTTGGACGAAGTTGAACAAGATTTCAGTAGAGTTGTGCTCACCTTCCACCACGGTTTGTAACTCTCGATTCGCTGGTGTGGATACGATAGGTGACATCATAGGGCAGCACGGTGGATGTGAGATACTGAACATTTACTGACAGGACCTACATATGGCACACAGGCCGGAGTAAGCACACAATATGCGCGCACACATACATCCACACACACACACACACACACACACACACACACACACACACACACACACACACACACACACACACACACACACACACACACACACACATGCACACGTACACGCACGCACGCACACACACATACACACATACGCACAGACACACAGACACACAGACACACAGACCAAAAATTCACACATGTATCATACAGCGACCGAGTCACAAACAGTTTACATCTGTCAAAGTGGCTGGTGCAACTAGGTGACCGTATTGCATAAGCAACACAATTCCTGGCTTTGTATCTACTTTCATACAGCTATGAATGATCTTCCTATCTTTTTCTTATCCTAACAATTTATGAGGTGAGATACCCTCCAGAAACACTATCAGCTGCCCTACTGTTGCAAATAGTGAGTCAAAGGTGGAGTGTTGCAGTGATGAACTGTTCCTTACCTTGTTGCTGAGTACAGCGGCATTGTTTGTTGACGAAGTGAACCACGAGTTTGTCTGCTGGAGGTATTCAACGAAGTGAACTGAGTAGCAAAGGCTACGATTAGCGACATCAACCCGCTGAGTAAATGGCACAGGAAAGGAGATAGGGTAGTAGAGGAAAGGAGTAGTTAGTGCCTGCTACATCGTTTATTGAAAAGTCGAGGAAACTTATCACAAAAAAAACGTTTCAGGACGCTAAACTGATAGGTGGGTGCAATCCAAGCATACTAGTACCGTGAATGAAATAAAGCTTAATGCCGGTGTTATACTCAAACTCTGCAACACTGGCGTAGGCATTTCATGCAGGAAACTTGCTGCAACACTGGCGTAGGAATTTCATGCAGGAAACTTGCTGCAACACTGGCGTAGGAATTTCATGCAGGAAACTAACCTCCAGTCCGGAAATTGTTGGGAAACTGAATGTATCACTGTGGAGAACAACAGACAAACGGCGGTACACGAATGAAAGATCCGAGAGGCTGAACGCATGAAAACCTTCAAATACTGTCCAGTAGCAACAGCGAAATACATACTATGCAAATCTGCTGTGCACCTTTCGGATATGGATTCTTGAACAGACTGCAACTCGACCACTGCTTGTCCAACAACAGTGGTACATGTATCTGAATAAAAGCGGGAATCACATACAAATGATACAAGCAAAGTGTAATAATACCGTACGAAACAGTAGTGTTGGCATCAAGGCACTTACCCTGGGCGCCCCGTCTCGGTTGAGCCGGTGAACTGCAGTCCACTGTATGTTCTCACACTCTGCGCAACTACGTTCAGATTCACACCGGGATAGGTCTTGGGGCTGATATTCACAACACCAAACAACACACAAAAACCAACCCAGACAAACGACATAAGCTTTAAAAGGAGGCTCCCAGTACAGCTCAGATCCAGAAAGGCGAATTCATTGTCCTTGGCAGTACACACACATACACACACAGACATGCATCCACTTGGTTCAGGCACAAACAGTTCTAGATCAACATGAATGACACGAGCTCTTTATATATCATTATGCATGATTTCGTCAAACATGGGCGCTCGCAGCAAACCTTAAACAGCAACAAAAAAGGAATACATCTGTACTGGACGGTGGCTCTTCAGACTTACTCTGATGGGCAAGGGTCACATCGGACTGTTGCATACGCAAACTTAGTGACGAGGACGCTGTAGTTAGCAAACCCGCTGTAACACAGAAAGAGAAAAGGCACAGAATTAAAAGTGAAGAATGCATGCACTGGCCTTGCAAAGACATGACAAACGGAACAACAGAGGCCTATGTGGAGCGTCAGCACTTGCTCCAGTGACACACGCTACACACTGTAGCTCCTTTGCTGCTCACAGTTCCTGTTTTCAGGACCGTGCGATTGACAATGAAGCAGGAAAAGATCATCGCATATTCCTACTGGGCTATGGACAGGCAAAAAGAGCGGCACTTACACAAACGATGGTGCTTGCAGCATCTCATCAAACACAGTCATCATGTTAACTGCATTGTTTTTCCTGCAAACAACACCAACAGCACATAACAAAGTAGATGAATGGAAGCAGGAATCAACAGCTAACCAAGAACACACAACAATTAAATATGTAGCTCGAGCCTCTATTTTCAAGGCTTTCATGGAGGAAGTTCTTGAGACTTGAACTTGAAGAAGGCTACATGTAGACCTAGGCAAACAAACACATCCACCAGCCAAACTTACGATGTGCACAGCTGCGCGACGTCGATCAGGCGGTCGACTAGTGCTACAAAGAACTCAATGCCGATGCCACGATCCACCTTCTTCGGCAGCTGAGCAACGCCCGCAATGACACTACAAAGACAAAACAAACAAACATGTACACCAAGTTATGCCATATACATATACATGTACATATACATGTACATGTACATATACATATACATATACATGTACATAATACATGTACATATACATATACATGTACATGTATGCTGTTAAGGCAGGCTCCATTCAGCAGGACCTCCGGAAGCAGTTCTTGATTTGGTCCGGTAGTTCCAGTGCCTTTCATACAGTTTGTGTATGAAATGGCAGGTACACATGCCCTCCATAGTAGTGAACATGTGTTAATGGCTAAAATGTTGGTCCGGTGATAACCTGACCAACCGGACCGGTTCCGGCAGCCCTACATTGACAGTTAGGACTGGGTTGACTCCACCACTCCACTCCATCCTGGCTATGTACAACTTGCCCGTGCTAGTATTATTCTCTACATGCCACGGCATAATGTTATCAACAAGTACAGTGCGTATCGGTTATAGTGTGGTCGTATGTATCTATTATTGCACGATTAAGGGGCCGTCCGGGGTTACCGATTGTTTTTACAAAACGAAAAGTTTTAGTATTTTTCAGCCCCCACCCACCCACCCACCTTTTCTGCAGGTAAAACGAATTCCAATAAAATATTGATGTCAATTTTCGACACCCAGAAGTGACTGGGCATTCTCCATCAGCATTCAATAATTATTAATTTTTCAAAACGAAACTCCATCAAACCCACCCACCCACAAACGAAAACATTTCGTTTTGAAAATATTATTGGTAACCTCGGACGGCCCCTAAAGAGGTCAATATATGAAATATAGAACGAGTAAAAGACCGAGGTCCCCCGAGGTCTTTTACGAGGTCTATATTTCATATATTGACCGATTATGAGGGCAATAATAGATTTATCACGACATAGCATACCTAAAACTGTTTTTGCTTCGCTATAGGAAGAAAGGAATACTATTGTAATAGTATAATAGTATGTACGTATGCCGTTTACATTGGACATTACTTCTGTGTAAACCGAAGTTTTCAGTTGTCTCTTGTAGTATGTTCCCCAAGTTCTTTGACTGAGAATCTGACAGTTTGGGTTCAAATCCCAGCATTTGGCTTCAGATTTTTCTTCTTTCAGTTCTGATTTTTTTCTAAGTTGAGGAAAAAGTTCTAAGTCCTCGGGCTAAGTGGTCAATAATAAGTGGTCAATATAAGCGGTCAATATATGCTGATATTTGACCGCTTAGAGATCACAAGTTTCTGTGGGGGTCAATAATAAGAGAGTGATAAACAAGAATATACTGCCTACAAGAATAAACACTCATTTTTTCATAATCATAACACATATTTTATGTGTATATTTATTCTTACAAGCAGTATTATCACATAGTAGAATATATCGGCCCTAAGAATGGATTTTGTGTAGCAAAATATGCCAGATTAGTGCAAAGTGTATCGCCTGTAGTAATAAAATCTGTGCTCTGTGCATACTCAATACAATAATATTCAACACAAAAAGAGAGTTATGTCCAACTGAGCATCGGACAATCACTTTTTCTGTCCAGTCGGACTCTTGCTTCCGACTTCTCTCGTATCGGCTGCTCCGTAGTCGCCTAGCACGACCGCGAGTCTGATCCGTGTGTATCATGTGTAGACCTACATGATTGTACGTGTCCACATGCCAAACGTGCGCGCATAATTATAATTATGATACCTGTATGTCACACGTGCATATGATATGTCACACGTGATTTATCGTGTGTAAGAAATATCGGCAATAAGAATCAAATGTCGTTTTTCAAACACCCACGCTATAACCGATACCTACTGTACATGCAACCATGAGAACACAGCATACATACAGGGTCCCAGACATAGAACTAGAAACTTACTTCTCAATGTCCTGTGGAGTTGGCGTATTCTCAATTGTGTCTCTGAAGTCGGAGATTTCGCGAATGTTGTTGGAGTACGTCACTACCACTTCTGCCGTGTGGTATTCACCCAAACTACAAGGCAGTGCAGAGATTACAAGGGACAACGCATAGTGGTAGGAGCAAGTAAGAACATAAGCATTCTATTGATGAACAAATAGTCACACACTCCAGTCGGTGCATGACCTTGAACAGATAAAACGACGAATGGACAAAGCATTTGCTACACAGTAAGGAAAGAGCGGCTGGTGATACTCCTGTTTCAAGGGTATACAGAAGTTCTCGAGATGCACAACAAGTTGCCGTTGCGCTTGTGGTCTGAATGTACGCGTGTATGCTCCCTTCCCCTAGCCATGCATGTTGCGACAGAGAACATTGGCGCAGCTACACTCGGTACTTACGTGGCAAGACCGCCTGGATTCACCAGTGTTACGTTGAACACGCTGGGTGCTATGTCAGTCTGAGACATCTTGGGAATGAGAGAGACCTGGCATAGTCCAGAAGTCTGCAACCAGCACAAACATATAGAATAGAATGAGTGTATAACCAACACCTAGTAGCAAGCACAGAAAGTAGAAGTTTGCTCCGTTGGACTGCGACATTGGATGTAGACATTGTCACAAATGCCAGTTTTTTTCTATCTTGTCAGTAGCATGTGAACGGCGATATGAAAATGCGAAAAGTGTAGTCTATCGACGTACCCAGTTGCAATAATTTCATGAATGCCAAGTGCCTGCTGTTACCTGTCCTTACCTGTCCAACACTGAATGACAAGGTCTGCGCTTCACTGAAAATGTAGTCAACATTCGGGCGAGCAGCTGTGGCCTCCTCGCCGTAAATCATTGGCACTGCGGTCAGTGGTATTGGCCTGCACTGGACTGACGAGGCTGACAGGCCACTAGGACGTGTTACCAACAGTGTGACGGACCCTGCTCCAGGCTCTGCAACCACAAGTCTGCACACGCACAAAGACAACACACAAACCGTTTTGCGTACAATGCCTGAGTATCTTGCAGATTAGGAAACATGAGATACAGTCTACAAACACTTCAACAGGTCACGCTTGGACAAATCAGGTCTCACATACCAGCAGTAACATCAACAACAACCAGGAGATTAGATGTATGGGTGAGAAGTCGTACCAAGGGCAAACGTACAAACATTCAATTTAAAAACTACTAAAGCGGCATTACCTGGAGTTTTGGTCAAACTCATAGACACCATCGGCTGCATCGTTGGACTGCGAATTGATTCTCGCCAAACGGGTAGAGCCGAGAATGGCCTTAGAGTCAGGCATGACGGTTTGCAAGAAGATGTAGAACGTCGATGCTGGTTCAGGGATCTGCACACATGATTGTAATAACAGTGTTAGAAAAGAAAGTAGGGTGAGGGGTAGGGTGAGGGCCATTACATGTACTTCAAAGAGAAGTATTGACGTTTAGAAAGAAGCCGTTTGACAGTATTTGTGGCTGCCTTGAAGTTACACGGTTCCTTCTAACACACCAACAGGGACTCTGGTGTAATATCAGCAATGAGTGAGTAACAATGCTGCCATAAACACTCTGAGCGATTGCCCAGGCCCCACCCAGAATAACAGAATAGCGATATCACGGGCACACTACACACACACCGTACACCGTGCACCGTACATCAGAAGCAACATGGTCACATGCACCTACCGTGTCGTTGCTCAGGGTAATCTGGAAGCTCTTTTCCTTGTCACCTTGTTGGAAGACAACATCACCCTGATGGGCTACCAGCTGCTCTGGGAAACCACCAGCCGTTCCCGTAGGATCTCTCCTGGTTATCCAGTGAATCTGAGACAAGCAATACATCACGATCAAATGAACAGTTCAAGCACACAGGAACTTGTTGCACAGGGAAACTGTAAAAGTGCAAGAAAACTGTACCAACCAGCATGAAAAATGTCAACAATGAGCATATAGGCCTGGAAATCTTCACAGAGGCTGTCAACAGTAAGATGGCTGATGTCACCACAATGACCACACCAAATGCACTGCTCCGTAGAAACAGGATCTTGTCATAAAGAGAATAAAAACAAAGTGACAGGAACAAGTCCATGCACTCACCACCGCAGAGCCGAAGGTTCCTGCATTTCTCAAAATCGTGAGGCTGACTGACGGGGAAGTGTCCTCATTCACGGTGACAGTGTAATTCTCTTTGAAGCCAAAGTCTCCATACTGGTTGTCATTGCCTGGAATTACAACTGTTGTCGATGTCTGTATGTATGGGATCAGACCAATAGAAGGAGATTACACAATTAATACACTTCATTCACACTTAGAATACAAGTCATACTCAATTCACAGAAGACTGCCGACAAGACCAGACACTCACCGTGTCAGGCGTGGCACTAAGTCGGGCACCACCAGTCGGACTGCTGAGCGCAATGCCAAACGTTTCATTTATCTCGGGAATGTTATCGTTGATGATTGACAAGGTGACGTTGGCCGTCTTCTGGCCATTCTGTACAGGCAAAATAGACACACGCACGGACGTACGCATGCACACACGCACACACACATACCACATAGTCGTCACACAATAATGCGATTGTATTTGAACACAGCAATAATTATGATTTCTCAACTTGGCCACGAACACGCAAAAGACAAGATTTGAGTGTTACACATAGAGAAAATACAGAACTGCTTGTTTAACACATTACACAGAAAAGATTTCGTTACCACGGAATTCTGACAAGGGAATAATTTCCCGATCCCCAAAGATTCATGCCGAGTGGGTCCACTGCACATGGATGGATTAGTCTCCCGTACAGTTTCATGCAGGTGATAAGATAGTATGTGATCAGGCCAGGCTCTCCACTAAAACCAGTGCTTACAGCAAACATCAGAACAGTGCTGATGGGAACAAAGTCTGATGTTGAGGCCCTCTGATCAGCTACAACGCTTGTCAGAACAACGGTGGAAATTGTGACGGATGCGGGGCCGAACTGTCCGCGCATACGATCGACAATGATGCTCATACTTTGACCCTCAGACAACTGCAGATTGCTACTGCTCGGCGCTAGAGAGAAGACGCCGGAGGGGTCATCGTCATCGGTGATGGTAACCACCGACGTTGTCAGGGTACTGTGCAAGCGGGGTGATGCTGGAACAGCTGCATGGAAACAGACCCAGCACACAGGCACACAGGATGGGCCCAGTTTGACAACACTGCCAAGACGAACAAGCTGAATCAAATGGGGCGAAGTTTGACCCTGCCTGCTTCATAAAACTCTACTTCACTAGCGCAGTACAGAATGGTAATAGTTTGAAGAACAACTGCCCTATTGGAAACAGACCAGACAAACGCTAGACTCATATCACTAAGACTTGCAAAGATTCGGAGTAGCGGAGGTACTTACTCTGCATGCCGTCTGCACGCCTCACAGATACAAGGAAGACCTGGAACTGTTCGGTATCCTCTGGAATATCGTCGTTGGTGATGTCGATTCGTACGGTGGCAATAGTCTGACCAGCATACATTGTGAGACTGGAATTCACGGCAGTGTAGTCCGAGCCAGGCAGGGCTTTGTCGGTGGCCGAGGCCAGTGCACGAGTGGCGTAGAACACCGTGATGTTGCCGGCCGCACCGTACTGTCGCCATACGGTGAGAGTGATACTGGCACCACTGGCCTCCAGTACAGATAGCTGCTGACTGTTGGGTGCAAGGCGAACGACTCCGTGTGGCTCAATGCTGGCCTGGAGAGATGCTGCTGCGAGGCGAGCACTACCCACAGTGCTCGTTGTAACCATCTCCAGCAGAAGTGACATGGCCGCGGCATCTTGCAGGGAAGATGAAGTAGGGGTCGCCTGAAACAATGCAAACAAGGTATGGCATGTACACTGTGAACAAAACCACTACTAACACGAATGCTGCCTCATTTCATACATGATCTCAAGGACTAAATCAGTGGAACATCTACCTCTGACTGAAGAGTCGGATGCACCACTTAGCAAAGGATATAGCACCAAATAACACTACCATGCCAGCATAACATCACCACCAGTAACTGCTACTAGTATATTGTCGAAAGCCTAGGTACTAGTGCCCAAGTGTGAGTGGCGCGATGTGCAACTAACCGTAACACCGAAGGACATCATTCTGGTGGTGTCGGCGACCATCACACTGCCAGTAGCAGGTGATAGCGTGCTGCTGTTTGATCCAGTCACCACGCTGCGCCATGATACAGACACGTCTCCCAGAAGGCCTGCACGTGTCACCGCCGCCATCACATTATTCATGCCACTTGCTGCAGCTAAAGAAAAACAACACAATGAAGAAAAGGAGCATTCTACTTCATTACGGCAATAGAAAGAAAGTGGCAGAACAAAGAAATTGAAAGAAGAATAGCACCAACGAGAGAGACAGAATGTCTTCTGCTCCTTATCAGCTGTAAAAGCATGCAAGCAATGCCATGGGAGAGTGCAGCAGCACTCTAGTAATAAGGTGCTAGTAAAATGCACTCACAGTCATCAACGGCAAGTTGAAGTGAACTGGTGGCGAAGGAGCAGATCGAGTTGGAGTCCAGCTCTGTGATGGTGAGAACTTCGCGAGCATAAGCACCGACAACTGGCGGATTTCCAGGTGCTGTGACAAATCACACGAAGACATCCCACTCCATTAATTAATCACAGACTATACAGATACTTTAATAGAGAGTGGAATAAAGGCAGCATCAATGATTGGAAAAATAGTGACAGATCGCTGTGGTGCTTGTAGTCTTTATATATGGCGCTATGACATTGCATAATTGCAGAAGAATAGAGTTGGCTGCGGCAACAAAGTCAAAGGCACCTACCCTGAGAGCCAGGAGCCATGCTCACACCAGCAATGGCCACTACAAATGTTGATGTTGGTTGGAAGAAGAAAGATGGACTGATAGCTATTGTTGTAGATATCTGCAGCACATCAGCACATCAGCACACAGACACAAGGAAATTGTTCTCATCTGATTGCAGAGCGGAATCACAAGAGGCTGTCTGTCCAATCATGATCCGGTTACGTTGTTCGCGCCACGACATTCAAAATCAATTGCTAAATGTGTCCCTGTCACACTGATGAAGACAAATCACCCAGCAGTGCCATAGGCACTACAATGCGCACTCTACTTACCATGCCTTGTCCAGATGGTGCAAAGACGCTGGCAAGATAAGATGTTGGAAGGTGTGATGGAGTCTGCCAGAAGAAAACCCACAAATCCACAATAAATGATCTACTTTGACGTCATCCACAAACACAGTTTTACAAACAAGGGCACTGGATAAAGTGTATGCACGGCCGAACCTTGAAAAATGTACCCACCACAGAAGCATCGATCAAACAACAAACAACATCTCTGCTGTCATTTCACAACTCATCACAAATCATAGCCTGCCTCACCTCTGCGAATGTGATGTTAATCGAAACGGTGACATTTCCGATCAGACCAAGCTGACGCAGCACTGACAACTGGATGTAGCGACCAGCGGAAACACCAGCATTCACCAGTGTACGGTTCACAACAACACTCTGACCGCCGGGAATAAGCTGGAAGGAGCCGTGCGGGACATCGTTTGCCCTAAATACACACAAAAGAGATTGAGATACACAGACGTCAACAACATTGGAAAAAGAGCAAATAGTGATAGGGAATGCACTAGGTTCAATACCTGGGTAAATTGGTGGAATGCAACTTATAACTCTTACGCGATCGTTTCTTTTTCCATTCTGCGTGCGCACGGGTAACAGGATACAGATTTTGGGGCACACTTGATAAAGTACACAAAACTGCTGAGTACTCACAGCACAGAGAAGTTTGAGTAGAGCTGAGTGCCAAGCAAGGCACCGCCAGTGGGTGCACTGAGCATGACATAGAACCGTTGCTCAAGTTCTGGGGTGGCATCGGGAAGAATTTCCACAATAAAGCTGGCTGTCCGCTGTCCCTCAGCCAAGGTAGCCACTCCTGAAGAGGATTTGATGTCGGCAAGCTTAGTTCCAGTGACACTCCATGACACCTTCAAGCAAGCAAAGGAACATGCCCAATTAGGAGTACAATAGAAATTGACAGGAAATGTGTGTAACATATAATATGTGTAGTGTGTGTGTGTGTGTGTGTGTGTGTGTGTGTGTGTGTGCATGTGTGTGTGTGCGTGCATGTGTGCGTGCGTGTGTGGGTGTGCGTGCGTGCGTGCGTGTGTGTGTGTGTGTGTGAGTGTGCATATGCATGTGCGTGTGTGTGCGTGTGATTAAATGAGGGTGAGAGGAACAGATAGTGACACTATACAATGATAATGACCAAAGAGCAGTGTCAAGAACCATAACATAGCAGAGAGCGCTCTGTCATCCTTGCCCAGGAACAGGTAGGAGGATGACAAATGCTAGTACCTAGACACAACCGTACCGTATACAAATACCTCATACATGATCTACATGATCTACATGATCTACATGATCTACATGATCTAGTCTTCCACAATACTAGTCGTAGTGTACTCACAGCTACACTTCCAAAGAGACCGTCGGCACGAGTCACAGTGAATGTCAGGTTAGACGTACTGCCAGCAGCCGGCTCGGACAGGCTTCTCACAAGGAGTGATTGGCCAGTGAAAGAAATGACTCCGTGCGGGTTGTTGTGTGGCCGGATCTATGTGATGGTGCGGAGCACAAGGAGACAGCAACATTATTACAACTAGAGTCTGAAATAAAGAGCAGATGAACTGAAAAAAACTACTGGCATAATGATGTGAAATCATTCAATCTTCTTCAGAACTCTCAACTCCCCTGCAGCATATTACTTGCGCTGGAAAACACCTCCATTCCACGAACAGGCTCTCAGCTGCGCCGAATAAATGAAGATGTTGCCAATATTTCACCCATTACGCATCACCAGGGCATTGATTTACACATGTATACTACACCCATACATATGCTGTACACGCATACTTATACATGTATACCACACCCATACATATGCTGTACACGCATACTTATACATGTATACCACACCCATACATATGCTGTATAAACATACTTCACAGAGTAAAAGCTATGTGTCCCAGCCATGGCGGACATCATCGTATTGATGGAGCATACATGCTACCACAAGTACAACTACACGCGCCAGGCAACATCATACTATCATACCGTAATAGTCGTGTTGACATTGGATGCATTGAAGCGCCCTCCACCGGTCAAACGAGTCAGGCGCACATAGAAGACTTCTTCCAGCTCTGGCATATCATCAGCAACAATATTCAGGTCAAAGGCACTGGACCTACACAACATGAAGAGAAACACACACAAACTTCTGAAGCACATTATCTAGCAAACCGGTCAGTCTCCTTCAACCGCTCTGTACTGGAATTAGGAAATCTTGTTTAGGTCCTGTTTGGAGCTCACCTAAAACTGCATATACATCATATAGGCCATGAACGCAATATACCCGTACCATTACTACCATGGATGCAGCCAGTTTTCGCACCGAGTATGTTCCCTAAAACACTGCCCATTTGCCCAGTAGTTTTACAAATAACCAAGGTGCCTTCAAAACACTGTGAATTAGCTCTTACTGTTGTCCTTGAAGGAAAGTAACAGATCCTTGGATTGGCAAGATGTCCGTGTGTAGACGAGATGGATCAGAACCAAACAGGTCATAGAACACCTAGGAACGATACATACAACAGAATACAACAATAGATAAGCTAAGCCATGTCCAAAGTTCTCATCTCCAACGTTAAGAAAAAATATCCTCAATTTGTGGCTTTATAAGTGAGAAATACACACAGCAAAAAATGGAGAGAGAGAGAGAGAGAGAGAGAGAGAACGAGAGAGAGAGAGAGAGAGAGAGAGAGAGAGAGAGAGAGAGAGAGAGAGAGAGAGAGAGAGAGAGAGAGAGAGATCATGAGAGAGAGAGAGAGAGGCAGACAGAGTGGGAGAAAAACAGGCAGACAGAGCTAGGGAGTGGGAATCTGAGAGTTTGTTAAGTGACTATTGTTGGCGAATTCACTATGGTGCAAAGGCGCAAAGGCGTATGCTGCTGTTGGCTATGGTGACTTACCGTGACATTGCCATTCAAGCCAGCAGAACGTTCTAGTGTCAGACGAATGCTAGATGCACCACTGGCTACGCTGGGATTGTTCACCACAAAGCCACTCAAAGTGGCTGCGCTGAATCCAAATATTCCACTGGGATCGTCACTGCTGCTGATGGTGATCGTTGATAGGGTCTGAGTGCCAAGGACTGCACCATTTGTGGGATTCTGCAGTCTGTAGATATCATCAAAGGAAAGGGAGGAACGCACACCAGCAGTAAAGGGTAGAGTCGATAGCAATGATATAACTAGAGGTAGGTGCATGGACATTCCTAATATGGCTGTGTCCAAAATCCATGAATTAGATATGGAGTGCCTTTACCTAATACACCGGGGAAGTGAGTCATCCTACATGCATGGGGTGATCTCATTTCCGAAAGCAACGTAAGAATAATACATGTAGGTCTAAACTCTAAACTGAGTCCTGTAATGGACCAGTAGCTGAGCATACAATGTGGGGAGTTTACCTGATCTGAAATCGTTCCTGCAATTCAGCGACCTGGTCGTCAATAATGACCAAATCCAAAGAGGCTGTGGACTGATTGGCAGCAAAGATAACAACACCAGCTGATGGCGCTGCTAGGCTACCAAAGTCAACACCATTGCCGTGAGCGGAGAGGTTCAACGCCATGTACTGGACCGAGACTGCTCCGAACAGTCCTCCCGTTCGCATCAGCTGTAGGGTGTAGAGACCAGCCCCTTCGTGCAAGTCTATGGCAGTGGAGGTCAGTGCAAACTCTATTACACCATGTGCATTGTCATTCTCTAGAATATCAACCTGTGCCCGAACAGCCAAGCCAAGAGTTGGTGCGATATTTACTGGGTAGCCAGCTGGTAGAACGGTAGTGTTGAGTGGACCTATTAAAAAAACACAAAAATACAGAAAACAAGATAACTTACATGCACTGAAGATATTGGCACAGTGCAACTGTTGTAGTATCAAAGCCACGCATACTGAGTGCCAATACACGATCTATTTAGCCCAACTAATAATCTATACGTAGCAGAAGCCACAAATATCACAACTGACCCAAAGCTCATAGACATTACCACAGAACTGATGCAAGCAAGACGTACCACCAATGAACTGCACTGACGTCAGCACAAGGAAGAAATCCTCGGTAAGCTCCGGCAAGGGATCATTCACAATGGGAATAGTGATCACAGAGCTAATCACCGTGCTGTTGAGGATGACACCTGAACACGAGCACAGAACAACACACATGCCACTCAACATAGTCTCTTGCAAAGACCCTCATAGCCCTGCACACATAGATGGAAACGTAACTCAGCAGAAAAGGTTAAGCAACGTCCACACACTGCAAGTCGTTCTACATAAACTAAGGACTAAGGTGCGAGCAAGTGCAAGAAATTAGACTTTGTTTTTGAAGTACTAATGAATATGGTTCGCGCAGGGGACACAATGAATATGGTTCAAGCAGGGGACATAATGAATATGTTTCATTGGGGACAGGCAAAGAGTGCATTGGTGCTTACTGGCAACGGGTGGAGAGGTATAGTCAGACCCAAGGGTAGCCAAGCCACCACCAACTGTATAGTCGACACGGATAGGTCCAATGCTTCCACCAGTACGTGTAAGAGTGAACGAAACCTGTATGCAGGGGCAAATGCAATCCATGATACGGTTACTATAATCATCAATGCCTATCCGCGCTGGCATCAGGAGCTGAAGAAGCCAACTAATGACAATAGTTAGTTGCCATGGCTCCATAGCATCCCCGCAGGCCATTCTAACAAAAGAGAGATACAATCCTGGGATGCTGGAGTTAAAGATAATGATGATATCAGAAGAGAATGTTTGGTCATAGGCAGTGATGGCTGGTACATCTCTATGATGGGTAGCACGTTACGTAATAGCATTGAAAAACAGTCATACTGTCCAGCCAACACAAAAACCTACATGTAATGCCGAAGAGACACCCGTTGGCTTTGCCACTCGCCAGAATACTCAAATACAACAGGAACAGGTTAAGAACACATAATATAATAGTGGCCTACGTAGTGAGAGACCTGCACTCTGTGGGAAATGCTTACACTGCCAACATCCTCGGCGACGCGCTGCAGCAGCGATGAAGCAATCTGCACGGTGCCATGCGGATTATTGCTGGCCACCACTGTGATTCGGCTTGCCGTGTTGATTGTGCCCAGCCGACCACCGTTGTCAACCTGGGTCAGCTGGAAGGTGTAGGACCTTGCCTCCTCGGGATGCACATCAGAGAGAACCTGTGGGCACAGGAATACATCCAAGACATGCCTTGGTGAGACTATGACTAAGCAAGGATGGCTTACGAGCACAGTCAAAAAAACATTAATTTAACTTTATTAAACAGTTTCCTCTGAGACAAAAATGCGATAATACTCATAAAAAGGACACACTTCAGGCTCATTACAAACATCTTGAAAGTTTTCGTCTTCACAAGTATACTTTCAAGCCTTCTCATCAGGTGAAATACAGGCAAGGGAAAAGGAACAGGAACAGTGGATTAAATACAGTAAGAAGGTGGTAAAACAGCGCAAAAAGAAAGAAAGAAAGAAAGAAGATAGCTAAAGTAAACAGCGAAAATTGCAATAATGACACAAAGGTGCAAATGCGAGAAAACTCAATAAGCGCGACATGTAGTGCGACAACAAGAGACAACCACTGGACATACATGTAACTAACGAGGTTTTGACGACCTACCTAACAGCCTAAGTGTGAATTTGATTTGTTTCTGCTTGCAAAGGTTGGGTTTCCTTGTGTGGATGTATACAGCTTCCAAAACATTCAGCAATCTAGCACAGCGTACACGTGACACAATCGAAAAACAATCATCCGAATACACAGCACGACAATCAGGATGCTCAAACAAATGACTAGCAATGGACGACTCATACTTATCAGAACTAACATCAGAACAATCAGCATGTGCGGTGGACACATCCGATTTCACATGGCTAGTCGAGTGGACCCTAGCCGTTGCCTCTGTCTGTGCTTTAGTCGCTGCCATCGCCGCCGTTGCCGATCTTGTTATTCTTCTGGTTGATGCGGTTCCTGTCACTGCCACGCACGTAGGTGTCTTGTCCGGTTGTTTTTCTGGTGGTCTAGTTAATTGTGAGGTGACGTTCCTCACACAAGTATACTTGTGAAGACGAAAACTTTCAAGATGTTTGTAATGAGCCTGAAGTGTGTCCTTTTTATGAGTATTAACTTTATTATATAGCAAAAAAACAGCTTCCATTCAAGCATGGATTTCATACAAGATCATGAGTATACGGTAAGAAAATGGCAAGAAAACAAGTGACCTACTGAGTTTGCGAAGGAAGAAGTTTTTTTGTGCCTTACCCGCAAGACAACAGACGAGGTATTGCTACCGGCCAAGAACGTAACGGTTCCAGATGCAGGGAAGAAGGTTGAAGCGGTGTCATCGGCAAATTTCGCGTCCGCTGCACTGATGCGGTAGGACACCCTGACATCACGGAAGGTTCCTCCACCACGCACAATACTGCGACAAAGAACAAACACAAGTAGCTTCTTAGTACAAAGTCGTGTTGACTAGCTCAGTGAGTGGAAACAGTTTCGTACAAGCAAGACACAACAGTTGATTTCAGCTCTCGCAGAAATTTCGACTACAAAACTCTCACACGCGTGCACACATCGAAAGTTTACAAGGAGATCAAACATTGGTAGTCCAAGACACTCTTGTGCCAGCATAACAGTTAGAGGGAATGGAATAAGTGCTACAGAGAACTCCATACAGACAGGCAAGAACAAAAGCAATTGATACGTACTTTACAGCCACATTCGCACCCTCTGCAGTGTAGATGTCACCAGTTACCGGTGAAATTGAGAAGATACCGAAGGCATCATCGTTGGCAGGGATGATGATTGTCGCTTGTTGGAAGCCAGGCCTTAGCGATGCACCACCGCTCGTTGCTGTCAAAGCTATTGTGAAGCGCTCTTCCCCTTCCGGGATAATGTCCGGCAGCGAATTTATGACAATGTTTTGGCTAGTTTCATTCTGTAATCAGGTAATAGAGAATAGAAGTGATTAGATCTACCTCGTAGAAACCCAAATCATACCTGGATTTGAAGACAAATCTTCTCACACGTTACAATGGCCATGCTGGCTTTCAGAATCAAGGCACAGAGGATGGGCCTAGCAGGCTTCAATATTTTGCTCAAGGCACTTTCAGCAGTGCATACCAAGAGTCAGCAGCCAACAAAAGAGTGCTATGGACTAGTAGTAATGAACAGATCTACGCTACACTCTTACCGGCAGGAAGAACACCGAACCGCTCACTGGAGACAGATCTGATGCAGCTCCCAAAAGCGACCAGGAAGCATTGACGAAGCCAAAGGTTCCGAACGAGCGCAAGACGGTGAGCATGACCTGAGCCTGCGTGTCAGATGGACTGGTTGCCTCTGGTACGCTGACCTGAGATTTACATAACATGGACAACATGGCCATCGGCAATAGCATCAGATGTCAAAACCGTCGAAGCAGATGACAGTGTCTTAACCAGTAATATCCAGGGTCTAGTCCACAAAACACCACCTCAGCAATTCACCATGCAGGGTCTAGTCCACAAAACACCACCTCAGCAATTCACCATGCAGGGTCTAGTCCACAAAACACCACCTCAGCAATTCACCATGCAGGGTCTAGTCCACAAAACACCACCTCAGCAATTCACCATGCAGGGTCTAGTCCACAAAACACCACCTCAGCAATTCACCATGCAGGGTCTAGTCCACAAAACACCACCTCAGCAATTCACCATGCAGGGTCTAGTCCACAAAACACCACCTCAGCAATTCACCATGCAAAAATTGCACCAGAGAAAACATTGCAATTACTTACCGTCAAGCTTTGACCAGCAAATCCGATCAGACCGTTGGCAAAGTCGTTCTGATCAATGGCCACAACAATCATGCTCTGGGAACCGAGACGAGCACCTCCCGTTGGAGCAAACAGCTCAATGGAAAACCTCTGCAAGCACGCACACACACACATACTTGTCAAGTAACAGTAGTCATAGAAATGAAACTAGAACCTTCCACCCGCTATGCTAAAATGAAGCTCAACATGGCTTAGATTCAATATGGGCAGTGTGAACCGGTTTACCCCCAACAATTACACAGAACTATACCGGAGTCAGAGTGAAACATCTGAGCACCTTTCTTACCTCGACAATTTCCGGTATGTCATCGTTGAATATCACAAGACTGATTGTCTTGACAACCTGGGCGAATTAGAAAGAAAGCACACACATTAACCCTGAAGAATAGTCCAGACCTTGGCGATAGCTCGGAAACACTCGCCCACATGCACAGTGCATCAAGGTCAACTGCTAGCAAGCAGCTACACAACTCCATGGCTAAAGCAGAATTTCCACACATGATGCTAAACGGACAGGATAGGGGTGCTAGCTGGACTACATACATACATACATACATACATACATACATACATACATACATACATACATACATACATACATACATACATACATACATACATACATACATACATACATACATACATACATACATACATACATACATACAGGGACTAATTTAACCGGTATCGCATCGCAATTTGCGACGCAAAACACAGTGTCTGCGATTCGAAGTTCGTAGTGAGTCGCGGTAAACTGCGACACAACATACAGCTAAGTATGGCCCTGGACATAGACTTGTAGTGCACGCGTAGCGCATGCACATGTGTAGCTTTACAGTGTGTGTGGCTGGTTTGGCGCCACGAGATGGCGCTAGTCATGGCCCAAATTTGCTCGGCCTACATCGATATTTTGCCGCACAATTTTGCCTCAAAATTTTCGATATTCTGCTTGGCATTTCCTTTCTCCGTCGGTATTTTGCTTTGGTTTTGCTCGAGATGAAATGAGTTTTAGGGAAAACTCAACGATAATTGTCGCTGATGACGACGATACTTTTGATTGAGCTCCTGCTGCTGCTCAACTTTCCACTGAAATGTAGCCATGAGTCTGTTTTCTACAACTTTTGTGCTTGTTTTCAACCTTGGTGACTGATTGTGTTGAGGAAGTCCCTAAGAAGCCTTGGATTTTTCGAAAAGCCCACCAAAACTCGATATTTTGCTCAAAAGTTGCCGGAAACTTGCGCATCCGATATTTTGCTCAAAGAATTGCTAGCAAATTTGGGCTATGACTAGATGGCGCGCCATGCACTGTGACTAGATTAGACTGTGTGTGTGTGGTTGTCCAGCCTGCACTGCAGGTAGATTTTACACCATAGTCCATACCCACGCGCGGGCCGCGGGACCATGGCCATATGTCACACTATCTCCGCACGCGCACCGCAGCACGTGCACTTGGTCTTGGAAACTAACTAACTAATACTTACTTGAAGTGCAGCCCAGGAAGCACGAGGCGAGTGTCGACAAGTACTTCACCTGCTTTTGAGATTTAGACCGCGTTGCTTCTCTAGCAGTAGGCGTCTCGACCGTTCAGGACTTATCTTTGTAAAATTCTGCTAGCCTTATTGATGAAGCCTCTTCACTGCCGGCATGTCTGTGAAGCAAGGTACTGTGGACAAGTGGATTGCTGAATTTGATCCCAAAAAAGAATGGATTCGCGCAGAGTCGAGTGGTGGAGCTGTGACCAAGATATTTTGCAAGATGTGCAGGGAGAAGGCGTCCTCGCTTCGTGGTTTGAGGCAGCATGGCGTTTGTTGACGGTATAAGTGGAAGTGCACTGAAGACTGCATTGTCGACGGAAAAAAACTGCTATGCAAAATTGTTGCGTTGCTATGCAAACATCGAGGTGTGTAGCAATTATTGCTATGCAATTTTTTTGAAGTAAATTAGTCCCTGACATACATACATACATACATACATACATACAGACAGACAGACAGACATACAGACAGACAGACACACACAAGGGAAAACTCGACCTTACCTCACGCTCATTCCAAGTCAACACACCATTCACCGGCCCGCTAACATCCACCAAGCTGCTCGTCAATGCTGTCAGCTTCCAGGAGCAGCCAATGGTACCAAAAGAGCCGGAGCTTCGTCGAACAGTGAGTACCAGGTTAGTGCCTTCAGTGACAAGGAGTTCACCATTAGAATTCTGCAGTGCCATCACAAGACAGGATACAAAATTGGAATCTGAAAACTAAGCACAACATGCAGTTCTGTATTCTCCCTCTCCCCTTCATACACATACACATAGTACACATAGCAAGGCAACAGTGAGTGTCTGTAGGCATGAACAGGCAACCGTGGCCAGCCAGGCAGCCAGATAGGCAGGCAGGCAGGCAGGCAGGCAGGCAGGCAGGCAGGCAGGCAGGCAGGCAGGCAGGCAGGCAGGCAGGCAGGCAGGCAGGCAGGCAGGCAGGCAGGCAGGCAGGCAGGCAGGCAGGCAGGCAGGCAGGCAGGCAAGCAGGCAGGCAAGCAAGCACAGCTGATAGCACAGATCAAGAGCCTACCAGGGTTGCGTCAACGTTCAGAATGCCTCTAGACTCGTCATTCTCCCGGATGGTAACAGTAGCCAATTCATTGCCAGGCGATGCCACTCTGGGAGAAGCAGTCGAGGAATTCATTCGAGACGCTTCGCTCTTCAGCTGAACACCGGTGATGTTGACAATGAATGTTTCAGCAAGCTCTGGGATATTTTCCTGCAGAGAAAATGTGAACATACGTTTGAAGTCGTTACACTTTTTTGTCACAAAGTCGTTACACTTTTTTGTCACACTAATCAAAATCACTACAATATCTTCCCGAATTCAAACAGGGATCAGTCGATAGTCCAGCCATTACAACAGGAAAATCAAGGTTGCAAAAAGAGAGCTGTGACCTACGTGAAGCAGACTGACTGAAACCATAGCCGTAGAAGCGTCATCAGCTATCTCCACAACACCATTGCTGATGCTGACGTAATCTACATCTGCAACTGCCTGCTGATCAGTGGGATAACTAGAGGCATTGGCGGTTCTGAAAGACATCATCCAGAGGCACACATACAAATACAGACCTTCAGACGTCTTGCTCACTCAATCGCAATTATCACTATTTATCTACGTGTCGCTCTGAGCAAGAATGCTGAGCACTGCTATCTTCAAAAAGAAACCTACACGTAAAGCTACCATATGTAGGTCATAAGGATATCACTGTATAATAATGGACCATACTAGCCCAGTTACTGAGGAAATAGGGTTATAGCAGCATGGGTAGCTCTGGTGGTGCATAAAAGAGGTGTGTGTGTGTGGGGGGGGGGGGGGGTGCACTTCTTACTCGTAGTAGACCAGGATATCACCGATCAGGCCAAACTCTCTGACAATCTGCAGCTGGAAGGTGACATTCATGTTGTCCACTTCACTGTGTGTCACGCTGGTCGAGCCAGGTGCCCATTGGACAACGCCATGCGGCTCGTCGTTAGCCAGCACGGTCAACACGGACACTACTCTGCCTAGTTGCAACGTAGCACGGCGTCCGAGATCACCACCGGCAGCTACACCACCTCGGCCCATTATCGAGTTCAGCGTAATGGTTGACACTTCATTCAGCTCGGCCACATTGTCAGCGTACACAGTCAAAGTAATAGTGGCTGATGACGTGCCGCTTTTTACCGTGACCTACAGATAACCGAAAAGCACAGAAGGAATGTCTGCAACAGATGTTCAAGATCACCTCTTCAGTCTCCACAAAATTGCAGCCATGGACATGAATCATGGCCGGCGCACCCATCGTAAACATCCCCAGCATGCATTCTGTGGCTAAGTAAACACACCATTAGTCACTTTAAAAAGTGTCAATAGACGGAAATGAGATATCTTACCACACCACTGGTTGGGTGAATGTCAATGTTGGAGCCCGTGTTGTGAGCTCCGGCGACAGACCAGTCTATGTCAATATCGCCAAACTGACCGCCTTCACGATTCACCGTCAGCACCACGGACTGATTAGCACTCGTCTCATTAACAACTGTTGAGAGGGAGGACTGTGCAAAACGGCAGGTTCATGCAAGCAAAGTATGCTATGGTTAGCACATAGGAGAGAGTGAAAGAGAGAGATAATTAGAGGTCTTGGAAAGTGAAGCATGCGCGGAGAAAAGAAAATGGTCTGCAATTACAGTATATTACCGGTTGTAAGTCGACCCAGGTTATAGGTCGACCCCCGTATCCGGAGGTCTCAATTCTGCGTTTAAAAGTTTTCACCCAAAGAAGCACTACTAACCACTCCCTGCTACCAACACATCAACAAATCATGTAAACATTCCTTATTGGAGGTGTTGGAGAACATGCACTCCACGCCGGCTTACGGCCAGTTCACTCACAACACCACAGAGCTTCCAAGGAAATTAGTTATTCTTCTAGATGGAAAATGAGAAACGTCTGTTATCACCACAAGTTGGAACTAACTCCACGCCAAGATCAAACGGAAGCTAAGCCCGAAAAAGAACCATGGCCAGCTTGCCAAAAGTAACGCGTAGCAAGCGTGCACGCAAGCACACTCCATACATAAGTCAGGATGCACACAAAAGCTACAAACTCGGAATAAGGGCAGCGCAGACCACGCCGAAACCGCAACTAGAAGATTGACCGCTGACAGGTCAATCAGTGAATGGAAAAGCATGCACCACCGCACGGACGCGCACTCACTAACCTACAATCAATACACGGAAAATGGCATCACGCAGAAGGTATACCAAGCAGAGCATGCACAAGTAACAATACAGTTCCAGCCAGTGGCTGCCACGTTACCATAAACTACAACATCTCCCTCCCTGGTAACATCACCTTAAAAAGACAATAATAGGCAAGCACATCGAAAGAAGCAAAGAGAAACGAAAGGACATGAAAGTTCTGCGAACCATCACCAGCTACTAGTTCTCAGTCGTATCTCACTGGAGCCCTGATACCAGCTCTGTTCCGGAGCACATATCTTGGCTCTTCAGCTCTAGGCACACCTGCGACTAGCTCACCGGGCTCTAGCCGCATCGGGTAACCACCGTCATCCTCGCTCGCATCATCTGGCTGAGGCGGCTCAGGCAGGTCTACAGTAGGATTGGCTGCGGCACGCTTCAGCAGCTCTACGTTGACGATCTTCTCCACCCTGGGGTCTTCCACTTTCTGAACGACTACAGTCGACTCCGACAACACCTTCTTGACTCTCCAGCCAAGCTGAAACTTCGGGAGGCGTTTCTGCGCGCGGCTGGTCATCTTCATCATCACCACGTCACCAGGCCCGTAACAGCAACTTGCTTTGTCGGCGTCTTCTTGGGAATCAGCTGACGCCATTTCTTCATCGATCAAATCACGAATGGCAGCTGCTTGACGCTGCAGCTCAGCCGTCCATGCTGGCAAGGTGTACAGGGGCTGTTGGGCCTCTACAACAAGACCACGGGGCTGCCAACCAGTCATCGCTAGCTGAGGCGAAACTCCCGTTGCTCCATGCGGTCGGACGCGATAGAAGTACAGCAGCATTGACAGGTCGGTCTTCCAGTCGTTGGACTGCGAGTGTACTTTGCGAATCAGAGTCAACAGGGTCCGGTTGAATCTCTCCACGCTTCCTTGTGACTGAGGGTGTCGCACTGCACCGTGCTTGACTTCCACTCCAAACGCCAAGTACAAGGCGTCCATGACAGCATTGACGAACTCTGTTCCGTTGTCTGATCTGACCACCTCCGGCGGACCCCATCGGCAGCACACAGACACAAACGCCTCGGCAACTGACTTAGCGTCATGGTGCTTCAAAGGTATCACCTCCACATAGCGCGTGAACATATCCGTACACACCAAGACGCAATGGAACCCAGCTCGGCTCGGTCCTAGCTCCAAGGTATCAATCGCCACAACTTGCCATGGGCGCGCCGGCACTTCGGGACGTGTCGGCGAAGCATGACCACCAGCAGCAGGGTTTGCAGCGGCACAACTGTCGCAAAGACCGACGAACTCCTGGCACTTCCTTGCCATCCCAGGAAGGTAGCACTGCTGACGCATCATCTCATGGACCACCTCCCATGATCCGTGGCCAGTGTTCTCATGGGCGATTCGGAGGGCATCTTGCTCTAGCAAGCTCGGAATCACGGGCACCTCGCATGCTTCATTGGCAGGCGGCAACTTGATTGACCGATACAGCACGCCATCCCGCACTCTCAGCTGTGGTGCCACCTTCTGAAACTGCTTCGCCCTAACTGTCTGCATACCGTTGACATCCTCCACCGTCTGCTGGATGGCAGTATCTGCTCCCTGCTGGTCCCGGATGATGTCGAAGGCAAGTGGGGCAGAACTGTGGACACCTGCACACGCACTGCTCTGGGTCGCCGCCGCAACCACCGGTGACTCGGGCATCTTGAGCCAGGATGCCGGCACACGGGTCAGACGGTCAGCCAGGTTTTTCTGTGAAGGCACCCACTCGACAGATATCTTCAACTTGTAAACCTCGACCAAGTCGTCAATCAGCTGCAATCTACGCTCTACAAGAGCTCTGTAGAGGCCATTCACCTTCACTCGCTGGATGTTGCCCAAGAGAGACTTTAGCCATCCATGCACCGTCTTCGAATCGGTCATGACTCGAACGTTGGCCACTCTGTGATCCACGACAGCAGACAAGCCACGAAGGACGGCGTCTAACTCGGCAACGTTGATGTGCCGCTTGTCTGACTTAGGCCTGAGCCAACAGTGATCCTCAATCACGGAGCCATCTTCGCTGATGACAACACCTAGCGCCAGGTTGGATGCATCGCACCATAGGGACACGCCACCAGTCGACTTGACTGTCCACTTGCCGTTGACGGGATCCTCTCGTGAAACTTGATCCTCCACCGCACGACACAACTTCTCGAGCGCAGCTGAGACAGGCTTATCCCAAACCGCAGCATCTTCACAGCTCACTCGCTTGATGTAGCTACAGCACGGTCGCAGCCACGATGCAACAGGGTAATGACTCGTCAATCGACCGCACCAGGAGAACACTTCTCGCTTCGTCGGCTGCTCTGGCAACGTCAGATCCATGCCATCACGGCGACGCCACATCACGTCTTCACTCGACGTAGCAACCGATAGTTGCATGCCAAGCACCCTTGCGCCGGCAAGTACCTCTGGTGGCTTCGTCGGTAATCCGTACCGACTCAGCGCCGCAGTCACCTCCGGAAGTTGTTCGGACGGAGCAACGACATCGTCGACATAGTTGTCTGCATCAGGAAAGTCGCACAGCGCAAACTTCACGATGGCGTCCATGACTTTCGGAGCTATGCTGAGACCAAATGCCATTCGTTCCATGACATACGTGACTCCATTGAATACCACGGTCTGATACCGAACGAGGCTGGGGTCGACGTGAACTTGTAAAAACGCCTTCTTGATATCGACGACTACCTGGTCACCGCCACGGCGTCTCCACTCCCTGATCTTCTGGTCGCATGCAGGCGCGTCGCCTCCAGGATGGGAAAGAATCGCCTCATTCAAACGACGGTAGTCTAAGCAGGGACGTACAGGCGTAGACGCCTTGTGTCCTTGACACACAGCCATTAGAGGGAGGATCGCACCTGACTTGCCGTGTCGATCTGGATCATGGGGCACCATCCAACCATGGTCGATCCACGACTGCACCTCCTTCTGGTACTGTTGCTCCTGCTCTGCAGAGAGCTTCTTCCGTGAGTACTGTGTCACTCCGGAGCCAATGCTATCAGTCGGCTCTACACCACCTCCCCAGACCCAGGCGACGGTCCACGACTTTGCACTATTGTCCCAGCGCACCTTGAAATCGGCTGAACTGAGGGTGACACCATCCGAATCTCGCTCAACAGAGATGTGCCTCGAGAGCTTCTGCTTCGGCGCTCGTTCAGCATGGCCAGCTGCGGCAGCCGCTACATCGGGCCCTTTTCCGAACCGAATAGCACTCGCCGAGCCATTCTGGTAGCGTATCTCAAGACCACCAGCCGCGCTGGCAACGTCATTGCCAAGAATCAGGTCAGCATCCACTCCCTCATGCTTTGAAACTACCAGGAAGTCCACGCACAGTTCCGGAAGCTGAACTATATCATCATGTTGCTGGACAGTCGCAGCAACAGATCCAACTGACTCCAGGGACGTGCCGTCGATGCCGACCACCCAGTCAGTTGTCGATTCCACCTGATCAGCCAGGCCCACGGCAGTTACTACACTCTCTTTCATCAGAGATCGCGTGCATCCAGTATCCACAACCGCTGCGACTGATATCCAAGAGTCATCATGGCCCTTAACACACACATCAACTTTCAGCAGCTTAGAGCTCTGCCCACCAGTTGATATTGGGATTCCGTCAGCATCAGTAGACACTCCAGCCTGACAATGCCCAGCACTCACAGCCACTGAAGCAGACTCAGTCTTGGCCTTTGGACAATTTCGCCTGATGTGGCCATACTCTTTGCAAGAGTAACACTGTGGCCCTCGTGACTTGCCAGTGGTGTGGCTGTTGCCCTTGGCCTTAGGGCAATTCCTTCTTACATGACCAGGCTCCTTACATGAATAGCACTTGACAGCTGCAGCCACGGACTTCCCTCCACTGACACTTATAGTATCATCGACGGACATAGCCCTGACACGTTTGATCATATCGGTAAGAGTCATGCTACCGCTAGAGCACTGGATTCTCACCTCTCTGGCGAAGTCTCTGGGCAAGCCCCCAACAAACTGTTCTAACAGCATCGGATCTTTGTCGTCCGCAATGTTGTGACCAGAGCTCTTCAACAGCCTCTTTAGCTCCGCCGCATACTCGTCTACTGACTCTGTGGATCCCATGGAACGCGCTTTGAACAAGCGGTAACACTCCGCAGCAGAAGGAGCAAAGGCTTCAGTCAACACCTTCTTCACCTCGTCAGGTTTCTCCTTGTCCGAGTCGGGCATGGCGTTGAATACAGTATACGCAGCCTTATCCAAGAGCAACGGCAAGTTTGCCATCTGCTCTTTGCCCGTATCCCACTTGTGGGATTTCGCTAGGATCATAAACTTTGACCAGAATACATCTAGGTCGTCACCTCGCCCTCGGTACGGACGCATAAATCCATCCAACTTCACAGACATTTTATTCTCATGAACAAACACTAAGACTTTCTATTTCCTTCCGACTCCACAAAAGTCCTACTCTGCAACACGTTGTCCCGGGTTTCGGCACCAAAAGCTGTTGGAGAACATGCACTCCACGCCGGCTTACGGCCAGTTCACTCACAACACCACAGAGCTTCCAAGGAAATTAGTTATTCTTCTAGATGGAAAATGAGAAACGTCTGTTATCACCACAAGTTGGAACTAACTCCACGCCAAGATCAAACGGAAGCTAAGCCCGAAAAAGAACCATGGCCAGCTTGCCAAAAGTAACGCGTAGCAAGCGTGCACGCAAGCACACTCCATACATAAGTCAGGATGCACACAAAAGCTACAAACTCGGAATAAGGGCAGCGCAGACCACGCCGAAACCGCAACTAGAAGATTGACCGCTGACAGGTCAATCAGTGAATGGAAAAGCATGCACCACCGCACGGACGCGCACTCACTAACCTACAATCAATACACGGAAAATGGCATCACGCAGAAGGTATACCAAGCAGAGCATGCACAAGTAACAATACAGTTCCAGCCAGTGGCTGCCACGTTACCATAAACTACAACAGAGGGTATAACATCCCAGTTTGAAGAAGGGCTGAGGCTTCCTGCAGCTTCATCTGTGAAAAGAATTCGGGTGGACACACCCATTCCCATAGCGCTGCATATCACATCCGAACCAGTTCCGTTATTTTACTAAAATAACGGAACTGGTTCGGATGTGATATGCAGCGCTATGGGAATGGGTGTGTCCACCCGAATTCTTTTCATATAACATCCCAGTCCTTGAAAAAGGCCAATAAACTGGCAAAAATGTGTACACATGGTGCACTCGTGCATGCAGTGCAGGTCATTTTTGTAAGATACTGATAGTTCCCGGTTATACGTCGAATCCCGGTTGTAAGGCGACCCCCACCCTTTCTCCTTCTATTTTTAGTCGTAAAAGGTCAACTTACAACCGGAAAATTATGGTACAGGTTAGCAAAAAAACATTGGTTGAAGGGTGGCTGACACAAAAATACAAAACATACTTGGCAGCTATTGCCTTCAGCACAATGTTGCATGCTTACCTGTTGAAATCCAAGGAGACCATGAGCATTGTCGTTGGTAAGAATAGTACATGCCAGGCTAGTCTGAGTGCCCAGGATAGAGCCACCGGTGGGTGACGTGATTTGAATGGAGAATGACTCGTCAATCTCAGGTATGGCATCATTCAAGACACGCACGCTGACACTGCGCTCCGTTTCTTGCTCCTTGAATGTGAGCACACCGCCACTGGAAAGACCAGCACAGAACAAGAAAATAGTCATCAGTTGAGAGTGTTGAAAAGGGGAAAAAAGTCAAGAAAAATTTGACTGCCACTACCAGGACTCGAACCAGAGGCCTTCGCTATAGGCCAGCGATGCTCTAACCACTGCTACGGTGTAGCCGTTATTCCAGCAGAGACCCATTCAGCATTTTTTTCTGACTTCATCAAAATATGAGCCATGATCGCTATACTGCTGAGATACTGCTTGAGCCAAATTCCTGGATATACAGATTCAGATAGCAGGCAAGTTTTGATGACATCGCTCACCGATCGACAAAGTCAGTTTGGTCGCTGATGAGGCTTGACTGTAGCACTTCCGTCTGGCCAGCTGTCTCCCTGGCAACCATCAGCACTGTAGTATTGAACGATGATGTGGCAATTGTAACAGGCTCTACACTCACTGCACCCGTTAGCGATGAGCTCTGCACATGCACACACAGAACAGTGGAAATAGATTGACTTTTTCCACCAAAGTTCACCGAGAGTGGATTCACCAAGAAGCGCTATAATTATATTCTAGCATGCATGTGTATCAAAAAAAGAAGAAAAAAGGGGGTTTGTCAACTGACAACCGCTCTATTCAGTTGCTATTCACTCTGCGCTGAATCTATCAAGTAAGCAAATTTTCATATCCCAACAAAGGTCATGAATACGAGTTATGATCGTTGGGTAGATTTGATGAGCGAAGGTATCAGATGAACAGAAGTACAACTGCACACACACACACACACACACACACACACACACACACACACACACACACACACACACACACACACACACACACACACACACACACACACACACACACACACACACACACACACACACACACACACACACACACACACACACACACACACACACACACACACACACACACACACACACACACACACACACACACACACACACACACACACACACACACACACACACACACACACACACACACACACACACACACACACACACACACACACACACACACACACACACACACACACACACACACACACACACACACACACACACACACACACACACACACACACACACACACACACACACACACACACACACACACACACACACACACACACACACACACACACACACACACACACACACACACACACACACACACACACACACACACACACACACACACACACACACACACACACACACACACACACACACACACACACACACACACACACACACACACACACACACACACACACACACACACACACACACACACACACACACACACACACACACACACACACACACACACACACACACACACACACACACACACACACACACACACACACACACACACACACACACACACACACACACACACACACACACACACACACACACACACACACACACACACACACACACACACACACACACACACACACACACACACACACACACACACACACACACACACACACACACACACACACACACACACACACACACACACACACACACACACACACACACACACACACACACACACACACACACACACACACACACACACACACACACACACACACACACACACACACACACACACACACACACACACACACACACACACACACACACACACACACACACACACACACACACACACACACACACACACACACACACACACACACACACACACACACACACACACACACACACACACACACACACACACACACACACACACACACACACACACACACACACACACACACACACACACACACACACACACACACACACACACACACACACACACACACACACACACACACACACACACACACACACACACACACACACACACACACACACACACTACTACTACTATGATACAGCTACCCTAAACGGGTCACGCCGCCCTCCACCCAAGCATGAGCACTATGAGGGGCAGTGGCAAATAAAGAGAATCAGCTAGCAGAACTGGCAAAACAGATGAAACAATGGAGTAGAACGGACGACTGCTGTACTGTAACAACAACCTGACAGCTACAGTGACAACGACTGAAAATGAACAGGAAAGAAAAAAAATTCAAAATTTCACGCCACGAAAAAACACTGTCCACGAAAGAATCTACCAAGCAAAAGGAATGTGGGCATCCGAAATCCCACCAGGACTCCACTAGCAGTTCTTCCACGTTGACGATGTAAGCGGCAGGGCAATGCCTCACAAATCCGACAGACTTCCGCAACGCTTGACCAGTGCACTCATGACGACGAAAGATTGAAGTTTCAATTCCCACCATTCCGCCATTGCGACCTTCCTCTCCGCACTCGCTCGTCCACTCCACTGAAACAACGACTTGTTCCAGCACTCCACCAGCCAATCCGCAATTCCCACCACTGCATTCTTCGAGCTTGGATTCTTCACAGCACTCGAGGGATAGCTACTCCACTGCGAGTGGTGGACCACGGCCGACGCAGCAGTGACAATATCGAAGTAAATTGTCCTGCAAGCTACATCGCGATTCCGCGCTCCAATCATGCAGCACTACCTTGGCAGTGTGCGAGGGTGCTCCAGGGTCGACTCTGGCTAGGCCAGAGTCGCCCTGGGCAGGCAGAAAAACTTTGGAGAAAGCCAAGAACACGGAGCTCAGAAAGTGTACACACACACACACACACACACACACACACACACACACACACACACACACACACACACACACACACACACACACACACACACACACACACACACACACACACACACACACACACACACACACACACACACACACACACACACACACACACACACACACACACACACACACACACACACACACACACACACACACACACACACACACACACACACACACACACACACACACACACACACACACACACACACACACACACACACACACACACACACACACACACACACACACACACACACACACACACACACACACACACACACACACACACACACACACACACACACACACACACACACACACACACACACACACACACACACACACACACACACACACACACACACACACGGAGGAAAATTCACTTCACCTTGCAGTGACATTATGTCTCACCTGTGCCATGGTAAAGCTAGCAGTAGTGGAGTTAAACTGGTAAACAGTGAGACCCGTCACTGGACTGGCCACAGTCACAAACAGACCACCGCCCTGACGGAATGTGTTCAACTGACGGGCATCACGAAGCATTAGGTTGGATGATACTGCGACAAACACATTTGTGGCCGCATTCCACCTGAACAGAGAGGCTGCATATGCCTTGGTAATATCTATCAAAGGGTTTTAGAGAGAATCACACAGCAGTGACACCATGAGATATCAGAGAGGTGTGCAAAGGTCACCATTTACAAGGGTAACGGGGAAAGGTAGCGACAGCACGACCATAGAGGCAACAAACCTTACAACCTGCCAATATATTATATTGATGTTACAAGGAAAGTACCCTGTACAATCCTACCACGGACGAGATAGGGAGGGAGGGAGAAGAGAGAGAGAGAGAGAGAGAGAGAGAGAGAGAGAGAGAGAGAGAGAGAGAGAGAGAGAGAGAGAGAGAGAGAGAGAGAGAGGGAGAAAGAGAGAGAGAGAGAGAGAGAGAGAGAGAGATAGACAGAAAAAGAGAGAGAGAGAGAGAGAGAGAGAGAGAGAGAGAGAGAGAGAGATACAAATATTACACACCAATGAATCAAACAAGTCTCATTCCGCTGTTACTCCGAGTTTCGTGTCAAAACACTTCATCAGACAGCATAGATAAGCAGCCCAAGGACTTTAGACAACTGTCTAGATAGATAGATAGGTAGATAGATAGATAGATAGAGAGAGAGAGAGAGAGAGAGAGAGAGAGAGAGAGAGAGAGAGAGAGAGAGAGAGAGAGAGAGAGAGAGAGAGAGAGAGAGAGAGAGAGAGAGAGAGAGGACCATTACATTTACCTGCTAAGTCTCTGTTTGCAATAAGAATGTAGTCACTGTTGTCAGCAGAGAAGTATTTGACACTCTGTGCATTGTTGGTGGCAAGGTATTGCACCGCCTGGAATCTAGATCCACGCCAAACGTATACACGAGTCCTGCACAAGACAAAAAGAATGACAGACATAGCACAGACATCGCATACGTACTTCCACCAGTACAGGCCTGCTTGCACACACCAGCGGAAGCAATAGTGGTAGGTGAACGGAAGAAGCAGAGTTGAAAAAGCAGACCAAAGGAAAAGCAGGACAATGCCAACAATTATCAATGTCAAGACACGCGTCAGCACCTCGAACAACAGCACACACACACACACACACACACACACACACACACACACACACACACACACACACACACACACACACACATGCTTACAAGCGCGCCGCTGTGAGACCGATCGAATCATAGGCTCCGGTGACAACGAGCACAGTTTCACTGTCGGAAGTGGTGAAGATTTCACACGATGTAGCACCAAAGGTAGAGATGGACTAGAAGAAATAGCAGAAACAGAATCACAGGCGCACGTAGGTGCAAAAGGAAATTTAGTGGATTCCATTACACCAAAATTGGTCAAGCTCTCACAAATTACTGAAATAAGACTAGTGCAGATCTTGCTTACCGCACCTTTCTGTATGTGGGAGCAGGTAAGACTTTCTCTCGTGATAACATGGTAAGAACTTTACCAGTGAACAAGATACAAATCAATGAAACTTAGGTGCAGATTGTCACCACAACACACAGCCACAGTCTGCACTAAATGCAACAAAAACTATGCTATACTTGCTCTCTCTCTCAACTAAGGTCAACAAAGAGAGAGAGAGAGAGAGAGAGAGAGAGAGAGAGAGAGAGAGAGAGAGAGAGAGAGAGAGAGAGAGAGAGAGAGAGAGAGAGAGAGAGAGAGAGAGAGAGAGAGAGAGAGAGAAGAGAGAGAGAGAGAGAGAGTATGTGTGTGTGTGTGTGTGTGTGTGTGTGTGTGTGTGTGTGTGTGTGTGTGTGTGTGTGTGTGTGTGTGTGTGTGTGTGTGTGTGTGTGTGTGTGTGTGTGTGTGTGTGCATGTGTGCACGTGTGTGCATGCATGCATGTCTGCGTGTGTACAAAATGCCTAATGCTTTCTTCGCAACGGCAATCTGTGCTAGTGTAAATGCAAAACATACAAGTGCACACTATGTAAACGTAGAATACCTGAGCAAGAGCAAGACCAGTGTCAGTCAGCCTGTACAGGGCAGAATCTACATTGGTACTATTGGAGTTGTCTTGCATGTTGACAAAGAACAGGTACTCTTCAGTGCTGGTACTGAAGAACTTGACGTCCACCGCGCCGATGGTGGGTACAGCTTGCAGCTGGAAATCGCGCAAAATACAAACAAAATGGGTAGGTGAGGGAAGTTGGGCATACGGTTCACTCTTTCGACAGACAGAACAGAACACAAAAGACCCGCAATATGTTGTGAAATGGACATGTTACCAGTATGATGATGGAACTAAGCCATGCATAGTTTGCATCCAATCCAGCAGTGAAGCACAGCTACTAGCCATGCTACAAATCCACACACGAGGCATAGCATGGGCAAACACCTACAAGAAGACCAGCTCATGAAACACTGCAAGCATGGCTACTGCTCATGAAACACTGCAAGCATGGCTACTGCTCATGAAACACTGCAAGCATGGCTACTGGATAGGGTCTCATACCTGCTGGAGGAAACCATTGGTCATTTGGAATACTTGAGACTGCACTTCGGTGCGGCCCGGCGAGCCAAAGTTAGCAACTGCGAAGAATCGGTCCCCGGAGTCAGCAATCCAGGAAATCCATGCACGGGCACCGTTGGCGGCAATACTCTGTACAGTATTATACAAGAAGAGATTGTATGACATCATACTGAGCCACTGCAGGGGGCAAAGTCATCCCTGAATTAATAAATCGGCATGGTCATCTGGAAAAATGTATTCGTAGCATACTATATGTAGTGGCAATACAGTTGATCAAGTAGGAGCAATGCACTGAAGTCACTGAAATGCTGCTGCAATGATTAAGCCCACCTGTAGCTTGAGCCACTGTCCATCCCAGTAGTAGAGCGCAGATTCAGCACTGTTCGTGGACGGCAGAGCAACAGGACTTCCACCTGGGATGGGTATAGGTCCAGTGGACATACTGCTGCTCGCGGCTAGCATGTACACGGTGTTGCCAGCGGTGTACGAGTACCAGCTGCGGATATTGGATGTCTGGATAGTTTGGATGCTGCCCAGGTTCAGCATGCTACCACCTGAAGTGAAGGGACGTCAAAATAAACGCACAGTTGAGGAAAAGCACTGCCTCGCTGCTTGTCCACCTAGATATTACTGTAGCTCACATGCATGCACTAGGCACACAAAAAATGCACTGCCAACTTGTAACTGCTTCACAAAAGATTGCCCTGTGCGCTGCCAGGTACACACACACACACACACACGCACACGCACGCACGCACGCACGCACGCACGCACGCACGCACGCACACCCACACACACACAAACACACAAACAAACAAACAAACACACACAGACATACAGACACACACACACAGACACACAGACACACACACACAAGTGGGAGTTGTCTGACTTGATGTATCACAGCACGGGTACCAGACCGGACATCAGTAACCATAACAATAGGGTGCTGTGTGGCTTACCGGCAGACGTGGCCGTCCCACTGTTCACGCTCCATTGTACAGATACAGCGCCGAACGATCCCTGGCTTCGTCGTACGACAAGAGGAATCACTCCAACGTTCTCCTCAACATCAATAGAAGTAGCACTGTGGGACGGTGGATATCAAAATACAAATAGGACCATACATGCCGTGAGATGAACAGCCCACCATGCCACCAATGCGCGCCAAACTACAATGCAAGACACTCAGATAGATGATTCCACGTTATTATGATCATTCCCATTCCAGAGTTGGACAAGAGAAGCATGACATTGAAAAGACTACTTATACTGGGCAGGAATATGGAGCCGCAGTGCCCGGTAAACTGAACTTACCTTGCATCACTGGAGAAGAACAACTGCATAACACCGTGCGGGTCGCTGTTCTCCAGGATGGTGATGTTTGCCGTGGTACGCTGACCCAAGACAGAACCACCGCTGGGCGGCATCAGGGTTACTGAATAGGTCTCGGTCAGCTCCGGAATTGTGTCCATGGAAGCGGAAATCGTAAATGTCTAACAGAACATACAAAGGAGCACAAACCGGATTGGAACACGAGTGAATCACTAAATAACTGACAGCCAGAACTTTACAGTAAAGAGACATCCACATCTGTGAATGTAAATTTGTGCATGATAACCAGCAGCCATTTATCATAACAAATAACCGCACTTCACGAATAAGGAGAATTACAAGATTCAACAACCACTGTCAAGTCAGCATTCAATATACACGTACAATAAGTAAGGATTGGATACTGCTTTTGCATCTATATCTTCGATACTTCTCACGATACTAATGATCATATTGGCTCCTGGTGGTGCAATTTTGGTGAGAGGGGATCAAGACTGACCTTAATATCTTCGTCCGTGAGAAAGACGATTGTCCCAGTGGTTGGCGATAAATCTGGAACAGTGAGAGACAACGTCGTAGAGGCAATAGGTATATTGGCAACACGTACACGTAGCTGGCACAGTGAGTTGTCTGAAACACGCCTGTGACACCAGACAGCCGTCATGAGTAATGCACACAGAAATATTCCCTGGGCAGTTTTAAAGCAATGCTGTACAGAAAACATGATTTGACATTGGACTCACCGCTCCTGCCAGCACTCTCAACTGAAAATGGGACTTGCACTTCACCAAAGAGACCAGCTGTGCGCATCACTGTCAGAGTAACAGCTGGACGAACACAATTGCAACAAGAAACACAGCACAGAAATCCAGAATTCCAGTCAAAAATACAGTTCTTGACAATCCTCCCCTTAAAGTTGAGATGGTGTGTGTGTGTGTGGGGGGGGGGGGGGGCATGTGCATGTGCATGTGCATATGCATGTGTGTGTGTGTGTGTGTGTGTGTGTGTGTGTGTGTGTGTGTGTGTGTGTGTGTCACCCATTTACTGAGGTGTGGTGAGCCCATAAGTGGGATCATTTTCAAGTCCACCCAGAGTTTTAGGGATTTCAGGGGGTGTCGGCCGTTGGGCGGTTCAATAGCCAGTTGAGTCATCTTTCAAAGATTCCTTTTGAGACTCTCTCCCCTCTCCCGGGGAGACCCACGTGACCAGTTTTGGCAGTGAGCAGCAAGTACAAGTGTGTGTGTGTGGGGGGGGGGGGTGCGTGTGTGGTGTGTGTGTGTGTGTGTGCATGCATGCGTGCGTGCGTGTGTCCTTGTCCTCACCCACTTACTGAGGTGCGGTGAGCCCATAAGTGGGATCACTTCCAAGTCTACCCATAGTTTGGGGGTTTCAGGGGGTGGTGGCCGTTGGGCGGTTCATTAGCTAATTGAGTCATCTTTCCAAGATTCCTTTTGAGTCTCTCTCCCCTATCCCGGGGAGACCAACGTGACCAGTTTTGGCAGTGAGCAAGTACACGTTTGTGTGTGTGTGTGTGTGTGTGGGGGGGGGGGGGGTGCTTGTATGTGCGTGCGTGTGTGGAAAGCTGTGACCTTTGCAAACCATTCAGAATTTTCATAATACACACGCACACACAGCAATTATACGCAATACCGAGGTAAATGTTCAGGCTTCCTGACATACCACTTCCAGATGAGTTGCCCGGGACTGGCTCACGCAATGTTGCTGTTTGTGATGTGACGGCAAAATCAATGATGCCATTAGCATTGTCATTTGCAAGGATAGTAACAGTGGCTGGAGAAGCGGAGAAGAACACACACCAGATACAGGGAAAGTAAGTTTAAAACAAATATCAGAAGTTCAGAACGAAGTTAATTTCTAAAACAAAACGGAGTACAGAAGACAGGTACACGCGAACGGACAACTTCTAGCAAATTGCAAATGTCTTTACCGACCGACAGACAGACAGACAGACACACACACACATATGCTGCATACGTGCAAGCAACAAAGCTAGCTAGAGTGCAGCCTGAACAAGCCGTACAGAAGACTTACCAACACTTGGGGTCCCAATGGTAGCACCACCAGACTCGCCCGTAAGCGTGACACTAAACTTCTCATTGATCTCCGGTATTTGATCGGCCGTGATACCAATGCTGATAGTTTGGGAGTCGACACCATCATTGAATACCAATAGCTGCGTGAGGATGATTGGCCAGCAACACAACAATAGACAGAGAAACGTGTGAATCTTAGCCAATAGAACAAACACTAGCGCAGGTAGAATACCTTTGAACGCAAAGAACCTGTGCATTTCCATGGCGTACTCGGCTGTCAGAAAAGCGGAAATACATGAGCAAACGCCCAGATGCATGCACACATACACAAAAGCGAATGTTGGTAATCTTCCTAAGCTAGAGCCTTCATGTACTCACATATTCACACAGATCTCACCAAAACCTACCCTGTTTGTCGGAAGAGTGAAGTCGATGCTGCCGGGAGTGACCGACTCAGCCGTCGCGAAGAAGAAGACGCTGACTTGGCCGAACAGACCCTGTGTACGGCTTACTGTTAGGTTGACAAATCCAACGTCCTCTGACACGGAAACCCTGCATGAAACACAGCAGAGAGTCGGGGATCCTTCCATCGTGAGGACGATAGTTGTACAGCACAAAACACATTCAGTGCAGAACTAGAACTGGGCAAAGAAGCTGGTCACCGCCAGAAATACAACATTCGCTGAATCACCTGCCTCATTTCAGAATTACTGTCCACATGTCCTGAAGCTTGCAAACAGCCAGTGGTGATGCATGTTAGTGTTGGAAATAAATTCAAATACTCGGGAAACACAGCTTACAGGGTGGAATTCCCGTCGAAGTGCAGCTGGCCATTGGTTCCATCATTCGCCGGAATAGTGACCTCGGCCGAACTAGGCTCAGCAATTGTCGGCTGCACCACGAGGGCTGCAGGTGGTCCCGCAGTGGAATCAGATGGGGCCAGGCTTGCTCCAGTCAGATTGACCAAGAACACTTCTTTCAACTCAGCAACGTCATCCTGCCCAAGAAAACACCACACCTCATCATCAGCATAGTCTTGGCGCTGACGCTATACAGCACAAGATAATTCTAATGATAAAAGTTACCAAGTGTGAAGCTAATACCAGTATTTGCTACATAAAAGTCACGATTCGATAGTGATTCATATCTTAAACATACTTGAAGGCAAAATCACTCGGAATTAGTTGCTACTCAGAGTTTCATGCCTTTAGTAATTTTCAAGAAACTGCAACTTTCGTCTCTATAAAGTAAATTAGTTATGAATGCGTATGTGCGTGTGGTTGTGTGAGTGTGTGCCTGTTGTGAGTGTGTGTCTGTGTTTTGCGTGTGTGCGTATGTGTGTGTGTGTGTGTGTGTGTGTGTGTGTGTGTGTGTGTGTGTGTGTGTGTGTGTGTGCGTGTGCGTGCATGTGTGCGGGTGTGTGTGTTTGTGCAAGTGTGTGTATGTGTATGTGTACGTGTGTGTGTGTGTGTGTGCCGCCATAATTGTACTCGAGGCAAACGACTGCGAAAGGACCAGAGGACTAATCTGCCCATTCAATGCAGCCTATGTAGCGAACGATTCTCCCGCCCGCAGGACCTCACCCGCCACCGAAAACAGAAACACTAGCTGTGTGTAGAACGGTCCCCTTTCACCTCAATTACTCTCCTTGTTTCTTTTCCTTTCTCGCTGTTGTCTCCCGCTTCTGGGAGCGACGTGGCCATTTTGTGGCAGTTGTACATAGTAGTAGTAGTGTGTGTGTGTGTGTGTGTGTGTGTGTGTGCGCGTGCGCGTGCGTGCATGCATGCGTGTGTGTTTGTGCATATGTGTGCGTGCGTGAGTGCACGCGTGTGGGTGGGTGTTGTGCATGTGTTGCGCATGTGTGTGTGCATGTGAACTGTGAAGGCGCTGCACCTACTTGGTCTGCGTCAGCAATATTGTCGCTTATCTTTCGACAATTTGAACTTAGACTTTGGACATGAACGCGTGCACCTGAAGTGATACAACTTGGTACGATGGAAGGTAAGGTACAGAATGACAACTAGCTGCGAGGAATTTATTGTCCAAGGAAGGGTTCCTACTTTTTTCGGTCCTCCTCGTCGCTGCTTTCGGCGCTGGCGACAAATATTTTGCTCGGGATCGACTCTCTTGCTTTTGCAAGCTCATCTCTCTTCCTCTCCGCTGCCTGGCTATTTTCTAAAGAGAAGTCGATCGTGACGGTCGCCTTCTATAGGACTTCGCCTGGGCAGCACGACAGCCTGTGTGGTTCAAATCAGACGCCGTTCTTTGCAAGATTTTATTTTGAACGACGACGACGCGTACAGTACATGTACTTGCAAATCTCCACGACGCGCTGGATACTCCGAGCGAGGAGCTGGAGGTAAGGGAGCTGCGATCTCAGCTTGATGAGCGATCCCTGAGGTGAGCGATCTCGGCCGTTCAGCAAAATCGAGCTGATTCCGAGTAGCCGATTACTTTCTTGTGGCTTGCGCTGCTCTTGCCTGCACAGCGTAACAAGATAATCTATTTTGATGCGGCGCTGTATCAATCCGAATCACCCACCTGTCGCTCTCGAAATCCACTCGAACTCTAGCTACACCTTTCAGGTACTAGCAAACTAACTAGCTAACCAAAATTGGGATGAAATAGGCTGCCAAGTAAGCATTGGCGACATATAAACAAAGCTGAAAGATAAGCGACAATATCGCTGACGCGGACCAAGTAGCACATTGAGCACTGAGCAAACATCTGTTGTTACTCTCCTGCTTCGTAATATCTTACATTGTACACCGTTACGTGGATGGTAGTGGACGTGACTCCATCAGCCATAACCACCGACTGGATACCCTGATCAAAATCATCACCAGGAATGGCAGCTGCTGACTGGCCAGGTGACACTGTGGTAAGACTCTCGTTGATGCTGAATGCTTCGTAGGTCACAATGATGTCGTCTGCACAAAGACCGCGATAGCAACAGGGTTGAAGGCACAATCATTATCAACACTTTGTGACGACAATACCAGAAACAGCAAGATGAAGGTAAAACCCAAATGGAACAAAATGGTTCAATTGCGGTCACAGAACAAAACAAGCATATGGAACATCACAAATATAAACACAGAGCCATCGATTGTAGTTCGCATGGTGCAGTATTTTGCAGTTCATTTGATCTGTAAAACCAGTTGACCACTTTTATTCTACTTTGGTGTGTCCCACAGGCTATTGGCCTTCTTTTACAGGAGACTGACGGAAGATGCACAAGAAAACATTTTAATGGAAAACAACACTTGAGACACACACATCCGTACAAACAAACACACACACACATGCGCGCATGCACGCACGCGTGCGTGCACGCACATACACACACACACACACACATATACACACACACACATACACACACACACACACATACACACGCACACTTATCTCAGAAGGTTCATCTCACCTATGGAACCGAACTCCCGGACAATTGTAAAGGTCACATTGATCTCCGCGCTGCCTTCGTTCACAGTTCGCTTCAGAGAGCTACCGGCAAACGCCACTTGGCCATGAGGCATGTTGCTAGCACGTAGCGTGATGACAGCAGTGGTCATGGTGGAATCCAGCTCTGCTGCTCCACCAACAGCTGGTACGGATGATACTCCAGACGTACTGATGTTACGCAGAGTAAGAGTTGCCGGTGCGGCAACTTCTGGTGTGGTATCAACTCGCACGCTATTTGGAATCGATGCAACTAGTTGACCCTGTGAAAAAGAAGAGAGGATGAAAATTGAAGTAAAATGTGAGATACTGAATGTCATAACTAGAAATTCGATGACAGACACGGCATGAACAACTTCTTATACTTATATCACAAACAATCAGAGGGAAAAAGGTGGCCGATCCACAGCCCTAATCAAATGCATAATTCATATTTTGAGGGAATGTCGAGGTGAGAAGTAAGTTTGAAACTCTAATCATAAGAAGAAGAAAAGGTTCACACTTGCACATACGGTATGTACGGTATGTGTATGTACGCTCCAGCAGCCAGAGATGCGTCAACCTGTGCTACAAACGTACACTTTTTAGTACGGGTACCAAGCACGGCGTAAATTGCCTATGCCTTCTTCAATCACTTCCTGCGGCACGCCACGTCCATTCATATGGTTCGCCAGTGGGACTAGTGTCTTGTATAATCACGCACACAACGTATAGAGCTTTCGGTGGAAATATGCTTTGTTTTCATTTTTTTATCGCCTGCCGCGTACCTTTCGGCAAAATGTGCCGGCGAGAAACATAGAACAACTATGTGTGACCTTACACAGCAACGAGGCGGGTATGATCCCTGTGTGCATTAACTTAGTTGTACTCACCGGAGCAAAGACCACATAGCCACTGGTCATGTTGAACTCTTGAGCAGGGTTTAATTCCATCGATGTCAGCTCCCAAAACACCCGGACAGTTCCAAATGATGCAACGCTCCGTTCCACACTCAGGGAGAATGACTCGCCTGCACAATATTTATACACGTGAAAGCACACAATTAGTGTGTGTGTGTGTTTGTGTGTGTGTGTGTGTAAAAAAATGAAAAAGACCAAAAAGTAGGGATTCACTGGCCAGAAAAAGCCACTTCATAGCTGTGTGGTGTAGACCAGGCTGAATAGTGGCGGTCAATTCTTCAGCATTGCAACCTGTTGAATGGTGCAATCCCAGCACAAGCTGCTATGGCTTCTGCTGTAGCATCGCTATCATCGCCTCCGGCGATGGGCGTCCAATGGTCCAATGGTGTGTGTGTGTGTGTGTGTGTGTGTGTGTGTGTGTGTGTGTGTGTGTGTGTGTGTGTGTGTGTGCGTGTGCGTGTGTGTGCGTGTGCGTGTGTGTGCGTGTGTGTATGCGTGTGTGTTTTAAAAGGAAGCATGCAGTGGAAAAACAAGACAAGTAAGTAAGTACAAACGTGTCCCACTGGCCAGTGGTCCCAGTGGCCGGAAGGAAGTGACTAGCATTAATTCAAGGATAATGTCTGTACTACGTTGAGTTTGAAAGATATGGGCAAGAACGCACTGCATACCTTCACTGACGATAGCAGACTGAGAACTTGCTGCCAGCGCAACACGGCCAGCAGCCAGATCGTTATCAGCAATCACAACTGTCACGGAGTTATTCGGAGATGCAGCCACTGATGCTCCGCCAGTGGGTGATGAAAGTACCACCTAAAGTCATAAGAAGATAACACAGGAGAGGGTATGATGCTATATGCCAAAAGACAGTATGCTCAAATGCCTCTTATCCAAACGCGTCGGATTCCGCCACATCTCTCTACCGGAAAAGAAAGGTTCAAGTGTACAAGGGAAAAAGGTCGGAAGGTAATATGCCTCCATACACTGTATGGTACCATCGATTCTGATGTATATGTGTGTCTTAGGTGAGAGCATTAGGGCATCAAGCAAGCTGACACCATGTGCAAGTGGCTTCGTACAGAGACATCATACAAAAGTCACAGAAACGGTCCCATCTATTACACGGTTACTCAAACTGCTGCTCTCCAAGAATCAAAGAACGGTGTACATTGAAGCTACACAGAATGTCAGGTTTACTTGTCAACATGCGGTCATAATCTCACTTGATGCATAGTACTGACTAAAGGGTAGCTATTTATTGTATTAAAGGGATTGGCAATTATTGATATTCATGGACACAACCCGCACTGCCATGGGCCACTACGTTTTCTCATTGCCCGCCTTTGAAAAGCGCCAACCAATACTGCTGTTTATGACGGGGTGCAAATTAGCACAAGTCCTAAGAAATCCAATGAAATCAGTGCATTCACCTGGAAACTCTCATCCGGCTCTGGAATTAGATCCTCCTTGAGTTGAATGAAGAAGGATCGCTTTGTTACACCATCAGCAAAGAAGAAATCGGTGGTCGGCACAGAGAAATCAGATCCAGAACCAGCGGTCCCATTGACTGCAGAGTAGCGGATGGTCACATCACCAATACTACCAAACAACCGCTCTACAGTCATTGACAGAGCAAAGTTGGGTTGCTCGTCAACGCGAATAGTCTGCGAATTGTCGTTGGTGGCGTAGATCACAAAGACGCCATTGGCAGCATCATTGCCCGTGATGCCAACCGAAGCTGACTGGCTAGTACCGAGAATGGGCTCATTGGCAGCTATGGCGGCCGGACCGCTGACCAATGACACGCTCTGCAGGTCGACGGCAAAGTATTCAGTGAGCTCTGGGGTGCTGTCAGCAAGAATGGTGGCCATGACATTGGCCTGGCGCTGGCCGGCTGGTATCACAACGCTGCTTCCGGTCACCAGCGTGAAGTCCAGATTGGCCTGGGCTTGGGCACGCAGTAGTGCCTACGTACAGAAATTGCATAGATCAAAAGCAACAGTACAACGGCCATGATTACCAACGCCTGAACTACAAATGGGAGAGAATGACACACCCTGCCAAACAGACGGAGGTGAATAAAACGTATAGGCATCTATGTAACACTGTAACACTGATCGTCGCACAACAACAACAACAACAACAACAACAACAACAACAACAACAACAACAACAACAACAACAACAACAACAACCATCGTGAGAATAAAGAATTCAAAATTCAAACTACTACTACTGCTAACGTTACTAGGGGATTACGTACCGTTCGACTAGAAGAGTTGTAGAGCGTAGAACTAACCAAGGGCGATGCGCCACTGACAACGGTGAACAGTCGGCAGTTGGTGTCGGTGAAGTAGCAGAAGGAAAGACAGCTGGGCATGCTCAAGCACTGATTCGCGCAGTGCGACACATTCGCCGAGCGTATCAGCGTGGACACGCCGTTGACACACTGGCCGCTCGTTCTGGTGAAGTAGTCCAGGCTGGTGCTGCCTAGCGCTGCCACCACACCGGCCAAGTCCAGCGCGCGAGTGCTATACGTCACCATCAGATCACCAAATGTTCCCTCACTGATATACGCAAGCAAGCAGACAGACGGACAAACAAAAATATTTCATAACTACCGGGGTTAGCACAGTGAACACACTGGCTGGAGCTTAGAAATAACTCAAAGGGGTTCACTTTAGAAAACAAAAAAATAACTCAAAGGGTTCAAGCAGTGTGTGCGTGTGAGGAAGCACACGTTAGCTCTCGCATTGTTACAAATGTAAAGTAAACATGAAGACGGTCAATGGTCATCCCACTCGCAGGAGCGGGAGGTTCTAGAGCCCTTTTGTTTCACTAGTTCGACATTGTGAGAGCAGTTCTATCTCCCCTCCCTCAGGAATTCCCCAACCGAAGTCACGCACATGGACTATCAACAATGTTCGGATGCCACAGTTCTAAGCCAGTAGCAATGCATGAAAGGGCATCCACCGCCACCACAGGACTCACCTGCGGAAGATGGATAGATCGAGGCTGCGATCGGATGATCCTTCGGCGATGCTGTAGACTGTTGTCGGTGAAAACTCGACGATACCGTACGGGCGATCATTCGCAAAGATGGTTATGTTGGCAACGTCTAACATGCTATCAACGCGGACCGATGCACCGGTGCTTAGCATTGCTGAGACTAGGCGAACTTGAATGACCTACAAGGACAGCCAAGAACCAGCAGAAGGGAGCAGATGTACATGACACCTGTAGGTTGAAGTTACACAGCATGCATTGGGCATTGCAATGAGACTGTTTTTCTTTTTTTTTCTCCCCCCACCACCACCTGAGCACTTCCAACATGCTGGACGGGGATCATTGTGTTGTGTGTGCACAGAGAGTGATATTGATCTCAATACCAACGCTGCTGCCGCCGTTCTTATCCAGTGCCATCCTTGCGTTATCAATCATACCCATTCGCCAGGTAGATGTGAATACCAAAATCTTACTCATATCCATGTTCTGCTTCAACTACCTCTCCAACATCTTAACAACCAAGGCCTTCCACTGCAATTTCAATTAAATTATTCTCCAAACATTTGCCCTTAGCGCTTCATCGGAGAGTATTGTTGGAGAGATGATTAATAGGCTGCAGTGGAGCCTCCGAGCATTGAAGAAGCTATTTCAACTAGTGCACACATTACAGAAAACCGTGCACCAGTAGACAGAGGCTATGCAGACGGCCACCAAGCCTACTAGTAACCTAACTTACCTCATCAATCTCCGGTATAATGTCTGGCTGGATGGTGAGCACCAGTGGCTGAGATCTCTCCGCCGTGGTGAAGTGCAAGGTACCAGACACAGGCGCAATGTCAGCTGACGCAGGACTGCCATCTACCATCAGAGTCAAATTGCAGTACAGACAATATGAAACACAATAGTACCGGACAATCTGACACACTATGCAAAAGCATAACATTCCAGCTCATTCACCAAAGAAAGAGCAATAACACTGACGCGATTATAACAATCCTCCCAAAGGTGATACTGCTAATGAATTGCAACAGAATATGTGTCATGTACGCTGACTAAACACACCCACACACCTGCCATGGTGACTGCATAGCTGACAGACACAACACCAACACTGCCACCGGAACGCTCAACGGTAAGTGTGACTGCCGTGGTGCCCGTTCCAGTGGGCTCAGAGAAGGACTGAGTCAGCGAAGATGTACCAAAGCCTGCACGACACACAACAGTGATAGGCAGTCACAATGCATCAGAGCTCAAATAGTTCAAACCAGCATGCCCATAACTAACAGGCGGGTAATTCCACTACTGGGCGAGCTACCGATCAAGCAAGCATGTTGATGTTGGCAGGGATGATCACGCTCTGGTGAAGAAATGGACACAAGCGATACTATGTGAAGGTATAAAACATAATGGTCTGTTTTAGTGAGTATGGCACATGTATCTCGACACAATGGTGCTGCCACAATGGTGCTGGGTGGTGTCGGCCCTTTCAGCACTAAAACATGCACTCCGTGATTCTGCACACACTGGATATCGGTGTATACCTCTGCACCCCCCCCCCCCCCTCCCCCTCCCCCCCCCCCCCCCCCCACACACACCTACCCCCATCCTGTAATAGTCAGTGCGCATGACTGTGACACTCACTGTCACGCTCACTTGCTGTGAATTGAGAGTATGACTTGTACTTCTAAAGTACAGCCACGGCTATGCTACTTGTTAGGAGTAAAAGAGCTGACTGTGAAAGCGAGCTGAGTTTCTGGTGAGCGGGCCAACAGATGCTTGGTAGAATTGTTTCACCATTAACTGAGTTACCATCAACAAATTTTCTCTCGCAGGACAGCCAGCATAGAACTTCACAGTGATCTACCATGATGTATATCGTACAGAAGACAAACCATCACCGACTGCCGTCCACAGCCTATACATACTAGTACAAACGCATTACATGCTGCGAAGGAGGGATGACAGCCAAAGAGGCGCCAGCTCAAGAACAGTTCAATAATGCAAGATAACTACTACCGTACCAAATGCGCCATTCGGGTCATCGTTAGCGGCAATGGTCACCAAGGCAGAAGATACAGGCCCAATGCGAGCGCCGCCAGCCACGTTCTCAATCGCGATTGTGAAGGTCTCATCAAATTCCGGAATACTGTCGTTTTCGATAATCAGGGGAATGCTGGCAGAAGTAGCATTCTCCAACATAGTCAGCGTGCCGGTCAGTGGGTAGAAGTCGATATCTCCTAGCGCTGTACCTCCAGTGGCTCTCCATGTCACCACAATCTACGCAGGAAGCAGTGTAAGCACAGATAGCATAGTCAACGCCAACTGACAGCAGATCTTCAATGAGTGTGGCGTGCACAATACACTGATGTATCATCTACTTAGTAAAGGAAGCCACTCCAGAAGACAAATGCCACGCGTAAACTATTAGCAATGTACCGGTGCATGTACTGATCAGCACAGAACTAATGTAACTACTGGGTATGCATGCACCATCATTACATCATAGAACTTAGCTGTGGCACACCACACATAATTCTCACAGTACTCGAACAAAAGATGCAGCACAATGTTTCCTGTCAACGTACATCACCAAACGACCCTGCCCGCCTGTAGACAGTGATAACTGGTGGAGTGGCAGGCTCGGTGATCGTGAGGGCTGCAGCTGAAAACTCCACCACACCAAACGCATCATCATTGCTGTTGATGTTGACCACAGCCGTGGCGCCAGGCGATGCAAGGCGGGGAGAATTTTGCGCTGGAGCAGCACGGGATGAACAGGAATACACAATTACAGTCCACGCATTCCCTACAACTGCACCATCTACACCGTGTACAGTGGCGGGAAAACAAGAATGGAGTAAGTATAACTGCTACTATCACAAACATCATGAAAATGCATGACTACACCGCCGCCGCCGCCATCACTGCTGTTTGCTCATTTAGGTTTGCACTGACAAATTGTCACCGGACACTACCAAAGCAGGACGGGTGAATATCAGTGAGGGGAGTGGGCCAGGAGAGGCATTAAATCCACCACACGAGTTATTGGCAACAACCTAAAGACAAGTCCACAGCAACTCGAAAGTATTCCTTTCATCTTACCTGGCGGCGTGCCAGGTGTTGACAGCAGTCGAACACCACCAAGGGCTACTCGGAAAGTTTCATCAACTTCAGGAGTGGTATCTACCAGAATAGTGACGTTCAAAGTTCTGACGGTCTCATTGTCAGCGAACACCAGGGTGCCAGATGTATGTAGATAGTCCACTCCAGGCAAGGCACGTCTACATTGGACAATAGGAAAGAGAGAGAGAGAGAGAGAGAGAGAGAGAGAGAGAGAGAGAGAAACGCCGAGTTCATTTAGATGACACGGGGTTGGCATGCATTTTGAATACCACATCGCTTTCGCTGGCACTGGAAATGTTAGAAACCACACCTCCATTGGACGCTAGTGTCTTGTATAATATATCGCACCTCAAAACGTTTACAGCGATGACACGATACACATGTGAGAATTTACTTTGATGCATCTGGCAGCTTCATCTGTAGAAAGTAGTTGGGTGGACACTCCCGTTCCCAAAGAACTGCAAAGGACCGAACCAATTACAATACAATACAATGCACAACAAGCCTTACAGATTGGCCACAGCAGAAGTGTCCAGGCCAGTAGTATAATTTAGCTCTACTTCGCCCATGCGGCCAAACAATCGTTCGACAGTCAGCGTTGCAACGGCTCCAGTAGTCTCCGGGATGGCGTACATCTGGGACGTAGGTGTGAACTGGAATGCACCGTGCGGGTCGTCACTAGATTCCACTGTGAGCGTGGCCACTGTTCCACCGGTGCTACTGAGACGGCCTCCGCCATACACGGCAACAAGGCGAATGTAGAAAAGTTCAGCAGCTTCTGGTGTCTGAGGGTGCACAAAACCAAGAAATATTATACCAATGAGGTCACGTTCGAATGGCTGCTCTCTGGACATCCGGCTTTCCTATACATGTGTCAGATGTACAGAACTTGATAGCTGGAAAGAGGATAGAACACGTGGATTTTTAGCAAGATTGCATGAATCACGTTCGATGTGCACAGACTCACCGGATCATCGATGATGTTAACACTGAACGTGGCAGTGGCTACATTGGCCGCAAGTGTCACATTTCCAGATAATGGCGAGAGATCCCCACCGGCAGAGACATTGGCCATCCATGAAACCGTGATGGGACCAAGCAAGCCACCGTCACGCATCACCGTCAACTGCAAAACAGACACACACACACACACATACACACAGACCCCAATAGACAGTATACTCTCCTACCTATCCATCACAGGCAAAGTGTGAATAGACAAGAGGCCAAGAATACTTGTGTCATGATCTGGCCACCCTCCTACAATAGGTAGATCTACAGTGCAAAGCAAAAACAAAACAACAACAACAACAACAACAACAACAACAACAACAACAACAACAAAAAACAACAACAACAACAACAACAACAACAACAACAACAACAACAACAACAACAACAACAACAACAACAACAACAACAACAACAACAACAACAACAACAACAACAACAACAACAACCACATCCTGAACTGTGCGTTGTGTCTTCCCAACTCACCGAAGCTGTAGCAGCAGTTTCATCAGTGATAATGGATAAAGACTGCGAGTGAAAGCGCACAACACCAAATGCATCATCACTCGGGAGTAAATTGATCGCCATGACACGTCCAACTCCAAGCAAAGGTGCTTGTGGAACTGAAGGATACAGCAAAAAGCAATCAAAACAAAACAAACCATCAACACCAGGCCTCGGCTACAAACAAATCTGGGACAGCAAACAAATCTCTAGTACAGCTTGGCTGTGTACCAGTAATAAGTGAGGCTAACCGATTTTCTCAATGAACGTTTAGCCTAAGCACGAAGGGAAAGAAGAAACAAGCAGGCTGAGTTTCTTTGGCCGTACAGTCTAAACGCGTACGCCAAGGCTGACCCAAGATGACACAGAAATAAACAACTTACCACCTTGAGGATTAGTCAGTTCCAATGTAAAATTCTTGGCAAGCTCAGGTATGGCATCATCATTGATACGTAACTGGAATTTGCTGAACAGCTGACCACCAGCAAACTCCAGCCGTGATGCAGTCGGCGTGTAGTCTGGGGAAGCTCCGTCACCAACAGCTGTTCCCGGACTCGTTGAGTATTCCACTGAAGCATTGCCAACCGTTCCCTGGGCACGTACGACATAGATGTCCACCAGACCTGCACTCTCGCGCAGCTCAAGGCTGGGTGCAGCCGACGACGCTGGAATGAAAGTACCAGAAGTGGATGGGATCCCTGCTGAGAATTCAAATATACCGTACGGATCATCGTTGGCTGAGATGGTGACTGAGGCGTCAATGTTGGCACTGTCCAGGCTAGCCCCGCTTGTGCTAGTTCGGCTTGCTGGTTCATTCAGGACTTCAGTGTTGGTCAGGAAGAAATCAAACTGTTCGTCCAACTCAGGAATGATATCGTTGACAGCATTGATCAATACGGTCTGCATAGGAAATCAGGCACAGAATCGCAAATAGCATTAGAACTCCATGCACCATTAGCACTTCCACCGGTTGAGGGAAATAAAAGGGGAATTGTGCAAAGAAAATTCACTGACGCGACCGGGAATCAAAACTGGAGAATTTCGCTTTTAGTCGACGGTACGTTGCCACAAGGCTATGATGTTGTCCTCGATAAATTCATGCCACACAGGGAACATGAAGAATCCAAGACATATCTTAGGTAGAACACTGTACCTAATGAGTACAGACAAAGAAAGGATTCCTATGGTTGAAGGCATCCTTTAGTTTTCTCTTGTGTGCCTTGCAACAGTATGAGTACTACCGTCCTATTGGATGTGTGTGTGTATTGAGTAATTAGCTTCTAACACAACATGTACATAACAGCGTTAGACATTTAAACCTGTAGTTTGGTGACCAGGCCGGGGGGGGGGGGGTGCATGGAAAATCAGCCTCTATAGGTTGGTTGTCTTTCAACACAGGTGCAGCCAGGTATGGTCGGGGCCTGGAATGGCCAGTCTCTAAAGACAGCTGGTATTTCACCGCAGTAGTTGCTCTCACACGGGTTTTACCATACATCACAGACTATTCACTGACCATGTTCGTGTCTCCTGGGGAGAATGTAACAGAGCCACTGGCCGGCTGGAAGTCTGCGGCCGCTGGTGCACTGGAACCGGGTAGAGAGACTCTCCAGGACACGCGCACTGAACCGGTCAAACCCAGCGTGCGCACAACCACCACTGACGTGCTGCTGCCTTCGCTCAGGGTGCGTGTCTTGGACGACGACGAAAGTGCGAACAACCCATTGGCATTGTCGCTCTTGTAGACTGGAAGGAGAAACACAGGGGCAGAGGTAAATAAGTCCGGGTGCATTTGAATGCAATTTGAAAGATGAATACACTATGGCCTAAGGACTCGACAACACAGAGCTGTCGCCAAACAAACTACCAAAACAATTCAGAAGACTAACAGTACCTGTGACGGTGGCCATTGTTTTAGTTGCATCAACGTCAAATGTTGCTCCTCCACTGACATACAGCAGTCTGGCTGTGAAAGTTTCTTCTGGCTCCGAGATGGTATCATCAACAGTTGAAACAGAGAAAGACGCTAAGTCGGTTGCATTGTTGAATTGCACGTAGCCGGAAGTTGGCTGGAAGTCTGAACTTGCAGCATTCATGGCCAATGATTGGAGGGCACTGCAGCAGTCAACAAAATGAAATCAGCCATGGTTAGCTCCAATATCCTACGTAGTATCAGCTCAATAATACAATGATGAGAGTCAGGAGGCGAGAATAGAAGAAGAACAGACAAAACAGGCCCCAAACAAACCTGGGCAACAAAATAACACCCAGAAACTCCACTGCTTTCCATCCATGTGACATATTACCACTGCTTAGAAACTGAACACAGTTCGTATGCAGAGGAAACCATCATGAACAGCCATCACTTACCCCACATCTAGAATGCCCTGGTAGACACGCAAATCCTGGAGGACGCCATCAATGGCATTCCCTCCGAGGCCGTTTTGAGCTCCCACGTACAACACACCAGCAACATCAGCAACACTGGCAGAGAGCGGACTGCAGAGCAGGCACAAACCCAAACACAGAGATGCCGAGGTAGTGTACGGCTCAAACAAGGCACTTCAAACAATATCAGAATATCAGAATAACATAAAAAACATTGCCCGCTGAAATCAGTGGAATTCAGCGTATGTACTTCTGCCTTCACTGCCAGTGCGTAAGATTCATTCCAGAGCTTTTCCTAAGACCAGTGAGTAAAGCTACACGCAACCTGCAGTACTACAGTACATGCATTCGGAAATGATCAAAAAGAAGATCTTCTCCAGAATGGAGACAGCACAGAACTACATTATACGCTATTGTGATAAGCTATTGGAAGAGCGAGTTCTCAGTATACCTCGGGCTTTGGCCAACCCTGGCAGCATTGACAAAGAAGGAAACGCCACCACCACCGACCGAGATGGCAATCTGATGCCAGGCACCGTTGTTGAGCAGGGTGCTGGACGTTGGTGATGTGACAGATTGTGACGTCTACAAGGAACAGCAGGAGATATCATACAGACCAGGCACACAATGTTGCAGTGTGTGCAAAATGAGTACAAACCTGGTGGACAAATTAGTGTTGCACTGTTTGTTGTTTTAGATCTGCAAAGCACCAAACACACTCTTGGAAGTACGCACTTCGTCCAGAAAGTGTGTAATGGATGACAACACAGTGATATTATGCATGAGTCCTACTAGCAACATTGGAACGTGCTTCCATTGATAAGCTCTAGCAGCAGAGATACAGAATCGTATGCACAAAACGAACCACTGCAGTAAAAGAAACCAGGTGCTTTCTGGGCAATATTTCTCAACGATCTAAGTGTACAAACCATCAGCTACTTCTGAAGGAGGATAGCAACTAGGTAATCATGCTCTTTAGCTATCAGTACAGGTTAAACTTACCGACGCACTGCTAGGCAAATAGACAAATGTCAGATCCTGCGCAGTAACGCTCAGGCCATACACAACTTGACCGGCGTTATTCAACTTTGCAAAGACGTAGCCGGGTGTGCGCAGCTTCAACCAACACCTGCAGGTTTGTATAATAAGAGCAATGACAACCTACTTCAGCCAGCACATCAGCTGATGACTACGATGGCAGGTTAATGAGGACCGCAGAAACAAAGAACCACAACAAATACGCAACCGCAAACACATAAAAACACACACACACATGCGCGCACGCACGCACACACACACACACACACACACGCACACACACACACACACAAACATGCACACACACACACACACACACACATGCACAAACACACAAAAACACACGCAAACACAAACACACACACACACGCACACGCACACACGCACACGCACACGCTAACACACACACACACACACAAACACACATCTGGTCTCGCACACTGTGGACAGAAGGGAACGGATTATTCGTTGTACCTCAAGTTTAGGGTTCACGGCTTGCCACTAAAAGCACCCGTCACGTGCGCCTCCATTTTGGATTATGGACGCGCGCTACAGGCCGCGACAGCGACTATCGAAGTAAAAAAATATCGACTCGAAGTCTAGCCGGAGAGCGTACTTTTTGAATTTTTCCTTGGCTTCAGTGGCTTCACTTCACTCGGGCTTTGCATTTTTCTGACTGACCTGGACTTGATGATGGCGGCGGTGGCGGTCTTGGCGAAAGATCCAGTTCCATCTGAGACACTCTGTCGTCTTTTCTTATCTGCTGAGGTTCTGGCAAAGCGCAGCTGCATCGAACCTGACTAGATGTAGCTGCACGCATCCTTTGTTTGCCCTGCAAATCTCGATCTGTTGCTCTTCTTGCTGTTTGGCCGCTGATGCCATGGAAGAAAATATTCTTCCTGTAAAGAGGCCGAAACTGAGCTAGGGCACGTCAAGATATGTAGGGTATACAAAGAAAAAGAAATGTCATGGTCGTTTCAGCAGCTCACGACAGCCAACACGCTCCATCGTCGGGATTGGAAGCATCCAGCACGGCTGTTCCGAGCGCTGCTGCTCTTGTTATTCTTCTTCTTCAGAAATTCTCCACACCTTGTCGGCCAAAGTACGCGCGCGCGTGCACGGAAAATAGATGCGCTGAGCCGTTTCTTGTTCGATTTTGACAAATAATGGCTTGTTGTTTTGCTCTCGACCTTGGCTATCCTTCTACCGTTCAGTATTTTACGGAAACGCAACGGCTCCCCCTGTTTTTTTAGCCGAACTTTGGCCAAAGTTACTGGAAAACCCGGAACTCTTTTGAAAAAATACGAACGGTGGAAGTCTTGGAACGTCTTTCGTGCGTGTGGATTCAAAAATTCAGGCAGTTTGAGCCAACCGTTATGAATCCCGTAGAGTTGAAAGTGAGTGATATTGATGGGAAAATGCGATTTGAGCACTGACCGATTGTGTGGGACAGTATATGCACGCGCCTGTCACGTGCATGATGTAGCTGGCGACGCTAGCATGCCAATCCGTGAACCCTAAAGTTTCAAGCCAGAGGGCGATCATCAGACAACGAAATATCTTTTTAAATATTAATTCTTAATTCATCTTACACAATGCTGAAGCCAGTGTTGATAGTATCAGAGGAGAGCTGAAGTGCTTGTGCTACTTCAAGGAGTGAATCTAAGCGAACACAAACAGAGACCACATAAGAACATCATAGACAAGTTTGATCTTTTACATTGGACACAACTCGCAAGTGCAGTCAGCTTTGCAAAATAATAACCTCGAAGATGATGATAAGCGGCAAGTAACGTTAACAACGTTAAGTTGACGCACCAAACGCCCATTGAAACTATATACTTTCGATGTTGGATAGAACAACAGCTTGCGAACAACTACATGCTCCTTGTACTTGGCTGAATGCCATTTGATGACGGTCAATCGCCAATTCTGCCCTTGCACTGGTCATCACTTCACCAAGCATACTGCAAGTCGAGTATTCTCATCCATGTCACATTTCAGCCAGGGGCGAGGTGGGGTTGTGCAAAGCTACGAGTAAGCCTGCATTGCATATGTGCATAAAAAGCGAAACAAGCATGACGGAAGCTAAAACCTTTGTGCACGTTACCCCTTGTGTTTTGTTGTGTTACTCGACATCGCAGATGTTCGGACTAAGTAAGTTCGAGTCATCGTCAATGGCAGGACATGAAAGATTTCAGTTCCGTTTCTAGAGTCTTGGATCTGATTTTCTACGTGCTGTTTTGTCATTGTCAAAGGATGTCTGCTCACAGACTCTGAAATGATAAGCACACATGCCGGTGGCGCAGAGGAAGTAATACTAGAATGTGCCAGGACTAACCTGCTCCGCTGCCAGGAAAATCCAGTGCCAGGCCACTGGTACCGGGCCTGGATGCAGCTGTAGTCACGGCACTTCGAGCGGTGCCAGCTAGCAAAAGGCCTACAAACGACTGCACTGTTGGTGTCCCAGAGGGTACAAGCTCCCATGCCACCTGCAGCCAACACAGAAGACAAAGACACAGAACAACATTTAAACCACATTGCACTGCCCAGATTCCAATTAACTAACTAGTCTAACTTGCAAGAAACCAATTTAGCAGCAAGCCTTTGCTAGAAGTGATGTGTCAGTAGAAATACCACCTACTGCAATCATAAATAAATACACACCCACTCTATTATCAATGGTTTATATGTGCTGGACCATACACACAGATGACACAGAAGATAAGCACGGTGGAATTGCTTACTCGAACTGTGCCAAACAATCCTCGCTGGCGCTGTACAGAAATGGTCACTGACCCAGTTGACGACAAGTTGTTTGGTCGGTCTTCATCCACAAACAACTGGGAATGGCAATAACAAGTAGCCAGGATGACAGGCATGTATGCACCGCACCATCCACACCATCCACAGTGACACGCACACACACACACACATGTGCACACACACACACATGTGCACACACACACACACATGTGCACACACATGTGCACACACACACACACACACACACACACACACACACACACACACACACACACACACACACACATGTGCACACACACACACACACACACACACATGTGCACACACACACACACACACACACACACCGTGATACAGACATGGACACACAGACAGGCACATCCAGACAGACAGACAGACAGACAGACAGACAGACAGACAGACAGACAGACACACAGACAGATAGACAGACACACACAGACAGACAGACACAGACAGACAGACAGACAGACAGACAGACAGACAGACAGACAGACAGACAGACAGACAGACAGACAGACACACACACACACACACACAAGTTAGCGCAGCACAATGACCCCAGCAAAATCTGCTGAGCATGAACATACAGATGTAGTTGATCTACTTGTAAGTTGAATGACGGCAAGGACAGCAAGGCGACACAACAAAACAACAAAACAACATAATATGTTGAACTGAATGTGGTACATAGAAAAAACTGAGTGAAGTGGAAGTCAAACACGAGGAATGATGCAAACTGACAGAATGCCACACTTGAACCACATGGACTACTCCAGCAAGATTTTAAATTTGTCTTACCGCCGCTGAAGAAGATGGGATGCTGATAACACCGTTTGTGTCATCATTTTCAGGGACAGTTAGATTAGCCATAAGTCCAGTTGATGCCAGCCTTGCACCACCACTCAACACCGCAACGAGGCTGACAGTGAAAGCCTCCTGAAGCTCAGGGACGTTGTCAGCCACCACAGTCAGGTTGAGGCGAGCCGTGTCGCTGCCTTGCAGAAACTGGACCGTGCCAGAGGTGGCCGGTCCCAGGACATCTCCAGTCGGTGGGTTGACAACCCAGCTTACCACAACCGCATTGAACGTTCCACCCAGCCTCTCCAGCCTGGACAAAATAGGACAAAATACGTAAATATTTCTCAGTTTTCCAGCATAAAGCCACAACGAATATCCAAACCAATAATGGAGAGGAGAGAGTTGCAGCTAGCCATGACTTGAGAAAAGGACAGAAAGACAGTCAGTTTGCAAAGAAGAACAAACATCAATAGGGAGTGAGGTCAAGGAGGAAAAGGACTTTCCCCAGGAAACCAAGCAGATAGTCTCAAGCTCCTGCCGCACAATTCAATGACTAATTACCAAAAAGGCACCAGTAGAAATACCTGGACATCCATGCACACATGCACAAGTATGCATGCAAAGGCCTTACATGAATGAAGCAACGTCGCCCTCAGGCACAACCTTGCTGCGTGATGTGGGTGCAAATTGGATTACTCCGTTAGTGTCATCATTGGCAGGGATTATCACAGTGATTACTGTTTGGCCACTAAGAACCGCGTCTCCTTCAAACCGGTAAGCACACAAACACAAAATGAAGAAAAAAAACGTTGGTTCCCTTAACTTTCTATGAGTAAAACTCAGGGCTTAACGGCATTTTCGTGAGCGAAACAAATGCGTCCACTGGCAAGTTACTTGAAGTTCCCAGCTAGAGACAATACGGTTTCAGGATACATGACTTGTATTACCAAAAGTAAAATAATCCACTTTCGAGAACTTACCGGACACGGAGAGTAAAATGACAGTAAACATTTCCTCTCTCTCTGGGATTGGATCATTGGTGATCTGAACAACAATAGGTATCGTCTGAACACCGTCAGCAAATGTCACCTGCCCGTCGGACACGCCTGGGAAGTCCTGACCTGCAAATGCAGTACCGTTGATAGTGGCGTACCTGCGACATACAAGTATGCACACACACACACACACACACACACACACACACACACGTACACAAACGTACACACAAGTACACACAGACAGGAATACACACGCACGCACATGCCCAAAAACACGTTTATACACACACCCACCCACACACACATGCACACACACATGAACACAAACACGCACACACAGACACAGACAGACAGACACAGACAGACAGACAGACAGACAGACAAGCAGACAGACAGACAGACAGGCAGACAGGCAGACAGGCAGACAGACAGACAGACAGACACACACACACACACACACACACACACACAGAAAAGCACTTTGGATTGTGATACCATACCACTCGCCACGAAACAGTGAGCTGTGGACTGCAGTTTTAGTGCAAAATGGATTGCAAAATAGCTTCTCAACAGGTGAGGGTATCGACCTGTCGCCTATACACAAAATATGGCATTTTGGCTTTGCCCGAGTAGTACATAAAATATGATTCATTGTCGTTAGTAGTTCAATGCCATGTACACAATCATGTCTATTCTATTTCTTCTTGCGTGTACAACGTAAGCAGAAAGGAACGGAAAAGCATGAAATGAGAAATTGAAACTTGGCAGGAGAGGTTTGCAAAGGCTCTACCTCACAACTGCGATGCCATTAGCTTGATTTCCACGGCGAACGAAGAGCGTTACATTGGATGCATCCTCATTGACAGAAACAATATCTGGAGGCAGGAAGAAAACATCGTCATCGTTGGCTCGAACAAGGAGGCTTGCGCTTAGGTCTGCAGGATCACTGCTCAGGCGAGCGCCACCTGAAGTTGAAGTCAGTGATATGGTGAACGTCTCCGAGATCTCTGTCAACTGCAAATAAACACATCAACCAGGCCAAGCAAAATACAATTTCATGTACATGACGTTACGCATCCATCCACGTGCAGATATTTAGGGCAAGGCCGCAGTCACAGTGTTGAACTGGTGGTGTGCGCTCAACAGTAGAATCAGAGTATGCCACGGTGCGGGAGATTCATGAGCAGATACAAGCAAGCAAGCAACCAAGCAACCAGGACACTAGCTTTAATGCACAAGGACAACACGCAACGAACAACAGGCTCATGAGCTCGGTCTGTACCTCGTCCTGCTTAGAAGAGATGGTAAAAGATGCCGTTGCCTGCTGGTCAGCGAAGGTGACAGTACCGGAGGAGGGCTCCAGGTCATCACCGAATTGCAATCCATCCGTTACATTCCAAACTGCTGACACCACTCCAAAGAGACCGCCCGTACGCGTAACGGTAAAGTTGCGCGAGTAGGTCGTCGTTGCCGTTGACTCCGCTGCAGGCACAGCAAATAGGCAGTCCACCAACATGTTGGCAGTCTGAACACTGCAATTTATTGTCAATCGTGTATTGTATTCACAGTAATGCACACAGTTCACTTAGCAAAAAAGATGCACTTGTAAGCAAAGAAATCTACTAAGAGAATACTAAATCCCCCATCCCCCGCACACACACACGCACACAAGAATATCAATAAGCAGTATACTGGATTCATGCAATAAAGAAGGCCTAGCTTTTCAGAAACAACAAACACTTACAAACAATCTGAGTTTTAGGCGAGAGCGCAAGCACGCCATTGGCATCATCGTTCTTCGGAACAACAAGCGTGACTGCCGAGGGTGAGATGAGAGTTGCTGCAAACCCCGAAGGAAGGCCAGCTGTTGACAGCTGCACATTGAACGTCTCCTCCAACTGCATCAGACACATGTAGAACAAAACTGACTCAGTGAGGGAGGGACGTTAGGGACAGCAAAGGAACACTGCAGGAGACATCTTCTGGTGCACGTCAAGTCCCATTCGTGTTCATCCACATTGTGAACATTGCTAGTACACTGTGGGCCAAACAAGGTACTTCAAAGTAGCAAAACACAAAAGTTTGAACACGCGTTCAGACCGTTCTGCACGACCAGCGGATAAGTACAATGTTTCAACCCGGTGCTACTCAAACACTAACCTAAATTGCTACAGCTATCAACCTACGTACCTCGGGAGTGGCATCATCTGAAACGAGCAGCGAAACGACCTTCGTGTCTGTGCCAGCGGCGAAAATGACTCTCTTGAGTGTTGGGACCACATCACCGGTGCCAGTAGCTGTGTTGAGTCAAGAAAAACATGTCACATTCATCGATATAAGTATATATTATAACAAGGAACCGAGTGTATATAGAGATATATACACCAGTATGAAAACCGAGGCGAAGCCGAGGTTTTTATAACTGGTGTATATATCTCGATATACACGAGGTCCCTTTGTTATAATATAGTTATACCTCTCCATATTCACCGTGTGTGACCACCTAATGGCTTGTTCCTCGCCGACAACTACTGCTAATTTCCCTTAGTGGTGTATATGGAGATATATACACCACTAAGGGAGAGCATGCCTAAGACTGTAAGTGTATATGGAGTGAGGTATAATGTGCGATACACATTCAACGTAATGAAAATGATCCCGCATCTGATTTGCACTGCACAGGTATGCAGCTCAGTCTCTGCCATTTGGTCTGAAATATATCCCTAATAAATGTTAAAATGATGCTTTGGAGTACCAGTAAACCTTTCCAGCAACATTTCAGAGGAACACCTCAGACTCTCTGTACATTTTCTTCTCGGGGGGGGGCTTGGTTTTTAAATTATTATAGAATGTGTTCTGCACACGTGGAAAAACACGTTGGCACATCTAGCTTCACAGTACAATAGTGGAGCAAGGCTAGCTTGTTCCCACTCTCAATCTCATGCTCAGTGCAATCGTAAGGCACCATTACAATATGATTGTATAACTTCAAGTAGTTTCAAATTTTACTCCATTTCGTGGCGCTATCAGATGTTCACTAGCAAGCCCGTATTCGGACATACACTGATACAGTACAGTGAGACAACGACGTCTTCAAAGACTGACAAGCGTCCCATCCCCGAAGACCAGCGTGATAATCATGATATTGATAATCGAACAGGGCAACAACGTGGCATCATCGATACGAAACAAGTACTTTACCTTGCAAATTCGAGACAATGACGTCCACAATCCTGGCATCCAGAGTTCCGCCAGTTCGCTTCAGAATAATGTTCGTTGATGAGCCCTCCTGGAAACGACGACAGCATAATCAATGCTCCAGAAACATCGAAAAGTTTGCGCTTTCTCGAAAGGGAAACGGCTAACCTCAAGCCTGCGTTTCTCAGACTTTCTGAGCAAGCAATGCAAGTCTTCCTTCTGAAGTTCTGTGCTTGCCTGGGTGTAGCTAGCTGTCGCCCTTTCATTTTTTTGAAAATTTCAGCCACGTGTAGCCTCGCGAGCTCGATACGCATTAGTAATGAAGTGCGTCATAGTCCAAACTACATGTACCCAAACGCCCAAACAGGCCAAAGCCGCAAAGGTCAATCATTGAGTCCCGAACTCCCGATCGATCCCGAGGTAGATCTACTGACGACTACTGCGCAGCCACTGCTCAATAGTACATCATTACGAGCACACCAATATGCATAGTACTTGAAAGCATCACACTTCATTCTGCTACATACAAAAATGTAGCAACATGACTGTCACAAACTACAATGCATCTTTTGTGCTTAGCCTTCGAAACAATACGAAGGATGTTGCGACATCGGCGGTGATTAATGAAACAAGCTGCAAAAACTATGCATGACCCGGCATCGGATGGACGGACGGGGCGGGGCCAGTTGGAGATGGCCCAGACCCACAGAAAAGTATACAGAAAGCTGTACACCTTGGTTCACATATCGCCGGTACGCGTCGGGAGTCACCGGTGGTCAGCCTCTTGCAATCACTCCCGGCGCATTGCGATTATGTGAACCAGTGCAGTCGTAACAGAATCATACGGTAAATGATTGCAAGGGACCGCCGGCAAAGTTGGGCAGTGCCCAACTCTTGCGATCTACCCCTGCGCCGATCCCGTACAATTTTGACCAAAAGTGGTTTGTGAACCGTTCGCGCCGGTGCCGGGGGCCAGACTTTGTCAAGATTTCAATCCAAGACTCATCCTAAATTTTCCTAAATTGAAGCTAAAGATGAGGTCCGTTCGCCATTCTTATACTGAGTCGCTTCAAGGTGGAAAATTAAGTCAGCATACCAACCCGTCCTTCTTGGATGATCTGCTTGACTGTTGTGCAACTTATGAGACAAATACAATTGAAACAAATAAAAAATACGAAGGATACATAGGCAAGTTCCTTGCTCTAAAATGGCCCACACAGCAATATGGCAGCTGCCCCGGCCACATCCTTGCAGGGTTTCTTGAGGAATGATTTCGTCTAGATTTTCGCCAAACATATTGTAATAGGCACTGATTCCCATGCTCAAAACATGCACGGGGGCGGGGGCATGTGCAGCACCGCCACGGCCGATTTGAAAATTGGCCATAGGCAAGAACAACACTCAAGAATCAGCAATCATGATTGTGACCTGCCTTAAGGTGACATATTCTTTAAAGTGTTCTGATCGCGGCGGCTCCACCCTCCCCCACCCCTTCCCCGGTCCCAGGCCCCCTGCCCGTCCTGGCTGTGTTTAGGGTATGAACATGCATGTCCCATGGATCAACATACCGGTACTGAATTCAAGTTGAGTTACTTTACTACGACTACCGCTGCTGCCATGCACATGTACATGAAATTTTATCGGCATCTCTCTCTCTCTCTCCCCCCCCCCCCCCCCCCCTCCCCCAGGCTCTCTCTCCCTTTCATGCGGTGTTAGGACTCTAACACGCTGCAAACTGTGAACTGGGCAAATGAATACAAACTACAGTGTTGGCAACTGAAATCCGACCCCTGTTCACTTTCTAGCGGCCTCTATTTCGTAGTGTTAGAATCCCATGTCGGGTCTTTGCGATGTGAGCGCACCGCTCAGGGGTCGGATTTCAGTTGCCAGCACGGTACTCCATCACGGTGTGCTGTGTGCTGTAGCGTGACTCACCGTAGCAGTAACAGAAACTGGTCCAGTTGGATCGAATGACACAAATCCTCCAGGGTTGTCATTGTTTAGGATGATGACCGTGGCACTACTCTGCAAATTGGTGGCAGAAAGGAGTCACGCACGTATGGTCTATATTCCAGTGTACAAGGACTAGGATTATACGATATCAAACATAATGACAACGTCCATGCAAGGTGTACACTACTGCCTCGAAGCCATGGGGTGTGTCAAGTTAAACAGAGATGTAGTGCCAATTCCAACCCACTTCTCTAGCATGTGACTTCACTTGCTAGTTGATCTACTCTATCTCATATAGTTCAAGTTCACATCTACATGTATGGTGGACATCATACAGCAAAACTTCATGTCTGTGTTGTATCTCGGTATGGCCCCACACAAAGCATGGCCCAATTTGTCGTTGGCATTGAGGAACTCACCAGTGACCTGATTGTGCAAGCTCACAAAGAAAGTACATGTAAGGGAAATTGGCAATGCACAGGCTTTCCCAGTAGGCACAGATAGTCTAGACCTCCCCCGAGTCCCCGGCTTCTCTAAGTTTTGTGTAACCTCAGTAACCTGGCTATGGCTTGCGATGGATGGACCTGTTTTTTAGCTCCGGCTTACCGCAAGTGGATTTATGCGTTGGCTAGATGGCTGGATGGTGGTCAGGTTCACGAGAAACTGTTCGTCCAGCTCAGGCATGGCATCTGAAGTGATGGTGATCCTCAGAGTGGCAGTGTCCTTGCCTACACAACACAGAATGGCAGGTGCGATGATTACAGGAATGAACAGACAATTCAGGATAACCCTGTGCGGTGCACAGTAAACACACTCTTACTTGCCAGTGCAAAGGCACAATTACGTGAGGTTCTAGCCTTCCACCATGCTGACATTCCTGAGGCACCAATGCACTAGCCCAGACAGGGATCTGGGAGACAGGCGCGGCGGTCTCCTATTGCAGGGGTGACGTTGCACAGGCGTTTACTACACTAAAATATTGCAATGTCATAATTTGAATATAGTTGTCATGGTTACCATGCACAACAGACCTGCAGAGATCCACCATGCACCAGTTGACCATCTTACCATCATCCATCTGGACCGTTCCGGAAGTGGCGGCAACGTCTCCAGCCGTGAAAGATGAGCTCACCCCAATTATGGACCAGCTAATGATTGCCTGACCAGACGACCCTTGACGAGTTAGCTGTAAATTGACATCCTGAGCACTTGATGATTCATTCACGCGAACCTGTGCAAACCAAAAAGTGTCCAATTAGTGTGAATATGTTACCCATTTCGAGTGTAATTCAAGTTTTCCAAACATGTTCTCGAAAGCCAATACATGAATACATGTATATCTGTAGACTGATAATAGCAAGGCCTCCTATACCGAATTGAACGAAGACAGATACTGCACTGTGGCCAAACACATACATCCACCATCAAAGTTGTTTGCATTACGCTCTTCTCACAAAAAATTAGCGAACGTTCATATATCACGATCATTAGGCACTTGCAGTACCTTTCGGTTACATGATGTGCTGATACGTTGTAGTCCTGCGGATACCCATCATGTGTGTGTGTGTGCACTATGCACAGTACAATGCTTGCCCAACTGCGCCAGAAAATCGCTTCGCTATTCATGCTCTTTGCCGCTAGTTTTGTTTTGTGTAAGCAGCACATTTTGGGAAATACCAAACATAATCGACAGTCGATGTACACAAAGCTGCACACCTTCCATGCGCAAAACACTCTTGATTAGCCTGTCTATGATAATAAGCTATTGGTGAACACCATCTAAGCGAGTCTATGCGCACTCCAATGCTTACATTCTGAGAAGAGGACGCAAAGCCAATCGGACCATTGGCCAATGATGAATTGATCGTCAGGAAGACTCTGCTACGAGATCCAATGGTGGGTGAATATAGAGCCAGAGAGCTTGTCGGTGTGGTTGATGTGAGCTGCACTGCACTAAGAGTGGCTACTACTTGGCCGCCCACTTCCAGGACTGAGCCTGAAGCAATGCCTAGTGAAGCTGAGAATGACATTGCGCCGGGAGAAAATGTTGCAGCTGCAGGTTGACTGGGATTGAAGATTGATGTTCCATCAGTGACTGGCCGTCCAGGTGGCACATACACTACACTGTAGGTCACAGACAGTGAGCCAATCAAGCCTCCACTTCTGGTAAGCTGTAAGTTCACTTGTCGCGGTACCTGAACGCACGCCAGAATTACATACAAGCAGTTGTTGTAGGGAATGTCAACAGCAGACCACACCGAGGTACATGAATACACTGGCTTTGAGAAAGACAAACACATTAGTTCTATGGGGATTTCGTATGGTATGGTCATCAAAACTCCTCGCAACAGCAGAAGTAGTCACTGCTGCATGGCATCATGACAATCTAGTCCACTGTAGACCTATCATAATATGCTTACCGATGAAATGGACTGAGAACTATCAGGCGCAAAGCTGACAACTCCATACGCATCGTCACTATCACTGACAGTGATAAGGGCTGTCTCCGAGCTACTGGCCAGTCGTCCTCCACCGGTCACATTCACCAATCGCAGGGTGTAGCGCATGGCCTCTTCAGGAACTGCGTCAGCAAGCAGTGTCACGTCTATGCTGCCACTTGTCACACTAGGTCCCAGTGTGACTGCGCCTGCTGTGGCCACAAACTGAGACGTGAGCGGTGACCCATCTGAGTTCTCAAGCTGCATCATAGAAATGAACAAACGAAAGACCATGAGCACCATACACATGCACATGCACATACACATGCACATGTACATCATGTCAAGCCAGCAAACAAGCAGAAACCCAATCATATGGATACCACTGATAAACTCACTATCCAGGAGACGACGATGGCGCCAAACGCTCCGCGTGATCGCGTAATTGGGAAAGAGGCCGTGCGAGAGATTGCATCTTCACTCAGCACTGTGCTAAGACCAACGAATTGGAAACCGACTACTCCATTCGGATCGTCATTAGCTGTTATTGTAACAGTGGCCATGCTGGGGTCTTCGACGACGCAGTTCAGGCTAGAGTTGAATATCTCTATTTGGAACGACTCGGACACCTCCGGATCACTGTCGTCTGTTATGGGAATTGAGATGCTAGTTGTTCCGGTGTTGGGAGCAAATGTAGCTGTTCCACTAGTGACCACAGGATAGTCTTGACCGCCTACAGCAGTTCCTGTACAATGTGAAGGGGACAAATCATCGGATGGAACTCTTTGCAAAATCTTGACATTTAATTATGAACACTGAAAAGCACAGAGAATGAGAGGCAGGTCATGACTATGCTACTCAATATGTTGTGAATATTATCAAAACTGCAGACAAAAAGCATAATAATTGCATATGGTCACAGTTTTCGTGCTGGTTCCTCGCCCATTCTAAACGATGGCAGCGCAGTTAGATGGGCAGTGGCTCCTGTAGGATGTCCAACAGTGAGCCAACAGGGAGCATTTCTGATAGTTGCTTTTGCTTTCCAACATTGTGGGGTTATCCGGTTTATAAAACACTTGTAAACTCAAAAGCTAGAAAAAAATGGAAATGTTGACTTACCTGAAATTGTCCTGTATTTGACAGTTGCAGCTGCAGATATGTCTCCAAAACTGACGCCTGATGGATCTTTCCCTCTCACTAGGCTCAGACTTGCACTCGTTCCTTCGTCAGCAGTTACGGAAGTTGTTGAAAAGTAAATGGGAGCATCATTCCGGGGTACGGTCACAGTGACAGACACTACTGTGCCAAGAATTGCACCTCCAGTCGGGGACGTGAGGGTTATTGTGAACGTTTGATCCTGCTCTGGTATCTGTTGCAGACAGCACAGGTTGCGGCATGTGCATTCGTGTAAAGAACTTGAGAAAGAATAGTGTGCCTATTTTTAAAGTGTCTGCGGAGGACTCGCAGAGGCCCTGCATCATTTTTAACACACAAAATGCACAGACCTTCTGACATGACATGACGTGCACTAGTACATGTAAGTGTATAGTAAACACAGCTAGCTCAATGGCATTGGTGTTGAGATGATCAGCAACAGTGGTGTTGAGATGGTGTTGAGATGCTCAGCAACAGTGGTGTTGAAATTGTGTTGAGTTGCTCAGCAGCAGCGGTGTTGTGGAAATCCGAGTACGATTGTTATCAGTACTGCAATCACTTGTGCTACGAGGTATATATGTACTTGCAGAGGGGTACTCCAAGTCACATGGCTATGGTTATTCTCTCTATAGCCTGTAAGTTGTCTTTATTATGAGAATAAAATCACAACCAAAGTTCTGGAGTAGACGGTTGAGCCAACACTACAACTCACATTATCCGCGAGAACGTTGATTGTCACGCTGTCCATTGTTGCGTTGGGAGCAAACGACAGTGTGTCTGAAGTGGGTGATATACTGGTCAGTGGGCTTGTTGAAGTCACCTGCCGATACCATATGCACACATAAACTCTCATACATGTGTACAATCATGTACCTTCCTATGCTGCAGGCTAACTAGATGGCTAATGTGAATGGGTGCACTATGCTAATGTGAATGGGTGCACTATGCTAATGTGAATGGGTGCAGTGCGGTATCAGAAGCGCTACAACATGGGATGCAAACAAGCCAGATGACTCGCCACACTGCACCAACTAAAATGGTGCAAGCTCACCCCCAGTAGCCATGGCTACCGTGACACTGTGCCAATGGCATGATGTGTGAGCACACCCACGCCATCAAATTCTGCGGTGTATTACGAAAACATCGACTAGCGGACCTGCACAGGAGTCCCATATGGACTGCTACTTTGCTAGCGTACCGTCCCAAACTGGAATTTTAAGGTACAAACCACCTCATATGGGAAAAACGCCCAACGCAGCATGCGTACAAACTCAGCTTAAAAAATCAGCTCGAACCATCAAAGTCGTTTAGAGTCCTAAACCTGCCTGAAATATGAACTCATTCTTGTGAATAAAAGTCTACTTTCAAGTGTGAGGAGAATTGTAAAGCAAAGACAAGCCTAATGGAGTTGAGAAAATCCCCAAAGATCAAAGGATACTGCCATACCATAATAGGCAAAACTAGACATCCATGTTACTGAAATAGAGGCACCATAGACTCGTGAGGAATGGTAATTTCAGCAGCGACTGAATCAACAGTAACACCTTTAATAGCTATCTATTAGGGGAATTCCCGCACTCGGATATGCTATGAATGCAGTGGCTGAGATCTTACCGTCCACGTAGCTCCTACAGTGTTGAATAGTCCTTTTGTGCGTACCACGTTGAATGTAACTGGCGTGCCTCCTGATGCTGGCTCAGGAACAATTGCCGTAGTTGGCTGGGGAGAGAAGAAAATAAATACACCCTAGGGCCTTGCTGGATTGATTGCACAGTGTGCTGAGTTCCAGTAATATTTTCAGCATGATTTTCAATTGCATTATCGAGATATGCACCAAAGTTTCCAAACTACGAAAGGAGGTGGGGGGGGGGGGGGGTGTTGTAGTATGACTGGTAACCATAGCGCCTCTGGCTGCTACTTGTTGGTATACAACTTGAGGAACATGCGTGTGGGGGGGGGGGGGGGGGCACCTGGCTCGCCTTGATGACACCAGAGTACCGAAGCAGTTACTGTTTGCCTGTCTCCCTCAGTCTCGGCAATTCTGTGAACCTCGTCGTCGCTGGAAGGATACCATCCACACGGACCTATCTGTGGTTGGAGTGCGTAACTGGTTCAAGTTGGCAAGCGACCGTGGAGAGTGGCGTGGAGTGGTGGCAGCAGCAGGTGAGGACAAGGAACCTGCCCCGAAGAACATTGAGTGCCCAACCTACAACCGTCTGTTCCGCCGTAGTTCTGATATGGCCAGGCACAAGTGTTCGACAATCCGTCAGCTCCCGGTATCGGAGCAGCCTGGGTCAGTTCAGTGTCTAACATGCAACCGATGGCTACGTAGCAAGGGAGGCTTTGCGGTGCATAAGTGTTGGCTAGGTGATGCCGACCAGCCGCTGGCCCCTGCTCCTCTTGTTGTTCCAGATGTAACTTGCACAACCTGTCAGCGTTCATTTAAATCGGCTGCGGGTCTCAAGCGTCATCGTTGTGGAACCTGTTCAAAATGCCCTACTGTGGCTGAACGCCAGCAATTCAAGTTTCACTGCCAAGTTTGTCACAACCGACGGTTCCAGAGGGGGCAAGATCTGGATCGCCACTTGGAGCATTGTCTTCCTCCCCTCCCCCCCCCCCCCCCAACCTCTCTGACACTACCTCCCATCTGGGAGTGGCATAGCCAATCTGGCAGCTGTCAATAGTAGTAGTAGTAGTAGTAGTAGTAGTAGTAGTAGTAGTAGTAGTAGTGTGTGTGCAGGCGCGTGCTCGGCGATGGGCACGGGGGGCACGTGCACCCCCCAAAAATTTTCAATCTGGGTAATTGCAATTGTAATGTATGCAAATATGCTCTAAAATTCAAGAAAGGTTGCAAACAAATTGCAGAAAATAGCCGGGGGGGGGGGGCTCCCCTCGGCTCCCGTGCACCCTCCTAGTTGGGGGGCCGAGCACGCCCCTGGTGTGTGTGTGTGTGTGTGTGTGTGTGTGTGTGTGTGTGTGTGTGTGTGTGTGTGTGTGTGTGTGTGTGTGTGTGTGTGTGTGTGTGTGTGTGTGTGTGTGTGTGTGTGTTGAGACTGGGAGGGCAGGGAGGGAGGGAAGGGTGGGGAGGGGGAGGGGGGGTAATTGCATACAATGGAGAGTGGAGTATTGTGCAGCCCCTTGTATGGGTTTAGTATCACAGGACATGATATCCATTGTTAGAGGGGAACTCACACTGACAAAATCCAGCACTCCATAAGGATCGTCATTTGCAAGAATTGTGACGTAGGCCGTAGCTGGTGATCCAATCATAAAGCCACTCGACACACTTGTGATAGAGACAGCTATCGTTTGGTCGGGTTCAGGAATAGCATCGTCCATGAGGCCCAGGCTCATCGTGAGTGTCGATGAACCAAATGCAAAGTTGTCGACGAATGATGTTGTGTGAAAGCCGCTCTGAGTGTTGTTCACAACCTGAACCAAGAAGCACCCGGGCCACACACAGAGTACAAATCAGACGGGTACAGTGGACTACTACATTAGTGAAAAAACTTCAACAACGCTCCTCCAAGTTGTTGCAGGGAATCCATCTCAATTCCATTCCAGTAGTTTGGTGAGATATGGACACAGTCAGTACATTACCCATAGTTCCCGATGGCCACGTACAGTTCAGCAGATGGAAAGTCAACAAGAAAACGGGGGATAACGTGACAAGGGAGTAGGGAGCTGGAGCAGCGCACTGGCGAGTTGGACACATCAATTAATTTTTAAATGCATGTGCCCATCCTCCATGCCATGCATTATTACATGTGATATGTGCACTCTAGAACTGGTTTCACATAATTTCACGCCAATATTTTGACATAATTATGTTATGCCAGAGCAAACTGACTCCTGTCACAGTGTCAGCCGCCGGGCTACACACAATACTCACTGTAAGAAAGACCGTGCAAGGCAGTATTTCCAGGGTACGTTCCAGCGTAACACTGGCAGCAGACAATGAGTTGACCTCTAACACACTGTAGGTGGTAGGGTTGAAGAAGACCTGTGGAGTGATGCCTTCTTGCGCCAGGCATGGCGCTAGAAAGGACAGACATGCCACCGTTGCCTGTAATAACAGCAAGCGCTGACTTGTTTGGACACCCAGTGTTGACCTCTTATGCCGGCTGGTCCCAGCCATTGTTGCACTGCGAAGAAGGGACAAGGGCAAGAGTAGGTAAAATATGAAACCTGTCTGGCTCTTGGACATACAAACACATTCATTGGTCAGGTGCACATTGCACATACGTGCGTTCCGATGAGACATGCACCGGCAGGTTGTCATTGGTTAGGTGTCAAATCACTGCAATCCAACCTATGCAGTGTGCCCTTTCGGCTAGAATCTCTATCACATTGCATGCATGTACTCGTCGAAACTGGCAACTGCACTTACTAAGCAGACGGACGGCACTGGTCGGTGCACGCCTATGCTGGGCCTGATCCTGGCACACTTCACAGTCAGAAATCAGAATTGGCGATGTGATGTAGACCAGCCAAGGCAATTGTCAGTTTGTCGTCTAGAATGCTTTGCAAGCAGCCTAATTCCAGGTTGCTACAGGGTTACATTAGACATAGAGAACAAGACTGGTCAGCTCTAGACACGCAGCCTTAGTCAAGAAAGTACAGTGCACAAGGAGCACCATGTCCCATTGGACTTGCATGGAGATGTTCAGTATGGGTTATCATGGTACTTTTTCTGGTATACATGCATTCACTGACCGCAGTATGTTTGTGTGCCCGAAATTGGTGTATCATATTTCCGGTATGTTAGCCGCACTGGGGTCTAAGCTGCCACCCCCTTTTCGGGCCTAAAATTTATATCTTTGGTTACATTGGGGGTGAAAGTCACATGTCAGGCCGTGACATTTTCTGGCCATCCGATTTTAACACTGCACTGCAAGGAATAGATCAAATCGGTTTATCAGATACTGGTACCTAACTTATGAACACATGACTGGTGTAGAAGCTTCAGGCTGGTGCGGCAATGATGGATCCCAGCACATAAAACAGTAGTTGGATGATGCCGTACATGCATAATACGAGCTTATGCATAGGGCATGGGTCGATTCGGAGTCTAAGCCGCAGGGGCTGTTTTTGAGTTTTCAGTATCGGTATGCGTCCTAAGAGCGGGTAATACTCCGGAAAGTATCAAAGTTCTACACATTGACGCGGCAGAGTACTGCAAAGCTGGTGGACTGCACACTAGTGGCCGCTGTTCTAAAGTACAAGAGCCTCATCATGACTGTAGTGGCATTGTAGTGACTCTGTTTGCTATGTATGGGCTGCCATTTAATAATAATCTACCGTAGAATCCCGCGGATAAGCCCACCCGCGTATAAGGCCACACGTTTTTATATCTATGTTTCTCGTCACCCGCGCGCATACGATTCAGGAGTCTGGAGGAAAAAAAGAAAAAATGTGCTGCACTGACTGTGCATGTGGGGACCAGCATACTCATGCACATGTACATAATGTGGCCTGGCCTGCGCGACACATGATGCGAGGTCACCAATTATTGTGCGCAATCTAGCTGCACATGCACAGATTGTGACAGAAGCTCCTACCACATACTAGTTGCTAACTATGGATGCTATTTTGCATGGTGTATTGGTGGATTTTAGTGTGAACAAAGGTCTGATAAACTTTTTTTATTTTTCGGTCATTTTTTATTTTTTTCCACCTCTCGCATATGTTTTTAGATTTTCAGGTGACGAGAAACATAGAAATAAAAACGTGTGGCCTAAGCCCATGCCCGCGCATAAGCCCAGGGTTTGTTCGAACATCACAAAGCTTCATCGTACAAGCCCATGGGCTTATGTCATACCGAGAGTCCATAAATTATGGACTCTTGGCCATACCGATACCATGTACGTAGTACATGCACATTATAGTTTTTTTTCGTGCATTTCAGCACAATCATCGGTTGTTTTTGTTTGCACAGTGGTTTTCAGCAATGTACTTCTCACTTCCTTGATACTTTTCAATAGCACAACTTGGTGTCGGCGTATAAGCCCATGTTCTCGTATAAGCCCACCGAAATGTCCTTGTGAAACAGATAAGCCCATGGGCTTATCCGCGGGATTCTACGGTATATTTAAAGGATCTCCTAGAGGCGATGGCCTGTCAAGGGGATCTCCTGATGCAAATCATGCAATAGAAATAAACAGTGAGGAAAACTATATGCTACATAATGAGCAATAAAACAGGGCCAGGTTATTCGAAATAAAACAATTAAATGTCCAGGGGCCCGCCCTGTCATTGTAACTGGGACCACCCTCATGTCAATCACTGTATATCCAAGGTCACATTGAAATGACTTGCATAAGCATATGCAGGATGCCTAACATTGAGTTACTTCAATGCAGTACTGTTTGCATCCCAGAATATGGTTTTGATTCTATTGAACTCTCCTGTTCAACCTCGACCCCCCCCCCCCCCCCCCCCTATCCTGCACCTTGTTCCTATCCAGATTCTAAGCCAGCCAATTCATCAGACCTGTCTTAGCTGAGAAATCTGGGAGGAGCAAAGTGTTGACCGTGAGAAGTGTCCGCAATGCTCTTTATCAGTTTTTGTCTGTTTATGTTTATGTAGGGGCCGATGGTAGTTGTGTCCTTCATATTATGTACAAGGACACCTCCCTCCACTTGAAGTCTAACAGAGCCAGTGCTTCAACAACAAGCTGGACCAGTAGTTGTGTCCTTCATATTATGTACAAGGACACCTCCCTCCAAGTCTAACAGAGCCAGTGCTTCAACAACAAGCTGGACCAGTACCATATTCACATATGTGCTTCGCCGATCGTGCCAATGGGAAACCCCACTGCCAATGGAAAGTGTATGAAACCCCATGCCACTGCCAATGGGAGTCCCAACAAACAATACACATAGCAGATATCATGCTAATCTGAATCATTCTCAGGTTGGCTACGCCTCAAAGAGGTGGTTGCAAGACTGAGCGTTGCTTCCCTCTTTCTCGCGTTCAACTGAGCCAGGAACGACGTGAGCTAGCGCATCCTACGAGAAGCACCCTTAGTTACAGATAATTATATCAATGTCATCCAGAAGGATTGTCCCTCCTTACCTGCGAAGGTTGTCGCTAGTTTACCGCAGTTCGTTTCGAATCGCAATAGCAGCACTCCAAGACGAGCTAGCCCAGGAAGTAAGTTCAGCACCTCTCTACTGCTAATCTGCTCCGCGACTAGCGTGTGTCCCGAGGGGTCAAAAACTCCGAATGCAGCTGTACCCTGCAATTTCTTGCCTTGTTCGAGGAACTTTCTCCTCTGCGGATTTCAAAAAAATACGAACGAGGCGGCTCTTTCTGCGCTGCCAGACTTGTCGACTCTTTCAAACTTTCGTAAGGACAGCGCTGCACGGTGTCCGTTACACGGCCAGTGCACAGCGAAGCGCCCAATTTCTGTCCTGACACACGCCCGTCAGTCGAGCACCTCCCTGCACGATAGCGGACAGGTGCCAAGCTAGTACTAGTACTAGTAATGTCGGTGATGCTGGATGCTAATACTAGTACTGCCCAATGCACTGGTCAGCCTCGTGCCTAGTCCGAAGTGGACGGCTTCATGCTCAGTAATATTCTCTCGCGTTGGGGTTTAGTTCCAGTTGTCTCATCTCCGCTATCTCAGACTTGGCTTCACCATGATCACAGCCATTGCAGACAGGCGACTTGACAGGCGCTGGGGCATGCACAAGGATTGGTACGTGCTCGCTCGTGTGCCTATCACTGTGGTCGGTGTGACATCAGGTGCGAAATACCTGTAATAGAGTACGCCATTGCCAGGCAAGCGCAATTGTCACCGTAGTGTAGACCGGCGTACTGCTGTAGCTGTTCAGTGTTGGCTCAAGCTGGAGCAAAAATAATGGTCTTTAGCGGAAGCCTCCCTGCATCATGCATGCCCAGTTTTAGTTGTAGAACATGACATCAGCCTACCGGTACTAGTACAGTAACTCATTTCGTGAACCCCTCATCTAAACTCTAGGATAGTATGAACGTCGACATCAGGATACAATGATTATGTAGATCTACAATCATGAAGGTGAACATCATAGCAAGTGTGACATCATGCTGATATCCTCTATTATCTATATATCGTGCGTGATGTCTCATGAAAGAAAGTCCGGGACTGAGAATGACTGAGTTCACGGAGTGAATGCGTAGCCACGCCCCCTACTGCACAGACCCTGACGATCAGACGCTCTGCCCGGCCCAGCCGCACGATTGGCAGATCGAGTACATGTACAGGAGCACTGCAACTAACTTACTTGACACAACAGGCACGCATGCACTACAAGCACTGGTAATGAATGATAGCTGGTAACTAGGCTAGCTACAGTAAAGAAGAATGCAGACCAGCCATGCATTATTATCCATATCCGTGCATGTACCAATTGCGTCAGGGTAAGCCCAGGGTGTTGGGGTGCATAACTTTTAGCAAATGATAAGCAATGCCATACAATCATGACTGTTGAGAGAGTCCTCCACACAAACGTGTGCGGGGTTCCTGGTCTTGCCTCGTATCCGCCGTATGGGTCGTGAAATGGGCTATCACACACTATGCAGGTGGCGGCGTGCCCTGGCCCCATGGCCCACCGTACTACTGCATGTAGATACTACATTACTAGTGCCAGAAAGTGATGTAATCGTGTTTTCATGAAGTCACGATCCTGGGCCTGACAAATCGGACACTCCGCCTCAGTCACACAGCAACCAATTATGTGCATGCACAATTATTTACTCACATTGGAACATCAAGTACTAGTACATATTATGATGTACAAGTACATGTAGCCATTGTAGGTCTACAATCTCTACATTAGACAATTGTGTGCACTGCACCTGCTCCAGCAAGGTGACAGAAAAGTTGTCATTGACCTGAACATACCCCACCACCTACAATCACTGATGTCGTAGTCAGCAAGAGTACATAATCCCAGCATACTGCACTAACTGAAGTTCGGCATTGGGGCAGGGCCATGGAGTTGTGGTTACATGGGTACTTTGATCTCGCGTTGTCTCCGAAGATGTTACGACTTCTTGGTGTAGTACTGGACTCATATTCATGACTACACGCTGGCAGTTGCATGAGCTGGGATCCACCTTTGAACACCAGACGGAATATTCAATTCAGGGGTTACGGTTGACACAAACTTGGAACAATAGTCAATGGCTTTCTTGAACAATTAGAAGACAGAAGGAGGAAAGTGGCAGGAAGGGTGTAACATGGGCGGCAAAGAGTACATTCCGGTTACGCCATTGAAATAATATTGAATTGTCCCAGGGGAAAATCAACTGAGAGAGTATCTCAAGCACAACCTACATGCATCAAGGCTGCATTCATAAGTGATGCTGCAGATCAAGTTGGACACAGACACACATATCAAGAAACAACGACAGGACCTGTGCACTGCGTTCTAGCTCGAGTGCATAGCACCAGAAGTCTGGAAGTGAGAAAAAAAAGAATGTTGCGTATCCAGCATAACTCCAGTAAAGTATCTATTAGAATTAGAACACCAGACAATCCTGGGACACTATAATAAATAGTATAAAACAGGTAAAAAGTATTTTTTTTAAACTTTGAAGTACATGAAACCGCTTGCAGAAGGGTAAGAAAATAAATTCAAAGATGGAGGAGTTGGAATACAAACACAGCCCTAACCATAAAAGAATTGTGACAGTCGCTTCCGACAAGACGATCGGAATGCCACAAGAAAAGAAACAAACGCAGCCAACAGAAGGAGTTTGTAGGGCAATGTCGAGTATGATGGCAGATTAAGCATGCCTCCACTACTGCAGGAAAACAAACAAACAAACCAGCAAAGCAAACATGCATGCAGTGAGAGAGTAGTATAAAAAATATATAAAAAATTCGACGGGTTCGGGTACCGGGCAGGTCAAGAACAAGGAGTCGTACAACTCCCTGGTCAAGAACCACCTTTCCGCTTCCGTGGGACGCCACCGCCCCATTATCAGGCGTCAGATGCGGCTCCTAAAGAGAGTAGTATGGTCAACACAAATTTACGCCAAGGATTACTACAGCCCACTGAATAGGAACAAATACTTGAAGTAATTACAGCATGAATTTCATAAACCAAGCGTTTACTTGTCAGTGCACCAGTGTACAGACGAGTACAAGCCCGAAACGTGACAGTTTACCTCTGATAAAGTGGTAGGATGTGGACTACTGCTGCAGAAAATATGGCGATGTTGTAACGGCGTTTTTTCAACTTCGACATCAACGCCAATGGCTCACGTGCCGCGTGCAGCAAAACCTGTCCGAATTAGCCAACTCGTAACTTGCTGTTTCTCTGTCAATTCGGAAAACGATAAAATATCCTGCAAAAATTTGCGCAAAACTCACGTTGCCTTCGAACGCGAGCGGAGTGCGACTCACGCTCAAATTCGACGTTCAACGCCATTTCCCATGTCAAACTACACGTCGCTCCAAAAAAAGTTGTGCGAAACCTCTCAAATGGAGAGTACGCAGAACCTCACACCAATTACAGTCGACCTACCCTTACAACGATATGCGGCGCTCCAAAAAAAGTCGTGCGAAACCTCTCTAATGGAGAGTACGCAGAACCTAACACCAACTACATGTACTAACCTGTCAGACGAAGGCCGATGTAGATTGTAGACAAGCGCTCCGAGCGTCCACTGCACCTCACTGTGATCAATCTCACTCACAGATTGAAAGTGGTCAAATTTCTCCGGGAAGTGATGCCCATCGTGCAACACCGCAGCCAGCCAGGCAGCCTTGAAACATTGACGCCTAGACAGCGAAGTAAAAGCACACAGGGAAATGAAATGAAACACGAGACTATAAACTGCCTACAACTAACTTCAGTACATGTACTACAGGTCACATTACAAATCATTCGCCAGCCAGGAGTACTCACATAGAAGGAAAAAACAGCCCCCAGCATGCTGATAATCTAGCCACCATTCATCAACCGGATTGCAGCCAAGCCGACGAAGCATGGCGCTGTGCCCTCATCCGCATTTTGGCCGACCCCTTTCAGAAACGAAAGCACCACTGCACAATGCATGGTATGGGTAGTGACACTGCAAAACCCCTTGCTTCCCTATCCAGGATGCATTGTGTGCATGTAGGCACGGAAGAGCACACCACACTGCTAGTTCACTGCTACCGTCGAGTAAAAACGATAACTAGCCTACCTTCCACGCTATACGCCATGCGTGGAGCGATGCACATTTGATAGCAACGCACATACGTTCCAGGCCGCCCCTCTTCAATTCGAAGTCGGCTACAACCCAGGTCACTGGAGTCATCCAGAAAATAAACTTTATGCAGCAGAATATGTGGGAAATTACGTTACATACACATACATGCAACACTGAGAAAAGATTCAAAGTTCTTCTCTCCATACCTCAACCGATTGGAATCTGCTTTCGGGTACTTTTTGTCGATTTCCTTCTCTTTCTTTATATCTGCCCATGCCATACCACAGAATTTCTGCAAAGAGAGCAATACAAGTTACCTGGTTCAGGTCTATTTGGTGATAAATTCATCAGATGATAATTATTATTATCATTTCCAGATAGACATAGTCCAGTATACACCGTGTAATGAAGTGGAGATATCACAAGATTGCTAAGGAATCATTTTGACAAGTGCATCAATCACTGAGAGGGCTGTCAAACAGATAATTGCAGACACACTGCGGACAGCTGAGGATGACACCAACATAGTGGCTGTACACACCGACACAGGAGACAGAGTCTATTACAGGCAGACAGCCAGCGGAGAATCAACACGTGTCACAATCGCTGGGCATGTGCTTACTTGGTTTGCTTGTACGTATCGCTGGTATTGGTAGCGGCCGCCAATCCCCAGGATGTCCTCCATGCAATACCAATACTCTGACAGGCCGTAGAAGCTACGTGACAGTGGCAAGCGAGGCTGATATGCGCCACCAAGGGAATGGTACTCCTCTTGACTTGCTTCCAGCAGCGGCAACAAGGACTTCCGACAAGCCGCAAACTGCCCAGTGCCTTTCAGCTCTATGTTCGTACCTGCCGGTAGAGCTTCCTCACCAGCTGCTAAAACTACACAAACAAAAAGACAACATGTACGCAAATTGTTTCCGTTTGCTCCAAGCTCCAATGAAACAAGGCCAAAGCACCCGGAACTAGCGAAACTCAATACATATACATAGCACTTTCACAAGGAAGGCACTGCATCGTGCTACCTCTCCTTATTGCTACTTCGAAGTACCATTGTCCAATGTGCTTGGGTATGGGCAGGCACATCTGCCATTTAACAGGGTCAATAGATGATGTGCCTTACCTTCAACCTGAGAGCCTGAGGCTTTGACTGCTACTGCCATGTTTCGTGGCTGGCACGGGTCCTCCACAACACTCACAGGCGATTTTGTTTGAGACCTGAGCCATAACCAATCAATGTGATTGATCATGGTAACAAGCAAACGCGCAAACAACACAGGTAAAGCATATCAACACTTTTAAAAGATAGATAGATAGATACCGGTAGATAGATAGATAGAGAGGAAGAGAGAGAGAGGGGGGGGGGGGGGGGGGAAGAGAGGTGCCATAGACTGCAGGTATACTTGAAGTATGTACCAAAACAAGACACTGCACACAATGATACCATACCGTGCTTGATTCGCCAGCTTCTGGATATATTTCTGGTATGCTGAGTTGGCACCGAAACCTAAGAAGGTTGTGACATAAAGATGATAGTTGAGACAAGCTGTGGCAGATGGTGGACAAAGCTGAATATCCATACCGACCTCTGCAGGTAGAACCTTCGGCAGCAGAAATACACACAATAACAAAGAGGTCTTAGCGACTCAGAGAATAGTTCGCAACTTTACTGAGCTTGCTTTACGAGAAAGCAAAAGTAATGGGGTCTTGTAACCCATGGTAAAGAGGGTTAAATTCACAAGAGAGTATAGAAAAAAAGTGGCTGGGACTGCTCCGTTCAAACTTAGCTGGGATCAACCTTTCATTGGCATGTCTCACCTAACAAAATTAGCCAACATCAAATATAAACTAAAGCTGGTGCTGATACAGTAAACACAGAAACCACTTCTGACTGCCATCAGCAGATGAAAGGCAAATCAAAAGCAGCAAAACATGTTTATAGTATGAGCTTCAAAAGAAGTAGGATTCGCAATAACAGTGATGCGGCAGCAAGAGACAATCATCAGAAAGGGCTTTCATACCTCATTCTTCACTTCGTAGGCGATTTGCTCCGATGCACCTCCCATTTCTATGAAGCCATGAGTCTCCAGTTGATTGCCTGCTCTCAACGTGGGTGCAAATTGTGCAGAGGATGGATAAACAGGCAGCACAGCAAAAGGGCGTGAATCAGTGAATCATCAACAGGAGCAAATGTCATCAAGTTCCTCATGAAGCAACGTAAAAAGCTCTTTGGGCCACATTTGGGCAATACAGCAGAGGACAATGGTACTGCATAACAAAAGAGGACAAAAAAAGCAGTACCTGAAGTGTTTGCCGTAGCCGGGGGAATTTTGTCCCTCCCAGTCCACAAGAATAGCATACACATGAATGAAGAGCAACTACTGGCCATCTGCCTATCAATACTGACCTTTCAGTGCAGCATGAAGTGGTCACTAAACACACTGAACACAGATATTACTCCATGTACATGATTGTACTACCTAAGCTGGTTGAGCGTTCTCAACATAATTGTATAGCCGGTGGCGATGCGGACATGAAAAAAACCTTGACATGTACATGCACTGATAAGTATCCGCAGCACACAGTGCCCACTCACCATCGGACGACCTGGACAGCCGACTCAGCGCATAGTTCACAGCAATCCATCCAAACACACCCTCCATTTGCCCTGAAATGACCCTGACGTGATCTGCTTGGATGTTGAATCGGTACTGAGCACGAATACGGGAGAACACCGCTGCAAGAATGGCATTTCTTTCCCTAGCGGGCACCAAGCGCAACCCAGCAGTGCCGAGAACGTAAATATTCGTAGTGGGATGCAGTTCCGAAGGAATATGGGAGGCAGCTAGCTTCAGCAGGGGAACGAGGGATGAGTACGCCCGCTGGGGTGTGCTGCGAAAGCTGGACAAGCCTGCAACATGATCATACGGACAGCATTGCAGAAAGACAAAGAGCTCAATCACAGTGCAGGGAAGTTTGGTTTCTACCATTCGCTTCGGAGACAACGGCCTTAATATCTCTCTTTCTCTCTCTCCCTCTCTCCCCCTTCCTTCCTCTGGCTCTCTCTCCCCAATGGCGCCTGCTGTGTATGCCGATCCTGAGACCCTTGGTCGGGGGAGTTCACCGCACCTCACCAGCACAGCTCATGTAGCGCCTACACACCCACTGTTGTATCTCTGCTAAGTTTTTGGTTTTGTTTCGTTTCCCCCTTTTCCGTAGGTATGAGCACTGTGATAAAAAGTAAACAAAAGATACACCAACAAGGACAAGTAGGAAATGCTTATGGCACACTTCGTCCTCCTTGTTGCTGTACACAAGCATCATTCACTATCATTTTTATTTATTTTTAAACTCAGCCAGTATGCCTACTACTGTGTTGACTTCGTCTTAGGGGCAGGACACGGGGAAATATACAAGGGTGTGAACCCGCCTCTCGGCACTAGGAGTAGCTCGCTCGACTCGACTGAGTGACGATGATCCATACCGTGATCTGGTCAGCTGGGTCATGGAGATTCCCAGTTAGATGTGCGGCCGCGTGGGGTTCCAACCGGCGACCTCTCCGTTCACAGGCAAGTGCAGTACACACTGGTCCCTAGGCACTTTGTACAGATGAAGGAATCCCGTAGGTGTGTACATGCCCGGTTGGGTGTTGATTGTGTGGTACACATGTACATTATTACAGGGTGCGACAGAGCTCTCGGCCATTGAAGAAATGTTGAGTCACCTCCACCATTACACTGCGCTCTTTAGCCGACTAGACCCTCCTGCACACAACCATCACCATTGCGAGGACACTTCCGTAGACGATATTGATAAACTCCTTCAGACAGCTGTTTCGCTAATACATAGCTCATAAGTGAAGGTAGATGTTGAATGATTAAAATATAGCCCAAACTGCTATTATATAAGGTTTCCACATACAAAACTGGCATAGCTAAGGTGATAACGCGGGAAAGGGAAAGTGTGAAGTACTACTGTTGACGCGCATGGGACATGCATGCAGCGTCAGAAATTCGGCGCGGAAAATCAATCACTATGCATACTATCAAAGCAGAAATAACGTGCCAGAATCAGTGTACTGCGTAGCTAGTGTCAGTAGTGAGAGTCTGTGTATCGTACTTGTCCCAGCGCCATGAAGGCCTGCAAACGCACCTCACGACTCGCCGACGTCGACAGCCACAGCAGCCCCTGGGGCATGACACTGTACTGGACGCAATACCATACGACCAACTGTTTGTTTCTACCAGCGTTATTGTACCGTCGACACAGCTCTGACGACGATATACTGGGCGAATGCCGCGGGGCCTCCCAGCGGCAGTGGGTGATGGGCAGATAACAAGGTAGCTTGCGGACAATATCGGTGGCATGAAGCCTAGTGACTGCCAAGCGTCTTGGCGCGACGGGCGACTCGTACTACTCCCGAGCAGATCTACTGCGCACATAGCGATTCTACGGATGCAAAAAAACCGTGATTTGGTCCAAATTCCCGCAGGGACAGTTCCTACGATACTGTGGCTCAGTGGATAGTGCAAGCATGGAGTGAGATACCTGAGGAGCTGGTGAAGGCATCGTCTGTAAACGGTGGCATTGGCAGTGATGTTCCTCGTGACGGCCTTCACTCGTCCCTGAAGTCTCTCCTCGATGACGGTGAAGTGCCCGATGACATTGCAGAGGAAAGTGACACTGATGTTGAGGACTCGACTGACGGCAGCGATGAAGATGGCGAGGCACGCGGCATTGATGAAGTGCCTAGTGGCAATGGTGAAGTGACCAGTGATGAAGACCGTCTGGATGATCTGCCCGGTGATGAAGCTGTTTCTGATGAAGTTTGTACTGAGGACTAGAATGAATGGTTCATGCTCATGTTCTCGCTTTGCTTTATGTTTGAACTTGTGTTTAACGGTTCCCACATGTCCCATGGCGGGCAAAACCAGTCATTAGTGAGTTTCTGCCACACGGTAAAACGTACCAAAGTACGTATGGAAACCTCATCGCGGTACAGGATCAAGTTTCACACGGATTTTTCATACCCTTTTCCGTGGGAAGCGCACTTCGCACGGACTCGGCTCCGTGTGAAAACTGAGCGCACAGAGTACATGTGGCGGGAAGTTCAAGCATGCTACGCACAGCAGAACCGGCGCAATGTACGAAAAATCCGCGTCGAACTTCACTTGCAGTTGACACGGAGTTTGGTACGTAGTTCCGTGTAGCAGAAACTCACTTTCAACACTCGAGATAACCCAACTGTGCAAAAGTGTCCATATAAAATGTGTTTCGGCACACACATGCGCTTATACTGGTATGTGAGGGTGCATTATGTCTGGATATAAGCACGTGCGCTTGTTTGTGCGACATTATGGTACAAGCAGGATTCAGGAGGTCTCTTTCTGCACAACTGCAGCTCAGTTGTACGCACTACACCACTTCCCGCCGCAGATTTGCACCAAGTATGATGCAGTCCCAGAATTTCGCCGCAACCGACACCCATGAAGACAAAGTCAGAAGCTGCACACTCTGGGTTTCATGTCCTCTTGGTACAACGTGCCTATGGCTTACGCACTACCGGGGAGCCCCATTCACTATCATTGCTATGCAAAGGGCAGTACATGTACTGCCATGAGTACATACGTAACTGTTACCTCTCATATGCACTCAATCCACTCAGCTCACCTGGTTCAGTTTTCATTGTAACCAACTTTCCGTTCTCATCAGTTTTCTGCTTGAGAGACAACAGCGACCGGCCATTGCTCGTTGATGGCCACTCGTAAACGTACACTCGAGATCCACTGCTACCAGCATCAATGACAATTGCATAGCGTTTAGCATCTGCAGTGTTCGATGTGGTGGCAATCCTGCTGACGTTGGCCACAGGTAGATTCACAATGAAGAGAACCACTATCGTCATGCAGCAAATCGCAGTGGATCTGAGCCTCACATTCCTCATCGCGGGCTTAGATTCCAACTCGGCAGTGGTCATAGACAATCTACATGAGAATATTGTTGCATCACGAACGAGATTAGTGAAATAGAAAAATCTGAAATAATTTTAAATTACTGTTGCATCTATGATGAGAATACGCTCGTATGAATCGGATTCAGTGATGAAACTTCGGGCAGAATTTGGAACAGAAGCTAGCAACGAATAGTGGCCTCCCCACAGCTACGCAAGTATGTCTTCACCCTGTCCCAACGTCGCACACCTTCGTCCTGCTTCTCATATTCTCATTTCTCAAAGACATACGATCATAGATTCATAGTATCATACAAATTTAATCATGTTTCATATACTACTATAATTCTTGACACTTCGACGCACGATCGGTAGACGGTCGATCGGGTCGACCACGCACGATCACGTGTACCGGTACGCGGTGACTCTGGTCACCATGGTCACACTTTTTACGTATAATTACGCGAGGTATATTATGTATCCGATTGCAACGACCAGGAGGCTGAAAGTAGTGGCTGCAAATGACCGATATCCGTCACTTGCAGCTCTGCATCGGAGGCCTGTAGCTGGCCTGAAGAGTTGTAAAATTACACCTTTGTAGCCGGGCGAGTCAGAGCGAGGGCGATTCACGGCTTGGTCAAAAACTGTCGGCCTGGAACGTAAACGTCGATCTGCCGACACAGTTCACCTGGTTCACACGTCTGACCTGGCATGCTGCCTTGCGTGAAAGGAACATTTTTCGGAAAGCAAGCTTCTTCTCCAAAATTCGAAATTTCCTTCCAAAAATGCCGTCGTCCTTGACCTCGAAGCTGAATGTTGTTAGGATAGAAAATTAGCGAAGATGTAGCCGACCCATTCTGGCAAGCCGTGTGCCTTCTGGATATGCAGTTGTTCGCCATGGTCAACAATCTTCTTCTCCTTCGTTCGTACTTTCACTTTCCTGACCACGAATACAAGCGGTACCCATGCTCAGGTTAGTGTTTATTTGTCTGTCTATGCACATACACGTAATACAATGTAATGTTCGTGCTGCAGGCACTGGCTGATCATGGAAATAGAGGAAGCAGCCAGCTTTCTTTGAATTCTCGTGCTTTCAACAAAAATATTGTACACACTTTCCTTGGCTTCTCTTTCCCACCGCCACCATGCATGCACAATCGAGCTTGCTTTAATGCCCTGCAGTGCAGAATGCTCCCACCACCGCAACTACCAGCACCGCCACCACCACCAGCAGCAGCAGCACCACCACCACCACCATGACCACCACCACCACCACCACCACCACCGTGACCACCACCACCACCACCACCACCACCACCACTGTGACCACCACCACCACCGTGACCACCACCACCACCGTGACCACCACCACCACCGTTACCACCACCACCACTGTGACCACCACCACCACCGTGACCACCACCACCACCGTGACCACCACCACCACCGTGACCACCACCACCACCACCGTGACCACCACCACCACCGTGACCACCACCACCACCTTGAACACCACCACCACCGTGACCACAACCACCACCGTGACCATCACCACCACCGTGACCACCACCACCGCCGTGACCACCACCACCGCCGTGACCACCACCACCGCCGTGACCACCACCACCACCGTGACCACCACCACTGCCGTGACCACCACCACCACCATGACCACCACCACCACCGTGACCACCACCACCACCACCACCGTGACCACCACCACCACCGTGACCACCACCACCGCCGTGACCACCACCACTGCCGTGACCACCACCACCGCCGTGACCACCACCACTGCCGTGACCACCACCACCACCGTGACCACCACCACCACCGTGACCACCACCACCGCCGTGACCACCACCACTGCCGTGACCACCACCACCACCGTGACCACCACCACCACCGTGACCACCACCACCACCGTGACCACCACCACCACCACCGTGACCACCACCACCACCACCGTGACCACCACTATAGAAGCATTGTCCTGCACGGCTGCAAGAGAAAATTATAGTATGCCAGTGCTGTAATGCCCTGCAGTGCAGTATGCTCCCACCACTACCACCACCACCACCACTATGGAAGCATTGTCACGCCCTATTCATCGATCCACAAGAGAAAATATGCCAGTGACTTACTAGCACCTCCATGCTGCATGTGGACCTGGGCACAGCACTGTTCCCTCTGCAGGAATAGGAGCGGGGGTATTTCATTGTCCCTGCCTGAAGTAATAATGACTACATGACATGATGCCCAGCTAACTTTGCCAGTAACGAACGACCCTTGATCGGGCATGAGAAAAGTGTTGCTATTTGGGAGTTGTCGTCATTCACAGGGTTGAAAATATACGGCTATATTGTTACTAGGTCTGAAGATAGTGTCACTATCCGTGGGTTGTTATACCCGTGGTTGACTGCAGATACGTTTGGATTATTCTATGAGTATATGAAGGGTATATGTTCAATATTTTCCCGAGGACGTAGCACGAGGAAATTATGGGGAATGCAGTACATGTATACAATGGTGCAATCCATTTCTCCCAGGGCACTTTCCCAAGACTCCTCCCAATATTCATTCTTGGCGCGACCCATGTGAACTGAGCGGGGTGTATCGTTGAATATACCCCTCTCAGAACGTCTACTGATTGGCTGAAATCGCCCAAATCATACCGTGCCATGGATCAATGCATGTCAGGGAGTCGTAGCACCCAAGGAAACAACACGAGATCATGATACCCAAAATGATGTACTGTAAAAGCAGAAATTTTCAGTGGTGTTTTATTTTCGGTAACTTCGGTGCCGACAATTTTTACCGCAAAAATGCACCAGTTCTAGCACCCTTACCTGGAAAGCGGGTATTACCGACAATTATTATTTCCCTCCACCGAACCGCCGATTTTGGAGAATTCCGAAAATATTACACCACCGAAAATTTCTGCTTTTACAGTACACAGATTGGATCCATGGAGATTCTACATGATCTGTGGTTTATGCAACTCGTGATCGCGGACTTGACCCACTGGCCCCAAGCATGGGTCAGTCAAGCGATGCTATATGCCAACATGTTTGTATCGCACTTGCCCCTAAGGCAGTAAGGGCAACTGTCACTGGCAGCCCGGGGTTGAACCCACATTATTAATTTGTGAAATTTTCTAGGGTGACACGAAAAGCTTCACGCACTGGGTGGTCACTCTCTATTCATGTATACCACTCTGCCAATAGTGCATAGCACTCTCTTTTGAGCTGCCCGGCTGGCCCTTGTTATGATTTAGGCTGAAAGTCTACCGTGCCGTCTCCCTTATGCTATGACTCCATAATGCATAACTTATGTACAGAAGAAAAAATCACGGGGCTCCGTTGATGAAATTCTGTTTTGTCAAGTGGGCCTTTTTTGATTATTGTGAATGGCGTGTAGTGCCGTAGTACAGTTCCTTTTGCTACATAACGTTTGCAGAAGTCACGTTTCAGCAATTGAACTACTTCGTAGGAAGATCTATGTCTCTGATCTTGTCATTTGGCCCGGCTGGTGCTGTGCATTAACAACCATTGTCAGGCACCCTCGAAAGACCAACAGCGATGAGTTCATGACCCAAGCATTATTTGGGCCGTTAAGTTGACTAAACGGGAGTGTAGCAAGCTTTGATCGGCGTACTTCCTTCCGTACGTAGTGAAATGTTGTCCGAGCTGGATAGATTCTATCTCCTGAGTGTAGCAAGCTTTGATCGGCGTACTTCCTTCCGTACGTAGTGAAATGATGTCCGAGCTGGATAGATTCTATCTCCTGCGGTTTAGTACAAAAGTTTCACACCTAATACTGTAGATTCGACGTCTCCAAGAAAAACCTCCATGGAGACTGGAAACTATAGCAGATCATAAATGACGCAGCAGCTCAGCTGATTTCCCAGCTCGTGTCTAGGTTCATGTACTTTGGTCAACGTGTTGTGGCAGACTCCATGTACAAAGCTGCATACTCTTGGGGTTATTGATTCTTGCTGATAATTCCATCAACGTTATTGCATAGATATGAACATCATAATAATTGAATGTTGGCAAGACCCAACAAGGTGTCCCTAATGACTTACATCAGATCTTCACAAAATGCACATACTGTAAGACATGATTGTATATAACGAGGAAGCAAATCTAACGTTTTAACGGATGACATTTCTTCGTTATAATAAGATCCGTTGAGTCCGTACTGCTTCATATATGCTGTGTGTGGATATGGCAGAATACTGCAAGATCGTTAACATATCTTCTCGTTAACCTATGAGTTTTGGACAATCGTTAAATTTGCGACTCGTTATAATAACATGTCTTACAGTTCATCTTGAAAAGCCATATTTTGGTTTCACATACACGTCTCATTTCTATCACAGAGATCAGCAGCCATGGGCCATTGGTGGCAATACTGGTAGGAGTCGCCCGAGGCTAAGCCAATAATTTCCGTTCTATACCCAATATACATGCCCGAACTGGGCACAAATCTTTCCCATTCCTTGGTGCTGACCCCTTTGATGCGCCCCCCGAATCCCTTAGCATTATTAGTACCTCCAATTCATTTCGTCATCAGCTCACCGCATGCTCAGTACTGTGTTGTAAAGTATGCAAATTTTCGGTGCTTTTAAATTGCAGCCTCCCCAGGGCAAAAACACATCTCGGCCACATTGAAATTTCAGCCTGTACTGCTGATGCCTGCATACACTGTCACATTGAACCTTGCAAAACAAATTTTAGGCTACAAATGCCCAGTAAATAAAAGGGGAGAAGGCACTGAACGAAGTGTCAACCTACGAATACAACCTCAGGGCAACAACGTGCTCTTTCTGCTTGTGTAAGCAGAAAGAGCACATTGTTGCACTGAGGTTGTATTCGTAGGTTGACAGTTCGTTCAGTGCCTTCTCACCTTTGGTTACGTAATCTTGTTACCTTTTGCGTTTCCTCTAGTAAATAAAAGGGGGTTGTCAAATGACAACCGCTCTATTCAGTTGCTATTCACTCTTGGCGCATGCGCTGGACGAAAAATTCTTTTATTAGTGATGTCGAAAAAGTATGCGGTTGTCAGTTGACAAACCCCCTTTTATTTGCAATTCAGTTGCGTGATGCCCACCACTTTCCGAATTAAAATGGACAGGCCGACAATAGCCGAAAATAAAATATGTGCCGAATATGCAGTACCTTGCGCAATCTGTTAGAAGACATTGGGGCTACTGGGAATGAATGCCCAAGTAAAATGATGAAGTACAGTAATACAATACTATAGGGAGTGCATTTGGCATGAATGC